GGACGGTTGGTGTTCCTCCTGCTCAAGTGAAGGAACTCAATGCCGAAGCACGTCTTTTCCTCGGTCCCTGCCCCGCTTTGAAACTATCTTTGAAGAACAAAATTACAAGAGCTCAGTGGAGCTTATCGAGCATTACCAATGCTTCCACAATTTGTTCTTCCTGAAACTCCACATCGTCCAGGTGATCAATCAGCGGCTGATAACTCCCTTCGCATGGGTGGTCATGATATGCATCATCCGGTTGTAGTACTGAGGCGCAGTCCCTGTAGCTAAAAGCTGAACCTCTTCCAGATTCAGCAAACTTGTGGCATCCAGCTCTGGCAATTCCAGTTTGAGGACCTAAGCCCATAGATGACACCCCTTTCAGTGTGCCTTGCGCTCGCTGCGTCTATGGCCATGTCCGGGTTGAGCTGCTTGGTCGCTACAACCGAGGGCAGCTTCTCTGAGCTGGACGAGAGCCATCGTAGGGCGTTGTTGATTACCTCCCATAGCTCTTCAGGGGCCTTCTGACATACGAGGTTGACAGATTCCGGGCTATTGAGCTTGGCGATAATTTCGAGTTCCTTGCTGATCGTGGTGCTGGCAAGCGACGTGAGTATGGTGGGAGCTTGAGAGGGGGCCCGCCAGCGTTAACCCTCTCGGCGGGCCAGGTAATGGCCCAACAAAAAGGCTGAACTGTGTTGTTGACAGCATTTTGGATGAGAGTGATATCTTCGGCAATGGATTGAACTTCGTGAGATGATGGATCTAGTTCGCGATCGGTTGCTCCTTGCTCCTCCGTCGAATGTCTCCACGCTATTGACGAAGGCCTTGGAGAGCTGGCCGAGTAGCTTCTGACGCGGTCCTCTATCCGGAGACGGTAATGTTATCGCTTCTGCTATGAGTTGGGTTGTATGCTCATGGAGGGTGTGCGACTACAAGTCCAGTTCTGTCCTGTTGGCCATAGCTTCTAGGTATCAGCCCGCAATCCTAGAGCCGGGTCTATATCAATGGTCGATGGACGTCATCAAAGTCGTAGAGAATATGCCCCGAACCGACCATAGACGACTTCAATGATGCTGTCCAAGCTCCATCCAAAGCATTCCCGGGATGGGATGTCATTGTCTGGCCGACACCGAGCGCAAATTCTGCGACGGACTTTGCGACATAATGTTCGAGAACAGAGAAGACTTTGCCAAATTTCTTGCTGCTGAGCTGGGGCACCATTTTTGGCATATTTTCCCAATGTTTCTGTAGAAAATGCAGCCCAAACCTATGAAGGTGTTGTTCAGCATGACGGAGGTGGCCAAGTCTCAGGAACTTGTCCGTATATATGGTATCATCGTTCCAGGGGAATTCTCTATGGCAATGGGTGCACGTGAAGTTGCCGGAGTGATAGCGGCAGGACGTTTCACCGTATCCAGGTTGAATGGGCCGACAACCCTTTTCCTCAAACGCCCTCGTCGTGGTGAGTGGGCGTGCAGGTGTCTCGAAGGGTGTCTTCAATGTTGTGACGACACTAGAAAATACTCAACGTCTTGGTCTTACCATGTTTGAATCAGAGGTTGTTCGGAATACGTTCCAGTAAGTGCAAAAGTATGCGTTTGGGAATTAGATCTGGCCTGACAGAAGATTTTATGCGATAAGGTCAATTGGTAGATAAATGACGCTGCTCCTGTCCTCGAAACACAACTTGCCTCCAGCACAGGTAACAATCCGGAATTGAGCTCCGGCCGGTATCGATGAGACCTTCGTACGCTCTCGAAATTCGGATAACCGCTTCGTTACTTGGTCCCTATAATCAATCGCCCGCTCTCTTCAGGCCCTCCGAACTGGGATGCACGAAGGAGTCAGCCATTCGACATTGCTCACATGTGAATCTTGTCTGTTTCCTTGGCGCTCCTGTGGAAGTTTCTGTCTTAGTTTTCGATAGGCCGATAACGACTCGGTCGATAATTGGTTATCGACGATCGATTATCGAACGATAAAGCTTGTCACAGAATGAGTCACGTGTCATACCCCCGGCCCATCGGATCCAGTCCATGCACCCATTTGGGGGGGGAAATCACAACGCCCATCAGATCCAGTCAACGAACCACCTCCCGGCGAAGGGGGAGGGGATTAACTAGACCCGTTTAACAACGACCCCCCATCGGATCCAGTCTACGGACAACCTCGGGGGGTTGCGGATTACCCAGAGCACTCAATTACTGTAGGATCCGTTTGACAACAACTCCCAGCCCTTACAGGTCAGTAAGAGATTTAGTTAACTATCTCGAGGTGCTCATCTGTAATACCACTCCGTTTCCAGTGCTTTAAACACTCGACCTTCTCGATGGTTTCAGCCCCTAGCTGCGCCATTTCTCATGATTTCGTATGGCAGGTTCCCAAAAAGACCTGCATATTTGTAGTAACCCACAGCTATGCAATACATTATGTGAGCCTTTGCCTTAGACTCCCCATCGCGCGGGCCCATGTCGTATGAGCTGACTCACCCTTTTCGACCTTGTTCCAATCGAGTCTAAGGTAGTTGAAGGTGAGAGAAGGCATGAATTTACTTCAGAATCCATATCTTGTACAATGGAATAAGAGAAGGTTTCAAGCTGTGATATTTCTCATTGATTTCATTGGATCCTGGAATTTTGGTACAATGCGGATTCGTGCTTCTGAGGATCCATGGGGATCTATGGTTTTGTCTGGATTTTGGGGGCTGAAACTTGGTATCTCTGTAATAGATCAGCGATCCACCTGGAAATTAATATGGAGGGGATGAGTTATACTTGGGATCTGGACATAACGTTCTGGACATTCTTACACAGATATGGCTGAGATACGGGGTTGCGAATTTCGTGGATTTTGGTGAGAAATTGACTGTCATTCGCTTCGGTGTCTCCTCCCTTGCGATCTACGTCATTGATCGATTTACAGTGTTATCGATAAGATTATCGAAAACCACGCTGGTCTTACGCACATGAAGTGTCGAACTAGGGAACAACTCCAAATGTAAAGGTGATGAACGGTTTAGCACTTGAGTGTCTGTCATGCAGGGAGGATGTCGTCGTCAAAGCTGTTGAGCAACCACCCACAAGGCTCTAATTACAAGAAAAGTTCAATGCTCTCGCCATCTTTATACCCACCCATGTTTGCTTACCCCTTACATAATCCATGCACGTAGCGCCCCGCTACACTATCTCCACATAAACAGAGCGGAAAGCGCTCCCTACAACTACGCCGCATTTCCAGTCTAGATCCACTTATGAGCCCGTACTAACTATGCTCTAAGCACGGACGGCATTTTTACAGGTTCGATTTTCGTTTCTGTGATCAGCAAACAGCGGATAAACAAAAGACACCACCCCAATGACGCATCACGGAGATATCACGCCGAGACAAAGCAAACTATGGTACTACCTAGTGTGGAAGAACGCAACCTGTCTTCTTCATTCTCGAGACTTCCCGAACAACCTTTTTTCTCAACATGTTATTCAACGTTTGAAGTAACCTTCTGACTTGACTAGCCAGCCGGACTCTAGGTCGCCATTCTCTGCTAGGTGTTTAATCATGATGAACCTCCTGTCTCGAGGGGAGACTCGCCCCTAGGCGTTACCGTTGGTGCGATGTGGCAAGTCTCAGGAGAGGATCTCGACCAGGTCAGCCTGAGGTTGAGATTCAAATCATCACCACTGCCGCCACCGATATGAGCCAGCCTCAGATGATATGGGAATGCACGATGACTGTGATGTTCTGTCCGTCCTAGGAAGCATCGTCCTCGACAGAAGGAAAAGAGGAGTGTCAAACGAGCATGCCGGTTGCAGTCTTACCGGTTTCCAAATCATAGAAGCCGTCCGCCCGCTCATCCCAAAGTCCAGCCTCTCTCTTCCCTTCCCAACCCCACCCATCGCATCAACATCCTCTGAGTATGGCAGAAGTACAATCAAGCATCAGCGCTAGTTGACGATGCGGATTGCGTCATCTAGAATGAGTACTGCACGGTTGTGGATGGCGCCTTCGACATGAGGAGGAAGTTTTTCTTAGTATTGAGGTAAGTGCGACAATTGAGGACCAAATTACTCGCCAAATAAGCCGAGATGGGTCGTTACATCGCTTGACATCAACGACAGTTGCCGCACCTCCGAGACCGCACGAAACAAGCTACGAACACAGACCAAGAGATTGAAGCAGTACAAAGACCAAACAAACTGCTGCGCCTGCGCAACGGAAAGTTGGCCAACGATCTGGAAGTTGCACGCGAGGAGTTGGAAAAGGTCAATCATGTGCGGTGCGACATCTGCATGGACAGCTTCAAGAAATGTCATGGTTGTATGTGGCCACGACTTTTGCAGAGAGTGCCTGACCGTATGGCTACGGCAACCGAAGGATGGCCGCCCTGCTGAAGAGCCTGAGCAAGTCTGCCCCGTATGCAGACAGAGCTGCAAAGAGAGTAATGTGCGGGCCATCTACCTTGAGACCGGTAATGAGACCCCTGTTGTACTCGAGAGTGACCATGACGTCACGGATGTCATCTCGCTGGCCAGCGACAGTGAGTAGAAAAACATCCAACCAGGATCTGGTACATATGTGGAATTGCTTTAGAAGAGCTAGAGTCAGGAAAGAAAAAGAAATAAAGTAGCACCTCTGAAATCTCGAGAGCTTACCGGCGTGCCGACGACAAGAACATGCGTTCAACGAATGTATTGGCCTAGGAAGTAGTCCTCGGTCGTGCCTATGTCAAGCTGCAGAATGCGGAGATTTCAAGTGCTCAGGCTTCTACGAGCCCAAGGCAAGAAACTTGACTGCAATCATCACCAACTCATCAATTTTAGTAACCATCCCCTTCAACTATATAGTCAGCTAAACGTAGATTGAAAGTCTAAAACTCACCAGGTATCATCCGGCAGATAAAAGAGACAACCGACCAAAACAAATTTAAACAAATCTACGCAGTAATTACCCTATATTAGTTACCACGAGAAGTTTCTACTCTATCGCTAGCCATCATAGCTAATTTTCACAAATTAATCCTATCCAGATTGTGAAGCAGTTTCTTCCATCGCCTTCGCGGCTTCCCATGGTCCCAAGTCCGGCTTACAATGCGTGTCCGGCTCAGGTAAAGTGCCGTTGACAAAGTACGCTGTGATATACTTCGCGACGCATTTGGAAGGGCTAGCAAGCAGGCCGTGTCCATAGCCAGAATGAGGGAGCACCACGCTGCCTTCGAAGGCGCGGCTGGCGTTGTAGGCACCCTCGATGGGCGTGGTGACGTCGTATTCGCCGTTGACGAACAGAATGGGAGTCTTGGTCTTCGCGGTGAAGTTTCCCACGTAGCGGCCCTTGTTGGGCATCTTCCAGGCCGCACAAGTCCAAAGAGCTTCGTACCCAACGTCAGAGAAGCTTTCACTAATGCCGGCTTGGTATTCGAGTTGAGGCAGATAGTCTTCTGGTGAAGAAATTTGGAAAGTGGCGTCACTGCAGCGAATGCCGTCGGCTGAATCCGGGCCATGGTTGTATCCCTTTGTCTGACCTAGTGTGCTTCCCAGTATCGTACTAGTATTGCCTTGAGATAAAAGGACGATAGCCTCCGCCAACGCTGGGAACCTATACGGCCAATAGAGCCGGCTGAGAGTGTACTGCTTGATGGCATAATACACTTGCCATGCTTCCTCAGAGGATGTCGCATTCTTTGCCAGCGGCTCCAGTAGCGTGTTGACCCATTCGAAAATCTCACTGGCATTCGTCGCACCAGTTGCATTGACAATTGCGCAGTCGTTCTTGTTTTTGGCACACTCTTCCGCGAATCCTTCCAATGCCGCATCGGCGTCGACAAGGTAATTGCCGCGGTGGCCCAATTTCCAGATGTTGGGGTCCAAAACGCCGTCGAGGAGCATGCGGTCAACGCGCTCGGGGAACATGGCGGCAAAGTATTCTCCCAAAGCCGTACCGTAAGACCAGCCGTAATACCGTAACAAGCCGTCCTCTCCAAGAGCATTGACGATGGCGAGCATATCACGGGCAGCGGACGTGGTGCCCAGGAACTGTCCGGTCTTGTTATTGGTAGTATAACACAGCTCTGCCCGGGTGACAGCATTATCCCATCCACCGTGAAAGAAGCGTTCGGTGACATTTGTACTGACTAGAGAGTCACTCTCGCGTCTTTTCAGGGACGAACCGTCTTCCGGAGTGCAGTTGAATGGAATCGTGTTTCCTGTGCCACGGGGATCGAAAGCGACCATGTTGAACTGTCCTCCCATATTCGCTATATGCTGGGGGCCATCATAGGGTAGGTTCTGGGCTCCTGTCCCCCCTGGGCCGCCAGGGTTGTACAGGACGGTGCCCAGGGCGGGTTGCTTGGTGGCATTGATTCTGAAGAGAGAAAGCTCGAGCTTCTCCGAGTCGGGGTCTGCGTAGTCGAGTGGGACGGGTAGTGTTGCGCAGTCGAAGGGTACACCCTCCTGGCCTATTTCTTTGAAGATTTCTTCGTTGAGTTCAGGGCAAGGCTTCCATTCAATCACTTTGGTGGTTTGAGGCAGGGCACGGACACCCGCAGAGAGCAAAAGGGCAGCTAGTGTCCACCCCAATGACATAGTGTTGTTTGCTATTGAGTGACAGATTCGATACCCAGAGTCATCCAGCCATTGCAGTTTCGTCCACGTTGCGACACTTATATGCTGCTGCGAATGATGCCGTTAGATTTCAGGCAACCCACGAACTGCCTCTAAGCCACTGTTATAGCTGACTTACTCTTGGGCTGGCGTAGCTACGTTGCTCCCGCCCTGCAAGATAAAATTTGGTGCTCCTGGCTGATGCAGGTACTTGGTCGGTTTTGGCGCGATGCGCCGCTGCAATGCTGGGCATAACCCAAAGTCGTAGATCAAGGTACGGCAATGGAGCAGCTGACTGTCTCAAACGTGGGGTGCGATCGTCACAGCCAATTAGAGCGCCAGGTGTTGTCAAAACCTTAGGAGACGACTCCCTAGGAACACTGTGAGTCGGAGTAAAATCATGTCTCCGTCCAACGCTGCCTGTCACTCAGGGTCTTCATTTTTGCTGGATCCGAAGCACATGGCTTGAGTCACCAGTATCAAAGGTATTTTTATTTTTAGGTGTGACGACCTAAGAGGTTAGAGGAGATGATAGGTCCACTTTTATGAAAGCAATTAATAATTCATATAGGTTAATATTGCGTGGGGAAGAGGTACTCGCTGGTATCAACAGAGGGGTGGACATTGATATACCTGCGTCACCCATTGTGCCCGAAGGTCCATATCCTGTCTCTCTCTCATATGGCATGATCAACACCTCTACAGATCCCATGGCAGGCTTCTGGGACGTGTTTGGTGTACTGAATTCCCGGGCGGGAAAAGACAGCGCTCGCTCTCGGCCTACGTAACAGCCAAGGCTACTTGGTGGGGCCCTCAGCCTCATCGGATATTTCCCCTTTCCTCATGTAGTCATATGCTGCCCTCCAATGCTAGGCTGTTACAGTGCTAGCTCCATACGAGTTTCTACTATCCCCCCCCATGAATCTACCAATCAACCAATCAAGGAGTAGAATTCATCCATTGTTTACTACGAATCAGTCCCTATCCCGTCCACGCCCAACACCGCCCATAATCTAGGGGGCAACCGCCTAGAAGTTGGGGGATCTACCGCCTAGCCTATGGGCGGTTATGCGCCCAACCCCAACCCTAAGAAGACCTCTGGGGAAGAGTACACTCAGTTGTCAAAGCTTGACTAGCGTGTCAATCCTGGGTCTATATTAGCCTTTTCGTAGCTAGGAAGAGAGATGCACAGCTTATGCTGCTCCGTTCTACTTTGTAAAAAGTAAAGAATAACGGTTAATTTGTTTTGGTAGTGAGATGCGTAATAGCTCACAGGTTGGGGGAATGACCGCTCATAAACTAGGTGGTAGATCCCCCAACTTCTAGGCGGTTGCCCCCCAGCTGGAAGGAAAACCGCACATATCTCAACAAAAAAGCGATTCTAACTCCCCACATTGCTACTGTGAACCCATTTTTATGCCAAATGTGATATTATGAAGATTTCTCGTCGCGGTACATCAGGCCTAGTCATGTCCGCATGGCAATGGCGTCCTGTTCTGGATTTCAGAGACCGCGAGCATTGCTACCAGGTCAAAGGTCTGAAGATGTACTTAGCCAGTGGGCTGCAGCAATTTTATTTCAACCTCCTTGATGGCCCTTTCTACCTTTGAGACCTCTTTCCCTTATCTCCGTCTTAACCGACCTTTACCATGCAGGCGACAGGCTTGATCAGCTTGACCTCGATATTGCTCGCCGTTTCCTCTCTCCTCTTCCTCGTCGCCCACACGATTTTAGACGGATCCCATTAATAACCTGAATACTCTCCACAGCGTCAAGGGTGCAACGGCAACACCCCATAAATGGAATGGTGAGATGAGCATGATTAAGAAATCCAAATAAGAAGAGCGTCAAGGGGACCAGCAAGATATGTATCGTGCCATACAAAATCTAGACAAGAGAGACGAAGAGCTGTCTTGTAGCGAAGAACACAGGGTATGAGCCCTTTCGCTTCTGAAAGAAGTTGTGCTGTTTGGCGCTAACGGAACTACAGGCGTTAACGGATGGGGAAAGAAGGAGATTTCAGCAGGGCGAGTCTATCGCAACACATTTATGCACAGCTAAGCCCATTGAAGAGGCCATCACGTCTGATTACGCTCGGCCAAACATGCTTACCCCGAAGTCACGGCGAGTGGCACCCTACAAACCTCACCGGCTAGAAGAGCGTTTGCTACAGATTCTGCTATCCGCCGTTCCACCACAAGTAAGTCGTTGCTCTTCTGACCCATCGCATAGCATGCCATATGGCCCGCCTACGACAGTCAGGGAGAAAGGAAAACGCGGTGACCATGGCCCTTCCCACTCGACATCGACAGGGTCCATGGATTGGATCCGATCAGTGGACCACCCCTAACGGATCAAATATTTTCCGGGATCACCGTCATCGGATCCAATATGTGCCCCGGGGGCCTTGCACTCGACGTGGTTCATGGATTGGATCCGATGAAATCCCCGTCGCCCATCGGATCCAGTCTGTGGACCACCCCGTGAAGCTCTATTGATCATACTCGACATGGTTCATGGATTCCATCGGATCCGATCCGTGGATCATGTGGTCAGGGGGCACCCTACTCGATAGATGTCGATATCCTCGATATGGACCTGTTGAACAATTGATGGCCTATCGTTCACGACTATCCGGGTTATTTTGCAACACTCGCTCACCAGACTGTATTACCGTTGACAGGCAACAATGATGACGTACACTCGTTAGATAGGTATATAGACAGGCTTAATACCACCCTCTGACCGAATTCGATTAGCGCACTCTTTTAATAAGAGAAGTTTGACATCTGTCTATCTGGCAACTGGCCCTGCTAGGTTGCTGGTAATTATACATACTTGGTTGACCCCTTTTCTTCTCCTATTCCTACCCTATATCTTACATAAGTGATAACCCCATTTCCCAATAAAGAGGCACTGGCTACTTGTTCAACCGTTCGACGCCTCCACAGTCTGATCGGATCCAGTCTATGGCCCATCTGGAGGGGGTTTTCCGACTATGTCGTGGCTAACGGGCCCTTAAAGACGCTAAAATGTCTTGTTCATCTGCTCTTTGGCTTGGAACTCCTCTGGTGGAGATTCCATGTGTCATTGTTGTTGTAGTTTTCAGGCAGTGGAAGCATATCTTCATGTTTTCTGTCTATGAAGGCAGAAGAGATATATATACATCGAATCCTCATTTATCTGATTTCAAAGCATCGGAACGTTTCCATGGTCAATTTGTCAGTCAGGCCCTTATATCACAACAATTGTCAAACAATCAGTGGATGTACATTGACTGTTGTTTAAGTGCTCTGGAATTGAAAAGGTGCGGTTACCTGCTAGGATGCAACGCTCCCAGCAGGCTACAACATACATTCATTTAGAGAGCTAGAGAACCCTTTCAATTCCGGAGCGCGCTCTTCAAATTCAAGTTGCACAAGAAGCGAGACAGCTCTCGATACAATGGATAGTCGATTGGTGCTCTTCTATGTAAGACGTCATAATGATACAAGGTTTGTAGCTCATCTAGCAACGCAAGTGACACAATTCGTTTTGGTCCGAGTGAGCAATGAGAGAATCTTTCCTCTAGTAAATGACTCCTGCAGAATCCGTTATCAATTCTCGTCTTCCCATTCTTCTGGGTCTTCCCCGGCGTCGATCTTGTCCAATTGGTAACTGCCACTTTTCTCACCTTCGTCGCCGAGGTACTTATCGAAAACCGCCATGCAGTCTTTGAACAAGCGCTCCTTCATTGGATCATCGTCATTCGTATCCTCGAAATCCGTTAGTTCCTCTTCACTCGAGCTCAGTGCATCTTCGTCGTAATCCCGTTTGTATAAGACACGCCGAAGGTTCCGTGCGCATTTGACAAAGTCTTTGTCTTTGCGATATGGCTGTTCAAAGTGATCAATTATCGACGTCTTGAAATCCACCGCATCCCTGAACCAAAGCAATTTAGCGTTTGCAATATCTGTGGTCGGCTTTTTTTCAATAGCAATTTTTACCAGAGGCTTATTTTGAAAGGCAATTTCATCGTCATAGTTCAGTGATGCGACCCAAAGCATAACGGCAAAGAACGACTCCATATCATGTCCCAAGGTTCTTCGAGGAACTGGTTTGTCCCGAAGAAGACTCGGAGCCATGAATGCAGGAGTACCACTTCGAATGCCTCTGCTGGATGCTCTCCCGTCGGCAGTAAAGCATAGATTCCAGTCAATGAGAGTACCGCGCAGTGTCTCGTGGGTAAGGCCGCCAGTAAGTTGAGTCTCCTCCACCGGAACCATGATATTCTCAATGGAAATATCTAAGAATTCATTAGTGCCGTTCATCGTCTAGCACATTCGTAAACTTACCACCATGAAGAAAACCATGCTCAGGACGTTTGTAGGCCTCGTAATAAACGATCATAGCGTCGCGGATTGTTCGCATGAGTTCTTTCGGTTGAGCATTGCGCATCGCCTCTTCCAAGGGTTGACAATACGAGATGATAAGGCGGGCACGTCGTCTGCGCACGTCGGTACATTCATCAAAATTCTTTTTCTGCCCGTTGACTCGGAAATGGAGATCCTTGCCTGTAGTGCCTGGAGATACGCCGATGGGATCGAGTTTTGAAGTGTGCCCAGATACGAAGCTGGATTTGACCACCTTCATGGTTCGATCCATTATTGCCGCGAGTGCGTTCTCACAATTCGGAGGGAACTCGCTGGTCAATACCTCCGTATTGTCGCTTGACGCCTCCACATTATCGCTGTCTTCTGTGATCGAACGGCACGGTTCATGGAGCTGTGGAAGGCCTCGTACGTTTGCCTCGACAAGAATGCGGAGAACCTCTTCTTCAGGCGGCGGCGATTGGTGTTCAGACTTCTCTTCCCAGGCATCCTTCATAACCCACTTATCGTTCGGGGAGCCCGCAGGATGCACTCGCGTAACCCTGAGATGTCTCCCAAGAACGCAAGGACGGTAACATAGTAAGCTATCGGTTGCTTCAGCCCACTTTATTCCCGCATACTCAATGAATATCGAGCCGTCTTGTTGACGAGCTGTAACATGGGGATCTCGTCCACGGTGTTCGGGTTCCGCGATGAAATCAGCCAGAAAATCCGCGAGGAACTGAGTGTGTTGAGAATTCTTCACAAAATCAAGTGGCTCAGAGTACCCGGCACAGCCATGATCAACATAAGTAATTAAGGCATACGGTTGGAGGAAAAGAATCCCGTAGAGGTAGCGGCGGAAGGGCTGATCATAGAATATATTCCAAGCACTTCGCAACCACTGCAGGAATTTTTCAGGGGCCTTTTGCACGGAGCTTTGCGTATGCTCAAAAACAAATTCCACATGAGCCCAACTAGTACGCGTTTCGAGATGGAAAAAGAAATCTGGTTGCGAAAGCGGCTCCTTACCTCGTTTGGCTTCGGGTAACGTCTTCGAGAAAGAGCTGGATAAGCTGAGGTCATTAAGAACCTATTGACTAGATTAACAGAAGGCCTCCAAAAACACTTCGAACAAAATATAACCTTCTCAGGGAGTGCTTTTTGCAATCGCGGAAAGAACGACGTCTGTTCCCAATCACCGATACCAATATTCTTAACGTCTTGGATGTTGAGCTGCGGTCGATCGTCTTTGTGGTCGAAGGGACCTAGAAAAGTCAAGCGGAATACATCATGGGGGATGTTCTTTCTCGTGATTCCATGTGATTCCGCCAAAATCCGTATTCCTATGTCGTCGACATATACGACATCATCTTCCTGAATCAAACCAGAATGGCCGGCCATAGGCTTGTGAGTCGGTGTCTGTTTATACTGCGTAGAAGTGTTATCACCTTTTGAAAGGGTCCCAGGTGGCGTGCGGTCACGTGCGCGCGTCTGTATTTTTTTTCTCTGCTGCCTGCCGGCGAGGACGCGGTGGGGATCTGGCAGGCGAATTCATCGCCACGGTACGAGAGCGAACTGTTGGATAGAGACGAGAGGTTACCATAGACGACGACGTTACAGATGGTTGCTCCTCGGTTACTCTGATCGGACCTCGACTAGGCTGCTGTTTTAAGGTCGAGATCAGCAGCCATTGGCTATTCGTTCGTAAACTTGTGCCCTGCACTTATGGTCTAGACCACAAATGAAATTTGTTGGCTTTCACACAGTGGAACCCTTCTAATCGATCTTGTTGAGCCGTAAATCCGAGGATATCCGCGTCATCCGAAACATCATTTATCCACATGATTTCGGAGAGTTTGAGACGTTGTCTGATGAGCGAATAGACGGTCCACTCCGTATGACGCTGGTATTGGCTCTTGACTCAGTGTGCGACGGGCCCCGTCTAAACCAGTTTGAGTGAGCTCCAGGGTAGCGTTTGCCAGCAGGTCTGTTTGCTGTAACCAGTCTCTTGTGCCTGTGACGAAGAATGATACAACAAGAAATGGTTTGGTGAGCCCATGTCGCTGAGCACTTTGCCATGCCTTGTAGCTTGCAGCCAGGGGTTTGGCATTAATCGTTTGGGACGCAGTTCGAAGCGCTAGAGGGAGCATTTGCCTGCTCCCATCAGGAGCGTGCATTCCACATAATTTCTATCAACTCAAGGTTAAGCAAGGACTAGTTTTTAAGATGTTGGCAAAAGCTCGTTCGTGCTTCATGTAGTGGCTGCTCATACTAATTCTCTAACAAGGCGAAAGGTTTCCAATCTGCCAGAATCCCATCATGCCGATCACAATCCATATCTTCCTGGAATACTGTCGACGCATTGTCACTTGTCTGGAGGCACCTTTTTCCCTGGCCATCGCACAAGCAACCAACCACAACCGATGAGGCATTTGATGCAAGTAAGGTGTTCGATGCCAATCGGATGGGCGCTCTTGGATGAAAATGTCCGGTAGGGACGTCTTGTAGACTGTGTGGTTGTGTGGTTGGTTGAGTAATTTTAGTACGCTGTTCAGGTAGTTCCAATTCCTACCGTTTCCTGCTTCGCTTTTCAGAACGTATCTTGCAACAACGTGAGTCCATCGCCACTCAAGAAATTCTCAATGACACCAAAGTTGTGAGGTCGGCAACGCTTCCGAGATCTTACACACTTCAAGCATTTCTCTGGCTTTCTCAAAAAGAATAGACACCCTAACAAACACAGCGGTCATCAGTTGGATTCGTCGCGATCTGTGGCGAGATGGCAGTGTGGAGCGAGGTCAGGATCTATATATCTCGTTGTGCATCCACAGCGGTATTGTGGTCCATGAGTTGTCTGGACGACCGTTAGGCTTCCGTTCTACACGAGCAGAGCAGCGCGGAACACTCCAGCACTAATTGGGGACCCCTACTAAAGGATACATGCCCAAACCACCAAAGGTAGCGTCTCCTAAAACTAGACCCCACTGTACATACGATAGATTCATTGGTCACACACTAGCTGCAAGTTCAGATTATTAGGGGCTGATTTAATGTCGATTGACTCAGATGCTGTTTGCTCTAGTTTAGATTCAGAGTTTAGGGGAGAAAGACTTGGATTTCTCCTTACCTTGTTCCTCATTTCAGTCATTTGGATCAAAAGTCAGTCCGGATTCAGCCGATTGATTCTTGAGACAAATAGGCCTATGCAACATTTGGCGTTCCTTGCACCAATCTCATCCACATAGCTAGGCCTGGAAAATGGCCTCTCCGCTTTCCTCGCCCCAGGTTGGCTTCACTTCTTCGCCTCACCAACGAGGCACGCTCGACATCATCTGGTCATGTCTCTTCACTGTCTTCATCTGCACCTGGACTGTAGTGCATCCGAACATCCCTCCACGGAGGTCGCCATGGTGGCACAGGTTGCTCGACCGGCTTATCGAGTTAGTACTCGCAGCGGTGGCGCCGGAACTGATTCTCGCTGTCGCAGTGAGAGAGTGGTTGGATGCCAAGGGATTGGTGATGGCGCTAAAAGATTTCGAAAGGGACAAGAGTGATGAGCCGAAGGAGGCGCAAAGCGGTCAGAAGAGGGGAATTGTTACTGGATTTTACGTTGTGATGCAGGTTCGGTTTGGAAAAGTGACTCACGATTTCAACTTCAATTTCCCCTTCGCCAACAATGACGACGACGCGGAAACAAAGGTAGAAGGCTACCTCAGCATCCCAGACATTAAAGAGCATCTCTGTCTCAACAAATTAAGACTGTCCGCATTGATCAGCGAATCCGAGATATGGGACAAGGGAAATGCTGACAGGCTGATCAAATGTATGCTGGTGTTCCAAGTCCTGGGTTACGACGCAGTGTATTGGCCGTGCGGCGCAACACTTGACCATCACACCATTGGAGATAAGCACTTTGGCATACGTTCCTTTTATGCTACTTTCGTTGGCATTCTGGTGGAGGAAGCCATATAATGTTGAGACACCCACCCTGGCTGACGGAAAACGAACGAGCTACCTTTTGCAAAAATGAAATCCCAGGATTCGAGCCTACTCATTCGGACTAGCGAGGGAATGCTCAAATGATGGGAAAGAGGCGCCAAGACTTTCGTATTCGGAAATAGGAGTTGCTGCCTGGAGGAGCCTGAGAGGTCCAAGCCCCGACAGCCGTATTCATCTCAGAACCTCTCATCTTCTACAGATTCGGCACAAATCCCAACCAGAAAAGGAATCTGCACTGCGACCATGTCGTCAAAGGAAATATACTTCAACCTTCCTTCTACATCCCTTCCCGCCTCAGTCACATTCATCAGCGCCCTCGGTCTCAATAAGAGAAGCGGGTGGCCGGCTGATCATTCGCAGTGCTTCGTATTCCGCGAAGGAGTTGGCATTTTCTACCACGACCACAAAACCTACAAACCCTGGCTCCCAGAGAATGTCGACATCGCAGACGCTAAGAGAGTCTGTGGGTGCATCATTACCTTGACAGCTGATTCAAAGGCCGCTGTGGACGATATGATCAACAAGGCAATCGAGGCAGGGGGCAGCTTTCCAATTATCCACAGGAGCGTCCCTGCTCTTAAGGCAGCATCTGCAATGCCGCCTACATCTCCATGAGACCCTAGAACCAACACCGGCTGACGCTAGTATTATGCCCTCTAAATTCTTTGGACTCATGCATGCACGGCTTGGATTTTGGGTCTTTTTTCTCGTCCAGTGCCAATGCATGAAAAGCATGCTCAGCATCCCTGGGGACTTACTTTCCACAAGCAAGAGGGGTCGCGGTGGTACTGACGTTGGGACACCCAGGGCGTTAGCTTCGTGGGACACCCCTAAATATTCCAAGTCATTGGGAATTCGTCTCCAATCCTCCTTGATCCCCCCCTAACTTCCCGATGCTCACCTCCACGCTTCCGATCCTCCAAATTCTCCTTCCTTGCGAACTAGCTCCTGGAATACAGTTGCAGTCAGCGACCCGTCGTATCTCTTTCGGTTGGATGTAGCAGCAAGATTGTCGTTCACAGGAGCTCGAACCGATTGGTACGCGCTTCTAGCTGATATCTAGGAGCGAAAGGGAACTGAGAAAGTTGTCAAACGTCGCTGATGTTGAATTGTTAATCCATCTTCCGAATCCAGACATCTTGTTGCGTCTGTAGCTGTATTCGTTCTCCCAGTCACTTGGTGCAAGGAAGATTTTGTGTGGCACTCAAATGCCCAACTGTTGAACAATACACGGTACCCATTTATTGGGAAAGGGGTTATCACTCCTGTGCCGGATATGGGGGAGAAATGGCAGAAGAAAAAGGATCAACCAAGCATATATAAATACCAGCAACCTTGCGGGGCCAGTTGCAGATCCTCGCGTAAATGTCAGGGCTGCCAGGGGCAGGTTATCTGCTGTGCCAGAAGCGTCACGCTGTATGACGCGCAACAGATTTTTTGTCCAGGACTTCAGAGGCAGCGAGAGTCCTAGTGTGCTGACCCTGTCAGACTAGCATTCCTGCACTTCCATATGTCCTAATTCATCTTGTCCTAGGACGCACATTCGACCAAGGCCGCTCACCCAGGTAAGGACGCCGCCCGTGGAGGAGCTTGGCCGCCAATCGAACACTACTAACCAAGATGTAAATATATGGGTATCAAACTTCTTGTGCAACTCGAATTGAAGGAGTGCTCTGGTTCTCCCAATGATAAGGACGCGGTCCTGGGGCGTGACCTACCGCAGGAGATATGTCCTGCGCTTCAATGAATCTGGTACTTGGAAATGCAAGCATTATGTACCCGCCATCTCAGAATATCGGACTAATGGTGCACAGAGGCCAGTGCGAAACGCTTCCCATGTCCTGACCGATGCCGACAACGAAGATCCTCAAGCCGCGGCTTTGCTGCCAGGAGCGAATATCCTGACTGCTGCAGCAACCTCCATCCAATCTCGAAAAATATAGGCGATGCTGTGGCTAGCGTCACGAGTTGGTGCTCTACGGTCCGTTTTACGTCAATACTGATTTAGGTACCTGTACCATAGCTTTCGCCGTGTCGACTTCGTGCTTTATAGCTTCCCGCATGTCTTGAATATTTGTCAATCATTCCTTCGAGAAGGCAATGGACATGTCATTCACCAACAGCGGACGAATGAGATTTTTTTGACAGTGCCTCCAATTAGGCACCAGAATACTAGTATCACCACATTTTTAAAAGAACATAAAGATGGTAGTGCCGTACGGAACAGTTTAATCGAGCTTGACTTTCAGAATGGTGACAATGCGCGTCTGGGTTTTCCGATCTCGCGGCACTCCGGCTCAAGTGCTAAAGCTTGAGACCGACCTACTACGGCCAACAGCCAAGTCACTTGGGCCTCGTGACGTGCTCATCAAAGTCAAATATTCGGCGCTATTCCAAGGCATGGCAATGTTGATGAGCCAGATACCTCACTTTGACAGCAAGCCTTGGTTTGCCGAGGGGACGTTCTCCGGGATCGTTGAAGCTGAAGGAAGCCAAGTCGACCACCTCAAACCCGAGGACGAGGTCTTCGGCGGGCTGCCGCCGAATGTCTTCATGAAGTACGGCGGCACACTGGCTGAGCATATCATCCTACCCGATCAAGTCGTCGTCCAAAAACCTCGAAATTTAGCCTTTGAAGGTGCTGGTGGCATTGCTTCAAATGCAGTCACGGCTCTGCAATTTGTCGAAGTGGCGAAGCTGAAAAAGGGTGGCCGGGTTTTGATCACCGGTGCTTCGTCCGGTACGGGATCCATTGTCATCCAGGCGGCCAGAGCCGCTGTGGGGGAGGAAGGTCTTGTCGTCGGGACTTGCTCTGGTGCGAATGAACAGTTAGTGAAATCCCTGGGTGTTCATGAGGTGAGTCCCATGCCCACTGAGCTCTGTGAAGCTGAATCCGAGGACCGAACAATCTATCTAATAATCACTGTCTGAATCTTGTTAGGTCATTGACTATACTAAATGCGCAGTGCTCCATGAGTATCTCGCCCAGCAGTACGGCTCGAAACGGTTCGACGCCATCATTGACATTGTAGGAGGAGACTGGGATCTATACACCAAATCCCCGGCCTATCTCAAGCCCGACAGTACATTTATATTCGGAGGAAACATATCGATTGTCCACGGTGGAGCGAGTTTTGTGTCCGTCGTGTTTTGGCTGCTCAGTATCCGAATTGCCAGCAGACGGCCAGTGATTCTGGGTGGTGTGCCACGAAAATGCCTGCTACATCAGGGGAAGATTGACCGGGAAAACTTGCTGAAGGCGGCCGCCCTGATTGAAGAGGGGAAGTTGAAACCGGTCATTGATAGCGTTTACGAAATGGAGGATGTGCTCAAGGTATAGCATCCGTTTTGGTATGACTAAATGAATCTGACATTGATAACAGGGTTATGAAAAACTCCTTACTCGCCGAGCAAAAGGAAAGATCATTGTGCACGTTCAGGATTAACCACGAGATTCAGAACTCGATCGTCCCGGCTTCGGAATCCTACAGTACACTGTATCGGTGTAAATCGTTGTCACTAGCAGCGGACCATGAATTGGATGGAACACTACCACACTACGCACTTGCTGACTAGCTACGGATACTCAGTTTATTGCACAAGGGAATTCGTATATATCAGACAGCCTTCTCTTTCGTTAACTCATTCACGAAGTGACGTCCTCTGAATCGCCGTATAGGACACGTGGAGCAATTTGCATGATGTAGTTCTGTCATCCTCGCATCTTTCTATTTTGGTAACGAACGAGCCGGAGAGCGTTGAACCAACTTGAAATGGGAAAATTATATCCTCTCACAAAATCATATGTACAAGTGTGTTGAAGATGCTCCGCCCTCATTCGAACATCCATGGCCGAACAAACGGCCACGACTAGAAGCGAAGCCCATTTCAGGCTACCTCAAATCATTACACTAGGCTCTTGATGCCTGAATCGCTCGCTACTGAGATTCTCTAGCAAATATTTCTCGACGGTTGAAATGGAAATATCTTCATCGCAGTGCCTGGAGTAGCGGCGAAGATTTAGAGCAGCCAGGCAGCAAGTCTATCGGGTGGCCTTTCCGATTGTATTTTACACATAGAGGATGGGGGCCATTTTTGAAGGGATAGATGCAGATAATTCACCAGTCTTGGTGATAGTGGTTCCTCTGGAGCGTGGACGATAGTTCTGGTAACATCCTGGGTAAAAAAGAAAATCAGCATTGGGGAAATGGGGACGAATGTAAACATGGGGCCGAGAAAGAGAGAGCACCACGGCTGAAGGGAAGGGAAAAAAGGACGTCCGTGTTCATGAAGGAAATGGGGGGGGGAAAGCCCACCATGATCAAATAGAAACGTGCAACTCAACCAAGCAGGAGGCGGATAAAAAACAGATTGTCAACCAAAAAGAAAACCACCCGGAGACAGAAGAGCGGGGAGAAGTTAGGGAAGAGAGAAAAAGGAAATATTCCTCCGAGTCACGCAGGGTTATATGGGGCTGCCCTGTCGTCTCGAGAGGAGGTTCGTAGTGTTATAGGCAGATTTTTCCAGCTCCGGCAATCATTTTCCTCCTACGTATTGTGTCAAAAGACTTTGTTTTCTTTAAGAGTCCATTGCAGAAAGAAGTCTCATAGTCAACCGAAGGGTATGTCTCCGTGACGAGAGCGTCGACCCCGTCTTCGTCGATCTGAACCTGGAGAAAGGCGAAAGTTTTTATCCATTCTACCGGGCCATGCGCTGCCATACCCATGGACAACCAGCTGTTTGAGTTACCGCCGTTGAAACATTTCCCGGGCCCGAAGTTTGAGCACCTTCTTGACCGGACAAGATCTTCTATCAGCCCGTTCATAAGTGGAAGTGTTTCTCGATATCCAAACATTTCATACATTCTGTCCCACGCCGATGGGGTTCTTCCCCATTTTCATCCAACGGTTTATGATAATTTTCGAAAAAGCGATCCTGAAGATGCAGAATGGTGTCAATGCGGCCTCGGTAAGAAAATGGTCCAAGAACGCTTTTTCTTCGACTTGGCAGGCTTTCCCCTTTCCCGACCAAATCCATGGCATATTGTGCTATGTGGATTCGACTTATTTGCTTTATGGAAGTGGCTTCCTTACACCCCTGCTTTGGGTGTCGAATTTCTCGCTAAGACGATGGAGAAAGAGGTACCTGCTCTTTCGCTGAGGAAGAGGAGTGGAAAGGAAGCCGTGGAGAGTGGCAGCGCTTAGAGACTTTTTCCGAGGTGAAGCGTAGGTGGGAGTCGTTTTCTATATCTACCCGGCAGCCTCGTGGTACCTGTCGACACTGGAGTTTGTGAAAGATACTCTATTCTGGGGCAAAGTCTGTCGTGGGCATGACCGAAGACATGTCAAGTCGTTGGGGGCGAAATAAAGGTCGAGAAATTCCAGATCATCTCTCGTCATGATGTCACCTACGTTCCTCTCAAATGTTGTGTGGCTGCTGAGGGAACGAGTGAGATGGTATCGTATTTGACCCCATTGACAAGCCAGCTAGCATCACCAGACAAAGGATCAGCAGTGCCAAAATCTGAAAGATTCTCTTTCGAAGCTTGAAAGTCAAAGGGTCAGTGGTCACTATTTTCGCTTAAGTGTTGGGAAGCCGTACTTAGAGTAGTCGTGGCGACTATCTGTTGAACAAATGGTAAGCTATGGTTCGCAACAGACCAACTCGTTCTGCGACACTCGCTCATTAGGTTGTATCACCATGGATAGGCAGCAGTGATGACGTACGCTGTGTAGATATAGATGGGCTCTATCCTGCACTCGTTAGGAGAGTCAGTGCATCATTCAAATTCAGGTTGCACAAGGAGTTTGACACTATCAGTCTTTCGAGATAGTTCATGGCACCTTTCAACCATTTTGTTGCCCCACGATAGAGCTGTGCTAGAGCTTTGAAAGTTTTTTCCTGGCCATCTTTGCAGGCCACCTTCGATGGAGCATCTGTTGGTGCCGGGAGAGCCAAAGGGTTGCTCTGTTAGGTGCTATGCGGCGGCCGAGAATGCTCATCTTATCTGCAGGGTCTGTCAGTCACGTGATATTATGTGAGTGTGGCGGGAAGAGAATGTATGAACTAAAACTATCTGCTGGGGGTGGCCGCTTTACTTATATACGTTCCGTAAACGAATGTAGTTTAGCGTAAGCCAGAATCCTCGGTAGAAATCCACATGAGGGCCCCGTTATTGGAATAGGAGGTAAGAATAGTAGAAAAAGGTCATATATGGCAATCTGGCAGGACCGGTTGCCAGACAGAGCAATCAATGTACACCCCCGGATTGTTTGGTAATATCCCTGTTCAACACCACATCCCCCAGGGGAAGCCTTCGGAACCGACCCCCGTAACAGCCTCATAGAACTGACAAGAACAGAGATTATGAAGTAGAAGGGGTCTGTGGAGTAGGTCTGCCCGCTGGACTCCGTCTATTCTTACCTGTGCACTCATGCCAACAATTATGAAAGTTCTGGGGATGCCAAGGAGGACCGAAATGAATGATTGACTAGGTGGTTACAAGTGATGGATGGGAGGCCCAGTGGAGAAGTGCCAAGCCTAGCTCCCACCACAGTATTGATGTTAACGAAAATCACCTTGTCTTGTCAAGTCTATACAAACCCACAGCAGCAAAAAATGAATTTGCAACCACTGAAGCAGGAAAACAAATTGCGCAAGGTCCTACCCGGCTACAAAGGTCAGTATGTTATTTATCTAACTACCGAGCATCATTTCGACTTACGTTCGAACCGGGGTTGCCGGAATTTATTTAAAATCAAAATCCGGAGTGATCACCACTACACTTGAGTGATAAATAGCGTTAGTTGAGAGCCTAGGAAGGGACTCTGGACATGAAACCAACCTATAGAACCAAATGTTTGGCAACAAATTTGTGTCTTCAAATATATAAAGCGATTTTATCTGGGTGGCGAATACCATACCACTAGAAGCATGCTTCCCGAGAATTTAGCACCTTGGCCTTGTTGGAATTGAGGCTGACTAGCCTAATCCATGAACAATCGTGTCCGTTCTATAGGGCAACGGGTATTTCGCCCAGGATCCACTAAAACTTTAATCTGACCAATAAGAGGCCTCCATTCGCCTTTACCTCATACCTTGTCACGTGATTAGCCAATCACCTGTAACCCGGAAAATCTATAATCCGACAACTACCCAATCCTTTGCTCTGATTGGCTAACCCCATCGGATCCAATCCATGGCCCACCCAGGAATGGGTAGAATGCGCCTTTGTCTGCCAGACGCCCTTGATCGAATCCAGTTCATGGATCTGGAGATGTGGAGTGACAGGCCAAGGTTTTGATTACAAGCTGCTCGAATTTGGTCAGTTTGCTGAGAGCTGAGCAAGCTGTTATTGGCCAGACTAGAGTTTTAGTGGATCCTGGGCGAAATACAGTCCGATATGCCGAATTGGGTAAGGCGTATTTAGCGTCTTGGCACCTGGGTGAAGTACCCGTCGCCCACATAGTGGTTGAAGTGGATTACTTATTCGGTTTGCTGGCTAGCCGCACCAGCGATGAGTTATCAATTCGTTCGGCGTAACACGTTCGATGCTTCGGATGCGTGGCTGCTGTCGCAATGAAAGAGAATGCGCCGAAACGATATCCATTTCGATCTAGTATTGCGCACATTAGTAACAACGTTCTTAAAAGATTTTGGTTTTGTTGACCACCAATTATAATGTACTGGCAAATCCCTTGCCGCCCAACATTTTCGATGTCTTCTGGATTAGGTATTTGAGCACTATTCCGGCCGACAGCATTGACTACATGCGTCTTACTTCTTGATTTTTTAGCACACCATTCAAGTTTGTATCAACCAAAATGACCTAGTTTAAAGTGGCGAACAAGTCTAGCTCATAGGAGAAATATATGCAGAATTGTCAAACAGAGGGTGCAAATTGAGGCGTATTGAATGCTCTGTCTATCTCGCAACTGGTCCTGCCAAGTTGCTGCGGGAGTGCATGTACATTGGTGTCAAACTTCTCTTTATTGAGAGAAAGATGCTCTGGCTCTCGTAATGAGTGCAGGATAGAGCCCATCTATATATCTATCTAATGAGCGTACGTCATCATTGCTGCCTGTCAATGGTGATACAGTTTGGTGAGCGAATGTTGCATAATACCCTGGTTGTCAGGGCGGCCCCTGCCAAGACACTAGATACCGGGCGAGACGCAGGCTTATAACCTGCTCATCTCACCCCATCATCGCTTGACTCCTCAAGCGATCGAGTCGATATCATATAGGACTGTCAATTCCATCAATTCCCATTTGAATCACGCTTGCCCTTCCGTTCCTTGGCATTCCTTGATACTGGTTGATCGTGAACGATAGGCCATCAATTGTTCAACAATTGGGCTATGGAGGCTTGCCTATCTGAGACCATCTGAGGATGAATGAGCGACTTAAATACACAGTTACTTGTCTAGGCAGAGACATGTCTGCCTGCGTAGCTCCTGTTTCTCAACGCCCCCTACCACAAATAATAAAAGAGCTCTCTTTCTAGAGCTTGTTATAGTTCATAGACTGTTATTTTTCGTTGTTGTTGAGAAAGGCATCCGTGTCAAGAGGGGATTTATGCTGAACTATAATTGGGACAGTTTTAGACACATTTGGGTGCGTACTATTAACGAAGTGTTGGGGCGAGAGAAGGGGCACGAAGGCTGCGGTGCACGTGACTAGGCTAGGCCTAATGTGGCCTGCCAACACGAAGGACCCCCCTACTACCGAGATTACTCGCGAACGAAAATCCTAATTTCTATATGCGGTTTGATCCTAGAGGGTGAGCGAAGACCGCTTTAACCTGAGCTTTGACTGAGCCTTTAGCTTATGATCACTGAGCGCGCCCTGAGCACTCTGTGAGCAATACGGAGTACACCGAGGGCCTAATCTGGCCCTCCGGCAATCGGCTAAACCCGCCTCTCTGCGAGTCGGCTAGGCATCTATCTCATCTTACTGATAGTGGCTAAACGAGCTTCTGGGAACAAAGGGGCGCTTAGCAAGGTAGCCGAATTTGGGGAATTCCGCGAGCTCGAGCCAAGTTTGAAACCTTTTGGGCAGACATCGCGAGATCCGCGATACCTCTTGTCGCTGATTGGCCATCAATTGTTCTGTGATGGTTAAAATATCACACAATCGTTTTGACTTGATCACAATGACACCAAGTTGCTCGCTCGCTGGCCGTCGTCACAAACATGCCATACTATTCTACAAAGCGGACCACTGGTACCTCGATGGGCTAATGTGTCTATTTAATGACGAACCCCCGACCTAGCCTCATGACAGGTCGTTGTGACGGGGAAGCTGGGGAGCCGATCCTCGGTGACAGAGTTTCACAAGGGATGAGGACCGTGATGACCACCATCAAGGGCGAAGAAGTTGTTAAAACATCTTAGAGGACTGTCGGTGCCAGGTGGCCAGCAAGCCTGTCGGACACTTCATACGATAAGCTGAAAGAGAAGCTCACAGTCCTGGTAAAGCAAGTCCTCAATATCCCTTGCCGGTCCCGCAAGCTCCCTTCAACCCAGAGTGGCCGTCACATCGTTCTGGACGTACAGCGGCAGACACCATTAATCGACAACAGAACACAAAGGCCCTACATAGACAACACAATCCGATCGTGTCGCTACACGACCTGGAACTTCTTTCCTCGGCAACTTTTCGCCCAGTTCTCCAAGCTCGGCAATTTCTACTTCCTCTATGTCTCTATCGTGCAGATAGTACCTAGCGTAAGTACAACTGGACGCTTTACCACTCTGGTTCCGCTTCTTTGCTTCGTCGGGTTCTCCATGTTAAGGGAGGCGCACGACGACTTGCGAAGATCTCGGCTCGATGAAGAGGAGAACAACAGAACTGCATCCGTATTTCGAGCTTCGCAAACAATTCTACCAGCTCCTGGAATCGACCCAGAAGCAGGAGGGCATTGGGCTGAGACTAAGTGGAAGGACATCAAGGTCGGCGACGTACTTCGAATTCAGCGCGACCAGGCAGTGCCGGCCGATATGGCTTTGTTGACTGTTGTGGAGGCCATGAGCCTACCAGGTTGTGCTGTAACAGTGACGTACACTCGTTAGATAGGTATATAGATAGGCCCACTGCGCCCTCTGACCGAATTCAATCAGAGAATTCTTTCAATGAAGAGAAGTTTGACAGGTCATCTCGAATGTGATCGGTAGAGCTTGTCTGGGTGGTCCACACACTGGATCCGATGAAATACCACGGCCCGTCGGATCCGATCCATGGACCATGTCGATATCGAAGCTCGTCCGTTAACGTTCCATAAGAGCCATTTCGAGCGTAATCAGTAGGGCTTGTGTCCACTCCTTAACATTGAAAGAATGTTCTGTCTATCTAGCAACTAGCCCTGCCAGGTTGCTGATATTTATATATGTTTGGTTGACCCCTTTTCTTCTCCTGTTCTTACCCCTATATCCTACATAGGAGTGATAATCCCTATTCCCGGCAAAGTGGCACTTGCTGCTGTCCAACCGTCCAACAACCATCAATTGTTCAACAGCTTGTCTAGGCGGTCCACGGATTGGATCCGATGACGGGGCGCCAAAGGGGAGGGCGGCTGTTATTCTGTACACCGGCTACAATACCCCCACAGAACGCCACAAACACTACGTAAAAGGCTCAAATTTTTGCTAAATCGTGTGCAGACATACTGGTTTAGTAGACATACATCTTTTCAGCTTTCAAATCGATCAAATATTCTTGCAAAATGGTAGCAAAATAAATGCTGTTCTAGCGTAGTGATCCACCCTTTTAATAGTTGTACGTCGTACCCTTTAGCGTACGAAACGCAACTTTTTCTACAACGACGTAGGAAAGCTCGAAGTTTTTTTAGTTGATCCAATTTTAATGCCACGTAGTAGCTATATTAAGAGTTACAGTATTCTCAGAACACTCATTGTTGAGATTTTGGCAAATTCAATGTTACGAAAAGAGTGTACAAAATAACAACCGCCTCTAGAAAAAGCTCCTGTCGAACAGGGTTCTCATTGAACGGCCGAATAGTAGCAAGTGCCCCTTTGTTGAAGAGGGGTTTATTACCCCTATGCAGGATTTAGGGCGAGAAATAGGAGAAGAAAAGGGGTCAAACTAACGTGTATATATACTAGCAACCTGGCAGGACCGGTTGTGAGGTAGGGAGAGCATTCAATACATCTCAAGTTGTTCCCCAGTTCGACAGCCCCTCTACATATGCCACGAAATAGGGGTTCTTGGCACTAGGTTCCTGTTAGGCCCCAGCTGTTCGACAACATGAACTCAAGTAAGACGAGGTCCCCAAGAACCATGCTTTCCATTACGGACCTTAGATTAAGCTCTATCAACTAATAACACTTCCCATGATCGCCTGGGGATACCCTAAAACATGGCGTTCCGCTGTACACAAATAGGAAAATAGTGACTTCAATCGAGACAAAGTACAACGTTCTCCTGGTCAGTGGGCCTTTCCTTAGTGGCCTTGGCAGTGGTCGTTTGGGGCGAATGTTATTCTCCGGTCTTACTCCCCCTGTCAAGAGGTGACCCCCTGTAAGACAAACATGCCAGGCCAATCAAGCTGGTACCCTTCGAATCGCCTTACGAGGAACATGTTGACTTCATGCCTCCTCAAAGTGCGATTAGTTGGCGTTATATGGACTGCCTCGCTGTCATTTACATCATTCTCTAGCTTCATATCATTACGATTCCACTATGGGGCACTTTAACACCTCAGTGGTTCTGTTTTGGGTTGCGTCTGAATTACGGTCTGTCTCAGATAGTGAGAGCTAAGCCACCCATCCTTCCGGCATGGATGAGACTTATATCTTTCTAATACGTTTCGGTCGAAATTGGCAATAAGCGATGCTAAAGTAGTACAAGACAAAGTTGTGGGGCTCGTCAATACTAGAAGCGGAGCTGCGATAAATAAAATATGTAGGTTTAAGATTACTATGGTGGCCTTGTGTGCTCGGTATCCACCTCTCAAACACAGGCCTTTTGTACAGCAAAGAGATTAGAGTCGCAAGTATATAAATGGTCAACAGAAAATCTCGTTCGGCTACTGTTCGTCCAGATGTAAAATGATCAAACCTCCATAATGGCAATACTCGCCGCAGTTTTTCTCTTTCTTTTGGGTGCTTTAGCGGCACCTGCACATACAACCTCCGAGTCAAAGTACGAGCCGATAAAGCCTCGACAGACATGTGGCCATGTTATTGATGGAGTAGGAACTTTCATGGAATCGGCGGTATACACATTCGAAGGCGACACTCTACCTGCTGGCTTATTGGCATCCACTGATCAGTTGATTCCCGACGAGCAGTGGGGTGCCCCATTCAACCACTTTTTCGACTCGTCAAACGTGGCTGTCCAGGATGGATTTGCAGAGGTCAGAGTTCCCGGTGGTCAAGATCCTAGCTCTGACCCTCAACGAGCGATTCATTCGGGTGAAATATTCACATTAGAATCCCAGATTCTCTACGCAAGTGTGAGAACTGCTGCTATATTATCTACCGAACCAGGAACTTGTCAGGGTCTATTCTTTTACAAGTCCGAAAATCAGGAGACGGACATCGAATACCTCTCTGATATTAATTCTCTTTCCAATATCGGCTGGGAAGACGGCCCTCCACCTTTGCATTACACAAACCAGGCCGTCCTCGAGGGAGGAGAGAAGTCTTGGACTCGAGGACCAACACCGGCGGATGTCTCAAGTGTCCACTGGTATAGGATCGACTGGACGCCAGACTATACGGCATTCTTTGTCGATGATGTTGAGCAGCGTCGACACACCGAGAATGTTCCCAGCGTCCCTGGAACATGGTTGTGGAATAACTGGTCGAATGGTGATCCAGGGTGGAGCGTCGGACCTCCTCTTGGGGATAGTGCATTGAAGATCCAGACGATTGAGATGTACTACAACACTTCCTCGAGTTCTACCGGTTGTTAAGCGCTATTTTGTCTGTCGCATGCAGTAAATCTTAGCTACTAGTTTAATTCTGGCCATGCACTACCACAACAGCCAACCTCGCCTACACTTCGCCAATACTTACCTAGATTCAATAAGACTAATAGGTGTCTGTCCTTACCGCACTCAATCTCTCCTGCTGGCTTTGCATGCAACTGTAGCACTATTACTTCGGATTAAAGTGGATCGACCCGAATTATTTCAGTTTGTAATGGATCGGGTTGTAGCACGGCAGTTAGTGTTGATTGGGAGCTAATTAGAGTGACAGGGGCCTATTTTGGCCTCAGAAGTGGAGACAATTCCTTCCTGTACTCCACCATGCGTCGAATTGACGATATTACGGTGCAGGCTGAGTCTAAAGAAGGATTGTGAGAGGGCCCAACAGTCAACATAGTAGCTCCTTTAAACAGAGTATGACGACACCTTCAGTCCTCACTGCTTTGTCTGGTCTATGATAAACAGATTGCCAGCCTAGCTGAAGGAGCATATGTCCTAGGCAATAAGAGATCTTGTATGCGCACAGAGTAACGTGTAACCAGGTTCCCATTGCAGTACCTATATCCAAATCCAAATTTTCAGCGGAAAGGAGACTTAGGGATTTCCCTGCTGCGTCTGTTGTATTGCTGCCATGATCTTCTGTGTGAAATCCGTGGCTGTCTTGCTATCAACAAACTCAAGAATGTGATCAATCATGGTTCCATCTTCACTGACAGTCAAATTCCAAACATAGGTGTTCTCATACACTCCCGCTACGCTCTCGGCTCTACTCTTGACGTATAAAACTACCTTCCTAGTCTGTTCATCGATCACAGGCTCCCTGTCGTCGACAGTGAGCTGTATCCCTTTGGGCAAAGCAGCTAGGATGCTTTCCCTCCACATTGTAAGGTACTCGTCATTGGTGTATTTGCCGGTCATAGCAAAGGAGTCGGGCTTGATTTCGTGGATACATGATGGGCTGCGTATTTCTATGACCGCCTCAGGGCTCTCTTTGTTGAAGTTCGTGATGAAGGTGGTTGCTGTGTTGAGCAGTCGGGCCCTGGTTGGCGCCGCCATTCTGTTTCTCTCTTGACGCGGACAAAGGGCCACTGGCTTGTTCTGTTCTGCTGTTTGAATGGATATTAATAATGATGGCTGAGAATAAGGGTGAGATTTTGGCACGAACAGCATCATCCCCCTGGAAGAGAGTAGATGAACTCTTTTATACATCTCTGCTAGTTTTCAGTCCCCCTTCCCTTCTACACGTCTTTGTAATACTGGGCTTGGTGCTCAGCGGCTAGACTACTCTATAGGACTAACACAAGCCTTGGCGACAGATAAGCTGAGATGTCACGCATACTTTTTAACACATTTCTTTTTCCGATTATATAATTTCTCAAGTCTGAAGTAAGCGACTTGGCTTGACAAACGACTGTTCCCTCTTTTGCGCCTTCCCGTCTTTCGGCCACTGTCCGTCCCTTCGTTTCGCCTTCCCTCACCTCCTTCCTCATATCCCATTATAATAGAGTACCAAAGCCTCCTTCTAGCATCCTTAGGCTGGCGAACTTTCCTCTCGACTGCCACGCTTCTCCAAGCGGTGAACCTACCTCTACCGCTTCCTGATCATTTCGGATTGTCGCCACTTCCAAGATCCATATTCCTTTGACATTGCTCAAGGGCCAGCCCCTTTCGTCATTGAATACATCAACTGACTCTACAGGCCTAATTCACGTGTGGTCGTTTACCTTGACCGACTCTTCTCCGATGAACCAGTTTTCGGGTGATGAGACCGAAAGCAGACAAATCCAGCCTCGCTTTGCAAACCCAGCCAACATCAACCTGTCTCAATCTGCTTGCGCAGCCTGCCTTTGCACTTGTTCCACTGAATAGTGTTCTGAGCATTGTCGTCGATTAACCCTCTCTTGTTCATTATGGTATACTTGTATTAGATTAAGAGCGGCCACCCCCGAATGTGCCTAATCATGGGACGGGTCTGTCTCTGCCCTGTGCGTCTTGGTCGCTACGCGCCATGCGGGAGTAGATGTCGTTGCAGGGTCGAGTACCAGCTAGCCTCCAATTGCGACAGTGTCAAGGTAGAGCTTCGTCAATCGAGCCAAAGCGAATCTTTCTCAATTGTTGCCATATAGCTGACAAAGATCTAGGGATCATTACTGAAGGGGTCGGTAGACCATATCGTTTATCTCCGTTGAAAGAATACTATAGAATTGCTATTACCAACAGCAAGCACCAATGGAGACGACTGTGTCAACACGTGGCAGCAGAGTGCTGATTTTGCCATAAGGAGGCCGAGAGATCGTCTTCGGCCTCGCAGAGAGTCGTTGCCATACCTTGATTGCCTTGATGGACTGGGCTGTTTGGCTTCTTTTTTTCTATCCCAGTCTAATATCAGCTGGAACGAATCCCTTCCACGGAAGTTTAAGGATTGTATCACCGACTTGTCTGGATATTGGCTGAATCGGTCGGACGAAATGTACCGCTGAATATCCTAACCGATGCTGTCGACAGAACCAATTTGTTTGGAAGAGGACCGCATATATCAATGATAATCAGCCCAGCTGTATTCAAAATCCCCAGGTGTGCAGCTCCAATACCTTATCACCCGATTGCATTACCCATGCTCTAGACGCAGGAACTTGGGTGTGATCGTGTTTTCAGTGGTTGGAGAGGAGCATGACAACGTAGTTAATAATTCCCTGGCATTGTCTGGATGTCATCGAAATGGTCTGAAGGAGAGTGAACCAGCCTCTTGTAGTGTACAAAGTCCCCATGGATAGAAAACCTCGTCAACGTCAGGAACGCACGTTGAGTTTCAAAAGTCGAATTCGAAGTTTAAGTGGCATGAAGACTGCCGCCGAATCGTATGTATCGACGGCCCACCGGGGTGGCTTGCATTAGTGAGCGTGCTGCTTTATGAAATCATCCGTGACGTCAGTTTCCGCGGAATCGGCCAATTTGGGGCTGAGTCCTTGAACCTGGGAGCGAGCTTTGTCCTGATTCTGTAAAGTCGTTGCCGGGAAATCCGCCTGCGGTTTAGGCGGTCCTGCCGTTTCGGGTATGATCGCGGGCTGGGCGCGCCGCCGCTTTTGACGTCTATAAGAACCCTCACTTCCTTCCAACTTGTTTTCCTTTTCTCACCTCCTTCGCCTCGCCCCATGCACTCCGATCACCCTCCCAGTCCTCGATCGGCGTGCCCTTTGCGCCCCCTCGACGCAGCCCGTTTCGGCCCCCCTCGAAGCCTGTAACTCCTACGTGACACATGGGGCTCCACCGGCGGCACAACCTGCAGACTCAGCTGATCCCGTCCATCATCCGCACCTCCAGCGAGGGTCCCGTGGGGGATCCGCGATGGTGCGTCTCCTTGCCCCTTCTTGCGGGAGTGACTACGTGTGATGGTCTCCTCTGGCGTTGGTTCCAGGCGATTTGCGAACGCCTGAGAGATCATCGTCGACATCGAACATCCTCAATCGCTATGGTTGACACCCAACTCATTGTGCTGCACCTTTGATGCCAGCTCTGCATCTTGAAGCTGGTGGAGAATGACAAGGAAGACGGCGAAGTGCGGTTAATCTTTCAGTCCCTGCCGGCACAGCAAGCTGAGTGGCGCACCTGTTGCGTCGAATCGCGAAAATGCCGCACGAGTTGATCGGCAATGTGCCTGCATTGCTGCCTGCGCTCCGCCTCAAATATGCAACATCGAGTTGGGGATTCTACCCTCCAGGTTCGGCCCTAGGCGGTTCGGGAATCAAGGGGTTGCCATCCAGTGACAGGGCCACGTCAGCATGGTTGCGAATGGATTCTTAGCCATCTTCTGTTTTGAGCCGAATGCAGTACTGTGCTTTTCGCAATACGGCCTCAGAACGGTATCACGCAAGAGAAAATTGGGAATGCAAATATTTGCAAACACACGATTTACTCTCGAACGAGCGCAGACGTCGGTTCTCCATCCCAGATGAAGAGTCCATCGGCTGGCCCACGGGCAAGCGGATGTATACTTGTGAGGCTGGTCATAAAGTACGAAGAGAGACTGCGGGATCGTCAAAGGACGACTGAAGGTAGCCGTCCTCGCCCTCAAGGATGCTCTCATCACCCTGGGATACTCAGGACCTTGGAGACCGAGCCAGCGCCCCATACAGTCTCCTTGCTCTCGAGACCACCTTCCTAGTGGTCAATGCCAGCCGCAGGATCACTGAAGCCATTGTGTCCCACGACGTTTCGGTGTTATGACCTGCTCCACTTCGTCGCCCGTATCGGTCTACACCTCCACGCTGCAAGAGACTCTGGAAACACCAGCAGTTCACACATCCTTACCTGCAAGGGTGTGAATTCGGCAGTTGTGAAAACTTCAGCTGCGCTCTGGGAGAGGCAACGCGGGATGGTTGTTTGAGTGGTGCTGGCTTGTCTATATATATGGCGCCAATTCCTGTCTCATTCTCGACTCTCAAGACAACCGTTCTTCCTTTATATCCTTTCGAAATCGTCTTCAACCGTTTTGCTCATCTTTCATCGCTCTCCAGTCATGACGACCTTCATCGCATATCAACCGCAAAAAAATGCGCCGTCCTTTAGAGGCCGCACCTTCAGCAAATCCTCCGCGGTCGGCCTCCCTTGTTCGGCGTCGAGCGGACAGAGCACAAGATCTCCTCAACAAGCGACATCTGTGAACAATGCGGATTTCGTCGATTTTGTGGACTTGACCGCCCCTCGCCTGGACGCCGCGCGAGAGTATCTGGTGGCGCGAGATATTTTGGAGCCAATGAATCACGATTCCGAGGAGAGTAGTATCCACGCTTACAGAGCTCGCAGCAGCGGCGCGACCGACAACGAGAAATCTGATCACGGCGAGAAAGGCGACAGAGAAGACGACGGCATTGATTGCGAAAGCGAAACTAGTGACCTCCCGTCTCCCCGGGACCTCTGCGCGTGGAAGGGCAAACAGTTTGGAAGAAGGAACGTCCTCAACCTTAAGGCTTCCGCATCGCCCGCCTCCGTCATCAGGACCAGCGAGGAGCGTGGTAGCGAGGACGTCAGCGAGGATAGTGTTAATCCCGACAACCCCCCTGACAATCCTCTTGCTACGACCGTCGGGGGTGCCTGCGGCACTCGGCTTGGAACCAGCCAAGGTGAGTGATAGGACGCCACGGCGCACGCGCGCGTAATTGATGTATGCGGACACATTTTCCTTAGACAACCCAATTGTGCTGGACGATGACCAGCAAATTGATACCCACGATGCCCTCGCCTCTAACGACGAAAAGCCCGCCTTCGAAGTGGCGAGCCCGACAACCTCCAGCGACCCCTCCCTGAAGTTGTATGGAGGAGGTGCCGAGCGAGGCATGGACGATGGAAAGAGCATTCCAGACGGCACGGCGCAGGGCGACAAGGACGACCGTGCAAGTGACGAGGAAGAAGGAGGAGGCACAAAACCACACGAGGATGACGCTCTTCACACCCATACTCTCGCCGCCAACGGCAATGGTGGTATCGAGTGCTGCGGCAGTGGCACAGGTTCAGATACACCGGCGTCTGTTGGCCGTATCCACGACGTCTTTGCTGAGTACGAGGAGACCTTCGGCTTGCCTAAGTCAAAGCAAAAAGTGGCACGGTCAACTGTGCATGATTGCCCAGAGAGTGGGACCATAGCAGGCTCTCTTTCACGCCCAGTCAGTCACGGAGAGCCACGAGTGTCTGCAGATGACGATGTCGCGAAAATTGAGCAGGCTGCGGAGGCAGCAGGTGGTGATGCTGCGCGCCTTTCGAAGAGAGAGATTGAGAATGGATCCACATCGCGGTCCAGACAGGAAAGCAATGAGCAAGAGACGGAGATTGTCCAGGTTCGGTCTCAGTGTGTTGCCACTTTAGCCGGCGGCTGCCACTCGCGTATGCACTATATCGGCGTTGTTGAGCCTCGTCCCAGTTCTGACACGCAGGATCACAGAAAGTGCCTTTCAACGAGGTCCGCCGACGCCGACTTCCATGACTACAAAGGAGGCGATCCGATCTAACGCTAGCGCTGTCACTCAGGGAGGACGAATTCGAAAACGATCTTGGTCACCTACCCCACCCACAGTTCTTCCCGACGACGGTGTTCCTCAGAAACGCCCTCGCCGCGCAACGAAGGAGACGTGGAAGGCGCGAGAAGCAAGGGAGGCAAGAGAGGCCCAGCGGTCTCAGACATCATTGGGCCCATACCGGAAGGAACAGGCTCTCTTCGTGGGCCTTGATTCCGCTAGGGGTGAAGTGGACCACAGGGTGGCAGACATCGAGGATGTGTATCTCGGGGAGGATGGTTCCATCCAGTGCATTGTCAAATGGAAGTCATCGTTGATCTCGCTCGAGAACGTGGTTGGCAGAGAGCTACAGTGACGATGCGAGGAGCTGTTCAGGAAGAGGTATGGCTAAAAGGAGCTGCAGAGGAGAATGGGCGCTATTAAGCAGCATACTAACAAGAAATGAGGACTGGGAGGGTGTTTGTCCTTGTACGAGAATTATGACCTTATATTACTGTGGTGGCATTGTGTTTTGTGTCGCTAATGTAGACAGTGGCAAACATCCAGTCCCGGTCAGTAGTTTTACCATGTTTCACCAGCCATGTCTCGTGCTGATTCCCCGGTTCGCACCTCGAAGAATGTCCAAGTATTTTTCCATGCACGAGAGCTATCTTCAGGCGCCCGCGGTGAAGCATTGCGCTGGGTTTATGGATCAGGCAGAGCATGGCACTGTTATATTACAGGGTTCTTCAGGTCTGTTCTTTGTACTCCTGGCGCATCTTGTTTCCCTTTGGCATAGATGGCATTGGCCACTTCCCAGATTTTTTGCGATACATGGCTGCGAGCTGAGGCCGTTCATAGGCACGGCGGTCACGTCACCCTCGGCCTTCTCGTAATATTCTTTCAAAACTGTCTCATCGTCGAGTTAGAATCTTGACGGATTGTTGCGAACCTGCTTTCCAGTCACAGAGATAGTCTGCCGTGCAGAAGGCAGGAGCATGTCAGCTTCTCTTTGCAATATAATTTGAAACCCCGGAGGTATTTAGTTTCGCAAGGACGTCAGGGTCTCTCTGGGCTTCAGAGAGTATCGACATCATTTTTGATAGAGGGTGGTGAGACATGCAGCTGGCAAGGAGACCATCGATCAACTGGTGTGACGGCAACGAGTCGCCAGCGAAGCAACCGTGCATTCTTCATCTGAGCGTGAGAAGTAATGATCATAATGAGCAGCGCAGATAGTCCGGGAGGAAGGCAAGTGCTGGAGGAACCGGCAGAAAGAGCACAGATATGTAGAGAAGAAGAAGCAGGGAGAGAAAATTAGAGGGTCACGTCCGGATTATACCCGTCGACACCTGCCGATGGCATCGCCTCCTGCCCTCCACCTCCTCTCCAGCAAGGGTAAGGCCTGTGAATAGGAAAATCAAGCGGACCAGCTCAGGTGAATGAGCCTGCGACGCTTCCAACCTACAACCGACTGCTTGCGGTTCCGCAAAGCCGCCAATATGCACATCGACAACATTGTCACCCTTTGAATGAATTGCTTGTTGTCACCATCGACCTTGGTCTTGTCAGACTCGTTGGAGGATCGGGCAGATTTCGAACGATTACCTCCCATACGCAGGCTCTGTACTGGGTCTATTTCGTCCTCGTTCTCATCGTTCCCATCGTTCCAATTAGGGTGCCACCCCATTACTGACGTCCGCCAGTAAACCTAGTATCCCTCTAAGTCTAACTTATAAAGCCTTAGCATCGCCGCTTCGAGGGGATGTGGATCGACGATAGTTTCAAACCGGTCTTCCCAGTCACCCTCCCAAAGACCGTCCATAAAATATGCTGCGTACTCCCAATACCTAGGATACCACCCAGACAGTTCCCAATCCACGATGCCAGTCAATTGAAATTGCCTCTGATTATTATCATCGGGGTCCGTTTGCTCTTGCACTAATATATTTTGTCGAATCAGGTCACAATGTGTAAAAACACTCCGCTGATCCGCTAAGATCCGCATAAAGTGCCGTTCGAACCACTCGGAACTCAATGGCCGTCGATCATCGAGTTCATACTGCTTCTTCAGTTGGAGCGCCATGCCACGATGGAAGTCCAACGACGACTCGAAGGGGCCGACGATGAGACTCCTGGTCCATCCAATTGAAGAACCTATGCGGAACAGGCCCTCCCTCGGCGCTGCCGAAAATGTCCGGTGATGGTATTGAGCGTACTTTGGTAAAACCACTTCGTAACTGGTTGCAGATAGAGCTCCTTTCAGTCTCTGACAGTTCATCCCATACGTCTCGAAGATTCTGCCCTAGAAGGAGTTGCATCACGAGGTAGAGAATACCGTCCTCTCGATACATTGCGTATAGTCGCGGCGCAGGGATAGATGGGCAAAACTTTTCTAGAAAGAGAAGCGCAGTCCCTTCATTTTCCGTAATGTAGCGCCCATACTTGATAATGAAATGATCTCTTATTATTGATACTCGTCCAAAGTCGCTGCCATAACTCTCGCGTTTCGTAGGGATGATTTCGGCGGCTCGAAGCTCGCCCAACGTTGGAGAGTCCGTGGAAGCTCTTGAGGGTCCCGAAAGTATGGAAGCTCGGTGGTAAAGAGATTCGGATTCGTAACCATGTGGTAACGCCGAAAAGCAGTGTCAGGAGCTGTCAAACTTCTCGTGCAACTTGAAATGAAGGAGTGCTCTGTTCCCTATCTACCTATCGAGGTGTTGAGGCTCCTTTTATAGACACACGAATGCTACACTGTTGCACAGAGCAACCATCTGTAACGTCGTTGCCCATGGAGACCTCTCATCATCCAACACCTAGCTATCCGCAGTGTGGACTGTCACGTAGTGTTGGGTGATTGAGTCACGTGCCATATTCTTGGCTTGGCGTGTCACCGTCGTGTCACCCCTACGGTGTTGCCTGATCTTGGCTTCGCTACGATGTCGCCTGAGGCAACTTGCGCTCCCCAACCTTTTCTACTCATTCGTGCTCTGGGCAGTCCAATCAATCATTCAACGGGATTGAACCATCTTCTCATCGATTAATCCATCACCTCTTTTAATCCATTACCTCTGTCGCCGCTGTTGCTTACCGCTCCTACTCTCCGTCTTCTCCCCTCTCCCTCCGCTCCCTACCTCTCTTCTCGTCACGTTCGGCCATTTCAGGTAGCATCACTATGAGCACCCCTTCAGAACCAGACACGGGGTATACCGGGCCAGGCTCTCAAGCTGCCCAGGTAAAACCCGTTACACCGGAAAAGAAGCCAATAGTTCTGAATATAAGGGAGATGAATAGGCTGTACAAATGCCTGGAGAGAAATTACCCGAAACAGTTGGAAGAGCAGTTACAAGATATAAGTATAGACGAGGTGTGTAGGTGGCTGGAGGAAACCGATCCGGAAGAGTACAAAAAGCTGCAGCTCCCGAGTCGGGCGAAGGAGGCCACCACCAATTTCGCCTCCCACGTACTGACCTCCCCTCAGAAAAAAGCTATCTTCCATGCCTTGCAAAAAGATTGGAACAATGCCTATTTTCCGCACTCCCTAATTGCGCTACGGGACCTCATTCGGCGATACCAGCTACTCGATGTGAGCAAGTATTACGCAAAGACCTTGGTATTCGTTCAGAGCAGCGGTACGGGCAAATCAAGATTAGCGGATACTTTCGGTCAACTCTGTCCCATGATCAACTTCATTCTTCGTGAGCCTGGAACTTCCGGCTTTCCACCTCCTGATAAAGAGATACTGTCATTTCTGCGTGAGAAGCGGCCAGACAACATCCCCGGGCCCACCAGCCAGCACGGGACATCTAGTGATTTTCTGGAGAGGAGAGCGATCGTAGCGTGGAATCATACTCTCGCTGCAGCATTGCTCCAAGCCAGTTTCGAGATATGTAAATTGCTAATGGCTTTTTCACCAAACTCTCGCTAATTAGATCCTGTCAGTGAATATCTGGGTGGAGAGCAAGCCCTTTAGCGAGATGACTCTAGAAAAGCTTGCAGGTGACAGGCACGCAGAGATGGCACCGCTTGCACCAGCTACCGATGCTAACGACACTCAGAACCAACGCTCCAAGATGCGCATCGAGTTCTGCGAATCGGTAGCTAAGAGAGCTCGGGCTATCGCCAACGATTTGATTTTCAGTCCGGCCTGGGTCGAGAAGTTCGACGATGACCGCTCCTCAAGCATTCGTCGTCGATTCGAAATAGCGTGGACAGAACCCCTCGATCCCTTGAACGGCCTCCTCAATGCTGCCGAAAACCTGATCAACAATATTCAGCAATGCCGGAACGTAAGTGACACTAACTCACTCTTGGTCATCGTGTTCGACGAGGCGTCAAGTTTGATAGAAAAGGGGTTCTCTGGTGAACCACGCACCGGACTCTATGTGGCGCTCAATCGAGTCATCAGTTGCCTGAAGAAGTTTCGTGTGTGGTCCTTCTTCCTCTCAACAGAATCTCTTATCGGACACCTTGTCCCGCCGAACAATATCATCCGAACTGGCGATTACTCTCGCGACCGTTCCGCTCGTGAGAGTTTTACACAGCCCGCCGAACTGATGCGCTTTCCCCCATTTGTGAGTCTCCAGCTCGACATCGAGGACCGACGAAGGATGCAGAATCCCATACTGAGGAAAGAGGAGCTCGCCAAGTCGTTAAAGAAGTTTGCGGACCTCGAGCACATGGCTCTATTCGGTAGGCCTCTCTGGTACGCATATATATGTCAGAAACAGAATATGATCGACGTGGCCAAATTGAAGCTTCTGGGCGGCCAGCAACGATCAGAGTACAATGATCTCGACCCGAACCACGTATTTGCTGCGCTGTCCTTTCGTCTCTCTTTGGATGTCTGCCGGCAGAACCCCGCCACTCTCTCCTTTACAAGGGAGGCGGTGAACTCTTTTATGAGAGTGGTTATATCTATGGACCACGAGACGGGAATGATGGACACAACGACGCCATCCGAACCAGTCTTAGCAAAGGCAGCAATGGAGCATCTCTGCATCGAAGGCCGCTGGTCGTTGAGCATTTCCACGCTCTGTAAGGTGCTTCTTGAGAAAGGATTGATCGAGAAGGGGCGCAAAGGAGAACTCTATGCTCGATTAGTGTTGATCCTTGCACACGACTGGGTTCGGTGGGCTCGTAAACCAGTATTTCCACCAACCTTTACGGTATGCGACTTTCTCATGGCATTATATGCTAGCGATCATCACGATTCAATTCGAAAGATACCTGAGCAGACACTGGGAGCTAGAATGAACTTCACTCATTTTCTATCGACTGATACACAACTTACCCCCGAGGACATTCCTGCATTATGTCGGGACCTGTTACGCCGGAGCGCTGCGATGCAGCTATGTTGGAACCAGGAAACGTACGATATACTGATTCCCGTATACTATGGCACAGAGGATGAGACGCTCGACCCTTCGAATTGCGGAGTCATCGTGGTACAGGTGAAGAACAAAGAGAATGCCACAACACCTCGAGAGATCTTCGAGGAGGAGTTTATCAATGACAGCCCGAACACGTCGAATTCGGGCAAATCGAAGGAGAAGAGTTCTGATCGCAAGCCGATGAAATTTGTGTTCACTCAGATGGCGAACCCGATCCTGTTCCTACTCTTCGATCTAGGGGTGGTCAGAAGCAGTGCGGCTTACGCTCCGCTTGTTCAAGTGATGCACAGCGCAAATGGAAAGCAACCTGATTTGTGGGCTATCCATTCGCGAGGACACGGCCATACCATCTTTGGCTGCCTAGAGCACTTCAAGGCTACCGATTCGAGCGAGCGGTTCTTTGCCGCGATACAAACGGGCAACACTCTGGCCGATCGACTCTCTCAGAGAAATAGAGTGTTCTCTGAAATTAATGAAAACTTCAGATATGAGCAAGAGAGTGAGGCCAGAATGCAGGAAGTGGAAGCAGAACTTACCGGATCGAAGAGAAAGGAAGTAGAAAGTCCCGAGGACGAGCAGTTCGGCAAAACAGCGCGCCTGGCATGAGCACGAATATCAGCATAAGTAGCAGGATGTGTAGCAGTACGAGCAGAAACAGCAGCGCGAACTTCGCCTCGACACCTCCCCGACTTTAAATAAAGCGTAGCGTTTAGCAGAGACTCCTGTTGGATGATGAGAGGTCTCCATAGGCGACGACGTTACAGATGGTTGCTCTGTGCAACAATGTAGCATTCGTGTGTCTATAAAAGGAGCCTCAACACCTCGATAGGTAGATAGAGAACAGAGCTGTTGGATGACGAGAGGTCTCCATGGGCAACGACGTTACAGATGGTTGCTCTGTGCAACAGTGTAGCATTCGTGTGTCTATAAAAGGAGCCTCAACACCTTGATAGGTAGATAGGGAACAGAGCGCTCCTTCATCTCAAGTTGCACAGAAAGTCCGACAAGAGCACTCCTTTATTTCAAGTTGCACGAACAACCCTCCCCCACACGTGACCACCTAGAGATCGATTTTGTTCACGTGACTTGAGTCGTCGCTCATTGGCCTCAACATACGGTCCATGGACTGGATCCGATGGAGTTAGCTAATCAGAGCACGTGACTAGTTTCCGGATTATAGATTTTCCGGGCTACGGCGCGCTCTACCCACTCGTGGGCGGGCCGTGGATTGGATCCGATGGGGTCAACCACAGGATTATGTAATTGAAAGCGTAAGCTTTCTTTTAAATCCCGACCCCCCCGCACGTGACCTGACCATGCGCCCAAAAAAAATCACGTGGTTAAAAAAAAAACAGTAACGTGACTTCGCGACCTTTCAATAAAGTACAAGTAGCAGATGCCGATCTCATCGTCGATATCCCCCTATGGGCTTAGCCCGTACAGGGTGTATGAATATCGCATCGCATCGCATCGCATCGTCGATATCTAGGCCCCATGTATCGATATTTGCTAGATATATCGCGGATATCGTTGTCGGCTTTCCTAATTGGGTATGCCGTCGTCTTCTTCATGGGCCATGGACTGGATCCGATGGAGGATATCGTATGGCACAAGACACCGTGATCAACATCGTCTATATATGATCCATGGACTGGATCCGATCAGGGCGGCATTCTACCCATTCCTGGGTGGGCCGTGGATTGGATCCGATGGGGTCCGCCAATTAGAGCACGTGATTGAGTGTCGGATTATAGATTTTCCGGGCTATGGCGGCATTCCACCCCCTCCTGGATGGGCCGTGGACTGGATCCTGTGATTTTACGGAGGACTTGTCCTATTTCGAAGGGTCCAGGGGACCGTCAGACTATATACTTTCGAAGCGTGTACGAAGCGTACAACGCTCCCGAAGGTCTTTACAAGCCTTGGCGTCGCCACATATCACAATCCGATGGAATTAAAGCACGTGACTAGGTGTCGGATTATAGATTTTCCGGGCTACGACGGCATTCCACCCCTCCTGGATGGGCCGTGGATCCGATGGGGTCAACCACAGGATTACGTAATACTCGGATTATAGATTTTCCGGAGGCTTGGCTAATCACGTGACACGTGGGCCTGGCGGTTGGCCTGTGGACTGGATCCGATGGCGCCAGAGTCGTCGGATTATAGATTTTCCGGATCCCGAGGGGTTGCAATTACGTGAATCGTCGTACGGCCGCATGTGCGCGCCGCCAAGAGTTGCCAATCCCAATGTGGCCGGCTCAATCACGTGATCTCTCGAGCGCAGCGAGGCCGGGGGTTTGGGGGCTTGCCCCCAAAAGACAAAAGCTACGCTTTCACCCCTCGCGGAATATCCTGTCCGCGGCCCCTAGTTTTTTAATTTTGGAATCGCCTGGTTAGGGCTTGGCGTTGTGCGGCGACGCCCAAGAGCGACGAGCCGGCCAATCATGTAACTATTTTCCGGGATCACGTACTAACCCCAGGGGGACGCCCTCCTAACTCGACATGATCCATGGATTGGATCCGATGAAATCGGATCCAGTCTGTGGACCACTCAACCTTCAACGGATTAACCATTTTCCGGGATCACGTGCTCACCCGGGCCCATGTGCCGGTGGAGTACCCTACTCGATAGATATCGATATCGAGATGATCCATGCATCGGATCCAGTCTGTGGACCACCTAGAGAAGCTCTACTAGTCACACTCGAGACGGCTCGTAACCGAGCGTTAACGGACGAGCCTCGATGTCGACGTGGTCCATGGATTGTGTTATGGTATAACCTGGAAGCCCCTCGAACGGTCTTGGCAGGCCCACTGTGGCTGTCGAATAGCCTCGTGTGCCTACCGATAGCCTCGTGCGCCTGTCAATAGCCTTGTGTGCCTACGTGGTAGCCTTGCGGCATGACTGTGCCGCTGGCTATAAGTATCTGGGATAGCATCGCACTGCTTTCATGTTCTTTGTCTCTCGTCTTGTACTTTATAGTGCATTGGATAGTAATATCATTGTCGGATCTCCACTCTCGTTCCCTCGTACGTCCCCACCCTGACAAGGCGCTGCATGAAGTGCCGATGTGATGACCGTGTTGGAAGTACTTGTAGTGTTTGAGATGTGCTCGTTGATGTTTCAATATTGGAACCTCTCCAACATTGGAAATCCTCCATTATTGGAATTCCCTCATTATTGGAACCCGTCCATTATTGGGAATACATAAGGCGAAGGGTGCGAGTTGTAACAATGCCAAGCCAGGATCATCACGTGACTTCACAGCCACACAACACACACAAAAATTTTAAAAAAGAAAAATGGCCCCCCTCCTATAGTCCATCTCTGATGAACTTATAGATGGGGCGCCGCAGCCAGTGAAAGCTTCAGCCACACAAGTTCAACTGCAGAAGAATTTGAATCAGTGACCTTCCAACGGTATGAAGAAGACGACTTCAACAATCACTGGCTGGAGCATTACGTTTACCCATCCAGGGCACCTAGAAAGCTAGGCCGGACAACCCTCTTGCCTTACCTATGATTGAACACTAGTAAGGTCCCTCAATTCTATCGGTTCGACTAAAACTGAGTGTGCCCACTCGGTTTTGTCCTTGATAGGTCAACCACGATTTGGTGTCAATTTTGAAACGGATTTTGGCGGAATAAATTATAAACCTTAATTTTTTTGGGTTGGTTTGGGAATCGCCTGGTTGCAGCTTGGCGTTGTGTGGCGACGCCAAGAGCATTGTGCTGGCCAATCACGTAGGCCTATGGCTTGGCATTATTACGTGAGCACATGGCTTGGCAATGTCACGTGGAAACGCGGGTACTCCCCCTTACCGCGCTGTCATCGGATCCAATTCGTGGACCATGTGGCCGGGGGAGCCACCCTACTCGATAGATGTTGTGAGGGTTCGAGGTTAAGGATACAATCAATGTATTCTAGCTAACATCAAGTTCTAGGTACAAGACGTAGCACGAAGAGAGTCAAGATGGGATGCTACGCAGGAAGTGCTTGAAGAACCCCTGATTATGTAATCCTTGGCATGTGGTTCCGTGACAGATGTCGATATTGAGATGGGCCACGGATCGGATCCAGTCTGTGGACCGCTCAAGCCCTTCCTGATCACACTCAAGATGGCTCGTAACGGAGCGCTAACGAACGAGCCTCGATATCGAGATGATCCATAGATCGGATCTGATGAAAGACTGCCGCCATCGGATCCAATCCGTGAACCATATGGCCGGGGGGCATCCTACTCGATAGAGGTCGACGTCCTGATATCGAGATGATCCACGCATCGGATCCAAGCCGCTGCTTGCTTGAAAGCATTGATGTAGTAGATGAATGGACATCCGTACGTAAGGTAGACCGTCGCTTAATCTTCATCCCGAGAATACACGGTAATATTCATACTGGGGGGAAGCGAAGATTAGGTGTCTCTTCGAAAGATATCGTAATTATGTACACGAGCTTCATGGTTCTTGAAGTGCATATGTCCATAAAGGACGACAGCGGAAGCTTGATATTTAGGGTCCTGGCATGGGATGTCACCATTTTCCTTAAATTGTTTGAGATGAAGTTCGACACCGTGGAAAAGTTGTGGAGACGAACTTCGTATGGCTCTCGTGTATTCCAGAAGCAGAAGACACACTGTCTTGTAGTAGGGCCCTTGGGAAACGGCGGACGATCTGGCGATCCGCTGTTATATTGAATTCTCCACGTTCGATCTGGTTTGTGCCGTAGCGGAATATCTTTCTTTTGGCATAAGGCGACGAGGGCGTTCGCGGTACGAATTCTGTGACGGAACTTGTCCTGATCACTAAGCTCGTAGGCATCCTGACAGATAATGTCTGCAACCACTCGCCGTTCTTCCAAATAGTGTTCCACCTTTTTAGGCTCCCAGTCGCCTTCATTAAGATCGAGCATGGAGAGATCAAGTTGCTTATTTATTTCAATGGTGCTGATTGTGTCAAAAAACTGCTGTCGAGTAGCTTTCTTCGCCGAATTGAGGGCCGTCATTTTTGCGGAACGAAGCGCTCTGTCAGCCTCCTTGTACATACGATAGATCTTAGTCCCCTTAGCTTCCGCCTTCTTCAAGGTGCCGGATTCTTTACGAGCTTCGTTGGATAATCGATCTCTCAGTTCTCGAAGTTGGACAATTACTGGGTCCGCTTTAAGAGCGTTGACTTCATCCGAAGTAGGCTCTGTCGGCGCTCGCGGGTCAGCATGACGACTCATATGAGTGACTGCTTTAAACAGAGCTCCGGACGAAGGTTGATCGAGGAAGGCAGCTTGTACGTCACACTGGACACGTTGATTAATGTACGCCTGATAAATACCAGCGTCCCTATAGCACATAACTTGTTGAAGCTGAGGCTGAGTGGCAACAGCTATAGGACCTTAGCATTAGCTCGATCAGCCTATATGAGTATCACATACCTTCAACAGCCTCGCCAGCTCCTCTTCGAAGGACATAACCTCCGAGGATTTGCATCAATCCTGCCTGGAGACCTAATCGTTGAAGATAGTAGAGGTAGGTGTGCTAGCGTAACGCCTTCGTAGGCGATGTTTAAATGCCGGTGGATGTGCGCTCAGCTTGCCGGAAAATCGGCTTCTTTAGTATAGTCGCACGCCACTTGAATTCTAAGCTGCGCCGTGGCGCACGGACTCGAATCCAGAGTATATCTTCCATCGAGGTGACCTTGGACTCAAATGCATTGTCGAGGCTAGCGATCGTTATCATAACCAGAATCGGATCAAAAATAAGAGTGTCAGCTTCAGTGAGAATGTAAGTTTTCCTAAGGAGTTGTTGGCAGACTTGCACCGAATCACGGTAGAGACACCTACGGATTCGGTCTTTTCTTCCATCCTTTGGTATACTTCAGGGTGATCTCCATGGCGAGTAGATCTCGCTTCCCCCTCCGGATTCGGCAGCATCACAAGTGTCACATCCTCATAGCAGAGAGTCTTGATATCCTCCCAGTCTAAGTCCATTTCGTCATTGTCGCTAGATATATCATTTTCCCATCCAAAGTAGTGCTCTCTTTGCTTAGTTCGATCGGTCGCCTTGTACACTAAGGCCGCCGGCCTCGTTGCTGTGTACGCGGAGAGAAGAAGTAAGAGAGCGAGCTGTAGTCGTTGCCGTTCGTCTGGAAAGACCGAAGTGTCCAGAACCTAGTGATGATGGAGAACGAGAAATACGTCGTCAATGTCCATAACTGGCTTTTCTCTTACACCCGTGTCGAGGTTATACTCAATGTACTACCATAGATCAGCGACCAGTTTCGATGAATAGACAAATCTTTATACTCACATCGCGGACCTCCTCCATTACTTTAGCATGTAAACCCTTGCCAACAGACTTTAGGTATAGCATACACCACACTCTCCAGTATTCATCTAAGGTGCTTCTTTTCCGAACTCGGGGGTGGGTGTCCAAGATCCACTTAAGGAAGGTCATGATGTCTTCTTTGGTGGCGCTCACGAGGAAGCGAAGTCTGTCTTCTCCAAGGAATAGACAATGTCTAAATGTGTTACTAGCTGCGTCCTCTCTTAATATATCCCATAGGACGCACATCCTTACCTTGTCCATTTCATCATCACTCCCTAAATATTTTCTTTCGTCGAGTTCGCATGCTGCTTCTTTACGGTACCCTTCTCAGCAAGTTGTCGTCGATGCTGTCGATAATGCTCAGGGGAGTATTGGGCCGTTAGCCTTTGGTTAAGACGCTGCACGATCATACTGCTTCCACGAGAGCCCTTCTCTTTAACTTCGTCCCCCTGTTAATAGTAGTAGATGTGAAGTAGTAACTTATACGTAGAACAGTATGGTTAAAGGAGGAATTCCTCACGGAAAGAAGAGAGACAATACTCTCGGCCGTCGGTTTAAACGTAAAATTCGAGTAGGGTCGGTCGAATGTATAAAGGGAGATGGGAGATGGGACGAGGTTTAAGATGATTTCGTGAAAGTCAGAGAAGGCCCTCTCTCTGGGGAGCATTGTGAGGAAATCCGGAGGGGCCCTCCCTTCACGTCATCGAGGCGCCATGTTCGAGGCGGTGCGATCGAAGGTACCCAATTTTTCAGATTCCCTTGCGGTTTCTGAAGGTGACTGTTTCTGGTCCTAGAGATGCTGGGAAATCAATTTGGGATAGCGGACTAGGTTAGCGTTCTTGGCATCGAGGGAAATACGCCTCCAAAAGCGGCGGCATTGACGCCAAATTCGGCGGGAAATTTCCCTGCAACTTGCGTTGAGCTGTATACCTACCTCCTTGGGGAGAATTCATACTCAAATCAAACGATGCATCATTGGTATCGGCTAGGGCGGGGAGAAGCCGGCATCATTATGAAAGGGTCTTTCATGCTCTTTAAAGGCTATGAAGGGCCTTAGTATCGGCGATTAGTAATGGACACTGTCGGAGATTGGGGTATAGCCCGGGACCGACGCGTACATAATATTATTGGGATCACGATTGGTCTTTACCCATCGCTTATCAATCTTGTAGGCGAGTTGTAAGCTATAGCTGTCTACGTACTACAGAATGAGAACGATATCTTAGTGAAGTTAGGAGAATGAAGATCAGGGTCGTCTTGAGTCCACATGGCCTGCTCACATTGTAATACTTTATTTCTCTCCCCTTGTTGGTATCCGTTCCAGTGATGCAAGTGAAGCCAGCACAGAACCATTCTGCAATAATGTTGACGGAGTCGAACGGTCAGCCTCCCCGCATCGAACCGAGGCCGTCATTATTACCAGCTGGCCATGCATGACTGTGAGTTCCTGTTCTACCATATGTTGCATGTGAGCGACCTAGAAAGTATAAGCGGGACTCTCATCGTCGTCCAATACTCCTATTTAGGTAGTTCAGTCGCGTATTCGAATACGAACTGCCCAGGAAGACGTATTCTTCAGCACACACAATAATATCTTCTATCAAGCACTTATCGGCGTGCATCATCCTTCTTGTCCAATTTCCCATCGACAAAGCCTTCCTTCCAACCACGAAAGTCTAGATTGAGACATCCCATCTCCCCCGATCACAACTGAGGTTTCGAAGCGGCTCCAACTACATCTGCGCTCTCACTGAAGTCCCACTCTCCCTATGGCTCAGATGTTATCTCAACTTTCGCGGTGGCCGCTTTTAAAGATCCTAACACTGGAAAACTCAAAACTCTCTCTGCTCCGGTTTTCCAATCTTCTTCCCGAAGTGGTTGTGGAGCTCGGTTTCGATTATGGCTCTAACACGCCATTGTTCATCCCGGGGGGAGAATGAAGAACAGTTTTGACGGCCTGAGCTTTTCCACTGCGAAATGAGGTGCTGTCCATCCGCCAGAGGCAATGTTATAAACATATGGTGGTGGTGCTAAGCTTCACCATGATCTTCGACTTTGGTATTGAGTATACAAAACATGGCATTATGGGTAGTGGGTTAATGGCGATTGCAGTCGTTCATTGACGTCATGGTATATCAATATCGGCTCAAGATCTCTCGGAATCGAGTTCGGCCATCGGCGAAACATTCTAAACTTAGATGATCCAAGAATTATCTCGAGTCTCTGCACCCAAATGAGGCCATGTTTGGCACCGAGGCGAGCTGGCTACAAAGTACCAAATGTTTCATAGAGCACCACAACCTATTCTTCTGTCTTTGAACCGACCCGACAGCTCTACGCAGCTGGTAAAATGCATTTTCTTCAAAGCCATATATTTTGGTTGTTTCGTCACTTAGCATCGGGATAGGTTACTTCAGATCCATCCCAACCAGTTGCGAGCCTATCTTCTTTGCCGGTGCTGGGATTGCGTTAATCGGAGGAGTCAAAGACCGAATCTGAAGCGCTGAGACTTACTTGTTCCAACACTTGGAACCAATCTCATGCAGGATGCGTGTCCAAGCGGCTTTATGTTCGTACCCAAGCCAATTATCCGGAAGGCCAGTCATCGAAAGGACGACCTTGGTAAATTTCTCATCATGTTTGCTGAATTTAACCAGAACCTTGCATGTCTTGCCCTCTGTCCAAATGTCGGTCGTCTGCATGTCGTTCGATCAATATGTGGATCGGGACGACGGGGGGACGAGTCAGAAACCACTTTCCCAAGAATATTCAATCACATAGGGAATTTTTGAGTCATTGATTTGCAAAAACTCTCCATAATGCGGCCAATGGCCTTCGTCACCTCCTAGATCCCACCTGGTGGATACGATTAGAAAATCCTCAAGACGAAATTGGGTTTCTCCTAGTGAAGCAGGGAAACTCACCAGTGCCAATCGTCCCACTGAAACTTTCCACCAACGCGAGGATCCAACTTTCTATAGCCTCCAACAGGCGTTAGTCGAAGCATTGAAAAGAACTGGGCGATTTTCCAGCGGAAAGAGAAGTGTGTTGCCGGTACGTACCGTCACCAACCCAAGGCCCACGCCGGTCATTGCCATCGAGCCAGATTTTGAACAGTCCCTCTGGCGTACCGCTTATCAAGTGGTCGACGGTGAATGAATAAGCACCCATGATGACGAATGGCCAGGCTTGCACTTGAAATTAATTTGGGATGTTAGAGCTGATATTTAATGGACGGCTCGGGCAAGACAGCCGTAAACATAGGCCAAAGGGGCTTTGGCCTCGGATTTAGGAGATTACGCAGCCGAACCGAGCCAGTCTGTGAGGCTAGGTTTAGCCCATTTGTCATGCGACGCCGCTGTGATTTATGGAGGACTTCGAAGAGGTCCAAGGGACCGTCAGACTATAGTTTCGAAGCGTTTACGAGGCGTACAATGCCTCTGAGGGTCTTTACAGGCCCTGGAGTTGCCACATATTACAGGTGTTAGCCAGCGAATGTCTCAGGGCGGCGATCCTGACAACGACTTTCGTACCACAGCAACCTGCTAGACGCCAATGGAGCCTAGTAATGCGAGCGTTTTTCAACCGATGGTGAGGTACCTAAAACCACTAGTAAAATGGGAGGTTTTCAGGTACCTTCCCATCCGCTTGCCTCCCCTGCATAATTAGCCCTTTTAGGTGCTCTTTTACCAGCGTCATTGAGGAGCCTTTTCAACAGAGCCATTTGCACTCGACTTCAGAAGTCTTTTTGCACTCGATTTTGATGTTGTTGTGTGTCAGATCCTCTCTGTCACTACTGTAGCATGTCTGTAGCCCCCCCCTACTCGCGTCCTGGCCTTGCTGTTGACCGCCTTTGCCTCGTTGTATCTCGCCGCATGATTGCGTCTCTTCTTTCCTCTACCTTCTCCTAGTACTGTAGAAGCTGCAGGTTCGGGATCTCGTTGTTAACTTTCGGAGAGGCCTCAGGAGGAGGGGACCGGTGCGGCCGGCTTTGAGACACCGGGAATGCCTATACAATTGCAGATGGATTGATAAAAGCCACTCAAATCGCGACTTGATGAGAATGCTTCAATCCGGACATCTTGGCCGTGACAAGAAGGCCATCCCAGCACCCGACAATGATGGCCGGGTCGATGAGGGTGAGGAACGAAGCCGACAGAAGCAAGACATGCGTGACAGCCTAGGACAATAAGTGTTGAACAGGTGGTGACCTATCGTTCACGACAGACCGCAAACACTCGCTCGCTAGGCTGTATCACCATTGACAGGCAACAAATGATGATGTACACTCCTTAGATAGATATATAGATAGGCTCGATGCCGAATCCAGTCAGAGCGCACTTTTTAATAAAAGTTTGACAATAAGCCCATTGGAGGAGTAGCTGAGCCGATGACTTCTAGGGGTTCTCTGCCCATAGAATGCTGGCCCCCAGTAAATAACCACAGAACAGTGTGTGGAAGAGGAGCGAGGCAGCATATCCCTCAAAAGCTTCACAGATGGCCTAGTGTCAAACGAGGGGTGCAATTGAGATGTATTGAATGCTCCGTCTGTCTGGGAACTGGCCCTGCCAGATTGCTGGTATATATACACATTTAGTTGACCCCTCTTCTTCTCCCATTCCTACCCTTATATCCTACATAGGAGTGGTAAGCCCCTTTTCCCAATAAAGGGGCACTGGCTACTATGCAACCGTTCAGCACCTTGTATTCAGGTTTTGAAGCACAGCGGCCCGAAATATTTCGAGCTCAGGTGCTGCCACGTCTCTGGCGATGTATCAGGAGCGACATCCACTGCCTATAGTCAAAGCTGTCATGGATCAGCTATCGCAGCATCTCGTTCGTTTTGCCCGTAGACGGCTCAAGGAGGACCACCACCGCGCTCCCTGCTGCCACTGTTGCGGTCAATGGGACCAACGTTGACGAAAGTACACATTGTGAAACCGGTTCGATCAAAGTTGGTCCAAACGCGAAGACGTTCGCCGAGACGCTGTTTATTGTCGAACAATTAGAAGGTGTACGTTGATTGCTATTGAGAGCTCTGTCCGCTCGCAAGTCGTCCTACTATCTAGCATCTATATACTCATCCATTTCGCCACAGACACTAGGCAGCAGCATGACAAGTCAGCGGCTTAGTTCTGTTGATCGTTCAACACGAAGGGGTGTCAAACTTTGATCATGTTGAGTTCTCTGGGGCTTTCCTAATGAGTGGAGGTAAGAGCCCATCTATAGAGCCATCTATCAACGACTGTCGTGAGAAAGGTTGCCCGCCGTTGCCAACCATTGGCGTTGCTGTCTGTTGAATGGTTCGATGTCTCACGGTGGCCTGGCCAACAAGTCCTGCAAGGGGCAAAGTACTTGTCGGGCCTTGACAGGTATAAAGCTAGTGTTTGCTATAAAATGCACCAGTACAGTCAGAATCAAATGATAAGGTATTGACTGTTTGTGCATATTTCTGTCAGCGACGGCATGGCATGAGAAGTCGTAGTGATGATGTCTTCCATAGGTGGACATCGGTAAAGGCCCGAGAATAGTCGAAAAGAGTCGAGATAAGGACGTCGCAATCCTGCAGCGCCGCATCCAGCGACTCTTGAGAGTAGTCAGTGACAATCTGTGACATTCCCGAAACGTCCAAATGTGTCTTGGGGCTTCGAGTCAGTATCGATATATGGTGCCCAGCCTTGAGAAACTCTTCGTTGATGTATTGTGCGAGGTTGGCGGAGCCCGCGATGGCGACTCGTATGATGTACTAGCTAACTTGATCAACTTGAACGGACTATTACAAAGGCTCTCTATAGATTGCTCGGATCATCTCTCGGCGACTGTGGCAGTTAGATAAACCATCTGATCAGTCCAACGTAGTACTCCCATTTTCGGTGGCCAAGGCTCGCCCAACTCTACTTTTAATTTGCGACCATGTTCGATACGTTATACTGGGACTTACCCGTAACGTCTCATAGGAACAGCTTATTGATTTCGCTCCTGCACGACTTTTATCCTGATGAAATATACTTATCAGGTTCTTAGTGTTTGTAGCGGCTATGAAACTTGAATCTACGCTGTATTTGGCAATCCTCCGCCACGCTCAACGTTAATATGTACTACAGCGGAAACAGATAAGAGCCTGATCACATAGAGAATAGGTTACACAATTGGACACAAGTGATGCCATCTTAGCTTAATCGTCCATTCTCGGCAGAGCTCTTCCAACCTATCGCAAGCTCCACTATTCTACTAACACAAGACGCAATCTATGTTGCTTCGGCCGCGGTTTGATGTATCTAGTCGGCATAAAACACCCAGCACCGCACTTCAACGCTCTTTCGGCCTTTAGCCGTAGGAGGTGTAGCCGGGTCTACGAACGCCGTATGTGCGCAAGCTATACCCAACAGTCAACGTCCAATTCACGCATTTTTGAGATACAAAAAGGGCAAAACGAGCATACCAGTGGATAAATCCGAATCGAAGTTCTTGAGCAAGAGAACCTCATCTTTGGTTTGTGCATCGAGATAGTACCACTTCTGTCCTGGATTGTGGAAGAGGTGATAAATCTCGGTCGTGTGTGTGGGATATATCATGTCGGATGGGGTTAGATCTTCTCTGCACACCGTCTTTGCATCGCACACAGCCAACGGGTGGGATTCGACAACGTCAACAAGGGGTCGCCAGACACTGGAATGCCGCAACATTTAGTTGAATATCCCCAATTCATCCTGTGTTTTAGTGGACAGGGACGCACTTGACGATTTGCCATCGGCCTTGGTATAGATTTTCTTCTTCAGGATCTGGGAAGTACTCCTTGACGCGGTTCTGGGCACATGTCTGGCTGATGTCTGCATTTGGCTTTAGCTGAACAACCCCTACCTGAGGAACTTTGCGTCGGGGCAGAGAGAGACCAACCACAATGCGTCGTCAAGACTGTGCGCTTGGATTTCTCAAAGCCATCCGTTCGAGGCATGCCGGGATCGCGTTGCTCTCGTAGCTAGGGGAGTGTCTTCGCATCAGTCACGCCCATTAATCGAAGAAAATCGATCACATACCACATGATCATAAGCATGGACCCGACTGGCGCCGAGGTGTTTCTTCAAGAAGTCCTCCGTATATCGAAGATACTCTTCTCTTCCCGTCGCCGTCGAAAGGTCATGGTTATTGATTGGAACATACGCCCATTCGAATGAATGCTCCTTCAGGTTGAAGCTGTCCCGATCAAACCTCGCGTTGTGGATTTCCACCGTTCGGGGAATGAAGACTTGGTTGGTTTGTGGCTTCCCCGGAGTCGGTCGGCCAGAGACAAAATACAGCTTCTCAGCCTCAGGCGTGGCGTGGACGGCTGGGTCGAGAAAGTGTAGTTCTGCACGTGTGGATTGACTGATGGAGCCCATTATAGATCGAATGAAAAGAGGGAAGAAGGAAAAACCATCGGTGAGGTAGTCCAGGCCGTTTCCAGTGAATGTCAGCAGGTGAACAAGTCTGAGGCGTCTATTGTCTCCCGGAGATATATACATTTACGCACTACGCTCCTACAAGCCTTCTCGGTCAGTGGCGTCGATGATCATCGTCGATACATGGAAAATTACAGAGAAGGGTCCTTGGCCATGGTATGAGAAGGCTTAGTTTGACCCTCATACAGTGGCTGGTGAGGCTAACGTATACAGGATTTCATCACTCTGCAGCTCATTCCTTGTCCTGTCCACTTCCCACAGCACTTGGAAATAGCATAACATGGTCCTCGCGTTCAGTCCGAGCAAATCGCGGTGATGCGAGCCCATGCAGCCCGGACCAAGCCGTCTGGAGAAAGCAACATCTGAAGCTGAGTTGCATTAAATTCGTGGTGAACAGAACCTTGGATCTTCACACCCTTATACTACTCACCCATCGATGGATTGGTCTTGGATCATGTTTCAATCTTTGTGTCACACTATCTGATGCTTCCGATATCGCTTTTCGTTGAAAATTTACCGGTAGCCAAGCGGGAAGTAAGCCGATCTCCTGAGTTTCTCTTTATTCATGCTGGCTTCCAGCGGTTGAACAAGCGGCTCGTACTGCTACTCTGCTATACAACTTGCTGATGAACAGCATCTGAATGGATTCAGAGTTTGGCCGCAAACTGAGTCGCGCCCTTTGCAGCAAGGATCTTCTGTCCAATTTTCTGCATCTCATGCTTCTTCACCTTCCCACTTCCCGTCACGGGCACTTCAGCCGGGACTCCCTCCTGACCAAGCCACCACACATACACGGGCGCCTTATGCCGACCAAGGGTCTGTCTCGTCCATTCCCTTAACTCATCTGCACTTGGCCTGGGAGAGGAAGATGAATTTGCGGCTCCCACAAAAGCCGCTACAACCTCTCCCAACCTCGCATGCGGCACGCCGACCACCACGGCGCGATCGACAGCCGGGTGCTTGACCAGTCGCTCTTCAATCTCAAGTGGGTAAATGTTTTCTCCACCCCGAATGATGATATCTTTCAATCGGCCCGTGATCCTACAGTAACCTTGTTCATCAAAGACCGCTTCATCGCCCGTGCGCAACCAAGTCACTCCATTTTGATCCCTCACCATCGCTTCCGCCGTCGCGGTCGGGTTCCGCCAGTATCCTTGCTGAATCTGATAACCCGCTATACACAGCTCGCCTCGAGTCCCCACGGGCACAATGCGGCCTTGGCAGTCCACGATTTTGGCGTGTGCGTGTGGCATTATCCTCCCAACGGTGTTTAATCGCCGCTCCATGGGGTCGTTGGTGAAAGCGTTGAAGCAGGCGGACGAGGCTTCCGTGAGCCCGTAGCTGCTGGTCCATTCTGTCATACCAAAATCTTTGACGACGAGGTCCATGAGGTGTCGCGGGACGGCCGCACCGGCCATGATGCCTGTTCGGAGGCGAGAGCAGTCAAAGTTGGCTGGGCGTGGAAGGCGGAAGAGAGTGTCGAACATTGTTGGCACGCCGTGAATGGCGGTGCAGCGTTCGTCGGTGATGGCGCGCAGGACAGAAGGGCCGTCGAAGACGTCTGAGGGCCAAACGACCTTTGCGCCGTGAGATATGACCGCGAGGAGACCATTGACGATGCCGAAGACGTGGAAGAGGGGTGGAGGACAGCAAAGGACGTCGTCGGGGGTGAACGCCATGCGGTCGCCGAGGAAGCGGGCGTCGTTGAGCAGGCCAGTGTGCGTGAGCATGGCCGGCTTTGGATGTCCCGTTGACCCGGAGGTGAATTGTAACTGGCAGGTGGCGTATGGACACAGACTGGCCTGAGTCTCTCGGACAGCGTCCGCTGGAAGTCGTGAACCGATCAGGACGGCGCCCTGGTAATCCTCCAGGCCATCCATTTCACCGGATAAGACAAGCACCTGCTCGAGCCTGGGCAATCGATCGTTTCCTTCTTCACTTAATCGTCGAATCATGGCCGTATTATCCACTCGTCCTATCGAGGGCGTCGCGAACAGGACCTTGCACTCGGTGAAGGATAGGGCATGCTCAACTTCTTGCAACGTCCACGTGTTGTTCAGAATCACTAGCACGGCCCCGATCCGCGCACACGCGAATATCACCGCCGCATACTCTGCTCTGTTTCCCGCGAGAATGGCCACTCGGTCGCCCCGTTGAATTCCCCTTGCCAGCAGGTAGCGTGCGAGCAGGGAACTCTCCTCTTGGAGGTCATTGTACGTCCATCTCGTGCCCGTCCAGGGAAATACCAGGCACTCTCGGTCGCCATATCGAGTACATTGTAAATCCAGGAAGCTGCTCAGGGTCATTGAGAGCAATGGAGTATCTGTCGGCCCATGGAGGATACTTGGACATTGATAAAAGTCTTGGGGGCTGGTTCCTCTTACCATGCTGGTGTCATAACGTGATTGTCTTGTGTTTAAAGGAAAAGAGCCTCTCAGACAAAGTCCAATGTACCATGGGCGCAAGTACACAATTTGTGCAAATGCAGTTCTGCAAAATGCTCTGCAATAACTGGCGAGGTCTCGTGCATTGTAACAGTGAAATGGAACAGGCAACGCGTGGAAGCTGTCACTTACAAGTAGTCTTGATTGTGCATCTATCAGTCAACCAGTCAACTAGAGCCGTACCCTGCCCAGAGATGTTAATTACTAGTACCTGCTGATCGCATTGCATTCGTGCCTTTCCCCGCTGTACAACGCGATCCCCTCACAAGTGGGTTGAAACCGATGCCACTCTCGGCCTCGCGTCTAATCCGAGCCTCCTTCGCAAACTTTCCGAAGTCTAAGCCATATTCAGCAACGCTCTCTAGGAAACTCGAGTTCTGCATCGCATTGTACGCAATGCAACAAAGCTTGCCCGCTTTACATCATACATGTATGATCGCTCTCTCGTGCAGCTACGATCAGATGAGATCCGAAATAGCCATGAAACCATTGTGGAGTGGTGTTCGCTGCCGACGCCGTGACGTGAGCAGTGAGGTTGTATGGAGGTCGGACTTCCGGCTTCAAGTCTGCTGAGTAATAGCCCGACATTGGTCAAGAAAGCAGACTACTATGCTATCTAGGTAGGTAGAGTGTCTTTCGAATCTTCCAATGTACTGTACAGGGTCGTGAATCGGATCTACATAGGTACGTATAAGGCTACAGTGTCCCTGCAGGAACGAAAAGCACCAAGAGCAAAAACAAACGAACCCTGCGTCAAATCACACATGTTTGTGACATTTTCCCCATTCGTTTCGTCGTCAAGCGCTTCGTCGAGCATTCCACTGAGATACAATACTCGGATGACCTAGAGAGAAAAGGTAAGAACGAAACGCCGACGTTGCAGTTCACCTTGGGTGAAACAAGACGAAATGCCGACCAATGGGGTTCACCACGAAGGACAACCCAACGGGGTCTATAGCAGAGAAGACCATCTCAAAGAAGAGCACATCGACCGGTACCAATACATTCCTCGAAAACTAGCAAAGGAAATCGAAAAATTTGAAAGGAATGAAGAAAAGATCACAGCCTCTGATCTCACCCAAATCTGGAAATGGAACGCTTCTGTGCCAAAATCTATCGACGTGCCCGTTCACCATCTCCTCGTCGCCGTCGCGCAACGCCAGCCCAGTTCTCTTGCCATCCACGCCTGGGACGGTGAATTAACATATGGACAGTTAGATGACCTCTCGTCCCGGTTGGCGACTCACTTGGTCACGTTGGGCGTGGGCCCAGAAGTCATCGTGCCGTTATGTTTTGAAAAATCCCTCTGGATGCCCGTCGCCATGTTGGCGGTGATGAAAGCAGGCGGAGCGTCTGTAGCGCTTGATCTGGCCGTGCCCGAGGAGCGGCTGAGGAGCATTGTGAGCCAAGTCCGGCCCAGAATCCTCATCTCTTCCCTACAGGGGAGATTATTGGCGGAAAGGCTGGCGGACGAGGAGGCTGTTGTGGTGAACGTCTCCAAAGAGGAACTGGACAAACTTCCTTCGCCTTCTACGACCAGATCCTCCTCGCCCGTTGTCGTTACTTCCAACAACACGCTCTATCTGGTCTTCACGTCCGGCAGCACAGGCACCCCCAAGGGGGCATTCATCACGCATGGCAACTTTGCCAGCGCCCTTTACCACCAAGCACACTCGATCAATCTCAATACCTCCTCCCGAGTATTCGATTTCGCGTCTTATTCTTTCGACATGGCGTGGTATAACGTCCTGCATACTTTGCACGCGGGCGCATGTCTGTGCATCCCTAACGACACTGAACGCAGAACGGATTTGTCTTCGGTAGTGAAGAAGTTAAAACCGAATTTTGCAAATCTTACGCCTACGGTGGCGAACATGCTCGACGATGAGGCATTGGATATGCTCACGGACTTGGAGGTCGCCGGTGAGGCTTGTACCGCGCAGCTCCTGGACAGGCGGCGGCGGCTGGGGCGCCGATTCACAATCGCGTATGGTCCAGCCGAGTGCACGCCGATCCAGACTGCGACGAGTAATCCCCGGACGCCTGCGCATATTGGGACTGGAGTCGGAGCGCTGACGTGGGTGGTCCAGATGGACAATCCCGATGAACTGGCGCCAGTTGGGAGTGTAGGGGAGTGTTGGATAGAGGGACCGCTCGTGGGAAAGGGGTATCTGGATAATGAGGAGCAGACGGCGACCAAGTTTGTCCGAGATCCGCCGTGGCTGGTTGCAGGTGGTGGGCCAGGGCAACCTGGACGAAGAGGGACGCTGTACCAGACGGGCGATCTGGTCAGCTATAACCTGGATGGGAGTCTAACGTTCCAAGGCCGCAAGGACGGGCAAGTGAAGATTCGGGGCCAGAGGGTGGAGCTGGGAGACGTGGAATTCCACGTCTGGAGTTTGCTCGACATATCTCACCAGCAAGAGGATGTCAAGGTCGCTGCCGCAGCGGTGAAGCCGAGAGGCCACGACGCACCGATATTGGCGGCGTTTGTCGTTCCGGCCGGAGCAGCGAGTATGAGTGACATTGAGTTACGGACAGAGGTCAGGCGAATTACAAAGGGCGTGGATGAGAGACTGGCAGAGGTCGTGCCTGTGTACATGATTCCCACGAGCTACATTCCCCTTTCGTCACTACCTATGACATCGAATGGGAAGACAGACCGCCGGCGTCTGGCAGAGGTCGGCACGGCATTGACCATGAAAGAGATTGTTGAACTAGGTTTATCGCCAGAGAATCGACAGGTACCATTGACCAGAAAGGAGAAGCAAGTGCAAGAACTTTGGTCGACAGTGCTAGGCATTGAAGCGTCCACAATATCGGCCGACGACAGTTTCCTCCGCTTGGGAGGTGACTCAATCTCCGCCATGAGGCTCGTCGCCAGCGCACGGCAGCATGGCCTCTCATTCACAGTCGCCAGTATCCTCAACAAACCCCGATTAAGGGATTTTACGAAAGAACTGACAGTGTCGTTATATGAAGCTGACGACCACCATCTTCCCCAGCCTTTCAGCATGATCCAGAGCACCGATACACGGCAAAAGGCGGCATCCAGATGTCAAGTCCCAATCGAGTCGATTCGAGACGTCTTCCCCTGCACGCCGCTTCAAGAAGGTCTGCTAGCAATGACTTCACGGCGAGAAGGGCAATACGTCTCCAAGATTGTGTTCGAGCTGGCCGCCGGGACGAGCATTCCGCGGTTCAAGAAAGCGTGGACGGACATGGTCGAAGCTACCCAGATCTTGCAGACCAGGATCGTCGACATCCCGGATGAGGATGGTCTTGTGCAGGTGCTGGTCGACGTACCGCAAGAATGGGGTTTTGATGCCGACCTCGACGCCTACTTGCAGGCTGAAGGCAAACGCCCCATGGGTCTGGGAACAGTGCTATGCCGACCTGGCCTGGTGGAAGAGGAACAGACGGACAAATTGTGGTTCGTCTTGACCATTCACCACTCTCTTCACGACGGCATGTCACTACCACTACTCCTCGAGAATGTGCAGCAGCGATACGAAGGCCGTGAGGTCGATCCGTTGATGCCTCTCCAAAGTTTCGTCAAGTATCTCCACTCTCTGGATGCATCGGCAATGAGCGAATTCTGGGAATCTCAACTGACAGGTTTGACCGCGATTCCATTCCCCGGACTGCCGTCCCCAGTCTACACCCCCGAAGCGGATGCTGTGGTCGAAAGCATGATCAGCGGTCTGCAATGGTCAAACAGTGATTATACCAGATCGACGGTGCTCAAGGCGGCGTGGGCATTGCTCCAGGCACGATACACCGACACACCGGAAGCGATCTTTGGAACGGTCAGCAGCGGTCGACAAGCACCATTGGTCGGAGCAGAACGCATCGCAGGACCGACTATCGCTACTGTTCCCCTCCGGATAGAGTGTGCCGGCGGGACCAGCGTGGGAGAGCTTCTTGAGGAGGTGCAGAAACAAGCCGTCGGCATGATTGCTTATGAGCAAGCTGGCTTGCAGTGGATACGCCAAGTCAGCGAGGCGGCCCAGCGAGCCTGTCGATTTCAGGCTCTGCTCGTCGTTCAGCCTGATGAGCAAGCGTTGTTGGGCGACTCGGAAGAAGGTCTCTGGGGTGCAGAGGCCAATCGTCGTGCTCGGGTTGGTACTACTAAGTATGCGGCTTTTAACACATATGCGGTGATGATTCTGTGCAATTTTACCAAGGTCGGTCTGCAGGTCGAAATCAGCTACGACTCCAAGGTTGTCGAACCGGCACAGGCGAAGAGGATGTTGGGTCACTTTGAGCATATTCTCCGGCAGTTGATTGATCCGGCTCAAACGCACACTCCTTTGCGGCAAATCACTGCCATCAGCGATGCAGACCTTGAGGATATCTGGAGGTGGAACCGGAGCAATCCAGAGTCGGTCGACTCTTGTCTCCATGATCTAGCCATGGAGAGTGTTCGGCGCTGGCCCCTGTCGACGGCGGTGTGTGCCTGGGATGGCGAGTTCACATACGCCCAACTCGGCCGGCTGTCATTGAATTTGGCCAACCAACTGACCCGTTTCGGAGTCGGACCAGAAGTCATTGTGCCTGTCTGCTTTGAGAAATCAAAGTGGGCACCGGTTGCCGTGTTAGGCGTCTTGAGAGCAGGAGGAGCCTTTGCTCTGATGACTCCCAGCATGGCCAAGGGTAGACGAGAAGCTGTCCTTGACCTAGTCAATTCGAGTTTCGTTCTCGCATCTTCCACGACATCTGAATTATTTCCAGATCACAGCGTGATCGTGGTTGACGAGAGGTTGTGGCGGGATACACCCAATGACATCAGCGACCGCAAGGCCGCTCCATCAACAACAGCCGCAGTCTACTTTACTTCTGGCTCGACAGGCACACCAAAAGGCATCTTGCTCCCGCACAGCTGCATTGCGACGACCGTCCATGCGGGAGCACGTGCTATTGACGCTGGCCCATCCACCCGCATCTTCCAGTTCGGCTCGTACCTCTTCGACCACAGCGCTTGGGACACCTTCATGGCCTTCAACTACGGTGGCTGTTTGTGTATCCCGTCGGAATACGATCGGGACAACAACACTGGCGAAGCAATTGTGCAGCTTCGAGCCAACTTTGCGCATCTGACGCCTTCGGTGGCCGGCATACTCCCAGTAGAAACCGTTTCCTCGACGCTAGAAGCACTGTTTTGGTCCGGTGAAGCGCTCAGTGAGGCAGATGTACTGAGGTGGAAAGACACCAACGTAAAATTGTGGAATTGGTACGGACCAACCGAATGTCCGGCCGGTACGATAACGGAGGTGGTGCCTGGCAAGTGGAAGAACGGCATGATCGGCCACGGCATGGCGAGTACTTGCTGGGTTGTCGAGCGCGAGTCGGCTAATACTCTAGCCCTTGTCGGAGGGGTAGGGGAGTTGGTTCTTGAAGGACCGGTCGTGGCTAAGGGGTACTTGAAAGATCCGGAAAAGACAAAAGCCTCATTCATTGAGGATCCTCCTTGGTTACTTCAAAACGGTTCTGGCCGACGTGGACGGCTATATAAAACAGGAGATCTCGTGCGCTATAATCCGGATGGGTCGCTCATGTACTTGGGACGCAAAGACACACAAGTCAAGATCCGCGGCCAGCGAGTCGAGTTGCCGGAAATCGAACATCATTTGCGACAGGCACTTCCGGATGGTGCAAATATCGAGGTTCTAGCCGAGGCGATTACGCCGCGTGGTAGCAACACGATGATATTAGTGGCCTTCGTCCGCCTTGCCGGAGACGGAGATGCAACCAAAAAGGCCACGACGAGACTGCTGAAGGCGATGGAGGATAAATTGGCGGGTGTCCTACCGGCATATATGATCCCTTCGGCGTACATTCCCCTTGAAAGATTACCCCTGACGGGAACGGGAAAGACAGACCGTCGGAAATTGCGTGAGATCGGGTCGACGTTGTCGTTAGAGGAGCTGGCTGCTCTCAACCCTGAGCGTGAAGAGAGAAGGCCTCCCACGACAGAATGGGAGCGAAGAATCCAAGCTCTTTGGGCATCGATACTTCGGGTTCCGGCAGATAGTGTCAGTGCCGATGACAGCTTCCTCCAAATCGGCGGTGATTCCATCGCCGCAATGAGGCTGGTGGGTATAGCGCGCGAGCAAGGCTTGACCATGTCGGTTGCCGACTTATTTCGAACTCCCAAATTATGTGATCTGGCCGAGCAACTCAGTGCACGCGTGCAAGCTGTTGACAATGAAGACGATGAGGGCGGTGTGATGCCATTCAGTCTGCTCCGGAGAACCAGTGAGGCAGATGCCCGCGACAAGGCCGCCAACCTCTGCCATCTCGAGCCCTCGCTGATCCTCGACATCTTCGCTTGTACACCACTTCAAGCCGGTCTCCTTGCATTGACAGCTCAGCATGAAAAGGCTTACGTGGCAAGACACGTGTTTGAGTTGCGGTCAGATGTTGACCTGGACCGCTTCCAGGCTGCGTGGGAATGTGTCGTGACGGTTACATCGATTCTGCGCACGCGAATCGTAGACCTCGAGCTCGAAGGATTGGTGCAAGTGATCGTCGACGAGAAGATTGACTGGCGAACGGCCACGGATCTCAGGGAATATCTCGCCACGGACGCAGACCAAATCATGGGACTAGGTGCGCCACTCGTACGCTTCGCCGTTGTGCGAGAACAACAACAGCAACCGTGGACTGAATCTGAGCGGAAATTCTTCGTCTGGACTTTACACCATGCCATATTTGACGGATGGTCAATGCCGCTGTTGCTGTCGATGGTGGAAAAAAAGTACCACAACACGACGCCATTGCAACCACCACCGCCGTTTCAAGCTTTCGTACGCCATATTCTGCAGACTGATGACGCCCGCACTGCGACACGATGGCGAGAGCAGTTCGATGGAATGGAAGCCCAACCGTTCCCACGTCTACCGTCCGCAACATATAGACCCAATGCCCAGAGCGAAGTCGCGCATCACATCTCCGGGATCCATTGGCCTACTACACGCAACCTGACCGCGTCTACGGCCGTGCGTGCAGCACTCGTTCTCCTTCTAGCAAACTACACTGGCTCAAATGATGTACTCTTTGGAGCCACCGTCACTGGCCGGCAGGCTCCCGTATCAGGCCTGGAGCGTATGGCCGGCCCTACGCTCGCTACCGTCCCTATCAGGATTAGGGTCGACTATGACGCCAAATGTCTCGAGCAACTTCTTGAGCGCATCCAGAAACAAGCTATCGATCTGGTGGACATGGAACATGTCGGTCTACAGTCCATTCGGCGGTTGAGCGCATACGCCGATCGGGCTTGTCAATTCCAGACATTGCTTATGGTTCAGCCTGTTGCTGATGATGATGAGCAGGCAAAGAGGACCGGTTGGTTATTCAAAGATCGATACGAAGATACGGATGCTTTAGCTGCGTTCAATTCCTACGCTTTGCTGCTCTATTGCGATTTGGAGAAAGAAGGCCTTCATTTGCGACTCAGCTTTGACGACGCTATTGTCCCGCAAGCACAAGCTGAGAGGCTGACTCGGCAGTTTGAGCATTCATTGCGGCAGGTGTGTGCGCCTGAGAATGCGGCAAAGAAGCTTGCAGACATCGACATGATGAGCGACCAGGACCTGGGAGATATCTGGGGGTGGAATGCCTCAGTCCCGGCATCCGCTGGACTGGCGGGATCCATCCACAGCTTGATCGATAAGGTAGTCCGGCGACAACCTGACGCGCCGGCTTTGTGTGGCTGGGATGGCGAGTTGACCTATGGAGAGCTAGATGTCCTTTCGACAAATCTAGCTCACCATTTAGTCAAGGCTTTTGGCCTCGGCCCTGAGATGATTGTACCTCTTTGTTTTGAGAAAAGTATCTGGGCGGCGGTGGCCGTGGTGGGTGTTATGAAAACAGGGGCAGCATCGGTCGCTTTGGACGTCAATCAACCTGAGGAGCGTCTTCGGTCGATTGTTGCTCAAGTCGATCCGCCAGTCAAAATCGCCTCTGTCGACACGGCGAAGTTGGCAGCTCAGATTGGTGGTCGTCATGGTTGTCAAGTCGTCGTCGTCAGCCAAACATCTCTTGCCGCAATGCACCAGGAACAACTGCCCAGGCTCCCTCAAAGAGTGTCTCCGTCCAACTCCCTCTACGTCGTCTTTACGAGCGGCAGCACGGGAACTCCCAAAGGCGTCGTGATAACGCATTCCAACTTCCTCAACGCCGTGTCACTACAGCAAGCATGGCTGGGCATCAACAACACATCACGAGTTCTCGACTTCACCTCCTATGCCTTTGACGTCTTCTGGCAGAACATCCTCATGACTCTGACCGCGGGAGCATGTCTCTGTACACCTTCCGCCGCGCAACGCATGGACGACCTGGCATGTTTCATCAAACGATATCATGTCAACTACGCCCACGTCACACCCTCCCTAGCCCGCATGATTGACTTTGCTGGCGTCAAAACGCTCAATCTCAGCGGCGAAGCATTGAGCCGGTCCGATATCCAGAGCCTCGAGGGGAAACAAGTTCGAATATTGAACACGTATGGTCCAGCCGAATGTACTGTCACCTCGACGGCCGCAGAAATTTCGCTTGCCGAACACGGCCAGCCGTCTATCGGTAAAGGCCTAGGCGCCGTGCCCTGGGTCGTCAGCACCGTCCACCCTGATCGTCTCGCTCCCGTGGGCTGTATAGGAGAGCTGTACTTAGAAGGCCCGCTGGTCGGAAAGGGCTATTTGAACAATGAGGCCCTGACGGCGGACGCCTTTGTGGAGGACCCTCCGTGGCTGGTCCAGAGGCAACCCGGTCGACATGGGACGGTGTACAGGACGGGTGACTTGGTTCAGTACGACAGCGAGGGAACTCTGCATTTCATCGGAAGAAAGGACGGCCAAGTCAAGATTCGTGGTCAACGCGTCGAACTCTGTGAGGTGGAGTACCACATTCACTCGCTCTTGAAGGAGAATGAAGCTGAGGGAACCCAAGTTATTGCTGATGTGGTCACACCCGAGGGTAGCAATCGGCAGGATTTGTTGTTGGCATTCATTGTCCCTACCGGGACGTTCTCAACACAAGACAGGGCGAAGGAAGTGAGGCGCTTGACGGCCAACTTGAATGATCGCTTGGCCGATTTGGTGCCGGCGTACATGATTCCAGCGGCGTATGTGCCCCTGGCTGCAGTTCCAATGACGACCACCGGCAAAACAGATCGACGACGCTTGCGAGAGTTGGTCTCGTCCATGGACCTAGGAGATCTCTTCTGCAGCCACCAGCAGAATATCGCCCCCCCAAAAAACAAAGTTGAGCGTGTATTGCGCGAGATCTGGGGCCAGGTTCTCAACATCCCGCTGGAAACCATCTCTACAGACGTCCCTTTTACTCGCCTTGGAGGAGACTCAATCACAGCCATGCAAGTCGTCTCCCGCTCGCGAGGGCACAAGGTCCATGTCACTGTGGCTGATGTCCTTCGCGCGCAGACGATCCAGCGAGTGGCGCAGTGTGCTCGTGTCGACGTGGAAGAACCCACCACCACAGAGACTGAAGCGGAAGGGGATGCGCTCGAAGCCGACAAACGCGGATGGAACCTCTCGCCTATTCAACAGATGTATCTGGATGCTCACCCGCACGGGCCGTATCAATTCAACCAGAGCTTCGTGCTCAAGATGCGACATCGCGTGTCGACAGAAGACTTGCGTGCGGCAGTGGCGGCGGTCGTTGGAAGGCATTCCATGCTTCGTGCGCGATTTCGTCGGATGGATAATGGGGATTGGACCCAATTTGTCGCCGACAGCGGCCTCACAGACTCTGCCTTTGCAGAGTATGAAGTCAACAACTTTGTTGAAGCAGAACCGCTGATGCAGCAGCGACAGCGATCGCTCGACATTGAACGCGGACCGTTGTTTTCAGCGGATGTATTCAACGTCCACGAAGGAAAGCAACAGTTCATTTTGCTCAGTGCATCTCACCTCATCATTGACTTGGTTTCGTGGCGAACGATCTGGCATGATCTGCAACAAGCCTTGAGTGGTGTATCCTTGTCGCCTCCGCCTACTTCGTACCGTGTATGGTGTGAATTCCAGCAAAGAGCGCGTAAGACTCTGCTACAGTCCCAAGTCCTCGCTTCCACACCCGAGCCGCCGCAGTTCGACTATTGGGCAATACCTGTAGGAGCAAACCAGTTCAAGAACTACGAAACTTATATTCAACGCCTCGATAACGACACCACTTCACTCTTACTGGGCAAAGCTAACGACAGCCTTGGAACCTCCACGCTCGATATCTTGATCGCGACTCTGGTACGTACTTTCCGCGCCATCTTCCACGACCGTACGGCTCCCGTTATCTTCCTTGAAGGGCACGGCCGCGAGCAGACCGAGGGCTGGGAAAGAGATATCTCTGAGACGGTCGGATGGTTCACCACAATCTACCCCGTTCAATTACGCCAGGATCGCGGAACGAATCTCTACGATGCTGTGCGAGAGGCCAAAGACACCCGCAGACAGATACCAGGGGATGGGCGTCCGTACCTCGCTTGTCGATACTACGGCGATACGGACCGCAGACCGTTTAGTCAAGCAGGAGAGATCGAAGTGATGTTCGATTATCAAGGCCAATTCCAGCAGTTGGAACGAAAGGACTCTGCCTATACGCACGCCGACCACATCCAACTGGAAGAGCTAGCCCCGGATCATCAAATGTTCAGTTTGATTGATGTCAGGACCATTGTCACCCGTGGACGCATGGAGGTGATTTTCTGCGTCAATAGGAATTTGCGCCATCAAACCAGGATCCGGAAATGGGCGCAGCATTATGTCGCCGAGCTGGCGCAAGTGGCTGGCATATTGGCTACTGCTCCGCGGAAATTCTCTCTGGTGGACTTTCCTCTTCTTCGGCACATGTCGTATGAGGGACTAGATCATCTGCTCGAGAAGCAGTTACCTCGTGTTGGCCTTTCCAGCGCCGAAGTTCGGGATGCGTACCCTTGCACCCCATTGCAGGAGGGAATCCTGTTGAGTAATAAGACGGGTTCGGCCACATATGCCAATCACTGGATTTGGGCTTGCGAAGGTGGGAAGAAAGTCTCTATTGACAAGCTGGAAAAGGCATGGCGTGCTACTTTTGCGCAGCATTCGGTCTTTTCCACCATTTTTGTGGATGATGCTCAAACCGGCGGGTTCGTGCAAGTCGTCCGCCAGAAAGCAAGGCGAGAAATCTATCGTGTCAGTACCGGCTCTGAGTCACCTGGAAACAGTCTACGCCATCTGAGTACTCCCTCCTTCGAGATGGGCCAGCCAGAGACCGCTGTCGCCATTGCTCGAGCAGACAATGGAGAGGTGGCGTGCAGATTGGACATGAGCCACGCCTTGGTCGACGCGGCTTCCGTGCCGGTCATCATCAACTGCGTGGAGAGAGCGTATCGCGGGCTGAGTTTGGCGCCGGCACCAAGTTTCCGCGACGCGGTGGAATATATAGAGCGTACGCCACGATCTGAGAAGCTGAAGTACTGGGTTCAATTCCTGGAGGGGGCGCACGTATGCCATTTCCCTGGCGAAGAGCAGTTGGGTAATACTGATGAAGAGAACGGTTACGACACACTGCCTATCGATATCGAAGACAGCAGACGGATCGACGATTTCTGTCGCGAAAACAGCGTCACACGCGCCACATTCATCCAAGTCATCTGGGCGCTTGCCTTAACGAGATTCGCCGGCATGGACAACGACGAAGTGTGTTTTGGGTTCCTTGCTTCAGGCCGGGACATGGCCGTCGATAAGGTAGACGATATGGTCGGCCCCTTGATCAATATGCTGGTCAGCCGTGTGGCTTTGCAGAGTCCAGAGGGGTCCATAGGTGTGCTCAAACGCACAGGCGAGCAGTCGATAGAGCATTTGGCACATCAGCATGTTTCTCTCGCCGAGATTCAGCGTACCGTCGGGGTGGGGAAGTTGTTCAATTCTTGTGTCACGGTACGTGATGCTTATGGGCGGGACCACAATTTCGGGCTGGACCGGGATGAAGATGGGCTAAGAATGGTGGATTTCCATGCGGAAGACGCACATGAGTTCGATATCGGACTTGGTGCTGGATTGGATGGGACAGAGACATCCCTCACGCTGGGCTGGCGAGGGAGTAGGGTAAGACTATCCACCGCAAGGGAGGTCGTCGAGACTGTGCAACAGGCCGTCGAATACCTTCTCGCAGCGAAATCCGCGCAGAAGGGTGAGAGGAGTCTGCAAGCAGACTTTTTCCATCATCTCGTCGGTGTCCATCAAGATGTCGCAGACGCCTTTTGGCGTGAACAGTTTGCCGGGCTAGAATCAATCCCTTTTCCTAATTTGCCTTCGTCTTCTTACCGGCCCAAAGTCGATGCTAGGGAGGAATCAGTCATAAATTCCCTGACATGGCCTGACGGCGAATTCGCGGCCGAGACCGTGGTGCGTGCAGCTTGGGCATTCTTGCAAGCCCGGCATATGGCTGCGAACGAAGTATTGTTCGGGAGTACAGAGCTCCGCAGCGGCTCAGCGAAGAGCTTTTTTGCCCCAGTAGTCCCGGTCAGGATCGTGATGCGGCATGACATGACGGTCGCATTACTCCTCAGCCGCGTTCAGCAGCAGAGAAAGATGTTGAGCGAGTACGAACGTACTGGGTTACAGCATATTCGACGCATTGGGGAGGAGACGAAACGGGCTTGTGAATTTCAAGCTGTTTTGGTCGTGCGGTCCGCTGCGGCGAAAAGGATGAACAGAACCCCTGGGGAGACTCAGTTGGATACAAACATCAACTATTCCTTCACGACAAACGGAATCAGGCCGACAGAAGAGTCGACCACCATCTACACTGGAATCGATGACTACGCCCTAGTCGTCGAAACGACGATCGCTGCCACGTCCATGCGGGTACAAGTCCGCTACGATTCCAGCGTTCTGTCACCTGAGCTTGCGCGGAGGATCTTGGGACAGTATGAACACGTCTTGCGGCAGATGATCGCACCGGAACAAACGCAGACGAAGCTCGGAGATGTCGAAGTGGCGAGTAGAAAGGATCTGGACGATATATGGAGGTGGAATGCACACGTCGCTCCAGCCTCTTGGGCGACTGTGCATGACATGTTCTCCGCCGTCGCACGACGACAACCTGAATCTCAGGCCGTATGTGCTTGGAATGGAGATTTGACGTTCCGGCAGCTGGACGAACTATCGGGCCGGCTCGCCCATCACCTCCTGCAACTTGGCGTGGGCATCGGGCCGGATGCCATTGTCCCGCTCTGCTTTGAAAAGTCCATGTGGATGCCGGTGGCCATGCTTGGGACCATGAAGACCGGAGCCGTGTCGGTGGCCATGGATGTTACACAACCAGAAGAACGATTGCGTTCTATCGCCTGCCAGGTGGATGCCCCGATGATAGTTTGTTCCACGAACAGCTTTAACCTGGCAACTCGTCTGAAACCCAAAGAAAGCACGACCATCGTCGCCATTGACGAATCAGGCCTCCTTGCTCTCCCACTACCACAGGATCGGAGCTTGCCGACCGTGAGTCCGGCCAGCACACTCTTCATCGTCTTCACATCGGGCAGTACTGGCGAACCGAAAGGAATCATCATTTCCCATTCCAACCTTGCCAGCGCTTTTGACTACCAGAGACACCCACTCGAGTACAGATCCTCATCCCGGGTGCTTGATTTTGCCTCTTACGCTTTCGACGTGTCGTGGTTTACATCATTTGGCACCATGACTGCCGGTGGCTGCGTTTGTATTCCCTCCGAGTACGAACGTCAAAACGATCTCTCGGGTGCCATGCTCCGTATGCGTGTGACAAATGCAACTTTTACGCCTACCATTGCCGAAACACTCGACCGTTCAGTCATCAAAACGCTGAGAGTGCTTGAGCTGGGTGGAGAGGCGGTCAGTGAGGCATTGATTGAGGACATGTCTACCTTGACGAGGGTTCGCGTGGCCTATGGACCGGCCGAGTGTACCGTCGGCACGGTATTTGCGTGGAAGGATCGTGGAGAGAAAAGCGATAAGGGGATTGGACGAGCCTTAGGGGCGTGTGTATGGGTCGTTGATCCTACTCTGCCCAATCGTCTCGTGGGCGTGGGATGTATTGGCGAGTTATGGATCGAAGGTGCGCAGGTGGGCGACTATTTTAATGATCCGGTAAAGTCTGCCGCGGCATTCATTCAGGATCCCCCCTGGCTTGTTTGTGGTGGGAGACATGGGAGGTTATACCGTACTGGAGATCTTGTCCGACTCAATGAAGATGGGACGTTGACGTTCATCGGACGAAAAGATGCACAGGTAAAGATCCGAGGTCAACGAGTCGAACTAAACGAGGTCGAGCGGCATATCATGCGGCAACTGCGTCAAAACAGCCTCAACGAGAGCGAAAGAGAAGGTGTCCAGGCTGTCGTAGACCTTGTTACGCCCAGGGAGATGAACCGCACGATCCTGGTGGCGTTCATCGTCCCTAAAGGAGCGCAAACCATGCCCAGGGAGGCTCTCGTCGACACGGTCACCCGCTTAATAACCGGTATACACACCCGCATGTCCAAAGTGGCTCCAATTTATATGTTGCCCACTGGATATATCCCTCTCGGCAAGTTACCAACTACAGCCACTGGCAAAGTAGACCGCAGACGGTTGCGGGAGATGGGAAAGGACCTTTCACCATCACAGCTACTAATCGATCCAGCCAACAAGTCGAATTCCGCTCCTCCGCATCAATCGCCGTCGACTTTGGCCGAAAGACAGCTCCAGCAACTTTGGGCGTCGATCCTTAATATAGACGTCGAGAATATCTTCACTGACAGCAGTTTCCTCGGGCTCGGGGGCGATTCTATTCTCTCCATGCACCTCGTGGCCGCCGCGCAACGAAAAGGTCTCTTCCTCACTGTGGCCGACATCTTCAAGCATCCGACACTTTTCGAATTGGCGCAGTTGGTCAAAACAGGTGGGTATGTGTACGAATCTGAGGCAGTGGAGCCTTTCTCGCTTCTAGACTCCTCCATCGACAAGCAGACGATTCAACAGCGCGCAGCGGCGCTGTGCAGGATTGATCCTGCCCAGGTTGAAGATGTTTATCCTTGCACACCCCTTCAGGAAGGACTGTTGGCTTTGACAGCTCGTCGGAAAGGTGGCTACATTGCAAGACACAAGATCCAGCTTCGGCCTGGCATTGATCTTGGCCGATTTAAACTCGCTTGGGAAGCGGTCGTGGCCGCCACGCCAGTTCTCCGGACGAGGATCGTCGACTTGGAGCATCAAGGATTGGCACAAGTTGTCGTTGACCAGCCGACAAGGTGGCTTTTCAACGACGATTCTAGTACCATGGCCATGGGACTCGGAACATCATTGAGCCACGTCGGAATTGTCTCAGAGAATGGCAAACAATACTTCATCTGGTCCGTCCATCACGCTCTCTACGATGGCTTTTCGGTCCCACTGGTACTGGACGCAGTCAAGGGGGCCTACACAGGCACGCGACGCCAACATCTCTCACCCTTCCAACCTTTCATCAAACACTCTTTGGCCTCGCGAAACGAAGAAGCAGCAACCTTTTGGAAACTCCAATTCACCGACCTCGCTGCACCGCGGTTCCCTGCTCTTCCGTCAGCAGGCTACCACCCGCGCGCAGATACAATTGTTAGGCACACCGTGAAACAACTAGGCAAACCACCATTTGGCATGACCATGTCGACCGTCATCCGCGCCACCTGGGCGATCCTCATCTCGCGGTTCACGGGCTCATCCGAAGCCGTCTTCGGTGCCGTCGTCAACGGCCGACAGGCAGCTGTACCTGGCATCGAGCGCATGGCTGGTCCAACAGTCGCCACTGTGCCAGTGAGGGTTCTTGTCGACTATGACAGCTCGCTGGAACGAATGCTCGAGCAAGTCCAACGACAAGCGGTGGACATGGCTCGTTTCGAGCAGACTGGGCTCCAATATATCCAGAAATTGAGCCCCGAAGCGGACGAAGCCTGCCATTTCCAATCACTCCTCGTCATCCAGCCAGCTGAGCGACAAGCCCCAGAGGCCGAGAATGATGTTTTTGCTGCCTCCACCTCCGGGCAGATAATCGATGATCATCCGGGAGTAGTACCCGTAAATGATGCTTTTACCACGTACGCGCTGACGCTCGTGTGCGAGCCTAATGAGCAAGACTTGCAGATTATGCTCAGTGTCGATTCGTCGGTGGTGGAGGCCAACCAGGCATGGAGGCTCGCGCAGCAACTGGAGCATATCCTCCGGCAGACTTGCAATTCCACGCATGGGGGCACGAAGCTCAGACATCTGAGTTGGTTGAGTTCGACGGATTCACGGGACATTTGGCAGTGGAACGCCGACGTCCCTCCCACAACGCAGCGGTGTGTACATGAGATATTTGAAGAAGTGGTCCGGACGCGGCCTCATGCTCGAGCAGTTGAAGCCTGGGATGGTAGTCTCACGTTCGATGAGCTCGACCGGTTATCTACTCGCCTGGCGAATCGTCTAATCGACCTCGGTGTCGGGCCCGAGGGGATTGTGCCTCTTTTGTTCGAGAAGTCCATGTGGATGCCCGTCGCCATGCTGGGCGTGATGAAAGCCGGTGGTGCTTCAGTCGGAATGGACGTCAATCAGCCAGAACAGCGATTGCGCAGTATCGTGATGCAAATCAATCCGTCTGTTATACTGTCTTCTAGGCACTATGCTCCCCTTGCAGTAAGTCTGGACCAAAGTTGCCACGCCAGAATCGTCGTCGATGAGGAGAGTCTCGGAAGATTATCCCCCAACAGTCTTCGAAGCTCCTCGAACGTTCAGCCGCACAATCCGCTCTACGTAGTATTCACGTCCGGCAGCACAGGCGAGCCTAAAGGCGTCGTGATTACGCATTCCAACTTCGCCAGCGCATGCGAATTACAATCAAAAGAATTGGAGCTCGATCCGAGTTCTCGGGTGCTTGATTTTGCGTCGTACGCCTTTGACGCATACTGGGCCACCAACTTCATGGTCATGTGCGCCGGCGGATGCGTCTGTGTGCCCTCGGAAGACCAACGCCGCAATGTCCACCAATTGTCGCAGTTCATACGGGAGAAGCGCATCACGTCCGCGACATTTACACCTACGATGGCCGAGACACTAGATTCTTCTGTCGTGCGGACGTTGAGATTCATCGAGATTGGTGGCGAGGCGGTGAATGAAGGATTAATTGAGCGTATGTCTGCTCTCACTCGTGTACGGGTCGCGTACGGCCCGTCAGAATGTACAATCGGAGTCATTTTCGCCAAAAAGGATCGCGGTGAGAAAGGATTAGGATACGGTATTGGGGCAAGGACGTGGGTTGTTGATTTACTTTCTGACCAACTGGCGGGTGTGGGCCATCTCGGAGAGCTCTGGATTGAAGGCCCCCTTGTTGGACAGGGGTATTTGAACAATCCGAAGATGACGGCAAATGTTTTTATTCGAGGTCCCGAATGGATTCGAGGCGCGGGCCCTGGACAACAAGAGAGGAATTGTGGTCGACATGGCCCAGTCCGGCTGTATAAGACCGGCGACCTGGTGCGGTATAACGAAGACGGCAGTCTAGCGTTTGTCGGGCGCAAGGATGCCCAGGTCAAGGTCAGGGGCCAGAGGGTTGAGCTTAGCGAAGTCGAACATCATTTCCTTCAGCAGCTTGCTAAGGGCGAGGATCAAGGTCCGGAAATCGAGAAGGATGGTGTGCACGTCGTCGCTGAGCTGGTGACTCCAAAGGATGTCAGGAACGCCATCCTAGTCGTCTTTGTCGTCCCAAAGGCAGCTGAAGCTGAAACGGTAACCATGGAAAACGTCACTCTCCGGTCTACGGTCCAGAGCCTGATACGAGGCGTAGACAAGCGCCTTGCGGCCGTCGTACCTTCATATATGATCCCCACCGCCTACGTACCTCTCTCCAAGATGCCGACAACTGCAACAGGGAAAGCGGACCGCCGACAGCTACGCGAACTCGCCAGACAACTCTCGATGGACCAGCTGATCGATGCGTCCAAATCTGACGATGGGCCCCGGAGAAAGCCATCTACGTGGGAAGAGAAGCAGTTACAACGGCTCTGGGCGTCGACACTCAACATTGCACCCGAAACGATAACTCTAGACGACACGTTCTTCTGGCGAGGCGGCGATTCAATTCAGGCCATGCGGCTTGTGGCCGCCGTCCAGCGTCAAGAGCTCTCGCTGACTGTCGCGGATGTCTTCCAGCATCAGACACTAGAGGAGTTGGCCAAACACTTGAAGAAGGACGAGTCGACCAGTGCACTAATTGCGCCACCATTCTCTCTGCTTGGTTCTCAACTTGACACAATTACCATCCGCCGACAGACGTCATCGCTTTGCGGTATCCAAGAATCTGCCGTCGAGGACATCTACCCTTGTACAGCACTCCAAGAGGGTCTATTAGCCATGACGGCAAAACGACCAGGAGATTATTGCGCTCATAATGTTCTCCCTCTCGGACCAACCATCGACAGCGACAAGTTCAAACGGGCGTGGGAGATGGTCGTCGCCCACACGCCGATATTACGGACACGCATCATCGATCTTCCGGGCAAGGGGCTCGTTCAAGTCGTTATCAAGGAACAAGTTGAATGGCTCCAACCAGAAAAGATCGAGAGCATGGCAACCAAGGTCCTGGGAGGCTCACTCAGCCACGTCGGTCTTCGGATCGATCAAGGACAAGGACTAACATTCGTCTGGTCGGTACATCACGCCTTGTACGATGCTTGGACAATCTCTCTCGTGCTCGAATCAGTCAACAAGGCTTATTGGACGGATTCCCCTTCGCAACTCGTGCCATTTGCTCCTTTTATTCAGCACACTCTCGCTTCGAGCGGTGAGGTCGCCCAACGCTATTGGCAAGGGCAATTTGCAGATTTAATTGCGCCTCAGTTTCCCATGCTGCCTTCCATCGGGTATCAACCGCGCGCGGACACGGCTTTCGAATGGACGATCAGAAATATTGGGCGGGCGCCTGCAGGAGTCACCATGTCGTCAGCAATACGAGCGTCGTGGGCACTGCTTATCATGCAGTATACCAACTCACCCGAAGCGGTGTTTGGCACCGTTTTCTCTGGGCGACAAGCTGCCATACAAGGGATTGATCGTATCGCCGGACCGACCATTGCTACGGTGCCTATACGAGTGCAAATCAGGGACAATCAGGACATGAGTATCAAGGATCTTCTCCAGTGGGTACAGAACCAGGGGATTGAAATGACCGCTTATGAACAAACTGGTCTTCAAAACATTAGACGGGCGAGCGCCGAGGCAGATGAGGCTTGTCGTTTCCAATCCCTGCTTGTCATCCAGCCACCTTCACAAAAGACTCGCTCGAAACGGAGCAGTCAAGACATTTTCTCGCCTTCGCGGTCCGAGGAGGGAGAAGAAGAAGACGAAGGCGCGCCTGACGTTCTCGACGCATTCAGCACATACGCCTTGACCATCCTCTGTGAACAACATGCAAATGACTTGAAATTGGTTTTTGGGGTCGATTCAAACATCATCACTACCGAACAGACGAAACGAATGGCAGCTCAGTTGGAACACGTCATCCGACAAATCTGCGAGCCAAAGCAAACACATCTCAAGCTGGACCAGGTCGATTGGATTAGCCGGAACGATTTGGATGATATCTGGCGATGGAACGCTACATGTCCCGAACCCACTGATGCATGCGTGCCTGATTTGTTGGCCGAGACGATCCGTCGTCAACCTGACGCGCCGGCTTTGTGTACAAGCAACGAGGAGTTGACATACCGTGACTTGGATGACCTGTCAACTTGTTTAGCCCACTGCCTAGCTGCGCATGGAGTTCACAAGGGAATCATTGTCCCGCTGTGCTTCGAAAAGTCCATCTGGATGCCGGTAGCTATGCTCGCCGTCATGAAGGCAGGTGGCACTGTGGTTGGACTAGATGTGACGCAGCCCGAGGAACGGCTACGGGCTATTGTCAACCGCGTGGCTCCTGTTGTACTGGTCTCCTCCGTGCTCAACGCCGAGCTTGCGCATCGCATCAAACCCAGGGAGGGTGTGAAAGAAAAGAAGAAGAAGACGGTAGTCATCTTCGTCGACGCGAACTGTCTACGTGCGATGCCCGCCAACGGTAAAGAGACCCTACCTCGTCCTTCTCCTTCGGATGCGTTATACCTAGTCTTCACGTCTGGCAGTACAGGTGAACCCAAGGGTGTCATCATCACACACTCGAATTTTGCCAGCGCATGCCAACTGCAGGCCAAGACACTCGAACTCGACCATACCTCTAGAGTGATTGACTTTGCATCCTACGCATTTGATGCCTGTTGGGCGACGAACTTTATGGTCTTGTACGCCGGTGGCTGCGTGTGTATCCCCTCGGAACATCAACGGAGGAATCACCTTTCTAGGTTCATCCGCGAGATGCGGGTGACGTCGGCAACATTTACTCCGACCGTCTCGGAGACGCTCGACAGCGACGTCGTCCGTACTCTTCGGTTCATCGAAATCGGTGGCGAGGCTGTCAGCGAAGGCTTAATTCAACGTATGCTCACGCTGACTAGAGTTCGCGCTGCATACGGGCCTTCGGAATGTACAATCGGTGTCCTGTTCGCGAAGAAGGAACGTGGAGAACAAGGACTTGGATACGGTCTGGGGGCTTGTATGTGGGTTGCCGACGTGAATTCGCCTGATCGACTTGTCAGCATTGGATGCATCGGAGAATTGCTCATTGAGGGCCCACTCGTCGGACAGGGTTATTTAAACGACGAGTCGAAGACGAACGCTGCGTTTATCAAAGATCCGCCTTGGTTACTCCACGGTGGGCCGAATCATCCTGGCCGACATGGTCGTGTATACCGGTCTGGCGATCTTGTACGGTACAATGAAGACGGCAGCTTGACCTTTATTGGACGCAAGGACGCACAGGTTAAGATTCGCGGCCAGCGAGTCGAGCTTGGGGAAGTTGAGCATCATATCCTGAACTCAATTCAGACCGAAGACCCAAGTGAGAGGGAGCGAATACAAGTGGTGGCTGAGCTCATTACGCCTCGCAACGTTAACCTGCCAATGCTGGTGGCGTTTGTCGTTCCTAGGGGTGCAGAGAATATGTCTCATGAGGCTCTGGTCAGGAATGTCGCTCGCTTGATGACTGGTGTACATGCCCGGTTCGGGACAGTGGCGCCGGTGTATATGATTCCCTCGGGGTATATTGCACTGGCGACGATGCCGACAACGACGACGGGTAAGGCAGACCGACGGCGTCTGAGGGAGATGGGTAAAGGACTTTCGACCGAGCAATTCCTCGATCCTGCAGGACCAAACGCAGGGCCTCATCGTCTCCCTTCCACGATAACAGAGCAAAAATTACAAAAACTCTGGGCTTCGCTCCTCAGCATCAGTCCCGAGAGCATCTCTGCAGACGACAGCTTCTTCCGGTTAGGTGGTGACTCGATTCAAGCCATGCGACTCGTCGCTGCAGCACAGAATGAGGGCATTTCGCTTTCTGTAGGTGATGTACTTCGCCGACCGATCCTCTCTCAGCTCGCAGAGCCGGCTGTGTCGTCGCCAGCCACGGCGAGCATTGGCGGCAACGTTTCTGCTTCTCGTCCTGGTCGGTTCACTCTCTTAGCCGTCGATAATTCTGAAGCGTTTGTCTCAGAGAAATTTCGTCCTGCATTGCCTCCGGATGCCGGAGAAATAGATGATGTCCTTCCCATCTCGCACACGCAGAAGGAATTCCTAGATGGGTCGGTGAAGAATACACCCATCGGAATCCACTGGTTCTTTGTGGATCTGCCATCAACAACAAACACGGCCCGGCTGGTGGAAAGTTGCGCCCGTCTGATCCAGCACTTTGAGATTCTTCGCACAGTCTTTGTTAGCATCGAGCAACACTTTTACCAGATCATCTTGAAGAATCTTTCTGCCCCTGTCGAGGTGCGCGATGTGACCGATGGACTGCAGAGTGCGGCGGAAGCCGTGGCGTCCGAGGATCAACATGATCAGCCGCCGGTCTCTGGTCGAAATTTTCTTCGCTTTGTCTTTCTCCGCGATGCAGCGGGTGGTAAACGACTACTCGTTCGACTTTCCCATGCGCAATACGATGGCGTCAGCCTCCCCCGTCTCTTTTCGACTTTACGCGACTTGTACAAGGGCAACAGAGTCTCTCCAGAGCCGCCGGCCATCTCAAGTTTGATCAAGCTGGAACAGGCACCAGTCGACTACCAATACTGGAACGATCTCCTCGACGGCTCGTCCATGTCTTTGATCAGCAATCAGGAGGCCGCCCACCGCTCGTGCAGCGCAGACGACGAAGCCTTCCACACGATCCAAATCGAACGAACCATCCCCTCTTGGCGACCTCACAATCGAGAATCCAACATGACGTCCGCGACAGTCTTCACTTCGGCCTGTGCGCTCATGCTCGCCGAGCTGAATACATCTCCGGATGTCCTATTCGGCCGCCTCGTCACGGGCAGAGCTACTCTCCCTCCGGAACTACGCGACACTGTCTTTCCTTGCCTAACTTCCTTACCCGTCCGCATCCGGTTAGAAGGTGACGACTCTGGAGAACCGTCCAAGAAAATCCTGACTCAAACACAAGATCAATACATTCAAGGTCTAGCGTACGAGCGTATTGGCATCGACCACCTCATCGCCAACTGCCCGTCTTGGCCAAAGGCGGAAAAAGAATGGGGTGTCATGTCGCAGTATCAGCATCTCCATCTCGGCAGCCATACGGAATCAACACCCTCACCGGAAGGGGGCCTGGAGGGTGGTGAGTTTATACCTCAAGGTCTCAAAGCCATAGGCGATCAACTTCGACGAACAAAGACAGTTCTTGTCGTTGGTGTTCCAAGGGGAGAAGAACTCAAAGTCCTCATCATTGGCAAGTCAAACGTTTGTGGCGAGAAATTGTTGGAGAAGGCGATGGATAGGTTGATTGTCGCTTTGGAAAGGTTTTCTTAACAAAAAAATAAAAAAATAAAAGAGAGGGAAAACGGAAAAAGAGTGACGGGGTTTGTTTTCACACTGAAGAGTAGAGAGATTGTTGATTATCTATCTAGATTGGAACCCACTCAGCCAAACCCTTTTATGCTGAGGCTTTATTGTCAGAGGGACGGCAGCCTTGCAGGTTGGTCTCTCAGAGTAGAGCCTAATCTTGCTAGGACGACAAGCCCAGCACGACGATATAAAGTATTCTCAGGCGGTATATTCGGATTTTGCCTTAATACCTATTTATCAAACAAAGTTTGCACTTGTAAATAGTCTGACAAGTGAACAACCAATCGCACGAAGGAACCTGCTTATTGATGTTCTACAAGGAGTACTGGGACAGTGTGTGGAAAAGGTGGTGGCAACGATGCCAATGGTGTTGACAAGTATATAGGGACTCTCGTCGTCCACTCAGTTGACAAAAGGCAGAGCATTCAATATATCTGAAGTTGCACCCGTTCGACAGCTGTACGAGAAGATAACTATATATTTAAATAAAGCCTGTCTACAGAGGTTTTCCTTGCCAGGAAGAAAGTCAGTATCCGTAGTCTTTCGAAAACTGAATCGGGCTTGGGAATATAGAGTCACCGATTCTTCTGGCGACTTTGTCTCAGAGCAAAAGCTTCCTTAAAAAGACATTCACTGCCAATCTCCCAACCGGAGATTGACCGGAGATGCAGTCCATGGTTAGCCTTTCTCCCGTCGCTTGATGCCTTTTACGATACCCGCTGGCCCAAAAAGGACAGTGGTGGAATCGAATGGTATGTACAGTAGTCGTCACGCCATACGAGCGATAAAGACATCGCAGACAATTAGGGCCCAATGCGGCGCTTCAAGCGCCCTCCAATTTCAACCATGAAGACGACGTACTATTCGCAAGGCTCCAGGCTAGCCAACCAAACTGACGCGCAAGATAGCGGACAGCAACACTTTCCGGAAATGGCTGCCAAAGACGGATTGTTGACTATTTGTCCAAACCATTCTTATAGGAAGGGATAATGGGGGGAAGGAAACGGAGAGAGCGGGAAAAGACAAAAATGAGTAGTGATTGGAGAATTTTCTTTGCTATCGAGTCGATTGGTGATTCTAAACCTAGGAACGTGAAATTGTTCAAGGCGACAGACCTTTTGATAGACCTAATCAATTTACTCTGTAGACTTGAGTAGCAGCCTGCATGAACGGAAATCTGAAGGCCGTCATCATCATGGTGACTGTTTCAGTGTTATGGTCCTCCTTTATGCCATATGGATGGTGCTCGACTAAAGAGAGGTTAATGGATCAATAAATGATAGAGGTGAGTACTATAGGATGTATATAATATGTTCCTCTGTCCGTAACGCTATATCCGGCCATGACTGGAGGCTAAGAGTTAAAAGGCTACGGATAATATAAAAGTTGTCCTCTCGTCTGCATTTACAACAAGCCAATTGTCCGTTGTTTCATCTTGCGCACGTCCACGTCTTCCCAAAGTGCGACACTTATAAGGGTGGTGGAGTAGATGCTGGTCGCAGCAATCAACATGTACCGCTGGGTTTCTGCATAGCTCCTGTTGATGGCATTTCTCGTGGGACTTCCCCAAGGATAACTGGCCTGGACGGTCATGTCGCCATAGATCTTGGCCAGATCTCCTTGCGCGCTGGCTGGGAGGTATTTAGATAGTTTCTCGGGGAAGATGCCCGTCCACATGGCCCCTGCGATCGTCGAACCAACAGCGGAACCAATGGCAATGATCATCGACTCGCAAGCCAACAGGGCGGGGAAATCGCGTTGCTTGGAGACGGCCATCAGGGTGGTCTGCTCGGAAATGACCAAGACACCTCCGCCGAAGGCGACGAAGATCTGGCACATTACGATATAACCGATGTTGACGTCCGGTTGCCGGAACTTGATCATCAGACCAACTCCTAGGATGGTAAGGGGAACGCCCCAGAAGAACGAGTAGAGCTTCAGACGGCCGCTGAAGTAGCGAAGGCAGAGTCCGTAAACGAGAGAGATGAAACAGCTTCCCATCGTATAGATGTTGCTAATATAAGTCGCATGAACGATGGTCTGGTTGAAGAGGACGACGAGAAGGGAAAAGAAGTAGCTATCCCAGATATACCAGCCAATATATAGAGAGGCAGCCATTGTATAAGTGAAGATAACCGTCCGGTTCTTGAGCAGCTCCCAAGGTACAAAAGTAATCGGAGCAAATTTGGCCTCCCAGAAGCCGAAGGCGATAATCAACAAACCGCCAAAGATGAGAAAGCAGATAATCAAAGGAGATCGCCAGGTGTCCGGCTGGTAGGAATAGATGTTGAAGGCCAAGAGGAAGAGAGACAGTCCCGTAGCGAGGATCAACAGTCCGATCACGTCAAACTCCTTGAGGTAATGGAAAGTTTTCTGAGACAAGTTCATGTTTGCCGTGACACGAAGAGGTATGAGGCCTGCTTTACGGGCCTTTCGTTGAGCTATCCAGTGCACGATACCGAATGGGGCGCAGACAATAGGGACGACGATACAGAACACGCCAAAGCCCCATCGGAAACCCATGCCGGCGAGAATGCTATCAGCCGCGTATCCGTAGACCCAGGTAGTGATGAGAAAGGGCGAGGAAGCGTAGGCGATCATGAAACCTCGATTCTTCAATTTCGATGTATCGGCAATGCAGACAGTAATGCTGAAGGAGATGCCATTGTAACCCATCCAGTAAAAAACTTGGGCTGCACAGTACGTCCGAACATTGTTGCAGCCGGCCATCATTATCAGGCCGGCCGTGATGAAGAGCACGCTTAAGGCAAAGGCGTGTGGTCTGCCCCAGACGTTCATGATTTTGGCGTATGGGAGCTTCCAGATCCCGGCGACCAGGGACGAGATGACGCCAGTGAGTGCCGTCAATGAGTGCTCTTGGAAGGAGCTCGTCACATAAGGGGTCAGAGTGTTGACAATGCCGTTGGAAAAGGCGAGGATGAACTCGATCAGCCATATCCTGGGGCGCGCACATCAGTACAGATGTTTCCTATACAAAAGGAAATCTCGTGTAGAGGCGTCGACACTCACATGATATATAGAAAAAGGATGTCTTTCTTCGACCACGCGTAGGTCATAGCCTGCACAGTTTGCACACCATGCTCGGCGTTGTCATCGATTTTCTCGAGCGACTCATCGTCAGACGAGTGGTCCACAGAAAACGACGGCTTTCCCTTGTGGACATCTCTCTCGTGTGTCGTTGGCCCGGAGTCGACTTCAGGATGAGTTTCTGAAGAATTCAGCCCGTCAGCCCCAGGCTCAGTCGTTTTGCTACCTAGGACCGATACGAGGCTAGGGATCCCAAGCTTCATATTGAGAACCCTTGTATTGAATGTGATAGAGAGGGAAAAAAGAGTGTATAATTAACGCAGATGATTGATACGCTGAACTGTGTCGGAGACTACAGATTGATAAGTTTTCAAAGATGACAAAGGCTAGAAGACGAATCAGTTGATCTTCTATACATCGAGAGATCTCACATTTTCGTGATCGGCACACGTGGCTCCCCTTTCGATTACCACCCTCCCACCGAGTTTGTTCCAGGTATCTCCACTTTTCTTTGTGAGCGATATCGGTATTACGTGATACAGACAGGTCACATCAAACCCCCCACCCCAAAAATCGGCTGTGGGTATCGATCGGGGGCTCTAATGAGTTCGCTCTCTTTCACACATGTTCGGCACGGTAGTAGTGGCCGACACAATATCTTCATCAATCAGACCACCCAAAGGGCTAGATCACAGCAGAGAAGATTTCAGGCAAGCCTTGATCAAAAAAGCTCAAGCTATCTCAAGGATGCTATCGGGTGGAGCTTTGTCGCAGCAGAAAGAGGGGTAATTTTTTTTTTTTTAAATTTCATCCATACGACATCTAGTCTAGCTGTTGAAGTGAAAATTTCTATCTAATCTGATCCGCCCCTCCAGAAGCCGCTATTAACCCGTGAGTTGTCAGGGGCGGGTGTCTCATTTCAAGACTCCGTAGCGTGCACAGGGATGCCATTGATTCCGGCCTGCTTCCGGCCGAGCCAGACACTCCTGGGCGAGCTCGGTAGAAGTTGATGGTGGGGCACCACGCATGGCCTAGTCTGTATTGAGTACCACAGTGCCGATCCCTTGTTGGGCTTCAAAGAAACTTGAGACACGGATTAGGATAGGAGGCGGGCAAGACCGGCCTGTATCGGTGGTACCAAATCTGGGTATACAATTGTCTAGAAGGTATTTTCCAACATGGGAAGAACACATATACCACCTTGCTGCACGTGCGCTGCATATTTCGGACAAGATGTCTCCTCCTCGATCACCGTACAGAATACTCGTCCTGGGCGGTTCGTATGCTGGTTTGGCCGCCGCCGTTAATTTGACGGATCTGTGCGAGGGCAAGAATTCACGGACGGGGATCGAGTCGTCACGGCCTGGGTCCTCAATGTCGGTTGAGATTACGATTGTGGACGAGAGGGATGGATTCTGTAAGTCGATCGAAAAGTTGATGAGACCCTTTGTATGGCGCTGAATGTGGTGTCTGCCCATGTCTGACCATAACATCGTACTTGGGTCTAGTTCACCTAATAGGAGCGCCTCTTGCGCTAGCGGAAGAACAATACGCCAAACGAGCGTGGAAGAAATACGCCGAGATTCCTGGCCTCCAGCAACCTTCGCTGAGATTTATTCACGGCTCCGTCTCCCGACTGGACTGCAAAATCAAGAAGGCAACAATTGTGCCCCATGGCAGCGACACTTCGGTTGCACAAAGTTATGACTACTTGATTGCCGCGACGGGCCTGCGACGAGTGTGGCCTACGGTGCCGCAGGAACTCACCCGTGACCGATATCTTGTTGAGGCTGTAGGACACATCAACCAAGTACGGAATGCAGACAAAGGAGTCGTCGTGATCGGTGGAGGTGCCGTGGGTGTGGAAATGGCGGCTGAGATCAAGATGGTGGTGAGCCTCTTGTTAGGACTTTGGGGATAAAAACATGGAACACTGAAGCAATCACTAATTAACTAGGAGCCACACGTCAGGGTCAGCTTGATTCACTCACGGAACACGCTGCTGTCGTCCGAACCTCTCCCCGACAAGTTTGGGCACAAGACCCTGGCGCTGCTGGAAGAAGTCGGCGTCGAGGTGATGCTAGGCCAGCGTGTCGTGGACATTTCACCGTCCCCTCAAGACCAATCGACCAAGGTCCTACGGTTGTCAAATGGTATCGAACTGTTGGCGAGCCATGTCATCAACGCCGTGTCGCGGCCAGTTTCGACATCGACATATATTCCCTCCGAGGCTCTGGATGCAGATGGATACGTTAAAGTCCTGCCGTCCATGCAATTCCCCGAAATCACTCCCAATGCCGCATACCACTTTGCCGTCGGTGATATTGTCGCCTGGTCAGGCATCAAGAGAGCGGGAGGAGCATTCTACATGGGTGGTATCGCAGCCTCCAATATTCACCGGCACATACTACATTCTCAAGCTATGATCGAACAACCCAAGTACATTGAGGCTCTTGTTTACCCTCCTAGTATTGCAGTTGCGGTCGGCAGGAAGGCTGTTGGGTATTCAGAACGCGAGGGTGTGACTGCTAGTGAAGCTTTGATGGAGGTGATGTTCGGAGATGATCTGGGCTTGTCGATTTGTTGGCGGTACCTCGGGCTAGGCGTACCCTGGAAGCCGTTGTCAAGAAGACTGGGAATGGGCCACATTGAATTAGTCTAGCCATGACCACCTTTTTGGACCGCTAATCTACAGAGACAAGCCGTTAACCCAAGAATTGTCTTTTTTTTTTTTTTTTTTCAACTTTGGTACCATTTAATCCGGGACGTGGTCTGCCTTAGAGACACACCTCCTATACTACAATTGTACTAGTAGTAGTAGCCTCTCAAACATTGCATATCCGAGCCAAGGAAGCATCGTGGCGGCTTCACCTCGCGTTTGGGACCCACTTTTGCATTTGTTTGCGAGGCCCCCGCACGATCTTCATGATCCACATCCTGAAGTCGAGGCTACCGCCATTTCATTGGTCCATCAAGGACTAACGCCAGTTTTCTAGTCACATTTTCTTTGATCCACACTCCAATTTATCTTATCAGATGTAACATGCCGCGTTCTTGGCAATAGTGTCATGTCAAAAGTATTCGTACCCTACTAATTTTTTAAGCTTGCTACATCTAGACCTATTTAGGAAGGGTTGCCGGAGAGCAAGGTCACGTGACTCAAACCTTGCGGATAGATAGGCATCCTCTACTGCTATGTAGCACCTAGTTGGCCTTTCCTGGCACCTATAGTCGTACTCCCAAAATGCTCGGCTTGCAGAGCCTCCGGCGCCAGGTCTCTGCGACTCGGGAGCCTCGACACTCTGCGCCCACAGTCCGCCACCCGACAGATCCCCGCTATTATTAGCTAAATGCTTGATGAAAAGAGATGATGAATCAAGAAGTGATGGGACGCGAGCACTACCTTGACGCGCACATCACATGCCTCCCGTCCAAAATACCATCCCCACCCCGAACATCTCCATTCTTCGGGGGGGAGGGTGCATCTGAGACGGTTCTTTTGCCGTCATCTTGATGAGCCCGGTTAAGCACCTCACCTACCGCCTATGTACCTGGAGTGCGAAAGTCCTGCGATACAGCCTTGGTAGCCGGCACCGGGCTGTAAAAGCCAACTTCACTCAGCTCAATTCATCCTAACGTGCCGCGCCTTGTTTCACTCTTGATGCGCCTTCGTACCATCTATTTGCCATTTTCTCTTGTGTGTGCAAGTCCTTTTCTCTTCTCTTCAATTCGCCTGACCAGCAGCGTCCATGGTGTCGACGGAAATCAGCGACAAGCAAGCGCTGTCCAACACCGTGCTCCAATGTGACTCTGAAAAGCGGTCGTCCACAACTAGCCTTAGAGATGAGACTCCCCAAGAACCCCTAACGGGAAATGAGAAGACGGTGACGGTCTCAGAAGAGGATGGCGGGGAACAAGAAAAGCACGACAATGGCGGCATAAGCAACTACTTTGTGAGTCGTCTTGTTGAAATCTTATGCTGCAATTCCTGCCCGGGACATGGAAGGGTAATGGATTAATTGTAGCGTATCTACACTTACTGCGATCGTTTGGACGTTGTCCTTTATGTCGTCGCCGTCACGGGATCCATCCTCTCAGGAGCTGCACTTCCATTGATGACCATTGTATTCGGTCAGTTCACTACCGATTTCGCCAATTTCACGAGCGGCACCGATAGCAGCGTCACTCCACAAGAGTTTCGCGACAATGTGGACGATTTTGTTCTCTGGTTTATCTATCTTTTCGTTGGCCGCTTTGTCATTTCCTACATTGCCACAGAAGCCGCGTCAGTGGCAGCGATCCGCGTCACTCGTACTATCCGCCTGACATTCTTGGAGAGCGTACTTCGACAAGAGGTAGCGCATTTCGATCGCCCCATCGGATCCATTTCCGCCCAGGTTACAACGAGTGAGTCTTTGCCCCGTTTGAAGTCGAAATCGCTGCCCTAGAATAGACTCTAACGAGAGGAGTAGATGGCACTCGGATCAACCACGGCATCGCCGAAAAGCTGGTCATTTTGGTTCAAGCAGCATCCTTGTTCGTCTCTGCCTTTGTCGTTTCAGTGGTGGTCCAGTGGAAGCTCGCTCTCATCACCATGAGCATCATCCCGCTTATCATTGTCACCATGACCCTCAGCATCACCATCGATGCCCGACTCGAAGCACCCATCGTTCGGTTACACTCGCAGGCCGCCGCCGTCGCACAAGAAGCTCTGAGTTCAATAAAGACGATACATGCATTCTGGGCCCATGAGAAGCTCGTCAAGACTTACGACAAGTTCCTGACTGCGGCACACAAACGGGCCAACTGGAAGCGTCCCAACACCTCCATCGGAAATGGTATCTTTAACTTTTGCATCTTTGGCGGCACCGCACTAGCCTTCTGGCAAGGCTATCGCATGTACGAATCTGGTGAGATTGACGGCGTCGGCGAAGTGCTTACCGTCGCACTGTCGGTCAGTTTGGGAGCTACGGCGGTATCGGCTATCGCTCCACAACTGGCACATATAACCAACGCTTCTGGCGCGGCAGCCGAACTATTTTCCATCATTAACAAGAAATCAAAGCTAGATCCACTTTCACCTCACGGCGATCGGCCTCCGAATTGCGGGGGCGATATTGAGATTCGCAATTTGACGTTTGCATATCCCACGAGATCGTCTATCAAGGTCCTGGATAGTCTAAACCTATCGATTCCCAAGGGCAAAACGACGGGTCTGGTGGGAGCCAGCGGCTGCGGAAAGTCGACAATTGTCGGTCTGCTCGAGCGATGGTATGAGCCAAACGCAGGTGAGATTCTTCTCGACGGCCGAGATGTCGCCGAATACAACATCAAGTGGCTCCGCAGCACGGTTCGACTAGTCCAGCAAGAACCGGTCCTCTATCGTGGAACAGTGTTCGAGAACGTGGCCAAGGGTCTTGTGGATGATCAACTTGCTTTACCTCCGCACCAGCAATTGGAATTGGTCAAGTCAGCCTGCGAGTTGGCCAATGCACACACTTTCGTGGAGGAATTGCCGCATGGTTATGATACTCAAGTTGGTGAACGAGGTGGGATGTTGAGCGGCGGCCAGAAACAACGGCTTGTCATTGCGCGCAGCATCATATCCAATCCCAAAGTTCTACTTCTCGATGAAGCCACCAGTGCGCTCGGTAAGTGGGGTCTCAAACACCAACTTTTTTTTTCCTTTTGACTAAGCGTAAACTCGTTACAAGTTACCCTAGCTGACCAACCAAAAATGACACAGATCCTCGATCAGAGAATATCGTCCAGGACGCATTGAATAAGGCGGCTAAAAATCGCACGACGCTCGTCATCGCGCACAAGCTCTCGACAATCAAAGCTGCCGATAATATCGTGGTTCTGTCAAAAGGCCGGGTAGCGGAACAAGGCACTCACTCCGAGCTCCTCGCCAAGGGAGGAATGTACGCCGCTTTGATCCATAACCAGCAGCTCGGTGACACCAAAGAAACCCCTGACGAGGATGGCGGTGCTGTGAATGAGGAGAAGGTCGCCGTCGAGGAGGCCGTCGATGTCAACGAGGAGAAAATGGAGCTTTCGACAGCTGTCGAGACAGCCGACACATCTTCTCCTTCCCCAACAGCAGGCACGCTCAACTATTCGCTTTTCCGCTGTCTCTTCATCATCGTTCGAGAGCAAAAGGATATTGGCTGGCACCTCGGCCTTCTTCTGATGACATGTTGTGTCAGTGGTGGAGCATTCCCTGCCCAAGCCGTGCTCTTCTCCCGGCTGATTGACGTCTTCACTTTAACCGGCTCGGCGGCGAGGGAAAAGGGTAAGACAATGGTGTCCATACTTTGCCGTGCACAACGATTTGCTGACCTTCTCTTTTCTAGCCAACTTCTTCGCCCTTATTTTCTTCATCTTCGCCCTCATCAACATGTGCTCCTACTTAATCATCGGGTGGTCGGGGATTCACGTTCGTTTCTCAACCATTTTGCCCAATTTTGACTAGTGATATCGGACTGACTCTCCCCCCTTTAGGTCGGCCAAGTCATCGTGCACCGATACCGTGTCGAGATTTTCCGCCGCTTACTGTATCTCGACCAAGACTTCTTCGACATTCCCCAAAATTCATCGGGGGCACTGACATCGAAACTCTCACTGGTGCCGGATTCCATTAACGAACTCCTTTCCGTGACGGCCTTTTTGGTCCTCATCTGCTTTATCAACATCGCCGCCTCCTGTACCTTGGCGATAGCGTCTGGTTGGAAACTCGGCCTTGTCGTCGTCGCTGCGGGCATGCCCGTCCTAATTGGCTCCGGCTACGCCCGTACGAAGCTCGAACAGAAATTCGAACGGGAGACGAATGAGCGGTTTGCCGACACGGCGGCTCTGGCCACAGAAGCAGTCACATCTATCCGCACCTTGGCTGCCCTGACGCTTGAACGTCAGATTGTTGACGAATATCGTAGCTCGCTAGATCACATTGCCAAATCTGCCCTCTATACCATCAGTCTGACCTCGCTCGGCTACGCACTATCCCAATCACTCGAATTTCTGCTCATGGCATTGGGTTTCTGGTATGGCTCTCGCCTGCTGTCGACGGGGGAGTACAGCGTCACGCAATACTACACCGTCTTCATGGCCGTTCTCTTTGGCGGTCAAGCTGCAGGCCAGATTTTCGCCCACGCCACCTCGGTTGTAAGATCTCACTGGGGAACGAATTGGATCCTATGGTTACGCACCCTCAATGCCACGATCCAAGAAGAAAAAGACAACGCCGATAAGGGCCCCACCGGCGACGGTTCGCTCTTAGTCGAGGACGTGGAATTCCGATACAAGCAACGAGACGCCGCTCGCGTCCTTAACGGCATGAACATCCACGTGCGTATTAATCACCTTTCCCCCCCCCCTTTTTCTTCATCCTCCCTAACAATGCTCCTCAATATTAGGTCCCACCCGGATCGTACGTAGCCTGCGTCGGGCCCTCCGGATGCGGCAAAAGCACCCTTATCGCCCTCCTGGAACGTTTCTACGACCCTTTGTCCGGGCGCATCACCTACGGCTCATCAGATATTAGACTCTACTCACCTCGTCTCTACCGCAGCCACATCTCTCTTGTGCAGCAAGAACCAACACTCTACGAAGGCTCGGTGCGAGACAACATCAGTGTCGGCGTCGCAAACGAACCTTCCGACCAGGAAATTTTAGAGGCCTGCCGCCAAGCGAATGCGCTGGATTTTATCACTTCCTTACCAGAGGGTCTAGATACCCCATGTGGCTCGAAGGGACTGCAATTCTCGGGCGGACAGAGACAGCGTATTGCCATCGCGAGGGCCTTGATCCGGAACCCGCGCTTACTTCTTTTGGATGAAGCAACTTCTGCGTTGGATACGCAGAGCGAGAGAGTAGTGCAGCAGGCTTTGGACAAAGCAGCATCGTCGAGAACGACCATTTCGGTCGCACATAGGTTGAGCACCATTCGTTACGCGGATATCATCTTTGTTTTTGCGAATGGGAAAGTTGTGGAACGGGGTACACATGAGGAGTTGCAGCGGCTGAGAGGACGGTATTGGAATATGTGTGTTGCGCAGGCGTTGGATAATAGTAGGGTTACGGGGTGAAAAAAAGAAAAGAAAAGAAAGGGGGACTCTGGGGGCTGTCGTCGTCGATAAGTCGTATACATGAAAACAAAATATATATATTGTTTGCATATGAGCCTAATCTCGAGCGAAAAGTGATTTTTTCTTCGAATCCGTATCACCCCAAGAAAACACCATTGGTGGCTTGCGTCCGATTTCTTTCTCCTGTTATGGAATATAAAGAAGCATCTCTCTCGCAGGATTCGTATCTAAAGACAACTTGAGCGCTCCTCTACCACGATAACCAAAACTCATGACTTGAATTCAACCCACCCTTTGATAGGGTATCATCTTCACGACGGTCAGCGGATCACAAACCCTCGAGCATAATAGTCAACAACGAAGATAACCTTTGCTGGCCAAAACATGCTCAGAGCACAGGAGATCACAGGCGTGACTCCAAGTGCGCACCATCAGTAGTCCTTTTGTCAGACGCAATTCAACACAGTTTTCCAAGTGGCTTAGAGAGAGAACACCAGCATAGAGTGTAAGATATCAAGAGTAATGCTCCTACTTCTTACCAGGTTCAAGTCAAAAACTGTCACCAAGTCCCGAAGAACCACTTTTGCTCTTGACAAAAAGAAAGAGTTTGTGTTTTCAGCTCACATGAGCTATCAAAGTTTTGTCTTCTCGAGAATCCGAGCTTGGCACATTCTTTGTCTAGTAATCGATGACCCAGTATGTGTGAGAAAGGTTGGCCTTTTTTCACCAGTAGCCTCGAGCAAGCCGATGGAAATGGAATGAAGGATTGACAAAGTAGCCTAGCGCCCAGAAGGCCATCGCCCACCCCACAGGGTCGTCGCTAGGGATTTTCTTCTTTCCTTTCCTCACCCCCGGTCTCATGGTTGAGAACATGTCGATCTCCAGGGGCGACTATTCTGTGGTAGAGAGCGGTGGGCCAGCAAAAGCAAGTAGATGAGTTACCCCTACCACAGTCAGACCACCAAGAGCACATAGCTCCGGGTTTTGCCGACATCACGAGCTACTATCGAAGTTACTGTAGCATACATATTACTGGTGGAGGGTCAACAGGGGATCAAAGCAAGACGTTTCAATTAGTAGGCCACGACTGCCCCGTGATGATTGGAGCTTGGCGCCAAGGCTTGAGAGCGTCGCTATATTACTATATTGTTGAACGGGTGGTAACCTATCGTTCACGACTAACCAGGTTATTTTACAACACTCGCTCACTGTCACAACCTATACAATAGTAATGTCACATGTCTCAGCACCCGAGCCCACAGAAAATGTGGGCTCCAGGCCTCATAGTTAGTCCTCTCCTCGTACATGATCCTGAGTAGTCTACCATCGGTGAGGACACGTTGCACGGTGTCAAGGCGAGGAAGGGGTCACTCAAGTCTGGTCCAAGCGATGGCTCATCTCTGCATATCTATTGTACGACTCATGTCTGTCTAGTTGGCAATATGGTTAGGCGACTGACAAGAAGATCGACCTCCTCAGGATTTGACTCATCTGCTTCACCGATTCACCGCAGCAATAGGCCAACCTTTCTTGGGTGCCCTATGTTACCAGTTCCTTTTCGCTTCATGGCCTCGCCGCCATCACCAGTATCGTTGCCTCACTGGTATCTGGAATGATTGAATTCCCCTTTGCGAGATACATCGACATAGTAGGCCGTCCTCAAGGGTTTCTATTTATGTTGATCTGTGTTTTTCTTGGTAAGGTCTAGCTTTTTTTTTTTTTTTTTTGGGATCGGCATTCTAAGACTAAGCACTTCAATTAGCATTAATCCATATGGCGGTTTGCCAAAATGTCGAGACTTACGCAGCTGCCCAAGTGTTCTACTAGACCGGTCTGAACGGATTGGATATATCCTAGGAATGTTCATCTACGATACTTCCACTCTCTGGAATCGTCCAATTGCCATGGCCTTCACCTCCACGCCATACATCAGCAACACCTTTGCCGGCCCGGCACTGGGTCAGACCTTTTTAGATCACAGCACTTGGAGATGGGGTTATGGAGCGTTCGCCATCATCACCCTGGCCATATGTATCCCTTTCTGGACAATTTTCTTCATCTTGACGCGAAGTGCGAAGCGGAGAGCTCTCATATCCCCTAGGAAAAGTTCCGGCCAAAACTTTTCCCAGTCTGTATGGCACTATATTATTGAGTTTGACTGTAATGTCACCACACCTCCCTTCAAGGAAGAGGATTCGCTAACGGGTTCATAGTTGTCGAGTTAATTTTTATTTGTGGTAGATTTTCCATCTTCCTCTTACCATACAGTCCAGCGATGTATCAGGTCAAAGGATGGAAATCGCCAATATCTGTATGATCGTTTTTGGATTGGTGATTCTGGGTCTCTTCGCCGTCTGGGAAAGGTTTTCTTCGTCTAAACCACTCTTCCCGTACAAACTTCTTACCGATCGATCCGTCGTCGCAGCATGCCTGGTGTGGGCGAATTTGTGGCTGAGCTCCTAGTAGGACATGGCTCCGCTCCGCTCCCTGAAACCTCTTTTCCTCCTGGTTTCATGTTCTTGGGCAATTCCTCTCTCATTGTACGTGCCGTTCCCACTCTCCCCATTTTTTCAAAAAGGGTTTCGTTCAAAATAACCCCTTTTATATATGTCTTGACATTCTCATCAACCTCATCCGTTATTTCATCAGCTATAAATGGGCCGCCATTATTTCCATCCTCATTCAACTCCTGATGGTTGGCTTGATGATCCCTTTCCGCCAGCCCGATACTGCATTCGGACTGGTTATCATGATATAAATCTTCGCAGCCATGGCTGCATCGACACTCGTGACTGTCGAACAATTGGCAATCACGGCTGCCGTTCCACACGAGAACCTCGCTATGGCCATCGTCCTCCTCTCCGTGGTCACTGGTATCGGTGGCTCGATGGGCCAAACCATCTCCGGGGCCATCTGGACTCAAACTTTGCCGAGCAAATTATACGAATACCTCCCCGATGATTTCAAGGATCAAAGCCTGACAATCTACGGCGACCTCGTGGTGTAACTCAGCTATCCTTCGGGTGTCCCTGCCCGGGAGGCAATTATCAGAGCGTACGCGGATACTCAGAAACTCATGGTCATCACGGCAACCGCGCTCTTGGTTCCACCATTCGTCTGGGTTGCAATGCTCAGGAACTACAAATTGTTCGACCTCAAAGGTATTGTCATGAGGCGCCAAGAACATGTATATAGCATGCGTTACGCAGGATACCCCTATTCGACTTCCAAGCGTGGAAGTCGATGTCGCCCCTGCACCTATATAGATAGATAGGTATCCTTTTGACGTCTTTGCAGCCCGCTGGCGAGCCTGCCCCTGACAGGTATGTTGTTCTAGGAGGAGGGGAAACGCAAAAGAGTCCGATATTTGATGTCGGATGTTGGATGCTAGAAGCCAATTTATTCCCCCCACACACACATATTTATATGCATTCATCCGGTAACACGGCTCAGCTAGTCTGATGGTAGAGAACCACTCCCAGTTCCAGTCCAGGTGTTTGGAAGGAATTGGCCTGGATGCGGATTGGCAGCAAGGCATAGTAATTTAGCCGCTATCTCCTCGAATTCTCCTTTGATGGAACCTATCCATTCCCTTGCTCACACAGAATCCTTGTAGAGAAGAGGGTCACTCTCGCTGTGTGGATAATTTAGGAGAGAGAAACTCGAACGATACATGTTTTTGACTCTAAGCAATCGTCAGGCTAACCCCTCCTTCTCTCTACCTTATCTCATTTCAAGAACCAATCTGAGCTCAATACGTCCGAAGTAACTTAGACTGATTGTATTCCCAAGCCGTCATGGGTTTCACATACTTAGGCAAACACCCACTCTTGACAAACTCGGGCATGGTCGCCACCGAAACATCGCGATTCGGCTTCCCAAAATATGCAATTGAATACCGATCCTCAATCACACTCTCCGGGTCATCCGGCCCTGAGCAAGGCGCAGTAACCCGATGACATGCGGACCGCAACTGATCGTTCGTCCACCGCTGAAGACAATCGCCCACGTTGACAATCATCTCCGTGGGATCGTTGGCTTCCACGGGCATGTATTCGCCTGGCCCGTCTTGCCGTTCGATTTCCAACCCCCCAATCATGTCCTGGAAGAGCAGTGTGACAGTGCCAAAATCCGTGTGTTCCGAAATGCGCCGTGTGCCTTGTGCGAGCTGCGAGCGTTGAATGGCCGGGTAGTGGTTCATGCGGAGTTCGCTGGTGTTGGTTTCGCAGAGTTGACGGAAAAATGGGCGGGGGAACGCAAAGGCGAGGGCGATGGCTTCGAGGAGGACCATGTGCATCTCGTGGCAGCGTTCGTAGAGATCCGTCATGAACTTCTGGAAGCTTGGGATGTCTTTTTCGTCAGGCCAGATGTTAGGGTAAAGTTCGTCGTATTGTGAGCCTTGATCATAGGATTCCTGTTTTGGAATTCCGTATCTAATAAGTGAATATTCAAAATGAATTGTGGGGAAAAATAATAATAGGTATTTGAGGTGGTTGGGAAACGAACCTTGATGTCTCTCTTCTCTTCATCGGTCATGATTCCTTTCTCAAAATCCTTGACTCGCGAGAGCTTTTCTTGCCCAACATAACTGTATCCGCGATGTGGATTGGGTCGAGGGGGGTGGGCCGCTTTCATCTTGTCTTCTAACGGCATGCTGAAAAATCGCTTACTCTGTCCAAATGGAAAGTATATATTGTCAGAGCTCTGAAATGAAATGAATGAATGAAATCGGACGCGGAAAAGAGATCATTCCTTCCCCTCGTGCTCGCTGTGGTGAAGACAATATGTTCACGTACCCACTCAAAAGCTTCGTACATGGTCTGTTTGGGGATGATATGATTCTTCAGCTTAATAAAGCCCAGACGAGAGAGGACATCTTTTAGGGTCGCACAGAACTCGGTCTGCTGCGCGGATGTTCCATGAGTAAATAGTGAAAAGTCCAGCGAAGGCACATCGTGTCCTATCGAACCCATGACGGAAAGTGGTATTCGAAGAGGAAAAATCCACAAAGATAAGTTCAGGTATCTGTCAAACAATGACTCCAGTGATTTTGCGGGAATCCAAACAAATTGAACAATCATCGCCAACGCAAAAGCACAATCCTACAAGTGAAAATAGGAGTCAGTTCGATTGATTTTTGCGTAAAGTTGTGTAGAAAGATCCCCCGACCCATGTTTCAACATAGCAATGCAGTCTATATTTTGGCCGATTTCGGAGAATGATAGCAAACCCGAGCTCGCAATCGAAGCGAAAGTCTTTACAGGATACAAGTAAAGGGTATGCCGGGTACGGCAGAGCATATTGCACGTATGAGTCTTGGCTGGCTGATCGGTGATGACATAGTTTGTTCGGGAGCGGTCACAAGCATCTACGAACAAGACTTGAGTTGCTCCCGCTGGGCGTGAAAAAGTACATGTAGTAGGGCATTTTTGTCATTTTTGGGCTATTGAGCTGTCTCCATTCCGAACAGCTTACTTTCTAGCAACATCCTTCCAGGTCAGGCGTTCACGGGCGGCATGGACAAGAGCCACGTCTAGGTCTATTTACCTGTCCACTCCTCGTGTTACACACTCCTAGTGAAGCACGATAGTCCGATTCGACGGCCATGGACTTTTTGGTCTCATGCTTTCATATTCGGAAACGACGTGTAGTGGAGACCCCGGGCTCTAAACACGGAAGCGAGAGTCCAGGTTCACACATGATGTTCGCAGCTTGTTCGACTGGCCAATCCAGCCATCGATCCATGCCGCTCTCATGTAATGCCTTCTCGATCCCTCGCAGGACAAAACGTCCCCAATTCTCTGCATACCATGCATCACGAAAGGCGAGTGTCGCGACCGCAAAATGCGAGAGGATTATTAGGGCCGGAGGGGAGCAGGCTGAAACCTATCTCAATGTCAGAATGCACAGTGGATGCAGGTATGAAACCGAATAGGCATTCACCATTTTGATGAACCCAATAGGAAGCGTCATCGCCCATCGTCCTAGGATTCCCAGCTCTGAACAAGACCCTTGTCGGACGGAAAGAAGGAATCGATAAACATCTTCTAGACTCTGCAGTGCCATTTCACAGTCCATCCTATCGGCAGGAGAGCGACATCTTCGAAGCATACCGTATAACGCATCAAATTGCTTCTGTACTGGTTGCGAGAGTTGTACGCCTTCATGGGAGGGCACATCCAATGCCCAGCATATAGGACCGAATGGGCCTGCCTTGAGCTGTACATGTGTTAGTGGTGAGGAGCACCCAGGCTGGGGGGGGCTTGCTTTGAAGGGAGTTCCTGCATTGGTCAGCACCTACCCATTCTTTGTAGAGAGAGATCATGTCCGACACTCCTCTTGTCAGCATGAAAAGCTCAGCAACTTGTCCCATAGTGAGGTGTTGCTGGGTTGATGGTAACGCAGACGTCGTCAGGCATGACCTCGCTACCGACCTGGACTCCGTCAAAGACAGGGGATTAGTGATAGACCTGCAGACTTCCAACGAGGTGAACACATACGAGATGGAAAGCACGCAGGAACAGGCAAATAACGCGCCGTTGGCTTCAGGAGCAATATCGGTCGAGAGCATGGTTCGGAAACCCTCAAGTGTCTTGGCTAGATGTTTGTCGCAGAGTTGTATGTACACGACGGCTTCCGCCGGTCTCTCGTGCGCTTTGTGAAGGGCGGATAGGCCGAGGATACCGTGCATGAGACTTTTCTAGATTAGACACAGCCTGACCATGCAAGGTTGGATTCGCTTACTGTGTGGTTCAGGTAAGACAAGTCGTAGAACTTTTGGATGACGACACAGTTGACTTACCTACGGATACATGATGGCTTGTTCTGGGATGTACTCCCTACGTCTCGTATTAGCTAGATCAGGACCTGTAGCGTATGAGATACGAAGACGAGTGTCGAGTGGTACAACAACAGCAAACTACACAGAAGAGGGAAAAGATATGACTTCATCCCACATTAAGCAACTTTAGGCAGATGATAAGGCTAAAGCTTCAAGTGTTCCAATGCCAGGTCTTCGTCACGGCCATAGAGGTGATGACAGCGAAGATTTGGGTCTGCCGCAACATCATTTATATTCCAGATGTATGCTTTGGGATTAGGGTTGAGGGAAGACTGACTTGCAAAGAAATTGGATAGTCTCGCTGGTTCCAAAAGATTGTTGCGTGTTCTGGCTGAAGTGACGCATCAATTCGAGGTCCTGAATCCATTCTGGCTCGGTGATGAGAACAGATGCGGCGACATTGCTTTCTCGCTAGAGCATACGGTGTCAGTGGAAACGACCGTTAGCAGCAAAGATTTTGACACCTGCTTTGGCTCATAGATGGACAGGGTGTTTGGGCTAAAAACAGGGCCACATTGGACTTACAGAAGGGCAACGAGGCAGAAGGAGACTGCACTGTTCGCCACGCCGGATGCAATTTGCACAGGGTGTTCGTTCGTCGCACTGTAGAATGGTTCAAAGTCATTGGTTGGCGCCGAGTACATTGAAGGTCGGTGACCAACCTTGACGTGTCTCCTCTTGCAGTTTGTGCAGCCATTGCGAGACTTTTTCCTGCCCGACTGGGCCATGAGACATTGCTTGACGGTCCTTCAAGTGCCTCTGCGGCGATGAGGGCCAGCGTCATGGGACACAGCGGCCCGAGACAGCTATTGCAATTGCGAGCTCGAGCTGTATCAGAAATGAGGAACGAAGGAGATCAGGGGGGAACAACCCACCATCGGATTCGAGTGCGAGCCTGCTGGTGTTCTGGCATTTTAATCGTTCGCACTGGACACGAGTCTCGGAAGTGTATCGGCAGGAAGGACGGCCACCCCCATGCTGGACGACGACATGTGGGTTACCGTGCAGGAGGGTCATGAAACAATTCAAGCTCCGCCCCGGAGGCTTTTCCCGGACAGAAAGTGATGAGCCATTAGAGGTAGCGAAGGATGAATTCTGCTGACCGGCCTGCTGCGTGTGGGTAGTTGAAGGGTGCCAGGGCGAGAGAGAGGGGTTCTAAAGAGGCGATCATTCTGTCTTTGGTCAACATACCACTATTGTCCAAGGACGCCGGTCTCGCAGGGCTGTCCACATGCTCACACCAGCGAAAGGGGCAATGATCGACAGAAGTGGTTGATAAAAAGTTATCTGATCAAGCTAAACGGACCGGGCATCCAATGGTATGCTCTAGGCACACGAAGCGTCTTGGATCAAGTGGTCGAAAGAAAGTTATCTGATCCGTTCATAGCTCCAGGTGGCTGCTGCCAAGCTGAGGAAGTGGGGAACGGAGGAACGAACTTTATGAGAGCGGAGCCAAAAAGCTTCCCTGTTCTTACATGCGCCTTCCAGGATCAACTCACCAATGCTGATCGCTCGTTTTGTCAAGTTTCATGCAATGCACATAAAGGCTCGGGTTCAACCCGATGCTTCGCGACGCCACTCGATTCCTCATTAACCGATCTCTCAGAGCTCCGAGGTGGGCCCAATGGTCTTTGATGTCGACGAGCATGGAATCGGAGATCACCTTCTAGTACTGCTGTCCTGTACACGGCTAGTTGATCATTCGCACAGCTCGTGGAGATACGATTCGAGGTGTTCAGCTCAATAATGGCAGCGGCATTTCTTTGTCTCCAGCATCGAGACGCTGTTCATGCTCTTCTTTTCTTTCTTTTATACTGCCTCACAATATTACAGCTATCAACATGGCTTCTCTAGCTCTACCTACTACCATTCGCCTCCCGCATCCTTATCTCACCACATATGCTGTGCACGAGGTGAGCAGCCCTCAGACTCTTACTTCTAGCAGTGCGAAATGGCTTCACATCCGACATGAACCTAGGGTGCTGTCTACTGGCATGTCCACACGATATGACGGTCAGGCTCCGCCAGAAGTGTTACACAGCAATGCCGTTTTCTCCGAACCACGAAACGATAAAAAGGAGAACGAACTTCCTCCCTTCTCCAATAATACAGCCTGGGCCCGTGTGCGCCGAAGCCCTGAGAGCAAAATTGTCTGGAATGAGCCATCGGCTCCGAAAATAGCACAGACATGGCTGATAATCTACAGTCTCTTCACACTTCGTCCAGAGCTGGAGGCCTTTCGACTCAGCCTGGTTGGATCCGGCCGGGAGACAGCAGCGGACGAATTGAAGAAAGTCGGGTTGGCTGTGCAGCATCCCGTTCCAGAAGGCAAGTCCGCGACGGCACCAGAAGCATTCCCGGAGGTGCTGATCGTGCTGCGTGGGAACTTCTGGCAGGGTGCAGGTTCTCCCTTTGGAGTGCGTCCAGTGTGGGCTCCCGAATCCAATGTCCTGGCCTCCTCCAGTAGGGAACTGTCTTCCTACCCACAATATCCGCTGAACTATACGACGAGCACCAAGTTCCCGGAAGCACGGATTCATTCCTTCCACCCTCGCCGTCCAGCAAAGCCTGTCCCAGGGTCCATCTGCTATAGTCGCTACATCCCGCACCTGGACGAACATTTCAGTATGGTAGCACTAGACTATACCAGCGAGGAACACCTACGTCTCTTCCACCAGTGGCAAAATGACCCACGGGTGGCGGCGGGATGGAACGAAACCGGTACTCTCGATCAACACAGGGCGTACCTCCGCAACCTCCACGAAGACCCGCACACCTTCAGCATCCTGGCCAAATTCGATGATACATATTTTGCCTACTTCGAAGTCTTTTGGGCCAAAGAAGACCATATGGGAGTGTACGGTGACGCCAGCGATTTCGACCGCGGCCGGCACTCGCTCGTCGGCGACTCATCTTTCCGCGGCCCGCATCGTGTGAGCGCTTGGTGGTCGAGCTTGATGCACTACATTTTCCTCGACGACCCACGCACCATGTACACTGTTGGCGAGCCCAAATACACCAACACGACGGTGCTGTCGTACGATTTGATGTGCGGCTTCGGGGTGAGCAAACTGGTCGATTTACCCCATAAGCGCTCTGCATTTGTGCGGTGTTCCCGCGAGAGGTTTTTTCAGATTTGCCCTCTGGCGTATGATGGACAGAGACATGTGGGTGGGACAGAGATCCCTTTGTTTGCTAAAATGTAGAGTATGATAAAGACAATTATATAAATATGATTTCTCTGGTATAGATGTGTCTGATGGAAGATCTCAACTCTTGACTGTATGTATGTGCTCACGTCGCAAGAAGCTGCCCCGCTTGCTCGCCGAGCTGGCCCGTTCGAATAGAACGATTGGTGAAACACACATACTCGGGCAAACCTCCACATACTAACAGCTTCCTCTCGTTTCTTGGGACTCGTAAGACATGGGAAACGTTCAAGCTCTTCCTCCGAACCATATCATCCCCAAAGTTATGCCCGAACCTCAGCTGTCAGAGCGGCCCCTGCCAAGACACTAACTAAGCACCGGCCGAGACGTAGGCTCACATCCTGCTTCTCCCACCACATTATTGCTTGACTCTCGAGCGATCGAGTCGATATCATATAGGACAGTTAATCCCTTATTGAATCACGCTTTGCCCTTCTGTTCCTTGGCATTCCTTGATATCAGCTGTCGTGGCAAATGGTAAGGGGCTTGCCAAGAGAGATCTTCCCTATTGGCGTGTAGTTCGTAGGCAGGCAAGAATGCAGGTCCCCCCACCCCCCCGTACGTTGCATCTCATGTTGGAATTGCTAGTGTTGGAGGATCCACTCCTGCGCACTTTTTGTGAAATTGCTTCTTGTCTCGGCTGTCTGCACCTGCAGAGAATTCCATCCATTTTCTTGGAAGAGAAAATTTTTTTTCGCACGCTTCGCCGAACCGATGGAAAAATAAGAAAATAAAAAGGAGGGTGGTAGTCAAACCAATTATAGCTTACTCTTGCTCTTACCCTTACCTTTCCCCAGTCGCAGCAGAGCCCGCCCATCTGCAAGTACAATCTTGTCTCTCACACTCGTCACGAATCGAACATCCGCCACCACCATGGCTTCTTCGTCCTCATACTCGTCAAGAACCCACATCTTGGTCTCCAAGACATCCCCGGGCCACACGGGACTCGTGAATCTCGCACGAAATGACGTGAGAGCGGTTGGATCGCCGTGTGCGAATACATTCAGCACGGCACGGCTGACTCCATTCCAGCTGTAGAGGCCGTGCAGGATCGGCGTGGGCTGCACCATGGCACTTTCGACGTATGTGGCGTGGAGGGGGTTGTAGTCGCCATTCAGACGGTACAGGAGGTGTGCTGTTGCTGGGATTTGGTGGGTTGTTGTTACTGTGGTCGCCGTCTCCGCAGGTGGCGGTGGTAGTGATGGTGATAGTGAGTCTTGTTCATCACAATCGAAACCCATGATTAGCGTTATTTTCATGATATCGTATGCTTCGTAATAAGGATGGCTTGGGGTAAACTTACCATTCGGCCCTCCCCATCCACCTTGGCCCATGAACACTGCTGTATCGCTCATCCTCGTGAACTCTACCTCGTCACCGCTCTCGAGAATCTCAACTATCAAGTGCTCTGTCTTGAGCACTGTACTTCTTCCTTTCCCCTTATCCCAGACGGCCACGACCTCACTCCGCACTTCGAAATTTCGACCTTGGCTGGATGTCGGGATCGGGCGTAGAACGTCCAATGTCCGCTCTCCATCGACCACACGAGTAATATCCAAGGCTGGGAATGTAGGATAGCCCACTAATTGACCGGGAGGTGGGAGAAAATGTGTCGTGAAGTGTTCTCTCCAGGGAACCATGGATACATGATCATGTTTGAAGGTCAGCACTATAGGGTATGTTGGAAATGCGGCGAAGTTTGGATGATTTTCCTAACCAGTTTCAAAAGTCAGACGCAAGGTGTTGGGTCGAAAAGCTCACAATATTGGTAACCTATTTTCTTCTAACATACATATAGATAATGCAGTTCGTCCGCGGTGCAGCCGATGCTTAGAGCAAAGTATACTACATCTCGGTCGTTCCATGTCACTGCTTGGGATGGATATCGATATAATGAAGGCATACCTGGAATTCTGGTGGTGGATAGTGTGGTGTAGAGGTGGAACAGAACTCAAGGAGGGCTTATGTCACGGGGCGAAACCCTTTGACATTAAGACAAACATGCCAAGCCGGCAAGCCTGGCACTCTTAGACTTGATGCCTCCTCAAAGCGCGATTGTCGATGTTATATTGACCGCCTCACTACCATTTAGATCATTGCTATTAGACTGCGGAGTCTAGAGAAGATATATGAAGGAATGCGTTGCAGACTGAATAAGGAGTGCGACATTGCCAAGCATAGAGTCACGTGATTGGCTAACAATTGCCCAGATCTCACACCCTTATGCCATTTCGATTTGTTATATGTGGCTTGTACGCTTCGTACACGCTTCGAAAGGTAAATAGTCTGACGGTCCCCTGGACCCCTTCGAAATAGGACAAGTCGTCCATAAAATCAGATTCCACCATGAGGCACTTTAGCGCAGGTTGGAGAAGCACCGTCCAGCGTTCGCAGTTGTCAATATCGACCACCCTCCGATTTCGACGTTGTCAACACCAATGTCGACATCTGGCATTGTCGGCATATCCAAAACGGGTATCCCAGCACTCAGCATAGTGCATGGCAATTATTAAAGTTCTACTATCTACCTCCAAAACAGCTGCTATGCCTCCAAGCACGTTCGTCAAGGTCTTCTACATACCGATATTCGTGACCGAGTTGTCCGATTCGAGACTTGGCGGTGTTCTTACGCTTATTCAGAGCATGCTTAGTTAGGATCCATTTCAAGCCGTCATGCGTTAGTTCGGTGGAAGGACCTGAAGACGGCGTCGATGACAGCAAAGTTCAAGGCTGATACAGAGGGAACTAAGGGAGTCATAGACATTTTTGCTGCTGCAACAACGTCAACAACAGCAAAAAAGTGTATAGATGTCGAAGAGCTAGGAATCCTAAAAGGCGGTGAACTAGCACTCGGATAACATTTCCAGACTATGTTGACACCCATTCCTCTCGATGTTGATGTTGGCAACATCGACATCATTTCGCAATGTCGACGTCGGAATGTTGGTAACTACGAACCCTGGCATCGTCACGAGGGAGAGCGAGGGAAGGTCGATCCGCGCTCGGAAGCTTTTCTTCAGAAACTGCTGAACCTGGAAGCAGCCGAGAATGTGACGAATGACAGCCGCAATGATATTATCGGAGTCAACGTAGCAGCTGGATCTGACATTACAGCTGTCACCCTAAGCGTAGCATTTTACTATTTGGATAAATCTCCGGAAAAGATGACAAAGCTATGCGAGGAGATCAGTACAGCTGAAAAAGAAGGGTGACTCTCTGACCCTATGGTGTTTCGAGAAGTCCAGAAATTGCCTGATCTACGAGCCGTTATCAAAGAAACTTTGAGAATGCATCCGGCCGTCGGCGCCGTTCTGTCGAGAAGTGTCCCAAAGGGTAGTGCAACCCTGGGAGGTTTCTTTTCTCCAGAAAGAATGAGTCAGTGCAGACGTGTCCAAATAAGGCAGAGTCTCATGACGTCCCAAGACGCGGGTTGGAACCAATACGTGGCCTCTAAGTTACAACGAAACCATTAACGATAACGACGCCTACACCTTCCGACCAGAACGCTGACTAGATCAAGTGGATAGTGCAGAAGCAAACTTGCGAGAGTCTATGAATTTTGCTGTCAGTAGGCTGCGTGACAGGTCGGGTTGGGCAGGGTTTTCGAAGCCAGCGATCAGCTGCGAAAGCTTCAAACGCGTGTCCGAATAAGTTTGAACGGCGACCTAAATAAATCCCCTTCACGATGAGATTGCTTGGTCAATTCAAGACTACTCATAAATCCGGAAGAATCGGTTATTGTTTAACGTATTTTGGAGACAGGAGAACGGATTTCTTCTGCTGAACCTCTGTGCAATTCGCTGTCTCTTTGTCGGCACAGAAAATGCCGCGCATTACGAAGCTGTACTTCTCGAAAGAAACATACGAGCAATGATAACTGCTATGAGGATTTGGCCTTCTTTCATCACCTGCGAAGCTCTACTAACTATACCTAAAGTGGGATCTCGTCACTTCTAAACATCCAGAGGAGAACATTCCCTTAGCCCAGACGGCTCTAGGAGGGCAGATTTTCATGATGTTGTCAGGAGTTAGTCTCACCAAGTCCATCCTGCGGCTGTCGCCGATAAACGAATTGCTGCTGACCCTTTGACTTAGAATCCCCGCCTGGTTGCTATTGCCTCAGCTTTGCACGGCACCGTGATATCGGTACTTTTCCTCTTTCCCGAAGTTTTAGCAAGCTTCAACGCGGCTAACGAGTCCACAGTGGGCGAGGGCTTCGGATTTGACAAATATGGAGTACGAAAGCCTCGGCCTCGAAGACTCAAGCAGACCTCAACTAGTTAACACCTAGCGGAGCTGGGCACGCAAAGAAGAACTCAAAAGGTATTACCTCCCAAATAGCCTGTGCTATACGCTATCATTCCTGACGCCTACTCACGTATAAATTCATAGGACGGCACTTGTGGTTTTATCCAAGACGCCGAGCTCGCAGCTTTGTATCATCGTGAGCCATTTCTTCGGCATGGCGGAAAGAATGTTCCCATAGCTAGTTCCTCGGAAGCCTTCTTCGCACCTACAGTCGACTACTGGGTCCAGGGCATCAAGAAAGAACCAAACTAGGGGCTATGCGACAGCGCCGCGATACCTGTGTCTCCCTCGCTAAGATACCAGCTACCAAACGAAGCCTGTGCTCACAGCCAATTCAGTGCATATGCCATCCTTGAATGCATCGGTGCTTCCATCTGTGAGGACAGAGTTGGGGATTCGTTTGAACCGATCAAGGCCTAAAATATGAGGCCGGTCTCATCTTATGGTATGAAGTGTTTGGTGAAAAGCTGAAAACCGAATCAGACCCACAGTGTTTGCTGATTCTCTGGCGCTGGACGTTCCCCTCGACGGCCATCGACTTGAATCGATTGGAACTGGCAACTGGAAAGGAAGTCGCGGCTGCTCCATCATGTGCCCAAATTTTGGGGGAATGATCGTCTCCTGTGGACTCGAAGAGATGCCTCGTCCCCCCCTTTATCTTCCCCAGAAGCACATGGTGAACACGTTGTTACGACAACCTGTGGCGGCCCACGTTCCCCAATATTTTTTTATCTGCCGCTATCTCGTGGACATCCTTCTACCTCTCCATCTCCAACAGTACTACTACGGGTATAGAGGACCTGTCCCTTGACAAACGTCGAGTCTCCGGAGTTTCACATGCTAGGCATCAATTTCTCACATCAGTGGTCCGAAATCATTGGGCTTCGGAGTGGCAGTGGTGGTTTCGCCACCGTGAAAGGAAACACGCTGTGCGCACTTGCGGATATGCTCAGACAGATTGGTCACTGGGAAATTGCTTCATCGATTTTCTCGAATCCTTGGACCTCTTGTTCACGGAGGGAGCGAGGAAGGTTTGTTTTCACGCTGAAGATACAAAGTAAATGATAGACCTCCTGTAGAGATCCTTATGATTCGCCTTCAGAGACAATATTGGAATATGTCTTCCGGACCATCTGCAAATACAAATCAAGGAAGAAGACTCTTCACGTCACGTCTGAAAAGGCTATCTTTCACATCTTGAGTAATTTTTGAATATTCCTGGTTGTCTCCCCTGTAGACTCAAGGTCCAGAAATGTCCTCCTGGCATATACTCCACCACGACGTTAGGGACGCCAGGGATGTGTTCCTTGGAGTTCTCATAAAGTTCCCGTGGCTGCGTCTTGCTGTCAAAACCCCGCAAGATCATAACAGGGCACTTCCATTTGGCGAGCAACCTGTTACGGCGATCAAGCCACTCCGAACTGAACGAGGACGAGTTGAAATAACGTGGCACAGCTTTGGTGGTGTCCAGGTATGAGAATTCCTGAATGACGCAGGCGAATTCAGTGTCGGAATCCGGTCGTTTCGTGACCCATGTATAGACAAAGCACACGAAGCGAGTGGGATCCGACATGATGTCAGTATAAGGTGCGTCCATGAAGGCATCCCCCTTCGGAGCGAGGAGCGGATTAAAATGGTACAGTGATTCAGTGGTACGCCTTCGATGTGATCGGAGAGCTCACATTTTCGACCAAGTTTGGATTCATGGAGAAGGAGATCAACATTGGGAACGCAACTTGGTTCATCGACGTCCTTTTGTTCTATAATTCCGCGATTGGCCTAGCATTTCGTTTTCATTGGTTACTTCTCGGTAACCCTATCACGACGTGGCTGATGAAGAGTGGTTCCAGCGGCAGAGTAATTATAGACGTAAGCCTCTCTTGCTCTCGCTCGGCTCATCAACCCGCCATAAACTAGATCTTAAGCTGAACAGAATTGCGCGTCAGATTGTGAGAGGATAGATTCAATGCAGAAAAGAAAGGGGGTCGGACCATCGAGATATGCTTTCTCGTTTCCTCAAGGAGCATGAGAAGAAGCCTGCCGAAAACATGATGAGGGTCGTTGAAATAACTTGTGCCATGAACGTGTACGTCTTGTTTTCTTCTGTTAACCCCTCTTCCATCCCCTAGGTCCAAAATTCAGGTACCGATGGTTCTGAGAAGCTCTTAGCTCGAACTCGCATGAATCGAATTACAGAGGTGCGGGTTCCGACGCGGCCGGAATTTCCTTGGCTGGGACCCTGTCCCACCTTTGAAGAACCGACATGTTCTCAAAAGTTGAGAGACGAGATCGATCAGTTTGATGCCGATGGCAAACTATCTCACTCCGTAAAACCCGTTGAGACACAGTCCAAGCCATACCTGCTGGCTGTCATCAAAGAGTCTATGAGAATCTATCCATCAGTGGCTTTCATCTATCCACACTATGTCCCCGAGGGTGGAATTACGATAGCAGGAAAATATATCCCAACTGGAGTATACTTGTCCTTTCTTTTTCTTCCTGACTTCATGGATATTTACCCACCTGTTCTCCAAGAAAGAAGGCTGATTCAATCCAAAATGGCTCGTATAGGAAGGGTCGTAAGGTCTGAGCTTGAGTGGAAATTCTTCAGTGGGTAGAGGGAAAACCTTCCTTCTCTTCAACTCTTTCTCTGCTCGTAAGAGCGTCTTTCTTCGAAAGAGCTACTCGCTTCTCCCTTGGTACCAACGAGGTAGAAGTTGGGCTCAACCATGCCACAGGTGCGAATATGTGTTGCAAAGGCTCAATATGATCACGAGAGCCAATGTTGGGCTAGAGAATAGGTAAGTTGTCGATTCCACCAATCGCACATATATCAGGAGCCATACTACTACCCCTGCATATCCGATCTCCGTATCAAATGAAGGTTAAATGTCGCTGCTCGTGCCAAATTCGACGGATTCGTTTTGATGAAACCTATCCCGAGGTAAATGCCAGAACTCAACTTAAGCTTTGAATAGTAATTATGCACCCGAGGTCCACTCGAAGACGCTAATTTCAAACCTGTAGTTCTCTACTTGCACATCTCCATAAAAGCAACTCACCTGCATTGAATGTGCGGGGCCCAAAACTGTATGAAGTGATCGAGAATCTACCTCGTACTATAGTTACCATGGCTGTTGACAAGATCAAGCCTTTCAACGATCCTCGAGTACAATTGCGTTCGGCTGTTCTCAATGGCCTTAGCTATGGCTATCTCTACTCTGAGCCTCCTCCGTCTGTCGCTCGACGAGGTACTGTCCTGCTTATACATGGATTCCCTGATCTTTCCTTCGGATGGAGATATCAGATCCCATATTTAACTTCGCTCGGTCTCAGCGTAATTGCGCCCGACTGCGTTGGATATGGTCGGACTGATTCTCCTTTGCACACCTTATCCGACTTTGGGTACAAACGAGCCGCAGATGACCTGGCCACGTTATGCGAGCAACTTGGTTTGACAAAGATTCTTCTGGGGGGCCATGACTGGGGCTCTGCTATTGCGTGGCGGATGACCCAATACTACCCAAAGCTGATCAGGGCCCTATTCACTTTCTGCACACCTTACTTCCCTCCGTCACTTCGCTATGAACCGCTCGCAAATATTATACGCAATTACATGCCAAATCTGGGCTACCAAGCTCATATGATCTCTGGGGAAGTCGAAGACAATGTCCGGTCGCGTTCTGAGATCCGTGCCTTTTTGAACGCCGTCTTCAGCTCGCTCAATTCCGCGCGCCTAGACCGACAAGCAGGCTTCGACGTGTATCGAGGAATCGATTTTGGCCTTGTTTTGTCTGAGTCATTTCCCCTTACCGACCTCGTTAGTAGTGAGGAGCTCGACTTCTACGCCTCTGAATTTTCTCGCAACGGCATCCGTGGCCCTATGAACTGGTACCGCACTCGAGAAATCAACTGGACAGACGAATACGGATTTTTCTTTGACCACGGCAAAATCCCCAAACCGAATCTCCGATTCGGCGCCACCCACGAAATATTGTTTGTTCGAGCCACACACGACCCGGCTATCACCGACGATATGGTTGCCCGCATGCGGCCTAAAGTCGACAAGTTGACATACCACGATCTAGAGTGTGGACATTGGATGCTTTGGGAGAAACCAGCGGAAGTTAATCGTATTCTCGGGCAGTGGTTGGAAGATAAGGTCTTCAAGGAGGAACTCGCCAGCAAGTTGTAATTGGAGTTGTTCGTTTGATCCGCTGCACACCAATATACGCATCCACGAGTCTTGACCTCTCCAAAATCCACTTCCGTTCCAGACACCGAGCACTCCCCGCTTAGACTTGAGTCACGACTAAGCCATTCTTGAAATATGGCCGTGCAATTCTGAGCATGTCTTAACCCGTCCCTGAGGGACGCCACGAGCAGTGTGAACGAAGCCGTGAGCTGTGCGTAGGGATGCGCAACTCGACCATAGGCACCCAGTTTTTGGCGGTTTCGTATATTCGGAATTTCCTAGGTGTAACATCCCGACATACCACGTCGTAAACAGAAGGTCCCAGCCATCGAATTGAATCCCCAGCCTTCGTAAAGTGGCAGGAAGAAGAAGGCTGGGTGCTGTGATAGAAGGATCGAAGGGTATAAGAAGAGCCTTCGAACTCTTAGATAGAGAGACAGGTTTCAGTACATTACTATTCCACACCCGACCTTGTGCACTTGCAACGATTTGTGATCCCTCTCCCTACACCCCTCGTAACAGATCTTTACCCTTCGTTGTTACACTAGATCTATGCTAATCTCGTCCTTTATTGTTGCGACAAATGTTTAACAGCCGCATTTCCGGCTAAACTGCTGCTGGAGGTATAATTTATCCCATTGGCCTTAATCGACCAGTGACACCGGGAGTAGATAGATTAGGCGTTTCTGGCTGGCAGGGCTCTAGTCGAGTGGCTTATGGTCATGCGGACTAGAAATTGGTAGAGCAAAGCAGAATAATCCAAGCAGAGTGAGCGGCAATTAACCTTTCGCTGGATGGATGAAAGGGCCCGGCTTCACACAACCACGGCTTATTGGGAAACATAGGAATGGGATGGATAGCGTTATCTTGAGATTGATTGGTCGACTTGATAAACTAACAGAGCTTCAGGCAGGTGTACATGTTTCTGAACATCACCTGAGGAACAAGTTTTAAGTGGAATGAAGCGCTCGATAACGGCTCAACTTAGTTCTCCGTTCTAGTATATCAGCACCGAGATGAACGGATAGACTTCATCTGCTCTAGTGGTAGTCTTGTCATGAGTGTGGTAGTGAGATCAAATGCAGAGAGGCGAATCGACACGTCCATGCTGGCGGCGAACGTGTCCGCAACCCAGCAGGAAACACGATACCTTGACGACAACAACACCGCTGATACACGCTCGGTTGCACGGTCGAACCAAGGACACCTCAACGAGCAGCAGAGATACTCTAAATAGAACAGTCTTCTCGTCGACATCTGTGGTCTGCCGGAACGTAACATAATAGAGGACGTCCAGACGAGAAAAGAAGTAGGGATCCTGCGAACACGGCAAGGACAATCTGTCAGGAAGTGCGAAGAGGAGATCTACGAGCGAAGAGGCAAGAGAAACACCACAAGCCCCAACGAGGCATAAAGTTCGCGCATTTAATGGAGCATCATAGAACAAGAAAATAGCTGAAGCCATAGTGGTGATGTAGCGGGAGCTATGAATATGTTAAAAAGGCGTGACATGCCACGGAATCCAAAACATGCAAGAAAAAGTGCTCATGCGGGGAGAGAAAACAACAGCAGATGTGTAGAGAATAAGTAGTCTTTGAGTCTATTGAATTCTCCCTAGTCGTTTCATTTTCCCTATGAGGTTCATACAGTCCAAGCCAATAGGCCATTGCGGAGTAGCAGTGATGTCGGGCATTTGTCCGACCAAAGGGCGGTTCAAGGACGTGCAGTGGAAGGGAGAATTAGGACTCTTCGGCCGTATGGAGATCCGGGTGTGGCCGAGGAGGTGCATGCTATGACACTCGCAATTTCCGCTACGGTGAGCAGGAGGTGAACGTACATATACTAGATCATCGTCTGGCACAGGTATTGACTGCGCGTAGCAACAGCCCGAGAGTCGATGGCACAACGATGACAGAGGGGAGGCCCACCGACGATACGGTAATCAGCTTGAGTGTGCATTTGTAGTTCTACGCAGCTTATTCAGATATTCCAGCAGTCTAATGAGGTCGCGCAATCACGCATCCACTACGCGACAAGATCCGGCGATGTGTCGCCATGCAGATGTACGTACAAATGTATCACTGTGGCGTCAACTGCCCGACGCCAGCGCAAGCTTGGCTCCTTGACGATTTCGTGACTTTCTCCCAATATGCCATTTGTATCAAGAACATATCCGCCAATCTTTATCGAGAGCGTGAAGACGAAGGCGGTCGCTTTGTGCGCATGTTCTGGAGTTGCAACCAAATGACCTAGAACTAAACAGAAAGCCCTTCTGCTCCCCGCCCGCTGAACCGATTTAATTAGCCGGAAATAGGGATGCACTCAGATAGAGAGGGGAGGTTGTCAGAAGGGTGCCAGATGATCAGCAGACTGCGTGGATCATAGAGCAATTAGTGCAAGTGATGACAGCATTTCCTGCTGTCTCCTTGTCATATGTGGCGTTGGACATTCAGCGACTTTAGAGAGATGTTTGAAATCGGGTCTTTTGTTCATCTAGGTAGCTTGGACAGGGACAGAATGCAACTTGAGCTACCCGAATCGCAAAGAGACCAACAGAGCCCAGGCCACCACCAAGATAAACACCATCGCCGCGGCCATCCACGAGGCCAACCTTATGAGGCGTCTGACTTCTACCCCCACGATTGCCTGTATTCGAGCGGTTGTTTCAGCTCTGGCATTACCGTTGGGAAATGGGATCTGCGGCACCTCTTTACCCAAGAATCGACATAGCGGCTCCCAACCTTCTTCAACGCTGTATTCCAGATGTTTCTCTCCACACAGTCGGCGGACCATACTGTAATGTTCCTCGAAGACGGCTTTCCCATTTTTCTCGAAGTCACCAAAGTAGGAGTCGAATGCTTTGATAAACATTCGTCTCGCGAAGCGATGACGACTTCTGGTAAGCCACGCAAGAAAGTCGACCAATGCAACCCACCAGTTGAACATGTTTGCAAGCAAAGCCGTTTTCACCGACCTATAACACAGTGTCAGTATGCTCGCCCATACCGCAACCCAATTACGTACGCATGCCAAATATCGACATGTCGATTGGATAAAATGACTTTGGCGTTAGGATAGGTACGGATCAACTCCTCTGCAAAGCAAACGGCTGGTATATCGCACACAGCCTATGTAAGGAAATTAGCCAGCGCTCCCGGCGAGCTGTGATTTTGTGTCAAGGATACCTGGTAATTTCCCAACAGGTTGTCCCAGTCATCAATGTCATATTGTTCCCTGGTTTTGTCGAATTTTCCTGCCAGGGCCTCGAGCCATAGCACACAGTCAAGTGGACTCTCTACCGCGGCGGTATAGCCATGATAGGTGCCGTCGTACCCCAGATGGACCAGCGCCTTCCGAATCGCTATCCATCCCAGTCAGTTGAAGTAGGCATTCTGGTCGCACTCATACTCACACTCAGTACCCGTCCGACCCAATCCCAGTACCAGGACTTGCATCGGCACGACGCGTTTGCAAGCCCTACGTTCTACGTACTTGTGCTCTGTGCTGATCATGTTCCTGGAAGCTGTCGCGAGAATTGTCTCGATAGTCACAACGGTTGCACGAAGGGGCATATGGACCTGTCCTTCGCGCAACCTTTATATTCATACCGCATTTGAGATCTGCAATCATGAAGCTGGCGATTAAACTGTTAGAACCTTTTGGACGACAACATCATTTTGGGGAGAGAGGAAATCAGTGCCACATGCGTGTTGAGCCATCGGTGCTGTTTACGTCAAAAACACACACTCCATCTCAGTTAGCCGTCTTATTCACAAGATCCAGACAGCTGTCTAATCTTGTTATGTCGACAGTCGGACACATTGACGGGGTTGTCAATGCAGGGCGGAGTTTGTCGCACCGAAGATCCCTTCCTTAAACTTGGCTAGCTCTCTGTCACACAATATCACACCTTCGATTGAAGTTGCTCTGACGTTGGCCCTTGAGCGAGAAGCTCTCATCTAACGAGATGAATAGAACCTTCTCTGGCGTGGAAGAAGAGAACACGGACGCTGAGGTCGGACATGAACATCTCATTTAGGCACCGCTACTAGCACACGATCAGGAAATCAGCTAGGTGAGGCAAGGATTGAACAGGGAATTGGATCAACATGATTCGATTCAGCTTAAGCCATCTCGTCCTCTGTCAGCTTCCGTGAACCAGAGAGACGTCGAGATGAAAAAGGTTGTCCCCTAGTTAACCGCCTTCCAGATCGCTTTTGAGAAGCTGTTTTCCAAAATAAGGCCCCTTCTTTATTCTAACTAACTGCCACGAAACCCTAAGTTAGCAAGATTCGGACACTTAACCAAATGGAAACTCGTCAGTCTCTATCCTTGATATGGATTCAACTACGCGCTCTTATATGGAAAGACTTGCTCGTCGTCTTGGTCCGTCGTAAAGTGACGACCCTGATCAGAGCCTTTTTCCTTCCATGTCTGGTCGTTGCATTTCTTGCCAATGCTCGCTACTTCTTCATTCCCGACTCATCCTATGGCTTTGGTGAACCGGCCGCTATCGAGTCTCTGGCATCAACTCTTTCGAACTCTTCCGGAGGCCGCTCGAAGCTGGCCTTTGTCAACCCAAAGTCCAATCCGAGTTTGACCGGGAGAGTCATTACCGCAGTTACTGCCTCGATTCCTGCAGACATCAAAATCAGCATGTTGACAAATGAATCCGATCTGCAGACAGAGTGTCGAAGCACGATTACAGGCACATCGGACTGCATTGCTGCAGCGGTGTTCTATTCCTCGCCGGAGGAAGGTCAGGACGTGCCCTGGAACTATTCAATCAGAGTCGATAGTAGTTTAGGGAACAAAATCGACGTCCACGGCCATGACAACAGCGCCCAAACGATTATCCTTCCGTTCCAGCACGCTATCGACAGGGCAATTGTACACCAATCTCCTGGGCTTGATGAGGGGAGTTGGTGGACCGACGAAAAGCTCGCGTATCCCTACACATCCATCACAACGGAAGAACGTCTCGCAACCATTCGTGTCAAGTACATGTCTTCCATTGAGAAAGCATTGGCTGTCGCGTTCTACATCGGCGTGGTACCGATCACATATCAATTAACAGGATTGATTGCGCGTGAACGCGAAAGCGGCATGACAGACCTTATCGACACCATGATGCCCATGAGAGCTGCTATATATGTGACACCACGTTTGCTTCGGCTGCTCGGACATCACATTGCTTTGGATCTGGTTTATCTACCATCGTGGGCGGTTGTGGGATTCATTCTTTCGTACACGGTTTTCACCGAGACGTCGACAGCCATACTTGTCTCTTTCTCGATACTTGCCGGACTATCGACAGCTTCCTTCAGCCTGATGGGGGCAAGTCTCTTCAGAAAAGCTCAACTGAGCAGCATAACCGTCCTCCTGGTTTTACTTGTACTGGCCATCATTGCACAATTCATTCGACAGGCAAGCACTGGTTGTGTGGCCGTATTGTCCTCTCTGTTTCCCCCTATGAATTTCGTATTCTACATTATTCTGGTTGCTTCTTGGGAGGGACAAGGACTTGCCGCCAGCATGATTCAAAAAAGTCCGGCAAGTGCGCAAACCTTACCAGGTCTTGCGTTTTGGATGTTTTCGATACTACAGGTTCCAACGTATTTCCTGCTAGGGATCTGGGTGCAGAAGACCTTGTACACTTCGGGTTCTAGCCGGCCAATACAGCATGACCCAGAAAGCAGGTTCGCAGTGTCTCTCACAAATGTGAGCATATTCTTCAAACCTAGCCTTATTCCTAAAACATGGTCGAGTTTATCGGGCCAGCCTTGCACGGAAGTTAAGGCTGTTCGTGGCGTTGATCTCCACGTATTACGTGGTGAAGTATTTGTTTTGCTTGGTCCAAATGGGTCGGGGAAGAGCACAACAATGGCGGCCATTGCGGGTCAAGTTGCTCCTACCCATGGACATATTACGTTCAATTATCGGCCAGACCAAGACGCGTTCGGCTTTTGCCCTCAAAAAAATGTCATGTGGGATGACCTAACGGTTGTGGAACACGTAAAATTCTTCAGTCAACTCAAACAGCCTCAAGATCTGCGCGATGTCGAAGTTTTCGATCTCATTGATAGATGTGGTCTCGGTGCGAAGACGCGAGAGTTCTCCAAAGTTTTGTCAGGCGGCGAGAAAAGAAAGCTTCAGCTCGCCATGATGCTAACTGGAGGTTCCAGCATATGCTGCATCGACGAGGTATCCTCTGGCCTGGATCCGATTTCCAGAAGAAGGATTTGGGACATTCTGGTTGCTGAACGGGATCACCGCAGTCTGATCCTGACTACTCACTTTCTGGATGAAGCTGAAGTCTTAGCTGACCGGATTGGAATCCTTGCCAATGGTATGCTAAAGAATTGTGGAACATCGACACAATTGAAAGCGACCTTGCCTGCCGTTCATAAATTGCGACTACACAGAGCGGACGCAAGAATGGAGTCGGTTCACAATCTGGCCTGTCGATACGACAGAGATTTTGCTGAGTTCTACATTCACACCACGGAGACACTGAAGCAGATCAAACACGAACTGGAGCAGAAGCGTGTGGCGGACTATGAATTGATTAGTCCTTCACTGGAGGACGTGTTCTTCCAGAGCGTGTCCACCGATTGGGAATTTCAACCAACGCTTTATCCGTCTTCCAGATCCGACAGTGACTCTGACGAGATCATTGACTATATTGACGCCAAACATGCCCGAGTGAGGGAGGAGGAGGTTCACGTCCACAAGAGGCGCCATTTTGAACGTCGTCCAAGAGGGACGTTCTGCTCTCACACATTTGTTCTGTTGAAGAAACGTATCGTTCTGGCTTGTCGAAATCCAATCGTTGTCCTGGCTCCTCTCCTAATTCCAATCGTCGCAGTCTGCCTGGTGCAGTCGTTATTATTGAAAGGTCTTCCGTATCCGACCTGCAATTCCATGGGCAGTTTACAAACACATCCTTCCATTTCACTGAGCAGTCAGTCTTCGTTGAGCGTTGTTGTTGGACCTCCTTCACGACTCTCTAATACGGCACTTGAATCAATGTTAGCGGCATCAGATGGCAGGATGAGTATCAACAACATCATACCCATCAACACTACCTCAGTATTGAACGACAGAATAAGAAAACAGTTTTCCAGCATCACCCCCGGTGGCATTTTTCTCGGTGACAGCTCCAACAGACCGCTCCTAACGTGGAAAGCAGATGCTGGCTCGGGTCGAGAGGCACCATATAACGCTCTCATGGTACAGAACTTGCTCGACGTCGCAATGTCCAATCAAAGAATAGTGACGAGCTATCAGCCCTTTGACCAACCCTCGATCTCTGATACGACCACAGCATTCAAGGCCATCATTTACTTGTGTCTGGTTATGAGCATGTACCCGGCTTTTTTTGGACTCTACCCTGCAATGGAGCGGATTCGCCGGATCAGGGAAGTACATTACAGCAATGGTGCACGTCCAGCCTCCTTGTGGTCTTCACATCTTATATTTGATCTGATGATCGTCCTTGTCGTGAGCGTCGTGACGGCAGGGATTTTGAATCTCCAACCGGGATTGTATTATGGCGGTTATCTCTATCTGATCTTCTTCTTGTACGGGTTTGCATCGACCCTTTTCTCATATTGGATTTCTCTGGTCGCGCCATCTCAGCTCGCGGCATTCGCAGTGGCGGCCTGTGCCCAAGCTGCGATATTCATTCTCTACCTCATCGGCTTTATGGGAGTCCTGACCTGGGTCGATGTCAATCATCAGAGGTCTGCACTGAATTCGCTCAACTTCTCCACCAGCATCCTCCTCCCTATCATCAAATTGACATACTCTCTGATCCTTTCCCTGAACGCCTTCCATGTGGCTTGTTCTGGACAACATGAGATGACCCCTTCTGCGATGACTGCTTATGGCACCCCAATTGTGTATCTGATTGGACAGATTCTGTTTTATTCCTCAATGATCACGATATGGGAAGCAAATCCCTCTACATGGCGACGTTTCTACAGAAGGAGACATCCGGAAATCGAGAGAGGTACCGTTGTCTCTCCACCAACCCAGGAAGGTGGACTGTCTTTCTGGCATATCAGCAAATCCCACAGAAAGAAACTTGCGGTTGACGACGTGACATTCAGCGTCTCCCAAGGACAGACGTTTGCCCTACTTGGGCCCAACGGCGCGGGAAAGTCGACCTGCCTTTCGCTGATCAGCGGCGTTCAGATCCCCAGCACTCAGGACGGCGACATCCGAATCGACGATCTCTCCATCCTCGACCCGCGAACTGACGCCAGTAGGCAGCTGGGAACATGCCCGCAGTTCGACGCCTTTGACTCACTGACCGTGATGGAACATCTCATTCTGTACGCCCGGCTCCGTGGTATTGCCCACGTGCACCAAGCAGCGAGCACGCTCATCGAGTTTGTCGGTCTGAATCAGTATGCGGATCGAATCGCACACACTCTCTCTGGCGGCAACAAGCGCAAACTCAGCCTGGCCATTGCCCTCACGGGGAATCCGACCGTTCTGATCCTGGACGAGCCATCGTCGGGGATGGACGTGGTCAGTAAGCGAAGCATGTGGCAGACATTGGAGTCGGTGTGTCGCGACCGAGCCATCCTCCTTGTTACGCATTCGATGGAGGAAGTGGAGGCGTTAGCGAAGACGGTAGGTATTCTCTCTCACGGGCGAATGGTCGAGTCAGGACCCATTAGGGAATTAAAACGGCGATACCAGGGTCAGGCCGTATTGCTGCGAGTTGAGTACAAGCCTGGATCTGCACATACATTCAACGCAGGGAAGAGACTCGGCCACTACACCTCAGATGTCATCGTCCACAATCTAGCCTCGCAAATTCCCAACATCGAGATCAGCTCCATCGGCCGACCAAGCACCTGCTTGGGACAGGAGATCGCGCGCCTCGAAATCCGCCGCGATAACTCACCCTTGGACACCACAGGGGCAGGAACAGGAAACGGCCCACTTGCTTTAGACGTGATCACAGCTCTGGAGCCAAGGAAAGCCGCGCTAGGCATCAATTATTACTCCATCGATGCCGTCCCTCTCGACGAGCTTTTCATGAGCATCCTGGAGCAGGCGGGAAACTACAAGGAACAATGAACGCCTGACATCGACATCGTCTTCTCTTCATTTTGCTGAGCTATTCTCAACCATGCGACTTTTGTTTTGATGTGGGCAAAGACGGAAAGATCAGGTTTGAACTACGACGGTAGCTTCATATGAGCGGGATTTCCTCGACAGGGTTGAAGCAGCTTCACGCGTACATCCAGCTGCTAAAACGTGGCTGGTAGGGTCTGACCGTATCTACATGGAATGTACTAGTAGTATGGGGCACCGAATGTTTGTAAATTGGTAAACTATCGTTTGCCGCGTTATTAGAGGTGTGACCAGCTTTACTTGGTCGGCTACGGCTTTAATGCGATTGCGTTCATCTTCTACGTTAGCATAATTGTCTTCAAGATGTCATGCACTTCCTGTGCAAAGCTATTCGCCTGGTTAGTCGTGAACGATAAGCCACCAATTGTTCAACACGTCCCTTCGGCAGCGTGTACGACACAGCCTCTCCAGTCTGATCGGATCCAGTCCATGGCCCATATAAAGTCGTTGCCGGGAAATCCGCCTCCGGTTTAGGCGGCCCTCCACTTTCGGGTATGGTCGCCATGCTATTACACTGCGTATGCCACCTCAATGGGACAGGAGTTCAATAGGGCGGGCTTGGGCGAGCCTGACCATATTGTCCATTGCCTAGACTATCCGCAGCAGAGCCTTGTCTGCGCCGCAGACATCGGCATTGAGCCCTTCTATGCAGGTCACTACCCCGACGTCATGTTCGATCCAGGCGTGGACAGAGCGGTTAACGGGTTGGGATTCATCTTCGATTCCCCGCAGTGATAGTCCACTGCAGCGATAGTCGAATCCAAATTTAGCGTACAGAATGCACTGAAAAGTGGATTTGTTCACCCATCCATGAATTCATCGTTATTGCAAGTGTCACCTTACCTTTACTTACGATACAGCTATGGCTCCGCGTATCGACCAGTTGGTGGCTACCAACACTATCAGCGACTACCTGCAACAGAATAACCTGCCGCACCCCTCTTTCGACGCGGATGGACCTATCACGCTGAACCTCTCGCCACAGGCAGAACGCGTGCACAGCACTGCGATTGATGCTCTTCAAGAGCTGCTGGACCTGCTGCAGGGACCTATCGCCTGCATGCTATCCAAGGTGTGCACCCAACAAGAGCCTGAGAATTGAGCTAACACGCGGGTAGTACAATGGCACCAGGTTGCAAATCATCTCGCTCCATGATATTGCTCGCAAGATTCCCATGGAAGGCACGATCTTATTCAAGGAGCAGCGGAGGGCACAGACCTACACGTCAACGATCCGAAACGGATCATGCGCTTCGCCATGTCCTTCCATCTCCTCTTCGCGGAGCTGCAGGAGGGCTTCGTAGCGCATTCCGCGGGATCAAAGAAGATTGCTTCCGAGGAGATCGTGCGCACTGGGCTGGCCCAGCCGTTCGACAACTTCTACGGCTCCTTTGCCAGGGTGCATGTTGGTCCCGCTACCTAGCCTAACTACGCAAGCGTTGAACCATTCGTGAGCAGACTGCGGATGCGCTGGATGGCTTCAAAGACGGCGAGCCAACCACATGGTACATGGCGCCTAAAAAACCAATCGCAGCTAAGCTAACGCCCAGCAGGGACTCGTATTGGTACACAGCACCGACAAGACCATGTTCGACTTCCTGCGCACGCAGCCCTCCAAGGCTGACCAGTTCAACAAGGCGATGCGCTTCTACTCGGAATCACACCTCGTTGAGGGTTACGACTGGGACGCGCTTGACACAGGCACGGTGGTGGATGTCGGTGGTGCAGATGGCCATGTCAGCCGGGCACTCAGCAAGGCGCATCCGCAACTGAACATGGTGGTCGAGGACCTGCCAGACGTAGTAACAGCAGCGGAGCAGGCATCGCCGACCCAACACGTTCGATACCAAGCACACGATTTCTTTACAACACAGCCTGCCACGGCAGCAGATACCTACCTGTTCCGCTGGGTGTTCCACGACTAGCCAGACCACTATGCTGTGCAGACTCTGCGGGCGCAGGTGCCTGCGCTATACAAGGGGGAAGGGCCTTCGAGCTCGACGTCCCGGTGGATCCAGCCTCGGAAGGCCAGATAATCCAGTGCCTCGAGCATCTCCTGCTCCAGCCGCATAAGGACCTTGTCGTTGGTATGTACGCTGGGAGACTTCTCAAGTAAATGACTTAAGTTTCCCGGCTTAAGGCTTATGTAGATGTTCACAGTTCTGGTATCCCAACCCGATGAACCTAAGTATTCAACAATGGTTTTTTTTATACATTGTGAGAATCCAATATAAGAGCCAACAGATGAATAAGCTTACGTGAGAAATGCTGGAGAGAATTTTCACTTCACGCCGTAGTTGGATCTCTTCGTTAGACACCGCACAGTTGACTTTAGGGGGTACGGGGATTTTCTCGATAGGAATGAAGCATCCCGAATCGAGATCCACGGCTTTGGACACCTTGCCAAACGATCCCTTTCCTAACTCTCCAACCTCCATTGTTCGCTAAACGGCCCAATAGCCGGTGTGTGAAGCCGTGTATTATACCAAGATGGAAGGTTCGTAGGCCCATCCTCCATCGTTCGAGCCTAACGAGGATTTTCTAACCGTGCTTCAGCCATCTCAAATCTTTTCTCCTTCTCTTTAAGCAAGGTTTCTGACCCCTCTCTCCATCTCAAGCGGAAGACAAATTGGTCCGCTTTCTCACCGCCAGCGCTAATGGTGTAGTCTGTTCCCGGCTGCAAGACGACCTGGCGGAAATGTCCATCCGTCCTGAAGCCAACCGGTTCTATCTTAGTGCTGCGAAGTCGGGACTGGTCCCAGAACATGGTTTGACGGGATTCTGGATGGATCTCAAAGAAAAGTGGACTTGGGAGATGTTTGATCCTAGCATAATGAGTCGGCATTCTTTCCCACTTCCGCTATTATTAGAGGACAAGGCATCTCCAGGACGTGATAGCCGATCTCTAGGCCATAAATATCATCGTCATCTTCGTCATTCTGTCCGGTAGTCTTCTTGTAGAAAGATACAAAGGGATCGTTGTCCGGGTGAAGGAGCATCTTTTTTGGCCTTAGAGGACTTCTCGTCCGGGACAAGACGAAAGATCGTCCGAGGATGGAGTGTTTGGCGAGGCATAATTTCTCACATTCGACGAAGTAAGACAAGGACTTGTTCAGAGGGAGGTGCCTTAATTAATGGGATTTTGTGTAAGGGAAGCGCCCTTGAAAATAAAACGAAAGAGGGGGTGGGAGACATCCCAAGTAAACGAAAGGAACATGTTTGGGCACGTGTTCACGCGCGTGGGTGAGTCAACTGCTGTCAGGCCGCGTGCCACTCTAGAAGCTACTAAATTAACAAACCCATTCTTCACCAAATCAAAATCAATCATCACAATACTCCATTCCGTCCACGACATCAATCCGACTCGTCTGAACGCGATTATGCCCACTCTCCAGCGTATGGCGGACGATTCGGAGTTCCTTGAGCACCGAAGACGTCGTTTCGACCAGGATGATCCTCCACCGCCATATTCGTCGCACAACACCACGAGACTGCCAACTCCCGACCCATTCCCTCCAGCGGTGGACGACATCGATATAGACGAGCTTCTTCACAAACCGTTGAGTGACTTTGAGATCAATGTGATCAGAGGAAGGTTTAGCCTTGATGGGCTTTATTATCCACGCCATCGATGCAACGACGAAGTCCGTCAAGAAAAGGAGCGGATCTATCGAGAATCGGCCAGACGGGATGAAAACTATAATCCGCTCTATCGTGGACCCGACCTGATCGGGCGCCCTGTACAGCAGCGGATCTACATTATGGCTAGACACAGCATCAAAAAGCGATGGGAAAAGCTGGGAGTGTGGAACCCCAAATGGGGGGTCCCCACTGGCTATCTCGAAGGGTTTGGCAACGATGACGGCCCACGCTCTTGGGTGTGGGACCGAAAAGCACGAGGCATAAAGAGAAAGTACAATTACCTGCCACATGAAGAAAAAATGGCCAGTTGGCCCTCGTGAGATGAGAACCATCTCGAATGTGGTCAGTAGGTGCTTGTCTGAGGTGGTTCACAGACTGGATCCGATCAGTGGATCATGTCGATATCGACATCTATCGAGTAGGGTGCCCACCCGGCCACATGATCCACGGATTGGATCCGACGGCGGTGTGTCGAACTTTGAGAGGGGCGTATAGAAGGGTGAAAAACTCGTGTATGGGGGAAGCCCCTCTATATAATTAGGCTAGGGAATAGGGGCTCTTGGCACTAGGCACTAGCTGTTTGACACGGTGGTGTTTCATCGGATCTGATCCATGAACCATGCCGAATGTGATCGATAGAGCTTCTCTGAGTGGTCCACAGACTGGATCCGATCGGTGGATCATGTCGATATCGACGTCTATCGAGTAGGATCCCCCCCCCCGCCACAGAGTCCACAGAATAGATCCGATGACGGGGCAGCAAGGGGCCACGTGCCCACGCGATAACGCCAAGTCATAGGCTTACGTGATTGGCCAGCATGTCGCTCTTGGCGTCGTCACACGACAACAAGCCCAACCAGGCGATTCCAAAATTTAAAAAATTAAAAAAGTTCAGGTTTATATTTTATTCCGCCAGAAACTGCTTCAAAATTGACGCCAAATCGTGGTTGACCTATCAAGAAACTGAGTGGGCACGCTAGGTTAGTCGAACCGATGGAATTGAGGGACATTTACTAGTGTTTGATCATAAGGTAAGAGGATTGTCCCGCCTAGTTCCATTAAATCTAGGTGCCCTAGATGGGTAAATGTAATGCTCCAGCCAATGATTGTTGATGTCATACGGAGTGATGCCGCGGAGGTCGCTGATTCAAACTTTCCTTTAGTTGAACTTGTCTGACTGAAGCTTTCACCGGCTGTGGCGCCCCATCCATGGTTTCGTCAGAGTTGGACTAATGATGGTAGGGGGTTTGGGTTATTTTCGCTGTGGTGTGTAAGTGTGATATGTGGCGACACCAAGGCTTATAAAGACCTTACGAAGCGTTATACACTCCGTACACGCTTCGAAAGTATATGTCTGACGGTCCCTTGCCTTAGAAGTGGGAGAAGTCCTCCTGTTGAACAAAGGGCTATTGTGTATAGGCTCCACAGCTGAAACACTGGTGAGAGGTTTCCATGGACGACGACGTTACTGATGGTTGCTCTGCGTAACGACGTAGTATCCGCACGTCTATAAAAGAAGCCTCAATACCTCGACAAGTAGACAGAGAACGGAGAGCATTCAATACATCTCGAGTTGCACCCAGTTTGACACCTCCGTAAAATCACATTGGCATTTTTGTTAGCTTGCACCCCTCTCAGATAGATTCAATCAATCGATCCTCTCTCAGTCCTACAGACTAGTTATGAGGCCTCGAGTCCGCAGAGTAAAATGCGGGCTCAAGTGCCAAGGCATGGAGTCGCGTACCACGCATGTGACTGTACTCTTGTACAGGCGAGTTGTGACAGCCGTCGTCCATGAGTATATCCGAAAACGTGGAGAGCGTGGCGCAGAGACTCCGGTTGTTGGAAAATTGGTGACCTATCGTTCGCAGCAAACCAAGCCGCTTTGTGACACTCGCTCACTAGACTGTATCACCATTGATCGGCAACAAGATGACGTACGCTGCGTAGCGAGATATATAAATAGGCTCTACCCTATACTCGTTGAGAGAGCTAGAGCATTTGTTCAAATTCAAGTTGCACAAGAAGTTTGACACCAGTATCATTGAAAAGTGTAAAGGTACGGAGCGGGGGCTCATGGCAAGCCTCTGATATTGTGATAAATATTGTGTTTAGTTCCACTATGGCAGGGCGTTAGAAACATGGACTACATAAAGGAGGCATGACATACCACAGGATTCGAGACAAGTATTGTAGCGGGGCGCTACATGCACGGACTATGTAAGGGGCAAGCAGACATGGGTGGGTAGGAAAGTTGGGGGCGCATTGAGTCTTTCTTAGTTGGTTTTGAGAGATGCACATATACACGCGAGGAGATACAGAACATAGAGAAATGAAGCAATTAGAGTGTATGTAGTTGCTTAATGATCCTGACGACAACATCCTCCCTGCGTGACAGGCACTTAAGTGCTAAACCGTTCATCTCCTTTACACGGACAAGGATGAATTGCTTTATGAAATGTTGTGCAGAGGAACTGCACTGCAACGAGTAGTCAAAATTCATTAATTCAAGAAGAATTATAGACAACGCTCAACGCTTAACAACACCATAGATTCATGAGTATGAGGTAAGTTTTTTTTTTTTTTTTTTTTTTGTTTTTTTCCCAGCACTGTTGAACACGAATAGTACATTAAGTAGGATTCTCTCTACACTTGACCTTTCCATTCAAACCTTTATGTCCCACAAGCCAGTGATTGAACGTCTGCCAATCCGGGCTTAAATCGAAGTCAAATCTGCGAAACAGTTGCGGAATGATCTTGCCCATCTCCATCATTGCTATGATCTGGCCCTGGCATATTCGAGGACCCATACCAAACTATCATCTGTCAACTATTTGCATGTGATTTACTTACAGCCACTTACCGGCATATATGAAGCATTCATCTTAGCCAGCTGCTTCTTATCGGCTTCAAGCCAGCGCTCAGGCCGGAAGATGTCTGGGTCGGGATCAAATGCTGAAGAGCGATGAGCTACCCAAATGTTGACGCCAACTGTCGTCTAGCTTCGAGTTAGTTATTGTTCTTTCAAAAGACATGGCACTCACTCCCGGAGGGAAGTATCGTCCGCATAACGTGGCCCCTGACTCAGGAACCACTCTCCACAATGGAAAACCGGTCGGGGAATGCATTCGTTGAGCTTCTTTAATCACAGCATTGAGGTATGGCATCTTCTTCGACTCTTCGAATGTCACTGGATCGGAGATTTTCCCTTCGCGAGTCATCATGTCTATCTCAGCCCGAAGCTTCCGTAGCGTCTCAGGATACTTGTGCACGTAGTGGATGATGCTGCCAAGAGAAATCCAGGTAGAGTCTGCGCCAGCTGCAATGCTGCTGTATGCTCCGATGAGCACGTCGTTTTTAGTGAAATGATTCGGATTCTGTTTGTGAAAGTCAAGAAACCTGTCAAGCATGTCCGGTGGTTCAGAGGATTTTCCGGTCTCCAAATCACGGCGGCGTTGATGGCCATCAAGTTGGTTCTGTGCGAAGACGTACGTATAGTCAATTTGCTTAGTGACGAAGGTCATTACCATGACCAACTTCCAAAACAGACGATGAAGAGAAGGATATATGCCAACATGTGAGACGTAATCGAGCCTTTCAGCCAGAGCTGCGGCGATATTGCCGACATCTTTGCCCTCGTCAAGATGGCCGAAACGTTTAGAGAACTGCGTGCGATTAGATGCTGCCCATAATTCAGAGGAGGATTTGTGCATACGGCAATTTGGCCGTTCACGTCAAACGCGTAACAGGTGAGCCACCAACCAAGATCGGCCTCACTTTCGCTCGCTGCAAATTCGGACAGCCTCTGCTCCAGAATCTTCGAGCAATCGTCGACAGCATATTCGTACACGTGAAACACATCAAAGGCTGGTTTATACTTTCTGCGTAGCTCGGCGGCATATTTGTTGTTGTGAGTTGAGAAGATGTTTGGCTCATCTGGTTGCTGAAAAGCGAAATACCATTTCGATTTGGGAAAGACATTCTGAGTATTGTAGATGGTGGCTGCTGCGTCTAGATCGCTTATGCTGTACCAGTTAGGTGCAACGCGGACAATCGGTCCTTCACTGGTCAGCTTTCAACTCCTTTGATTCGAGCGGTGCTAACCATATTGCCGATGCAACTGGATGTTCTGTAGTTCAAAATCGCCTTTATGGACAGCTTTGAGATACCAAAGTCGGGTGAACCTTGCCAGGAAAGGTCCAGGGGCGGAGCGAAGCGGATCTCGAGCGGCACGATAAAGATAGTACGTGATGGGCAAGAGCACACAAGCAAGAATCAACTCGGCAGTCAAATGTGGCATGACGGCTGCTCACCAAGCAAGAACCGATATCGATCGAACCTTAAACCGTGTGAATGGAAGCTGCTCGCGAGAAGATATATATGGAATATTGTTGGTGGGAAGAGAAGAGGGGATGTCAGGCCGTCGTACCCCAGAACTTCTGTTGGCAGTGGTATCATTGTCTAGCTAAGTTCTGTTGGTATTTTAAGAGGGGTAGATGTAGCAGCAAAGCCAGAAGGGAAGGAGCATTCTTGGCATCTCGTGACAACTTCGCCTAGTGCAAGGAGCCAATCGATGATTCTACTTTGATCATTGTCTTATCGTGTTTTCGCGGGTTGTGCATCGCTTCAGCATTACGGAACAGCTTCCCCGGCAATAGGCTTCGATTTTTTCCCTGTCCAAGTGCATTAACGCGCATAAACATGGGCTTTCCGTCTCGGACTGTCAGCCTGCGCTCGAAATCCTCCTTGAGCCACCACCGTAGAAGGTGGGGTGGATAACCAACCTATGGGCTCATCTTCCGGCTCGCCACTCAACTAAATGCCCCGTTCGAGGTCAAAAAGACTACCAGCTTGAACTTCGCAGTACGATCTTCCGCTTCGCCCGTGATAAAAAAACCTTCTCCTTCCTCACTGAACAACCCTCAACACCCAGATCTTCATTGGCTAAAGATATTGTCTCAATATGGATGACAATATAGAAGGATTAACACCTGTCGCAGTCGACTTAGAATTTGACTCGGACTCAGGCTATGCTGATGAGTTGGCATCTTACTCAACTTCGCTGGCATCTTCAGCGCTGGACTATCGCTATGAATTAGGCAGACGATATCATGCCTATCGTCAAGGCCGCCATTTTCTCCCAAATGATGAACAAGAACAGGATCGCATGGATCTTACGCATACCGAGATGATGCTTCTACTTGATAATAATCTGTACCTTGCACCCATCAGCCACCCTCAGCGGGTAATCGATCTCGGAACCGGTACAGGGATATGGGCGATCGATTTCGCCGACATCCACCCCGAATCACAGGTTATTGGCAATGATCTCTCGCCGATCCAACCTCATTCCATACCGCCGAATCTCCAGTTTATAGTTGATGACATCGAAGACGAATGGGGCTATGAAAATAATCCTTTCGACTTCATTCACGCTCGCTACCTGGCAGGCTCGATTAGGGATTGGCCACGGCTCATGAAGCAAACTTACACATGCACGAAACCTGGAGGCTGGGTTGAATTCCAGGACTGGGATTGTATGATTGAATGCCATGACGGTAGCATACCAGAGGATTCCCCGTTCTGGATATGGCATAAAGCTGCTCTCGGGCGAATTGAGGCGACCAATACCGGCAGGCCTGGACCTCATCTAGAAAGATGGGTCCGAGATGCTGGCTTTGTCAACGTTGTTGTGAAGAGGTTTGTAATTCCACATAACATTTGGCCGAAGGACGAACGACTGAAGCGCATTGGTGCCTTGAATTTACTTCAGTGGGAGAAGGGTCTAGAAGGCATATCCATCGGATGTCTAAGCAGATCGATGTCCGATGAACCTGCATGGTCAATGGAAGAGATCCAGGTCTTGATAGCGAAAGTGAGAGCAGACGGCAGAAATCGCAAATTTCATGGTCAGTACAGCTTGTAAGTGTTCTTGATTGTTACGTTGATATGTATGCTGTAATGCTCACGGTAGCAGCTATGTTGTTTACGGGCAAAAACCCGCACACGCAGACGCCCACCAAGATACATGAACGCAGATACATCTGGACAGATTTTCGTTTTATCGTCCTGTTCTTCTAAGACGTTCGCAATGGACGTCCTGGGACATTGTGGACGCATCGTCGTCGTCGTGCTGCGTTGCATTTAAGGTGTCATCGCTCCAGACCAAGTCAACGTGCGAAGAAAGTTGATAACGTCGTTGAGGATAGCCGTACACAGTAGCATTGCAACACACAGCGTTTAGTGTAAGCGAGCTAGCTGCGCATAGCTGAGAGGACACAGCGTTTCTTCACATTAGGCACAGTTGGAATATGGAAAAGTTTGCATCTAAATCGAGGGTCAATATATACCAGCTAGAGCAGGCTGCCTTCAAATTATGTGCGGCCGAAGCTTTCCCTGACTAGGACCTTGGAACAGCCCGCTATGCGGGTGATGGCGTGTTACAATCCACCCTCCCGCGTCCTACATGGCTACAGGCATTAACCGTGAGTTAATCTCTACTTCATAACGGTCGTCATTAGGTTGATCGGATTTACGGATGGGTTATGGGGTCTGAGCCTGACAAGCAATGGTTGAATAACCCTTGCCTTCCAGCAGATCCTCGAACTTTGCTGAAAATTTTCTCGAGGTGCGTATCGGTAGGGAACCAAATCAAGCCTTCGGAATGAGACAAGAAAAATGTGCTTGAGACAAAAGTCGGAGGACCGTTTCGAAGCACGTCGCTGTTGCAAGACTTGTCATGACTCGTGACGCAGCCTCCGTTACAGTCACGAGCCCCATGAACCATTGGACGACAAGTCGTGCGGTAAATGAGGGGGTGTCAAGTAAGGCAGTTGGTGTCTGAATATGGTCATGATCGAATAAAGTCGGACCGACGGCCCCCAAGCGTGGAGAATATAACTATAACGGGACTTGCTAGATTCTTGATGGATCAACTAAAGACGTGCTGCAACAGTGTGGATCTCTTCGGCAAGGTAAGGTAGGTTAGATTAGTGTATGGTCGCCACGGAATTCCTACGATTTGCCAAGGTGATACAAGAATATGGTACATTATTCTGCCGAGAATTATTAGAATTTCGCTGATTAAAAGACGAGGTCGGTGTAGTTGAGCACATAGGGCTGATTCTGCTGTATGATTTCCCGCACAGAGACTTCGAAAACTGCCTGCTGTGTCATCGACACCTGCACCTTTAAAGGTCGATGTTGCTGGCGATTGGAGAACGTCTTAATTCGATGGGCCGGCCAGGATTGCTGGACTCTTTAGTTGTTCCGCTCTATTTGCGATGGTCTTCAACAGACCGAATATGTCCACGCTTCCACAGCTCTTTATCTCTTATCTCTGGAGACCTTCTGGCTGCGGGGTCCTGCCGGTGGATCCGTTCGACACAGTCGCTTAGCATGGGCGTTATATTCACAAGCACTGCCTCTAACCCCGCAACTGAGAGCATGAGAGAGCACAGCACTAACTTGGGCTCCTGACAACCATGCCGCTGACATCCCATGCTCTGGTCTTCCGCCTTTTGCACTTTGCTTCGCGAAAGCAGCATGTCAGTATACATCTTTCACCAGCTGGTGTGGCATGACCAGGAAGTGGTGCGCACATGCTTGACGGGCATATTGTCTTCTTTTTTTTCTCGTCCCTTGAGTCGCTGTAGAATCTATTGTGATAGCTTACCATATCGGATTGCTCCCAGTTGGCATTCGATCTGAAAATGTAAAGATGAGCGGAAAGCACATGCCTCCACCACAGCGAAGCATCTCCACAGACACTCATAGTTAGTCCTCCCCCAAATATCACCCATCATTTCTTCAAGCTGGCAGACAGGACGCTTTGGCAGTGTCGCAGACATGGTCGGAGGCATCAGCTTGAGCCCCACTTCCTACATAAAGTCAATCGCTTCTCTTCTTTTTTGTGGGAGATTGTTGATGATGGGAAGAACTGTTGTCAAACTTCGTGAATTGAAAGAGTGCTCTGGCTCTCCTAATGAGTGCAGGATAGAGCCGATCTATGTCCTCCAGCTTGCCGAAATTCTGATCTAGCTATCCATGCCCTATGAACATCGGCGCTGCTCGGAGGTCCCTTTACTGGCACGGATGCAGACAATATTCTGGCATTTTGCTATATGGATCTCTCATGTATGCTCAACTATTTTACGATTCAACGAGAGCTACCATTGCTGGACAGGTAAGCAAGCTCTTGGTGGCGATCTTTGCGCATCAGGCCGCAGACCAGTTCGCGCCAGATTGGGGGTCATAAAGGCGTGGGAGTCGTTGTCAAGCTAGGTGAACTTGTATCAGAGGTCTAAGTCGGAGACTGTGTGGGTGTGAAATGGATCACGTTGGTCTGACTCATTTGCGAAGAGTGTTATCTGGGCTTCGAGAACCGATGTGTAAAAAGACGCGTCGTCGGCCCCAAGTTATCCCTACACTTTTCAGCATTACATCATCCATGATCCTAACCATGTCACGCCGATTCCAGAAGGTTGGGATCCGAAGCGGTAGCACTTTTGCTGTGTGGTGTCAGCTTCTGGGGTGCTTGGCAAGAAACTCGATGCACGATCGGTCCTGGCGGCGGTCTAGGTCATCTGGCTGCTCAGTAGGCCCAAAGCACTAGGCCTGAGGGTCATTGGCACCGGCCATGGTTCCGAGGCCGAGTTCTCGACTTTAAGTTTGACCCTGCTGAGCTAAGCGAAAGGGCCCGGGAATTGGCTCGGTGGGGTGCTCACGCCGTTCCAAGCGATACTTTGAGATTATGGCAGCGACGGAGCCGCCGAGGGTCCCCCCAGCAGTAAGGTGGAGCGTTCCGAAGGGGCCATTGAAAGTGGTGATGGGGGATTGCCTCGTGATCAAAGAGACTCATTAGGGCTAACTCATCTCCCTGAAGAATTAGACAAAGACTCAAGAGGAGTTCCGGAGTGGAATAGCCTTAGGACCTTTCAGGCGAGTTGGTGGTATGAAAAGATGGCTGTCGCAGAAATACTGTATTAATTACAGCGTCAGACCCCGCCAAACGAGATCTCAATCGCTGAAAAGCTATTCTCAGAGGCCACAAATGCTCTTAGACTTCTTGTAATTGGCCGCGTTATGGTCGCGTCGACGGAATGACAGTGAAAAGGGGTCTTTCCGTTCCTTAAGCTAATGGCTCAGAATAGCCCTGCAGTGGTGCTCTTGCATATCTTTGCTTGCATTTATTTACAGAAGTGACTCGGAGTCAAAAATCCCTTTCTGAATATCGACTGCTTTTCCTTCAACAAGTTGCATTGCCATTTCATAGTATGCCTAAAGCAGCCAAAGGTCGCTCCGTAGCGCGTTCCGGCCCTTTGCGGGCGAAAGATAGCAACGCGTCAAAGAAGACCTCGACGCGTAAGGGACGAACCCAAGGCGAGAGTTCATCAGCAAATTCGCATGCTCCAAAGCCCAAGGAACAAACCAAAAGCGAGAACTCTTCGGCGACTACAAGTGCACAGAAGCCGAAGGTATTTACTAATAAGCATGTGGTATGATTGAACGATCTTATAATGATTCTCTTTCAGATAACGGCTTCCCCGGAAAGCTACCTCCTTCTCATCAGGCTGAGGAACAGCTATAATCCGATCATTACCCGTCTCTTGTCGATTCCTTCGCACTACAACTTCCGGACTTTCCACAGAGTACTGCAAATTGCATTCGGCTGGGCCAGACGTCATGCATATTCGTTTCAAGTTTCCAAGCTTCTAGAGGAAGACGAGGTCAGTCGCTTGACAGAGCTTTGGCCCCGATTAATAGTAAGGATTGAAAGGACTAACAATGTACTTTATCGTACCTATAGCATCCTAACTTCATGAATGGAAGGGGCAAGACACTCCTCGTAATTCAAGACGATGCCGACCTACTTGGGGGAGGCCTTCGGGACCTCGGCCTGGTGGTCGGGGAAGCCGAAGACACCACTCTGGCAGATATCTACGACAGTGACGAGTTTAGGGGTAAAGTCGAAGTTTCGTACGAATATGACCACGGCGACGGCTGGGATCATGAGATTGCGTTTCTTGGGCGCGCTGACCCCATTCTGAGGAAATCAATGATGATACCCGAGGACATAGAAGTAGTATGTCTTGGGGGTGAGGTATGTGTCGCTTCGTGATATCTACCAATAGGGATAACGAGAGATACCGGTCAAAGCTGATAGAGATTACAGGGCCACCCCTGTGCGGAAGACTGTGGCGGCGAACCCGGTTGGGAGGATTTAAAGGCTGCGTTCAAGAAGAGAAACGATCCAGAAGGGAAAAGGGAATGGTACAAAACAATTTGCGCAAATGGCGACCCGAAGGGCCTTGACCCTTTCAAGTGGGACATCTTAGATGTCAACGACCAACTCTGCGAGATTAAACAGTAAGATCAATTTTGGTCTGGAACGGCGGTGCAAGGAGTCCTTTTAGGAGATGAGAATCATATGGGTAACTGTCGGATGGGAAGAGAATACTAAGACTGGGTAAGACAACTAAGGAAGCGGCCACAAAATCAAATCTTAAGAAGGAAACTCTCGAGCTGGGAGGGAATGCCCACTCACCATTTTCGAGGACGCAGATTTGACCGAGACTGTTGAGGCTGCGGCCATGCCTATTCTCTGAATTCAGGGCAGGCGGGCAATGCTAACTCTCGCATCCATGCCCATAAAGCTGCTATTCAAGCATTTTACGAGAAGTTTGTTCATTCTTTGAAAGATCTAGGAGGATACCCGTCTTCTGGCAAGGATCCGCGGATCCGGACGGCCTGGAGTGGCCTGCAAGCTACGCAGTCCCAGCTTAACTCAATACGGTCCTATATCAAGGAAGAAGAATAAGCGGGGTATGCCATTATATAGCCAGAGGCAAAAGGGAAGGCCAAAAGCAGGTTATTGGTGGATCCCATAGTCATATGAGTCAATTGAACCAAGCCGTGTCATGAGAGAAGAAGTGTTTGGGCCTGTTACTTGCGTCAGCAGCATTGAGTATGAAGGGGACATGGTCAAACGTGTCAATGACAACGAGTACGGCCTCTACGTCAGCATCAATGCCAAAAACATTTCTCGCACGTTGAAGATAGCGAGAGCGTTTGAATTTGGCACTGTGGGAATCAATTGCACCAGTCCAATAATGACGCACGATACGCCTTTTAGCATAACTTAGCGGAGAAGGCGCTCGGCAAGGCTACGGTGGACGACTAGACGCAGCTCAAAATAGTGTATATAGCAACGTACTGTGACGACCTTTGGGCAGCCCCTCGAGGAAGTTGTAGCTATTAAACAGTCTATGCATACAAGTCTCCTGGCCCTAGGAGAAATGTTCGTTTAGGAAATCCGTGACCTGTGTAGGCTTGAAACCCGGTAGTAGATAATTCCATGTTGGCGATACGTCCATAGATTCTCGGGCTGCAGCTAATAACCAGTTGATAGACAGCTGTCTGCTCATTTCCTCTACTTTGTCCGGAGGTACTGAGGAATGAATTATTTGAGGCGTCCATGGACTCTCCATCTTCCCAAGTTCGAGATCTGTTCGACGAACCTGGTGTATTTCGAAATGAGTTCCTGGAATTTGAAAAAGTCCTATCAGCAACAATTTCCAGAATCCGTGTTCGGTGAAACTTAATACCTCTAATTTGTTCTGCGAGGCTAATGAGATCTTTAACGGTGGTTCTTGTTCCACAGATCTGTCCGACGGTTGGCCAGGGCAATGTGTGTTCAACCGCAAGAGCAACTACCCTCGCCAAATCCTGCACGGTGGTGAAGACAACATGGGGGTTTTCACCTTCCAAAGTGATGGCTTTGTAGTTCTGTACGTCAATCGGAATTGGCGAGAGGTGTAGGTGACTGGCAGATTTCTTGGGAAAGCTCAGATAATTCATGAACATTCCTGGTTGGAAGAGACAATACTCGAGGACCTTGCCTTGAGCGTTGATCTGTTCCAAATAGCTTCGGGCGTCATCTTTGTACTTGAAGAGCTCAATGCCAGAATAGTTGGCCCTAGGACAGTTCTAATGCTGATATCTTTTTTCGATGGATGGTTTATCACTCACCAGACCCATTCGCTTGGAGCAAATCTCTTTACTTTGGCGATCATGCATGCATCGATCAGGTTTTTCTGCACTTTATTGTCGTAGTCCAGGACAAAACTCAAGACAACATCGACGTTTTGGAGGTGAGACGCAAGTTCATTGACATCAGAGTAGTCAACCTTTACAACCCGGTAGGTCGAACTTGACCTGTCTTCGTCGACATTTCTGGGTGTTAACGCCTCGGAGGGCAGCTTTCTCGTAAACACTGTCAGTCGAGATTTTCCCCGCTGCAAGAGAGCATCTGAAATCTCTCTTCCCACTCCTAAATTGTATCGTGGTCAATTAGAGATGGATTTATTGAGAAGGAACGCCCACTTTACCTCCGAGGCCCCCTGCAAGTACGACGTGGAGCATTTTGAGTTCAAGGTATGTAACGAATTTAGGAGATAGGCATAGCAGAACGGCGTAGTATTTAGATATCTACGCAGAAGCTGGGTCGTTCTTAACGACTATCCTGTGCACTAGCCTACGCGATTGGGTTCTAGTTCTCGGCTAGGCAGAGCTCGATGAGATCTACTCCAACTCCATAGTTGGGACTAGGACCGCACAGATTTAATCCCTATACGAAAGATCGTAACTAGTACATTAGAAGTTGAAATTTCTTTTTGAGTTATATCTACGAATGTCCTTCAATCTCCAGAGACGTCATTCCAAGGGAGGTTGACATTCTCTCGGTACTTCCATATGATCTCCGCTTTCATGTCAGGCATTGATTTGCTTGAGAACCACATCAACTCTGGCTTTGGGGCATTCTCTGCGGGCTTGATATCGTAATGGGTCAGGGAATAGACAAGTAGCACCTTGATCTCGTTGACGGAGAAAAATCGCCCAGGACACGCGTGCTTTCCGTGACTAGATCATGACGATAGCCACACAGGTATTCAGGAGAGCTGTATTTCATACCCGAAGTAAGTGAATTGTGGCGTAGTTTGAACCATGGAATGCAGTCTCCTGGCCCTTCTCTAGTCGCCGCTTTTGGAATCTCCAGGGGTCGAAATCCAAGGCATTCGGATCCCGGACTTCGGTATCAAAGTTGGCCGCCGATGAAGGTGTCAACATGTACGTGCCCTTGGGGACTAACGTGCCGTCGCTAAGTGTATAGTCTTTCATCGCAACACGGTCCATGGTACCTTTTCCGAACTTGGCATTAGATTACGACATGGAGGGTTGGAGCACAATCATACCTGCTTGGAAGGGATGGAACCTCGCACTCTCCTTAATAAAGCTGTCCAGTTTCATCATCTTTGTCAGGCCCTGTTTTCGCCACTCGCCGTTCTGAGATGCGAACACGTTCTTTATCTCTTCACGCAGCTCGTCGTGGATATCTGGGTGCATAGCCAAGTCATAAAGCGCATTCAGGTAGGTTACGCTGCTGGTATGTACCGCAGCAGTGAGAATATGAATCAGTCTCAGCATTAGTCTTTCAGTCGAGAACCCGCCGTACTAATGAAATCGTCAACTACTTAATGGCAGCCTTATCAAAATCCGTGCCTAGGGGAACTCTAACTTACCAGTATTACAGGGTTTTGTCTATTCATATGTCTCGTCTCTCTTTGCCTTCTCCATCGCCGTAATGCGAGTTCGTAGCAGAGGGTAGAGGTGTCTCTGAGCCTGTGCCAACTGCGAGTACATGCCTGTCTTGAGATACAAGGCAAGACGTTTCGTCCATTCCGCGTAGTGACGGATCATGTTGGCGCCTGCGAAGAAAGTGTCGCTGCAATCTATTGCGAGCTTCAAGAAATCTCTGTTCTTGGCAAGATCTACTCCAAAAAGAAGCCTGTTCGCCGTCCGTGGAACGATGCTGAAGGACACTGGGAACGTTACCATCGATTTTCATTCTATTACAGGTTAACGTATGGATTAGGTGAAAAAGTATCAACTAATATCGGAGAACATACCCTTCGGTTCGCCGATTAAATCGTGGAATGCCCCGAAGCATTCGTCAACAATGGCTGGGAGCCCAGGACCTAAGTATTGGTTAGTCCACCTTGAGGTCTCAAAACACATTAGACACATACCCAAGCTTTGGGTCAGCTGTTTGCTGACGACATTGAAGTGATATTGATCCCATTCCAAATCCTTGTGCAAGGTGTGACCCGTTTGCATCAAGTCGTTGTTCGCGGGCAGATTGTACAAGTCGACTTCCTTTGCTGAACGGACCTCCTCTATGTATCTCGGATAGAATACAAATTGGAAAACTTCGGGCGTCCTCATAAGCCAGTTCTGACCTATCTTCGCATACTACAGAGATTTTCGATTAGCTTATTCTTCGATCAAAAATTGGTCGTTTCAGTGGCACCTTTTCATAGCCCAGACGAATAACCTCATACCATTCTTGACGAAAGCCTTTGCATCCTCAGCTGCCCCAGCTTTCCCCGGTAGGTTTGATGTCCGGAGCTAGGGGGCATTTGGTATGCGGTTTGTGGCATGGGGAAAGATCCAAGAGAGGCCGTAGATAACGAGGGGGATAAGAAACCCGTAGAGATAGAACGGAATGCCATAAGGCCATTCGGCGAGCTTTGAGAACGTCGATATAACTCCCATTGTTAGAGATGAATGTGATTCTCTCGGCCCTTGGTCAATGAGGTCAACATTGAGTGTTTTTGATATTGGCCTTATGATGCGGTGTCGTCGGAACACCCAAGATAGCACGAGTCGAGGGAAACGACACACAAGACACGGCTGAGTCCCCGCCAATTTTACACACTGTGTTCCGTGATTGTTTGGACCGATCTCTCCCTCTGCTGCTAGGGTTCCTGGAAGCACAGACGAAGTCGTGATTCCGTAGTTGCCGGTCACCAAACTCGGAGAAGATGTAACTAAGGGAAGTCCTCATCGCCTTGGGTCTGGATGCACACACGTACACCTAAAAAATCTCATTGTGCTTGGTGCGTCCTGGGATGCAGATTCACAGGGAACACAGAGTTGTTCTTCATTTGAAAGTGACCTATATTGATTACTACGTTTAAGCTGTGATACTAGCAGTATATCATGATTTCCCAATCTCAAAACTCTTCAAGCCGTCTAAGGTTTCCTGACATTGTGGTTCATATTGCGCGATGCCGTTTGTGTAGGTAAGCATTTGAACCTTTTCCCCGGAACTGCAGTATTGTCAGATTCTTTATTTGAAGGCAGCATGGTTTCTCAAACATACTATTGCCCGCAGTCCACCACGAATTGGTCAGAGGGAACAGAGTCTGCATACACATATCATGGATCATTTGTCCCCATTCATCCTGCGCCTTCTGTGCCGGTTCTATGATGCTCGCTCTTTCTTTTCTCCGGCTTCTTAATGGCGTCTACAACCCAGTCCACCTCTTTCAAGTCTTGATTTCTGCAGCCTGCCAAAATAGCACCGAAACCGCTCCACCTCTCCCAAAACCACATTGTCGGGTGCATAGGCTTATAGAACACGAATATCATTGCACATATATCGTAGAACTAATTATTACATCGATATCTACCACTGTATGCTCCCTATCTGTCATATCGTGCCGGAAATCATTGTGCCACCGCTCAGCATAGTCGATGCCTACTACCTGCCTAAGCGCCTTGCGGCTGAAGACTCGAGACATCTACGATGTCGGGCCTCGACAGCCTTGTGCTGCACCAACTTTCCATCTCCCAATACACCATCGGTACGGTCGATGACAATCACACCGGCCAGAATGCTTGACTAACGGAGTGTCAAACTTCTTGTGCAATTTGAGATGAATGAGCGCTCTGTTCTCTATCTACTTGTCGAGGTGTTGAAGCTCCTTTTATAGACACACGAATGCTACATTGTTGCACAGAGCAACCATCTGTAACGTCGTTGTCTATAGAAACCTCTCGTCAATGTTTCTATGGTGGGGTATACACACAACACCCCTGTTCAACACGGAGCCACCTCCTCTGCATGGCGCTGTCTATTGTATATCCGCCAAACGATGCAGCCACGGCGCCCGCTGTCGAGTGAGTCCCTATTGAAGAATCCTAGCTGCGCTCCGCCATGGCTCTATCCGTTTCACTGACCGAATCCTTATTTCAGTATCGCGGCCGTCCACGGTCTCGGCGGTAATGCCATCAATTCGTGGATACACCCCAAGTCGAAGAAGTTCTGGTTGAAAGACTTCCTACAGCAGACCCTCGATGCCTGTATCGTGACTTTCGGCTATGATGCCGACGCCGCCTTCGGAAAATCGACAGTGAAAGTGATCGGCCATACCAAAAGGCTGCTGAGCAGCTTGGTGGACAAGAGAGAAGAGCCGGAGGTGTAAACGTATCGATGCGCCGAATGAAGCAAGAGGTAGATGCTGGTGCTAGATCAGGAAATGCACCGTCCTCTGGTATTCATTGCACACTCTCTTGGAGGCATTGTGAAGCAAGTGAGTCGATATCAGAGAACTTTGGATAAATCGATGGCTGCTCGTTGTTCAAGGCGCTGCTTAAGGTGACAACGCTGGTCCCACTGCTTTAATCTGGGCGAGCAGATCTGGTCACGGGGATCTCGTTCAGCTCCTCGAAGGACCGGATGTCGATACTCAAGGCAAAGAATACGACAGTCTAAAAGAGGATTCCTATCATGTCCCAGATAGAGATGATGGCAATGCTCTGTACGCGGCTTTGTATTGTGGTTACGAGAAGATGCGTAGGGATGCTATTTGGTGGAGGAGCCAACGTTAATGTGCAGGGAGGTGAATATGGTCATCCACTGTAGGCAACATCGGCTGGTGGTTACGAAGACATACTACGGATACTACTTGATAAAGGAGCAGAAGTTAACGCTGTGGCAGGAGAAGTATCTGGTGACGCACTACAAGCAGCTGCGGCATGAGGTCGTGAGATAGTCCAAATAGTTCTCGACAGAGGAGCGAACGTTGATATTGAGGAAGAATTGATTAGAACTGTATCATCTACCGCATCACAGGCTGGCCATGAGAAAGATTGCGAACGCTACTGGACAGAGTGGACTTCAATGCTCAAGAGGATACTCTAACAATGCACTACACGCAGGATTATACATAGGTCTTGGGACGGCGGTACAGATGCTGCGGGACAAGGATGTCATCATACTGAATTCGGCTGGTGTGGTCCTGCGACTAATGATTTACCAAGTCGCAGTCCAGCGCAAACTTTGAGTTACAGGTAGCGCGCGCAACCAGAATGTTGAACTTCTCAGGCAAACATTTCTGATTTTATCGAAGGTTATTCTAGGATAGTTCCGTTTCATCCTTGAAAGTTGCTCTCCCTGCCACACCGTGGTACATGCAAAATTCATTCATCCTTCCTCCCTATGCGCCCTCTGAAACTGTCGACTCAGGATGACCTGGTCAGAGCTGGAAGTGTGGTTCCTCCTAGACCATGAATTCTGTGTTACTCGACATGTCATTCTCACTGATTGTCGGTGACTGAGCCATCTAGATATAAGTCGATCTGGCGCTACGTCGTCCTTCTCATCCTCGATGTATCTTTGAAGAATAATCGCCCTTCCTATATCTCAGCATGGCAGAAGCTCTCGGTACGACCCCAACCATATTGCCAATTATTTATAGGGTGACGAAGTCGGTTGTAGCTGCCTCGGCAGCAATCAAAGGCTTACGCGCACATTACAAGATTATCCGAGATGTCTGGGACGAACTCATTGGTCTTGAGGCCGTTTTACTCTCATTGCGTGAAGCATCTGAGTCTGATCCTGCCATAATTTCCCTCTTGGCCTTCGCACTTGAGCGATGTGGACAAGAATGCAAAGAATTTTCCTCACTGATCCAGAAGTGTACTGTTCATTCTGGCGGGTCAAGACCTAGTATCCGCGATTGGGCAACGCTTAAATACATTGGTAGCGACATCTCTGGCTTTCTACGTATGTTAACTGGATACAAAATGACGATCTATATCGCACTGGAAACTGTCAATATGTGAGTTCAATGCTATTCTTGTTTAGCTTCTCCCTACTAACCATGTTACGCAGTCGTGGACCTCAAGTCGGCGTCGAGCATGTCCAGCTGTATCAGAAAATGATTTCAGCCAATGTCAAAACATTGGAGGAGCGACTTACAGAAGTAAATGGCAAGCTGGAATCATTAGATCCAGAAAATAACTCATACATTATCTCTGACACGGCCGAGAGAAGGCAAATGTTGGAAGAGAGAGCCAGCCTACAGCTTCTTATCGACGTCTGTCTTACGGCATCCCAATATCCAGAGATCCGCCAGCCTGACATTGTGAATACTGAACGTGGACTCCATGAATCAGAACATCTGCCTCCTGCAAAGCAAGCAACTACGCGAACTCTGAATAACGGCGAGATAACAAAAATGCTTTTACCCAGTGAGTATGACGGCGAACTGGCGTCAGTACATTCGGTGGACAGCCCAGGTACGACAGCAACGGGTTCTTCGACGACCCTTGTCGGTGAGGTTCTGGCTGCAGCCAATGAATTTGTCAGTCTTCTACTTGAAGATCAAACCTTGACCCCTTTATTTTCGACGGCCTTCGATCGCATCAAGGCAGACAAGCTTGAAAGAAATATTAAACGGCTCCTGAAGAAGTACGCTATTGATCTACGGCAGGAGGCAAAGGGCGATGTCGAAAAGAAAGCTGTGCAACTTATCCAAAAGCGTGCGAGGTATATTGCATACCGGGTACGCCTACACTACGATAAGTCCACAGTAGATAAGGCAGTGTGGTTCGAACAATTGACAAAGATGAGTTCTGATAAACGTGCTCTCATGGAGGACTATCTAAGAGGCAGGACCGACAAATCCACCGAATCTTTACAGAGAAAGCCGCATGGCGATGATGACAACGACGGAGATGCATCAGATTCAAGCATATCGACTGAAGCTGAAGCAGATCAGCCCGAACTTAATGATCTAGATCGAGTCAAGCTCTTCATGTTTGAGTCTGCAGCATATCAAAGATTCAGGCAGAACCTCAAAGACTTCGTTCTGCCCCGCAGAGAGCTTGAGCAGCAGAACGCGACGAGTTCTAGTTTACTAAGTTTCTTATCTCTCGAAATATGGGGCAAACTTCAAGTGAAATGTGCGGAAGTCATCCATGCACTGCTCATACTTTCGAGACCTGTGGTGCCTTCAGGCCACAAAAGAATTACCTGGATATGTGTAAGTTAAATCTTCTAAGTTTATTAAAATTTGACCGACTTATATCTCCCTCTCTAGGGCTGTGGAGATCACAGATACGCGGATGTACGGGAGACTAGCCCTAATGGAGCTTCCAAACTTCAGGCGATTTTGCGGATGTCCGCTATCACAACGAATACAAATAGCACTATTGGTGCTGCTTCAACCCACCCGCGGCCGCCAGTCCAAACTCTTCTTCCAGGAAACTCGACAGCTAGAGTCGATTTTCACAACGCAACGCTGCCCAGTGATATATATAAGACCAGTCCGGTTCTATCAAACAATGCAGCAGGTTCTTCAGCAGCGGTATCAGAAAGCGCACAATTAGATCACATATTTCTCTTACTATGCCTATCAATTGGCGGAGCCTCCACTCTCCAGCAACTAAACATAAGAGATGTGGACAATGACCAATACCTATGGGAGAGGATACACGAACAGTATCACGAGCTTCACCGCAAGAGACTATGGTACCAAAAGCTTTCTTTAACCAGATGGCTGTCAACGATAAGCTGGCTCTCATGGTTAGTCACAAGCATCGACCTAACCACTGCAAATTCCGTTGAATTCGTGCGCTTCCAACTTGTCCCAATAGGTATGGACATCCGGCCATGGAATTTTCACTCACCATCTTTCCCGCCAGAAGCAGAGGTAAAAGTCAAGAAAACATATCATTATGATCCTTGTCCTGTCGATGTGGACCCGACAGGTCTCAACGGGGAACTACTACATTGTCTGTGGAAGCAGGGTCCACACCTTGATCGGTTCTGGTTAAATTTCTTTCCCAAGAAGCTTAGCGTAACGTTACAATATGTAAGCAGACATGAACACGGGCTGGGGCATCCGTGTTGTCGAAGGCGTCAACTGGGGCTCTGTGACTTACCTTGGACTTATTCAGGTCAGTTTCAGTGCTGTTGCGGGAGTTGTTTACAGCGCCGTCACCCACGACGTTGGAGGAGGCTTTAGCATAGCTGCGTTCCTGGGCATGCTGCCGACATTGGGTATACTTTTGGTACAGCTGAAACCGGTTGTGTAGGTATTTGGAAGAGACGCCAGTGTTATTTTCACGCCAAAAGTCTTTGATATCTTCAAACTTCGTCAAGGGGGTTATCACGCGGGACCCCGCGAACACATTCCAAGATTTTACCAGGTCTTTTCTAGTCCATTTTCTCGACATGCGCATGAAGTCCACCGGATTGGAGGGATCAACGTCATGTGGACGTAGGCTTTTCCAGTCACCACCATCGGAAACTTTGAGATGGATGCGAACTGTCTGAGGACCGGGTCCTCCGTGACCCACGGTACCAGTGCTCCTAATAGTCTAATCAGTCCGTCTAGAGGCCTTAGACCGTTCGTTTAGTCCGTCTGGTTTAGTCAAACTAGACTGTTAGTGTGACCGAAATCTTCAGACTGCAACGTCATCGGATCCAATCCATGGACTAGGTGGCCGGGGGGCACCCTACTCGATAAATGTCGATATCCTCGATATCGACATGATCCACGCATCGGATCCAGTCTGTGGACAACCCCAGACAAGCTCTACTGATCACATTCGAGATGGTTTGTAACCGAGCGCTAACGAACGAGCCCCGATGTCGAGATGATCCATGGATTGGATCCGATGGGTCGCGGTATTTCATCAGATCCAGTCTGTGAACCACCCAGACAGGCCCTACTGATCACATTCGAGATGGTTCGTAACCGAGCGTGAACGGACGAGCCTCGATATCATGAATCTGACCCCATGATGCCAGGACTTTAGTATGTGATACTGCATCTGTAGCCCAGGAAATTACACGTGACGAAACGCGACACTAATAGTCTAACTATTAGTGTATTACTCTTACACTAGACTAATGGTCAGTCTGATAAAGTCAGACTGAACTACTCGTCTGGTATAAGAGTAGCAAACTGAACTGATAGTCTATAGATTATTAGTATCAAGGAATGCCAAGGAACGGAAGGGCAAGCGTGATTCAATAGGGAATTGACAGTCCTATATGATATCGACTCGATCGCTTGAGGAGTCAAGCGATGATGGGGTGAGATGAGCAGGTATAAGCATGCGTCTCGCCCGGTATCTAGGGTCTTGGCAGGGGCCGCCCTGACAATTAGTGTAGACTGCAGTCTGCACTAATAGTCCTCCTAATAATCTGGACCATTAGGAGCGCTGATACACAACCAGATAACGACTACAAGTTCTATCCCAGCAATCCCCTCTGAACGTCCCCAGGTGCCGGCGCTGGAAGTCTCGAAGGGCTTAGATCACGCACAGAATGCTTAGCCCCCGCAATATTAACCCCTAACCGACCAAACAGAAGCTCAAGTTCGGGGTACCTCTTCATCGCAAGGCCAATGTACTGCGGGTTTAACTCATCCCGTCGTGCCTGAATAGCGGCGCTATATCGATCAGCTAACCATCGGAGATCGGCGGAATCGTGGAATTTTGACCGAGTTGCTGCGGCACGAAGTTTGCCTTTAAAGAGGAGAAATGGATCGAGGAAGCTGGAAGGGCCGTTGCCGAAGCTTTGCCCGCTGACTGTACGGACGGTGGCTTGTATGCCGCTCATATTGTACTGAGCGCCTGGAGATAGATAGAGCGAATGGACTTTAGATAGAGGAGGAAGAAGGCTAAACTAACCTGCAAACCGCTCACAGAAGATCTCCACAAGCACCGCGTTGCCTCGATCGGGTCTATCGGACCACAGAAATGCGACATAGTCCTGCCGACCCTGAGGAATTGCAGCGAACCCACCCTTCCCATCCAGGAGAGCGACAATCTGCTGCTTGGAGACGGAGGCGAGACAGTCAATATCTTTGCTCTCCCGGGGACCGCCTAACACGCCAATGGCATAGCCACCGAATATACCGAACCGAATATTAGCTGGGGCCAGAATTCGGTGGAGGGCGACGGCGGCGTCGTTAAGTCGGCCTTGAAGCATAGTGTTGTTGTCTGAATTGATATTTGGGTTATTGCTTGGGAGCAAAGGAAATTGGTTTGGTCTAGAAGAAATGTCTAAAACTATCGTCCAGGACTAACGTACTAAAAACGACTCATATTTATGCTAGATCTCCTGGACTATAGAAGAACGCTTTGACCTCAGTATCATCTGTAGATCAACCGAGACCTCCTGCTGTATCAGGAGGGTAGAGGAGGCTCTTCAAGAGAAAGTTAGCATTGGCTAGATTACCGCCCATCATGACGTTTATAAATATTCAAGCGAGGGCCTGAATCCACCAACAAGGTAACGGGTCAACTCAACGGCTGCTTTTAAGTATGTTTAGCGCCTAGGGTACGTATGGAACCATCCTAGCCATTAGATATTTTTGCAGCATAAATATTTGAAAGTGAGCGCTAAGGGGGAAAAACAGGGGCAACAGAATAAGCGTGAGGCCGTGATACAGTATAGACTAATGATTCAACAGATACTAAAACCCAGATTCAGGTATCGAGCTTAAATCCTTCATCGCTTTCGGGCCCATATTTTCATCATACCGCGATGTCTTTTCAGCAACGAGCTGGGCGGCTAATTCCCTCACTTTGAGCGTCGCGCCGCCAAGATTGCTTTCGATCCAATCGTCATTCAGGTCCATCCCATCCACTAGTTGTTCGACAGCGATTCGAGCCATACAGTCGTTTGACTCGAAAAATCTCGAACAGAGTCCAATGAAGAAAACAGGCAGACGTGGTACCGGGAGATACTGAATCTCGCTCCGAGGGACCAAGTCTAGGATCTGGTCGCTGCAAGTAGTAGACAATCTCTCGTCATTCGATATAATATTTTGTTGTAGAGGAAAAAGACCAAAATAGGAATCGGGAAAAAGCAGCAATCGAAGACCAATATTTGACGCCTCGAACGTAGGGAATCCTCTCTTGTACTCCGTGAATAGATCGTAATCCGTTATTTCCACACGTTTCAACTTGCCAGTCGAGCAGGCTATAGATACAGCCTCGGACAGTGAAGTTTCAGGGACACAAATCTCAAGATCCTGTCAACATTAAGAAAGGGGGTTTCTAGAATAAGAGTATGGTGAATACTCACATGGACCACTCGTGGAACATTGTAGTAGTTTAACGCTATCTCCCCAATTACACACGCCGGTATATCTCTTTCCTTAAAGGCAGATAGGATGGGCTTCAAAAGGTTAATAATATTCATTTTCTTTTATTCTCATGATTAACAAACGTAGCGCCAACTGCTGCTTTAAATAAACCACTCCGGCCTTCCGTAGACACCATTAATGCAGTCTTGGCAGTGCGCCTATATATACACCGCTTCCCCAGAGCATTAGATGTGAACAAACATAATGTTTGAGAAAGTACACTCGATTTTCAGTAAACTGTCCGCCTCTTTTCAAATTCTCTCTGACCTTCATCTTGAGATCAATCAACAATACCTATCTTTTGAGATACCTGTATGCGCTAAATATCTCATCCTCGCCGGTGATGTTGGGCGCTTAGTGGATTACGATAACTATCGTGGCTTCTTACGAAAGCAGACAGACCGATTCGAGCTTGTCTTTCTAATCCTTGGCAACCATGAGTTCTATAATGATACCTTTGCAGCAGGTCTACAAAGGGCTAGGCAACTCGAGCAGGAACCTTCTTTGAACGGGCGCCTAATCCTTCTCCATCGGGGACGCTACGACATTTCTGAATCCCGTGTTACTATCCTTGGCTGTACTCTCTGGTCAAAGGTCCCAGATAAAGCACGGGACATTGTCTGGTCGAAAATACAAGACTTCAAAAAAATTCAAGATTGGACTGTTGACGATCATAATGAATCTCATGAGACGGACCTTGCCTGGCTGCTGAGCGAGATGGAGTCAATACAAAGCAAGAATAAGACACAGAACAAGAAGCGATCTATACTGGTTGTGACGCACCACGCCCCGTCCCTTCAGGACACATCCAGCCCGCAGGATGCAAATAACCTTTGGAGCTCCGCCTTTGGAACTGAAGTCCTCTCGCAGATCTCAAAGTCGAGCGGCGTCAAAGCTTGGGTTTTTGGCCACACACACTACACCACGGAGTTCAAAATCCAGGGAATACGAGTCGTGGCAAATCAACGGGGGTATGTGTTTCCCTGGAATAATTCGAAGGGGTCGAAGGATGGATTCAACGTCGGGAAAGTTATACATGTATGATCCGGGGCTGCATCTTTATGTCAGTTAGACTTAGCTTAAGAGCGTCCATGCTGTGATACCTGTCCTAAATGTGTTTCATACTTCGATACGCAAGTATGATCTATTCCTATATATTTTATATAGGTGTCAAACTTGTGGTACAACTTAAGTTGAAGGAGTGCTCTGTTTTCTATCAAGTTGAGGTCCTGCCTCGCATGTTTATATAGACAAAGATTGTCGCCATCTTTCGGTGCCTCCGTGTTCAGCTCGTAGACGAAATCCTTGTCTAGCCGAACATTCATTGCCACGCTGAAATCGTTGCCACATATTGTCTCATAGTTCAACAGGAGGCTAGGATTATACGATATTCATACACCTATATTAGAGCTAAGTCCACAGGGGACTAGCTACTTTGCCACTATATTTAACCGATATCTGTCAGTTCATTTCCGTGTCCGGCTTTGTCGTTCCCGTAGCGTTTATCCAACTACTGTCTTCAGCCCTATGTGAGCCATCGACTAGGTCATCAAGAGCGTGTTGCTGGTCTTTCTAGCTCCGAGTCTTGCCTCGGGGGAATCATTCTTCCCTTAAGTTCAGTCGCAGCCGGCCGGTTGCCTTCACGAAGTCGATCGTAACTTTTGTGGCTTTCTGTTGAACAAAGGGCTATTGTGTACAGGCTCCACAGCTGAAACACTAATGAGAGGTTTCCATAGACGACGACGTTACTGATAGTTGCTCTGTGTAACGACGTAGTATTCGCACGTCCATAAAAGAAGCCTCAATACCTCGACAAGTAGATAGAGGACAGAGCATTCAAGACATCTCGAGTTGCACCCAGTTTGACACTTTCATATTCACTTTCCACTTCTCCCTCAGCCTTCACGCCGCTACAACAACACTGACTGGTGAACAGGCGACCCAAGATTATAATCCATCCCCTTAACTCTTGACTCCGTGACAAAATACTAAGCATAGTGGTCTCGAGAAGGTCCCAAAAATGGCACCCGGCGAGTGGTTAATTTCTGTAGCCACTGGGCCCCAAAACAAGTCCTTAGAGCTGTTGCGAAGTTCAAGATTAAACGCATTTCCTCACCGGCTTTGTTTTTCGACCTCGATAGTAGAGGAGTGAAGTGATAGACTGGAGTCTAGAGAAGGAATTGTTGGATGACGAGAGGTTTCCATAGGCGACGACGTTACAGACGGTTGCCCTGTGCAACGATGTAGCATTCGTGTGTCTATAAAAGGAGTCTCAGGACCTCGACAAGTAGATAGAAAACAGAGCGCTCCTTCATCTCAAGTTGCACAAAAGTTTGACAACCGCCCATAAGCGGGGCAGTTGATTCCCGGCTTATGGGCGGTCCCCCCAAGCCTATGGGCACTGGTTTGTTACTTAGTCAGCACGAGGTATCGATCGTGCAGGGGGGATACCATCGTTTAACCATCATTTCTGCATTCTGTACAGGCAGACTTAGGTGTTGTGACATCACGTATCTTCGAATTGCCCAGATAACCGGAAAAACAAAAATCCGGACCGATCAGAGGTGGTGTACAGAATAACATTACCCCTCTTGTTGGCAGTCCACATTGGGACTAGCCTAGTCACGTGCACCGCAGCCTTCGCGGCCTTTTTCTAGCTTGCGCCTCGCTCAGATAGATTCAATCAATCAATCTTCTCTCGGCCCAACAACTCTTAGCTTGAACCAATACTCTCCATAATAGACCGCGGAGTCTATAGAGAAATGAAGGAACGCTTTGTTAATCTATCTGACTGAGCAAGACTGAATTAAAATAAGTGAACGGTGCAGAGCTGCAACCATGCCAAGCCAGTAACCACACGTGACAATGCCAAGCCAGAATCATCACATGACTTCCTCGGCACAGGACACACATACACCAAAAAAAATTTGAAAAAGAAAAAAGGAGCCCCTCCCATAGTCCATCCCTGACGAACTCATAGATGGGGCGCCGCAGCCAGTGAAAGCTTCAGCCAGACAAGTTCAACTGCAGAAGAGTTTGAATCAGTGACCTCCCGACGGTATGAACAAGATGACATCATCAACAATCACTGGCTGGAGCATTACGTTTACCCATCTAGGGCACCTAGGAGCTAGGCCGGACAACCCTCTTACCTCACCTATGATCGAACACTAGTGAGGCCCCTCAATTCTATCGGTTCGACTGCAACCGAGTGTTTTACCACTCGGTTACGTCCTTGATAGGTCAACCACGATTTGGTGTCAATTTTGAAGCAGTTTTTGGCATTATAAAATATAAACTTGATTTTTTTTTTTTTTTTTTTCTCAAATTTTTTAATTTTGGAATCGCCTGGTTAGGGCTTGGCGTTGCGGGGCGACGCCAAGAGCGATAAGCCGGCCAATCATGTAAGCATATGGCTTGGCGTTATCACGTAACTTTTTTCGGGATCACGTGCTAATCCCCCGAGGGGGCGCCGATGAAATCCCTCGTCGCCATCGGATCCAGTCTGTGGACCACTCAACCCTCAACGGATTAACCTTTTTCCGGGACCACGTGCACCCCGGGGGCGCCCCTCCCAACTCGATATGATGGATCCGATGAAATCCCCCTCGTCGCCCATCGGATCCAATATATGAACCACCCAACCTTCAACGGATTAACCATTTTCCAGAATCACGTGCTCCCCGGGGCCCACGTGGCGGGGGCACCCTACTCGATAGATATCCTCGATATCGAAATGATCCACGCATCGGATCCAGTCTGTGGGCCACCTCAGACAAGCTCTACTAGTCACACTCGAGATGGTCCGTAACCGAGCGTTAACGGATGTCGACGTGGTTCATGGATTGGATCCGATAGGTCGTGGACCATGTGGCCGGGAGGCATCCTACTCGATAGAGGTCGACGTCCTGATATCGAGATGATCTACGCATCGGATCCAGTCTGTGGACCACCCAGAGAAGCTCTGTTAACCACACTCGAGATGCTTCGTAACCGAGCGCGAACAGACATGTCAGAGCGGCCCCTCCCGCTCATCTCACCCCATCATCGCTTCACTCCTTAAGCGATCGAGTCGTGTCAAACTTCTTGTGCAACTTGATATGAAGGAGTGCCCTGTTCTTTATATACTTGCCGAGGTACTGAGGCTCCTTTTATAGACATGCGAATGCTACATCGTTACACAGAGCAACCATCTGTAACATCGTCGTCTATGAAACCTCGTCAATATTTACGACGGGGCATATACACAATACCCCTCTGTCCAACAAGTCGATATCATATAGGACTGTCAATTCCATCAATTCCCTATTGAATCACGCTGGCCCTTCTGTTGGCATTCCTTGATAGGACAAGCCCCGACGTCGAGATGATCCACAGATTGGATCCGATCATCTTTGGAAAAAAGTGCGGCTATCCAAATATCCAAATGAGATCCAAATCAATTCTAATTAAATCAAATCAAATCAAATCAAATCAAATCGATCCTTTTCGAATCCAAATCAAATCAAATTCGATGCTCGATTTGATTTGATTTATTTGTTTGCAAGTCTGAGTAGATGGAGAACAGAGCACTCCTTCCGCTCAAGTTGCACAAGAAGTTTGACCCTTAGGAAACTGTTGAACGGTTGGACGGTAGCAAGAGCCCCTTTACCGGGAATAGGGGTTATCACTCCTATATAGAATATAAGAGTAGGAATAGGAGAAGAAAAGGGGTCAACAAGACGTGCGTAAATATCAGCAACCTGGCAGGACTAGTTGCTAAAGAGCAGAGCATCTAATTCATATTCTCTTGGCATTCATTGTTTGACAGAAATCTATGGCAATTCTGTTGTCCTGAATAAGCTCTTAAGTGAACCCTTTCCAAGGATGGTACTTCTGTTACACCGAACAAGCCCTTAGAAAATTCTGGGATGTGATGGCACTTCCGTTGTCCTGTATACTGTACAACAGCGCAGCACATAGCCCGACCCACCATTAGCCGTTGCCAGTCCCACAATGTGTCTCCCAGATCCTGCCATAACCCTTGCGATTTCTCTACTTAACGCTATTCCAGAAGGAATCCGCCCAGGCCGCAAGATCCGCGGCATTAAATACGATGTCGCTTTCTGGCGGTATAACGGCTCGGAGGATGATTTTGTCAAATTCGAGAATCAAAGGCGCTCCAGCAACGTTATAGGCCGAGGCAGTACCCGGCTGAACGGTGACAATTGGCTGACCGATGGCATTCAACTGAGCAGGAGGACCTAGTTGTGGAGTAGGATTTTGGGTGATAGTAAGCTCTTGAACTTTTGTCGGAATTGGAGCATTGGGATTTGGGTGGCCTCTGGTAGCTGGCCTATATGCAGAAAGCGGAGAAGGGCACCACTTTTCGACTATTAGCGTCTTCTGTGCTAGCTTTATTGAGATGATGATGGCAATCTTGACATCTCCTCCAGAGTTCACAATCCACCATGCCGCGTCATGTCTTAGGTGAGTAAGTGTTTCAGAGACTTCAGACTCAAAAACAATTGTTGGCCAGTCAGATTTCCTTTCTCGGGTCGGGACAGGGCGGAATCCCATATCACCCTCTTTAGAGGAATTAGGGAGTTTGTATGTTGTCCCGCCAATAAGACATAAACAGTCTCGTGGGAGGCCCATTGTGATGATAAGTTCGTCACGAAGTCTCATGGCTAGTGAGAGGTGCCCAACTTCATGTTCCGCTGAGGGCATCAGCTTGACAACTAATAGATTGTCATCCGCGTAAAGGCTCATCCGAGTATGCTTCCCTATATTGGCGCGCTGATGGTCAATCTTTTCAAGGTGGCCTTTTGTGACACCCATGAAAACAAGGTACTGCTGATTCGTGTGACGGTCCATCAACGCAGCGGACTGAGAGCGGACACGTTCTTTTTGATCTCGGATCCCTTTGTACGTATACATACGAGGGTTTTTCAGTCCCTCTAAGGGCGATAACTTCGGTGGTGAACTCTCCACTGCCGCAGTCTCTTTTGATGTAGTTGAGCTTGAGGATGACCTTGACATGGGCGTACATGTAGGTTCTCCATCGCTGGGTCCGCAAATTGTATTCATGTTGAGGTTCGAAGGGCGGCAGGAGCAATGTTGAAGGAGCAGGAAAAGCTGGTAGAAGAATTAGGCGGGCAAAGTTGTTGATGAATCGGGAGTGTGCTGATGCGAGAGATGGTGCACTGAGGTAGGAGAGATTATGAATGATGAACTGAATGGTAGAGAAGATTGATTGATTCAAAGCGCACTCTGATGAGCCCGGCTATCGACTTCCATTAAGCTCGACTAGTTCTACTCGTTACTAAGCATCGTCACGTGATTATATCTCCAGCATCAACACAGGACCCACCCTTCTCAATCAGGAAATCGATATACCAGAAGGACGCCATAGCCTCTGGAAAAATATTGCTCCTGCCCATATTAAGTGTCTAAAACACTAAGGACATTTGAATCATATTGCAATAATCGCAGTACCCACCTTCACAACGACATTGGCAACTCACGATGTCTCTGTCCGACAGCTCTCCTGCCAAAAAAGTTACGTTGATCCTTAATCAACCTTCCGATTGGGATGAATGGCTATTCATGATTAAAGAAAAGGCCACAGCTTCCAACGTTTGGCAGTATGCAGACCCATCACAGGTTCCTGAAACAACACTAGCAGAACCTCAAGTCCCTGACTATAAGTCAGTAAACGCCGTGCAACGACTTTCGAAGACCTAACTCCGTCCCAGCAAAAGCGATATGACTACGAACGAGATGATTACAAGCGACAGCTAAAGAAGTTTGAGCGCCAGGATCAAGCACTGAAGATCCTTAATAGCATTATCGTCAACACGATTTCACGCAAAAGCTTTACCTATATACTGACAGGCTGTGACACTCCACGGAAGAAGCTAGCGGCTCTCAAGAAGCGTTTAGCACCGTCTGACCGTGCAAAGGAACTTGAGTTAATTCGTCAATACAACGACTTGAAGAAACCTCCACGTTCACGCGACGTTGACAAATGCTTCCTCCTGCGTTACAGGCAGCCTTTATCCTCCTTTGAGCCAGTGTCATGGTACAACCTGGAATCCCCTCGAACGGTCTGGGCAGAACCCCCACTGTGGCTGTCGAATAGCCTCGTGTGCCTGCCCATAGCCTCGTGTGCCTGCTCATAGCCTTGTGTGCCTGCGTGGTAGCCTTGCGGCATGACTGTACCGCTGGCTATAAGTATCTGGGATAGGTTTGCATTGCTTTCATGCTCTTTGTCTCTCGTCTTGTACTTTACAGTGCATTGGATAGTAATATCATTGTCGGATCTCCACTCTCGTTCCCTCGTACGTCCCCACCCTGACAGCCAGATACTTCAGGGCCGACTGGATCTTGGTCGGAGAGTTGGTATGATAGCCCTCCCGAGACTATCCAAGTAGGGTCGACGCTCTTAAACGACTTTTTGACCTGCGATCAACCGTTCCTGTTAATACTCTCAGCAATTTTAGCATGATAAAACTAGTTGCAATAGACCTACCACATGAGCAGCCGGCGATAACCACGGGACGAGAAGGACGCATGATGTCTTCGAGGCCATTAGGAGTTATGCCATTATAATGGCCGTTGGTCTCTCCGTCCACATCATGATAAGTCAACGGACGACTTTGATGCTTACTCTGTTGCTGTTTCGACAAGCCTCCTCGTAACCGTTGTAGCATATCGATATGCTCCGAAGTCAAGGCACGGCTTTTTGTTCTACCGTAGTCCCTCGGTGCTGGACTCCGCGTTTCCGAGTGCAACCTGTTTTCCAATATGGAACAGCCAATACCACGATCAAACCCGGTTGTATAGTGCCGTCGGAATTTATTCTCGATTCAAACCATCTAAACAGCAAAGCGAAAATACTATAACTCTCCCAGTCCAAGTCTCGTGCAGGAAGTATTTGGAGCTGGCTATTAATGACAAGCTCGTTTCAATTGGCGCATGGCGCGGTTCTTGTGACCCACTGTTAGGGAGAGAACTTAGACGAAGTCTCCTAGCAAGAGGTTTTCAATTCGGAATCCGGAACCACTCCTCGCGCATCCCGTCAGTCTCACTTCTGGGCCAGGTTTTAGGCCCACTCTAGAACTAATGCGCTTCTTATTGGTATCGTTTGGCCCCGAATGGGCGATCTAGAGACCGACTAGGCGGGTGGAAAAAATGGGTGCTCAGTGAAACTTCGCTGTCGAATCCTATTTTATTACGGAAGATGTCGCACCATCTACATCCATCAATCTTTGTAGTGGGCCTCGCTAGATGCCGTATAAGCCGTCTAGCACTCCAACGCTACTGCGGACTTCGTAAAACCTGAAGTGGACACGTCGAACCAGGTTGCTCTTTGATAGGACAGATCTCGTTCAACTATTCTGCTAGCCCTTGCACCAAACTTTCCTCTGCAACCCCATTTTTCGACTCCCAGGAAACCCAGGTCCTCCTCAACTCACGAACCTCGGCTCCCCGCGAAGGCAAACTTGGCATCGAGTGGATCTCTGTGGACATATCGACCTTGTTCGTGCTGGCAGAGCGTGCTTCTCGCCGTACCCGCGCTTGCTTCATGCATTCCAGAGCTGGCCGTGTTTATATACTTACAATCTTTCAACTCCACTCGACAGCAAAGGGCATAAAGGTCCAATGGCTTGACCTCGCGCAAGTTCGCCGCGACCTGCCAAAGATGGCGAGCTTGGATCAAAGTCAGGATGGAAAGATAAATTAACAGCACAATAACCGGACAGAAAGCAGACTACAGACAGACAACTCGTGCGAGAGAACCGAAACAAAGCCCACCAGACCATCGCTGTCTTGCCACTGCGATTAGATCTACTCAGCAGCCGGCAACCTGACAAGATTGTCGCCAAACTAGTCCAAGAAAACAAGGTTCTCGAGCGTGAGAAGGATGCTCTTCGTGGTGGATTGCAATTAGGCACATTGTTTGCTTGAACAGCCCTCTCAAAGCTGTAGGAGCGGAGGGATCGTGCGAGAGATGCGAAAAATTACCCAACCAGCCGATGTTCACCGATGATCAAGTACCCAGCCAAGTCCTGCCATTGCCTCCGGGGAAGACCAAGGACCGCAAGCAGAACCAAACGACGGACAGCATAGTGATACTCAGTTTGATCTGACAACGGAGCTGGGCTCTCGGATGGCTGTTCCAGACTCTCGGTCGCCCTTTCCTTGTAACACCCATCACGCCACGAATTCCCAGCCACTGCGAAGGTGGCAGGAAGGGGGCTGGGCGTTGGAAAGGAGGCAGGAAGATGAACGGATCGAAGGTATAAGAAGAGCCTTCGAACCCTTAGATAGAGACAGGTTTCAGTACATTGCCATTCTACACCCTACCTTGTACGCTCGCAACGATTTATGATCCCTCTCCCCACACCCTCTATCAGTACTGTTGTTACATGAGAGGATTTTCATGTCAACCACTTGCAAGTACAATTGATTGGATGTCTTTCACACCGTTTCTTTCTCGGGTGACTCGGTGCACTTTTCATTTTTCAAGTGCTGGGCTACGACATCGTTGAATTCGTGGGAGAGCTAGAGTGTGTCAGACGCATTCAGAGGGAGTATTAAACAATTAGATGACAAGCTTACATCTTTCGTAAATACCGCAGCAAGCACAGTCAATCCACCAAATCCGACAGAAGTGTACCAGACGAGCTTGAAAGCATCAAGGTACGATCCCCTCGTGGCCCTGCTTGCGGCTTCGAGTACTCCCGGTGTGATGCCAGGGACGGCAGACACTGAGCCACCCGGCCGCAAAAACTGTTCGACAAATTGTGATACGGACGCAGACGGGAGACCTTCAGCAGTAACAGCGGCTGTAAGTCGGCTGGGCAGAAGCTTTGCAGCTTCTCGAGAGAAAATAGTGGTGTATACGGCGATGCCAACACTGCCTCCGAAAAGCCGGAAGAAGGACAAGGTTCCAGTAGCGAAGCCGCTGTTTGCCGTTAGTTATGTGATATGGTGAAGTGCAAGACTGCGCGTGGAACGTACATCCATTCGTCAGATGTGGACAGCTGGACGAGGATAATCGTGAGAATCTGCTCCCATCCTGTGGAGATTAAGTTAGTTTCTACCGTCGCAGTGAATTCAGTACAATGCTTACCGATTCCTAGGCCACCAAGACCACTGAAAGCGAGGGCCATGCCGACTTCGGAAACTAGACAAGAATGTTAGCATTATAATGGAGTTCGTTCTGTCGTAGTCAAGTCTTACGATCTGGGAGAGCCATGAGACCGATGAACAACACCTGAACGGCAACACCAAAGGTCAGAGAGAGCCTGGTGTGGCCAATTCGAGACGACACAAGTCCAACAGTTACTCCTCCAACGGTACCGCCAAGGCCCAGTGGCAGGCCATAGGTGCCAATCCTGATTGGGTTATTGCCCACAAATACGAGTCTTAGGTATTGAGGGAAAAAGGCAACCAGAGAATAGTAGCTGTATTGTCAGCGCTTGTATAGATCAATGGGTATAGTAGGGGTGAAGCTCACAGCATGCCACTTGTGAAAGTAATGAATAGCAGAAGAGTAAAGGTTCTCACTTGTCGGAACAAGTAAGGGTGCAGCAAGGGCGTTTTAGGAATATAGACTTCTGTATCATTGTCAGTTACGCGCCTCGTTCTCGGAGTGAAAACCGATCCACACTTACCATAGACGCAAAGGGCGACACAAAGCAGGATTCCAGTGATAAAAGAGCCTAATACTTGTGGTGAGTTGAACTCATACTCGCCGCCTGCCCAGATGATGGCAATGATGAGCAGAGTTGGCCCAGTCTGTTAGATATGGTCAGTTTGGTGTCGGCCACAGAAATTGGGTGGAACTTATACAGAGATGCCGAAGAGACCAACCCAGTCAAAACCTTGGATGATCTCCCTCCGAGTGATATCCTTAGTGGCTAGAGGTTTTGCAGGATAGTAGAAGGCGAACGACAGAATGGCCCCAGCCGCGTTCATGGCCATACCCAAGTAGAAGATAGCGCGCCAGCCTCCTGAAGATACGACCATGGAGTTTGCTGTTCAATAGTCAGAAGGTCCTCGAACAATTGTTGAAGGAAACTTCTCAGTGGATACCTATCAAAGAGCCAAAGCTGGACCATATGATAGCCGAGAAGTTGATGAAAGATAGGACCGGCCCCCTTTGCTTCTTGGACACGAGCTCTGACGAGCATGCAAAGCAGTTCAAGCTTCCTCCGCTAACAACGCCCATCATGGCCATGGATGCAATTACTATTTTCCTAATTAGGTAAACCAAGCTCTCAGATGTCGATTGCAAAAGCTGACCTTGGTTAACGCTCTGCGCTGTGGCGCCAACAATGCAGGCGGCAAGACCAAAGAGTCCCGAGCCGATGGTAAACCAACGTCGGCCAAACAAACTAAGAATGTGAGCATATTCTTTCTTACTCCATCTCAGAAAGCGAAACTTACTCCGATAAGGTGCCTGCGAGTACTGCTGCAACGGCTGTGGACACGGTTTTGGCAGAGCTTATCCACGAGTACGTTGAAACCGGGCCTAACACAGTCAACATGTGAACCGGTTTCCGGAATGAAAGACTCTTCATCAAAACGCACCAAGATCATCATTGATATATGTTAGCACAGAAGAGACAAGAACATACGTCGAAAGACCGCAACTGTAAATGACCTAGAGATACAGACCAGTCAGCATGCTGGCTCAATTGGAGAGACGATGCATGTCCTACCGTGAGGGCTATAATTGCCAGCCATGTTTTGAGGGAGATCTTGTTCGGTCCTGGATCTGTACCGGCTGCTGACTGCGATTGATGGCTTTCAATGGGTACATTGTCCGGACCGGACTCAAGATGTTCCGTCTGGGTTTCGTTCTTCTGTGCGGTCATCTCCTGCATGTTTTCGTTTTTGATACCTAGGGAGGGATATTACTGATGGGATGGAAAGGGGAAGGATATATGTCCAAGCACGCCTTGTTATATCGTCTGCTCAGTATCTGCCGAAGGGGATTTTTACACAGCTCATGAGACACTCAATTAGCAGTTGAATTCCGAAAACCGACTTGGCAAGGGAACTGTTGTGGGAAAGGAACGTTCCCAGTTTTGTGCCCTTATTGGAGTTGCGAATACTCGGGCAATCTGCTTCACAGCACAAGCTCATCACGTTGACCAGCGTCCCTTTGTGTAATATCAGCATGAGGTACGGGGTCAAACGGCGGGGTAGATTCTGACTTACCTACAAGGGGATGGTTAACCTTAACTTCGTCGGGGCTGCCAAAACCCGACCTAAGAGGCGTGGCAGCCCAGCAAAAGTCGTGGGTACACGACTCGTTTCCGGCTCCAGTTCAACTGTCATGGGGCGCCAAGACCCTATGCCAAGAACATGTATATAGCATGCGTTACGCAGGATACCCCTATCCGACTTTCAAGCGTGGAAGTCGATGTCGCCCCTGTACCTATATAGATAGATAGGTATCCTTTGACGTCTTTGCAGCCCGCTGGCGAACCTGCCCCTGACACCCACCGCGCCTGAGCAATTTGCAATTCGAACCATTCGTTTTGAACCTGTCATACTGGATTTCCTTATTGTGCACACGTTAAGCTCTTGAAAACCCTTAGAAAGAGGTCAACACATCTACCATATGGCGACCTAGTAGGGTGATGCCTTTAGTACTTAGGAGCAAGACATTATCTCTTCGAACCATGCTGTTGTCGCCCCTTCTCACATGGCATAAGGACCCATCCCAATCTGCAACCGCGACGGAATAAAGATTCTGCTAGAAGCTAGAGACAATACGGCTGCGTACTCCTCATGTGAGGTCAAGTAGTGCGTCATCTTAACATCAGGGGTCCTTTCTGAGGAGATAATGGGGCATAGGGACCCACGTAACCGTGCCACGGCAGAGTGCGGAGGAGCTTTGTCATGCTTTATGACTAAAAGTCGATCATAGACCGTCTATGTCGCCCCAATCATGCAGGCAGAGGCATAGCGAAGTCGAGACTCTCTCATCCCCAGGTGATCTTGCGTTCCTCTGCATCATCAGAGCCTCTACAAATTTGCAAAGTTCGAAACGTCCACTTTTCTAAAGTTTGAGCATCCTTCATCCTGTTCTTCGTAGTCCTTTCTTAAGATCAAGTGTGCCAACTGTCATTGTCACTATCCCCAGGATGGAGGAGTATTCCTCTACTAGTGATGTCGACGAAGCATACTCGACACTTTTTGCGACTTTCGCAACAGGGCGTACTAAAGCCCTCGACTGGCGGCGTTGGCAACTCAAGCAGTGCTGGTGGATGCTGGAAGACAACGAGGAGCGGATTATAGCTGCATTGAAGCAGGATCTCAACCGCCATGCGCTGGAAAGCATGGCTGCTGAAATCTACACATTGAAGTCAGATGTGCAGGACCATCTCAAAAATCTTGACGAATGGACGAGCACCAAGCGCATCAACTCAGGATTTGTGATGGGTTGCCTTGGAAATGCACGCCTTCGCAAGCAGCCACTGGGAGTGGCTTTGATCATTGGTGCCTGGAATTTCCCATTGTTGCTGCTTCTGCAACCCATGATTGCGGCCGTCGCAGCAGGTATATGCCCCAGAAAGACCATACTTCGTTGTCAGGCAAGAAATGCTGACCCAATGTCTGCTGTGCAGGTTGCTGCATAATGCTCAAGCCCTCGGAGCTGAGCATTCATTCCCAGAGGCTACTGCAGGAGTTGGTACCCAGATACCTCGACCAACAAGCGGTTAAACTCGTTACGGCCGGTCCGCAGCAGATGTCGTACATTCTCGAGAAGCGGTTCAACCAGATCTTTTTCACCGGCTCCAGCAAAGTAGCACGCTTCATCACGGCCGCGGCAGCGAAACATTTGACGCCTACTGTGCTCGAATTGGGCGGCCAGGGCCCATGCATCGTGTCCAAGTTGGCCGATATTGACTTTGCCGCAAAACGAATCACCTGTGCCAAATTTACAAACGCCGGCCAGATTTGTCTGAGTGTGAACCATGTCTTTGCGGAGCCTGAAATCGTGGATCAGCCGATCGAGAGAATGTCATATTGGAATGCCCAGTATCTTCGCGAAGGCTGTCAAGATATGTGTCGGATAATCAATGACCGCCACTTTGATCGTCTATCAGATCTTCTCAGCAGGACAAGCGGCAAGATCGCCTACGGCGGTGAGCATGACAAGAGCACGAAGTTTTTCCACCCAACAATCGTGCGTGATGTTGAAATGGACGATTCCCTCTTGTCCGAAGAATTATTTGGGCCTATTTGCCCAGTTATAGCCTGTAGTGTCTCTGAGGCGGTGGACCGAACAAACAAGTTGCCGACTCCCCTAGCATTATACATCTTCTCGACCGATCAAGCCGTTACCGACAAAATCATTGCCAACACCCTGTCGGGCGGAGTGACAATCAACAACGTCTTTTTCCATGCTAATCTGCACAACGCTCCTTTTGGGGGTGTCGGGGAATCTGGCTACGGCGCATATCACGGTAAATATGGTGTCGATTGCTTTTCTCACCAAAGGGCCGTTGTCGCACCGCCATCTTGGCTCGACAGATTCATGAGCTTTACCTATCCGCCCTACAAGACGGAGAGTACGAAGTACTTGACCGTCAAGAATTCGATGGGCTTCAAACGAGGGAAGACAAAGGAGGAATAATCACGGGAGCAGCACGAGGTTTCTAATTCCGGTGTTCTTTGGCTCTGGAGCCAGCCTCACTTTGGACTGATAAGAGCCAGAGCCGAGAACTTAGTGTGTGTTCCGTCTCGCATAGCTTATACATAAATTGGGCGGCAACTAATATAGTTATGCGAGGTTATCATCGGAAGATGGAGTCGTGATATGCATAACCTGTAATATAAAGGTCAACGGGGATGAATTATATGTACTCAAAACCGGTGTGTTCTTCAAGCTGCCACCAGGTCTGAATAGCTACAGTAGTTCATGATGTTCACAACCTTGACATTCAAATCATCTAACCAAAATGGTGCATCGATGCCGTTCCCTCTGGTACTGACGCCGAACCCCAGTTCAACCACCTCCTGCTCATGGAGAGCCGCTGGCTTCACCACTATGAATGTAGTATCTAGAATGTCGAACTTTCATTCTTTGAAAAACGAAGGGTTAACCAAATCCGTGGTATCATGGGTGTAGAGGAGAAGTCGAGGCATGTTGTTGAGCAGTTGGTAAACTATCATTCGCGACAGGTCGACTCATTTTGCAACACTCGCCGGCTACGCCGTATCACCGTTGACAGGCAACAACGTTGACGTACACCGCGTAAATAGATATATAGATGGGCTCTATCCTGCACTCGTTTGGAGAACCGGAGCACTCCTTCAATTCGAATTGCACAAGAAGTTTGACACTCAACTTCAGGAAATCTTCGGCGTTGTCATGGAAGGCATCATGCTCTTCTTTTGTGTAGCGTTGGTACTTCATGTCCGGTGTTGAGCTGAACCACGTCGGCTCTCGAATAAGCATCGTGACATGTGTAGCTTTTCCGTTCAAGAGGTCAATCCTGTGCTGGAGACCAAGATTGGAGTTATACGCACGCCCGCATTTGTGGTAGAACCTGGATACCCGAAGACCTGTTCACGGATGAGAAGTGCCTCAGACGACCAAACCGGTTTCCTTTAAGCTGCCCATTCGCAATTAAATCTACATGTTTGCTAGTCGTATCCATGGATTCGTCCCAAGCTGCGCTATGGAGTAATCAGCCACGAGAGTCCTGAATTCCGGGTACGGCAGGCCATCTCTAGGAATTCAATATGCTAGAGGCGTTGATTAAGAAGTTGCATGTCTGCTCGGAGATTGAGCTGTCCGGTCTTCCAATACTGACCTTCCACTCCGAACCCTCTGCGCACCACTCTGTTCGCATGACTTTGTGGCTGCACTCGATATATTTCCTAAGGCCATGCTTGTCAGCAAAACGGTAAAGGACTTGAAAACCTCCTGCGACGTCACGTAGTTGGCAGACCAGTCCACTTTCGGCTCGAAGGAATAAATATAATTGAGGCCGCCTCGAAGTGTTTAAGGGTTGATGATCAGTGTTATCAAATGAAGGATCAACTCACGCCGGAATGTCGCATGCGTCTTGCATTGTCTATGTCTAGGACACATACATCCTGCATATCTATTCTCGTACTAAGTTCCGCTAATATCAGGATTCTTTTCGTATTTGTCCAAGACGTAGTCCGTGAAGCACTTCAGCAATTTATAGGCCAACAAGAGACCTGAAGCACCGGCACCAATGCAAATAGCTCGCATGAGACGATTGACGTGGATGGGCGATTCGTGGCACTCCTCGCCTGCTGTTTCTCTGAAATATTTACTAGATACATGCCCCATAATGGAGGCCAGGTGTTGGAAACGAGGGTGCAACTTGTGTACTGACATACGGGTGTCGAACTTCGTGGATTGAAAGAGTGCTCTCTTTTCTATCAAGTTGAGGTCCTGCCTCGCATGTTTATATAGACAAAGATTGTCGTCATCTTTCGGTGTCTCCATGTTCAGCTTGTAGACGAAACTCTTGTCCGGCTGAACATTCATTGCCACGCTGAAATCGTTGCCCCATATTGTCTCACAGTTCAACAGCTTTTGTCCAACAACGGGCTTCTTGAAGGATTTCTTAGAAAAGGACGTCGCCGTTGGATATATCACTTACGCTCCTGACGTCAACAAGCGGACCTGCCGACCTAGTGTTTGCAAAGCTTCTACCGAAGATATTAGCTAAGCCCAGGCCTGAGAAAAGAGGCCCTAGCCGTGCGGCAAGTCACGGACGACGCCGTTCACTACCGTATGTCCTGTCAGCAATGGAAACACTCTGTTCCTTCTTAACCACTTCTATTTTTTGGCCGGTCGAGAGTTTGACAGATGGCAACTATTATTGACAGAATTGCAGTGTGTTTTCGCGGCCTATGGACTAGTCAGAATTCTTACAGGTTGTACCTCATAGAGAAGAGGACAATTTGAGCCACTAACTCAGAGGTTCATTGTATGGAGTAAAAACGGATAGATATTAACCCAGAACGGGGGACCATAATGGGGATCCGTCTTCCTAATTAAAAGGGCAGTCTAGAGTCCTTGGGAATTGTCTCTGGAGTCGAAAGAAACGAAGAGCTCGAAAAGATCTCGGAGTGTGAAACTGGGAGACCTGAATTTGTGTCTAACCAATGCTGAACAGCGGCTTCCGAATTCCTAGAGCCAACAATCGGAGAAGGCAATTACGGTATCGCAATAAAACATCGGAGCAAATCCGAAAGGGAGAGCAAAGAGTCCTCATTTCATTTTTGACTCCTACAATTTGGTAATGTGCAGACGGGTCCTGCCATCCAGAGTGACAGAGATCACCGCCTGACCCAGCGCATCTGAGTTGAACTGGCCTTTCTCGCCCATCACGTAAGTTGTATTCGAAATGAGCTCTTTCAACTGTAGCGAAACATCCCTCTTCTTGGTTCCTGGGTACAAGACCAGCTCAAGATCGGTGCCGGTGTGCGAGATTGCTTTCGCAACAAGCACCTTAATATCAGAGTCAGAGTGAATCAAAATGAGTGGAAATGTTGTGTGGGTGTTCCTTACCTCTGGATACTTGGCTTCACATAAGTATGGCCCCTTTTTGATCGCATCGCTCAGAGGTTCTGTGATAGCTCTAAACCACCCTTTTGTGGTGTTGATGCGTCCACGAAAAAGCTGTCCTTTCATCAAAAGCGACACCTTGTCGTACCAGATGACACCATCTTTCTCGATCCGCTTGAACTCTTTGCAGAAGTCTATTAACTTCAAGACCGAGTCCGCAGCAACTTTGTCTCCATGTTCTCGAGCAGCAAGAAGGCTTGTTGCATAGAGGGTTGCTTTGGAGGCTTGATAGTTTCCCGGATCCATCAAATCGGCACCTTGGAGCCCTTTAAATACCAGATTGTCTTTTTCGTCAATCTCAGTATACTCCTTGCGAGAGATGGCATATGATCGGATTGAAATGTCGGGAAAGATAGCGCCGGATAAGCATGACACTGAAAAATCGTTTGCCGCGCCGACTAATCCTGGAATGCGAAGACCTGACATTATTGGTCAGATGAGCACTTCTAAGATCGATATGACATGTTCGAAGGCGTCTGACCAGTCAAATATGATCTTATAGGGTGTACGCTTCCATCGGCTGCCTGTCGGGACTCCATTAGGACCATTCTAGGCATCGGAGAAAGGCTAAGTACCATGAAATCTTCGATGAAACTCTGGCGGAACTGCTCTTTGATCTTTTCAGCGTCCGAGGTGCCCTTATTGGAGTCATTTGCTACCAGTGCATTGAGGCCTTGAAGGTTGCAGAAAGTGTAGATCCAATTCGGCTAGGAGCAAGTCAGCATTATGAACGCACATAGAAGGTCTCCAGACTCACCTCACAAGCATAGAGACAATAATCAGAGTTCCGAAAGTTGTTAATTAACGCGGCTGCTAGTGAGGTGGAGGATGCTTTGAAGATATGAGTATCATCAATCGGTAAATGCAGAGCATTTGCTTTTGAAAAACAATCATCTCCGGTAGCACCCTCGTACATGGCCAAGGCAAGGAGGTAAAACCCAGTCAGCATGATATTATCCACATTGTACGGGTGATAGTCGGTTGACTAAGAGTAGTCAGATGAGCGTACTCAAAGCTTGGATGCGTTCCATCCGAAAGAAAAGATTTACCAGCCTCCCCCATAGAGTCTCCCATTTCCAATAGTTGAGGACTTTCTTCTGGCAGTACTTGAGTAGCACGTTCTTTTGTGCTTCTTGGAGATATCCTCCACGGAACGAAGGCGTATAGAGTTTGTTCGCGAACGACAAGGCATAACTCAGCTCATTGAGCTGATATCGCAAAGCCGAGGTTTGGAACTGCTCAATTTCGGTGAAGTTTGACCTGATTGACGCTGCCGTTAGCCTTGAAGGACGTAAAATTGTGATTTCGAAGACAGTATTCATACCAATCATCCTTGTCTTGGTTGGCGACTTCGATAAAGTATCGCAGTTGGCCCAATTCCTCTGGTTGGAGCTCCATGTCTTCGGGTGACGCGGGAGCTACGGCATCGCGAGCCAGCTGCTGGACAACCGCGGGTAGATAGCTGTTCCTCTTCTGACGGTTTTCTAAGGCTGCGGCTGCGTCTTTATTCCCGAAGTGAACTATAAATCTATACGCCACTGTAGCAAGCAGGGGAGTGATAAACACACTATAGGGTGTTCTTTCTGCCGCGATCGGGGAAGCAGCCATGATGAGAGCCAGTCCTGGCCATGTCAAGAACGGCGCAACTGTGTTGCCAGTGGCAAACCAAAGAAACGAGCTCAATGCGAAAAGTGCCCTTCACAATGCAAATCGTCAGTTTTGAACGTCCCATTCATGACTTTGGAAGCATTTGCGAACATTGTCACAGGGAAACCCAACAGCCAAAAACCACCAACACCGAGAAAGGAGCCACCGGGAATTAGCAGTCCTAGACCTGCATGCTGCAACCTCGGGTTTGCATCAAAAACAAAAGAAGCCAGTGCCAGTACGGCACAGGTTACATAGATCTTCAAGGTAGCACCGGCATATTTTGCGGTGACAGGGCCTTTTCCTGCGTTGCTAGGGATTTCGGGTGCGAAATCGTTTTTGTAGTCACTTGCATCAGCGCGGGTTGATTTGGCCTGTTGCATTCTCTGTCAGACGCTACGAAGGTGAGGTGCAAAGATGTGATTCATTACCGTTGCCATGATCTCCGACGAGGTCGTTGATGAGCAGATCGAGTGGACGCACCGTCAAAAGGAAAATTGAAGTTCGCTCCTCTTGGAGAAGAATTATGGGATTTTGTGCATCCCGTTCGCACCCGGTCGTCGCACGTCATCAAGTTACGAGAGGTGATTCCATCCAGATCTCTCTATGGCGGCCTGAAGGAAAACTCGGTGGAGCCTAGCCACAGAGCGGCCTTGAGCTGCCAAGCGATGGCGTTGCACACGGCGTCCGAGTCTGATGATTTGGGGGATGGAGTCTGCCTTCTCGAGGGATCTGCGGCAGTATGTATGGGCATTTTACTGGAAGGAAGGGGAGGTTAGCTCCGCTCCACAACATGTGTCAAGATCTTTTAGTAAAGTCGCGTCCGAACATCCGAACCCCCATACGTTGGTCTTCAAATCACATTAAGTGCTCAGATTAGCTGGCTTGCGGCATCTATCGAACCAATTACTACTCTATGGCTCTATGCGGAACCTACATAGTAAACGCTATGAAATCTCGAAAGTGGGGTAATAACTCGATATCGCTAACATTAAACTTTATTTTCGTCGTCGACATAGGTTGATTAGATCGACAGATGATTCGGAACTATGTTTTGGTATTCGCGCTGAACGGTTCTGGCCACAGCATCAAATAAGAAGAGAGTGCAGTTCTCTCAGGGGCAGCAGTGCTACATAATTCGTGTTCTACCAAGCTGAGCCCAGCATAGTTCCACTCGATTGCACAATGCCATTCACCTTGGATACAGCCCTTTGGTTCATTCGAGGCACCCTCCATCCGATTGTGTCCGTCGCGTTACCCATCCTGTTAGTAATCTTCAACCTCGAGCCAAACCCCCTCCCGATCCGAGTAGACGTCCAGCTCTCAGGACCGATTTCATCGAAGCTAAAATACTCTCTATATTACGTCCTGTTTTCATAGATCCTGCAACTTAATAGGTGGATGAGTTGGAAGGCGCTCAACCCTACACCTACAGGGAAGTATGAATGGCATGAGGAAATAGTTGCGATTACCGGAGGTCAGTTTGTTGCGCCCTGTTGATGAGAAATCTGCAGCTTGGTGTAACAACGATATCCACGAAGGGTATCGATCTGTTACGAGGGGTGTAAAGAGAAGGATCATAAATCGTTGCGAGTGCACAAGGTAGGGTGTGGAATGGTAATGTACTGAAACCTGTCTGTCTATCTAAGGGTTCGAAGGCTCTTCTTATACCTTCGATCCGTTCATCTTCCTGCCACCTTTGCAGTGGCTGGGAATTCGTGGCGTGATGGGTGTTACACTTGGTTGAAGGCTACCAGGTTCCGGAGGTATCGGAGCAGAATTGGTGCAAAAGCTAGAGCTTTTGGGTGCGACTATCATTGTCTTGGACGTTGTGCCGCTTTCGTTCAATCCTGGACTAAAGACTCATTTCTACAAGTGCAATGTGGGAATCTTTGAAGAAGTCCAGGCTGTATATCAACGCAGGTGTTGTGGGTCGGACTGTCCTGGGCGCGAGCGAGGAGGACGTTAAATTGACGTTTGAAGTAAACATGTTGGGCGTCATGTGGTGTCTTAAGACCTTTTTGCCTACTATGATCACAGCCAACCACGGTCACGTTCTCATTACCTCGTCGGCTACAGCTTTCGTCACTGTTGCTGGCGCGGTGGACTACAGCGCCAGTAAAGCAGCTGTCACTTCTATCCACGAGGGCATCCAGACGGAACTGAAGCACAAGCATGGCAATCCGACTGTGCAATCGAGCGCCATATTTCCTGCTACAATCACCACTAAAATGTTCGAGGGGATCAAAGGCGGAGGCGGATTCTTTCTTCCCGTTCTCAGCCCAGATGCAGTAGCAGAGAGAATGCTGAGCATTCTCGTTAAGGGAGAGAGGTACGTGAAAATTGCCTGGCAAGACCTGGAAGAGTGTGCGTCTCAACCACCAGTGAGATAGCGATGATGCCAGCCATGTCGAATGTCAACCCATGGATACGGTGTCTCCCTGTCTGGATGCGTGTAGGTGCACAAGACGCAGGAGCTTCTTCCATGGATCATCTTGCAGTTGCCAAAAGATAGAGAGAGAAACGCGTCTTATAGACACCAGGGAGCGACTCTTCCACCGCACGTCGAGGATATCACCAAGATATGGCTTTAGAAAACAGGAGGAGGGTGTGGGGTTGAGGAAGTGAGCTGTGAAACTTGGGTTTGTCAATGATTGCACATCTGCAAGGCTAGAGACTTTCTAATCAACCACATGGCAGCCCAGAAGTTCGTCTACCATGATGGAAGAGTCAGTCGCAAGGGACTCTGATGCTCTTCTGACCTTCCACATGTCAAGGTTCCCATACAAGCAAGATCGGAACGTTCGTTCCGGTTCGTTGTAGAATTGGTGACCAATATCAGGGAGACTCCTGCAATCAAACATTAATCTGTCTTCTTCTGCGCCGGAGGGTATGAACTATGTGAGACGTCAGCTTTACAGATAGCTTAGGCTTAAGAAAAGCACTATCATACTCGGCGCGTAACCTCGCAGAAAAACTCGTCAAGGAGCACCCGGTCCTGATTGAGGATCAGACGGTTTCGAACGTCTGGCCAGGGAACGAAATTGATGCTCGGCTGATGCCTCCAATGCAAGTATCAGTATAGGCGGTCAGGAATACATAGGCAGTCATGGGCAACTAAAACTCACTCGATAGCCAGTTGCAAATCTGTCGGCTTCAACCAGTCCGGCAAGGTATCGCGAAGAAGCTCTAGAAGTCCGTCTTTGTCTGACAGGTGTCGGCTCCCGTCGAAGTCCTTCAAACACGGAAACACGAGGGTATTTTTGACCAGTTGCCAGACAACCCAGGCACTGCCTCCAATCATGGCAAATCCGGTGAAGTTCATTGCACAAAATGCATCCCTAATAGTGCGGCTGACAATTTTTGTAATCCCGTCGCACACTTCTCGGTCGATGTTCTGCAGTGTGAAGGTTTTGAGCTTCACGGGAATATTGTATTCTGTCAAAAACTGAGTTATGCTGCGTTGCAGAAGAAGAAATAGCAAGTCGACCCGCTCTGCCCACGGCTTTCTACGGTTCAGCAAGCCGCTGAATATCGACAACGATCCGGGAATCGGCTGGCCATTGGCGCTATCTGCGAGAGAGAATCCTGTAGGCATCGGAGGCGGCGTAACCCAGGCTTTACCGTGAGGCCCAAGTGAATAATGATTCTCGGCCACTCGCCTAGGGGGGGGGTTCGCTTCAGGACCCGCCATGCCCCATTGCGAAGAGGTGACAACTGGCTCCGTGTTGTCCGCAGTCTCGATAGAGTCAAATAGCAGCGGTTGGCTAGTCTTGGCGAAAGAAGGAAAGAATTGATCTGCTGACCAGTTCCCATTGGAGCGTCCAGGATGATTTGGCTGTGGCTGAGAGGAGAAAGGATCCAGCTCAATCGGTGAATTCTGGATGCCAGGAAGCTGATAATGAGCAGGTGAATCAGGGTGCAAAACATTGGGAAACACGCCGCTAGTTGACTGTGGTTGGATATCACAGCCGTCCATGCCAACACTGCCATTACGAGGAATCGAACTCATCCATGTAGCTCCATTGGTCTCGGGATATAATGTAGTAGCCGCCGTATCCGCTATATCGATGTTGGAAGGGTCATGATTGTTAGCTACGTTTACGAATGCTCTGAGATTATTCGGTGGAGAGGAGTCCTGGGAGCCCTCTTCTGGCACGCCCTGGTCGATTGTCGAGTCTCCTTCGACTTCGCTCGGCTCCCACGGGCGTGTGTATCGTCGTAGCACTTCGGCCACGGTGTGCAAGAGACCAAGAAGCTCATCACGCTCCTTTTCTAGACGTTCACACTCACGCCTTCGTCGAAGAAGCTCGTTACTTGCGCCGGAATGACAAAGAGCAAGCTCTCGTTCGAGTAGACTGATATAATTCTTACGTTGCTCCCGGAATTTGCGCTGAGCAAGTCGGTTGGCGAGACGCTTGGGGTCATCCGCGCCCGTGGCAGATTTCGTGACGCGTGCGAGGCGAGGCATCGCAACGGAATTTTTGGATAATGACGGAGGAGAATATTAAACTGAGAAGGGAGAAGATATGAGGTTTCTTCTCGATGACTTTGCGGATGGCGAGATACGACGCCCAGACTTGTGCCCCAGAATGATTTTCGATGATGGCGCTAGCCAGGCCGGGCAACAAATCAGCTCTAGAGACCCCGTGGGGGAGCACAGCGCAGTGCTCAAGATCGAGCGATGGGAGCCCCATAGGATTGTGCGCAAAAGGCCGGGTGTGCCGGAACATGGAGAAGTCTAGTCGAGGGTCCGAAGGAAAACAGGGTGGGAGCGAAGCGGCCCAAAATGTCCCGCAAAAATGGTGGCTTCCGTGGAAAGAGTGGAGGTTTCCGAGCTCGTTCCGGTGGATGAACTTATCAATAGCGCAACACAGGGTTTCGATTTGGAGGAATGTCACCCGGTTAGAAGGGGATCCGGTCGGACGTCGTCCACCACTGCACCCAAGCTTCTGGATATCGGCACTTGCATGACTTAGTGAACCTATACTGTTCTCGCGAATGAAATGCCGGCTCCAGGAAGTCCCTATGCAGGCCACTGCTTCGTGCCTTAAACGTCGCCTTTATCTGGGCTTGGTGAATATCATGGCTGAGACAAAATCCTTAACCAATGGCACGGGAGTGGACGTTGTGTTCGACTAGCGGGGCTAGGATCTTTGCATCCAAAAGGGGTGTACGTTATAATTGCTGCTTATAGAAAGCCGGTATGTCCCAACACTAGATGGTCTGCGGGCATCTCTAAAAAAATGGCAGATTGAAGCGCCCCTCAGAACTTGGCTGGCCAAGGGAATTTCGTTGGAGGCATCGCTAGTGTGCAACGACCATGATTTTCGCGAAGTCGTGGATGATTTTGACAATGGTCGGTTCTGCAGGCTCAAATATAGAAATGATTCGTCTAATCCGTTAAACACGTATAGGGAAGTTTCATGGCGTGAAAAAAATGATAACAGCTGGAATTCATGATGGCATGGAAAAACTTATCTACAGTAAAAACGAATCTGTGAAGATTGCAGGCACGCCAAAATGAATTACATTGCTTGAATTACAGATTTTCTGGAGCGTGAGTAACGAAATACGACTGACCACCATGAAATATCGCAGCTGAAGTGCTATCTGACGCCTTCGACTGTGCTTTCAACAACACCTGTCATCGGAGAAAAAGAAGGGCAAGAGATCGACACGCCCAACAAAGGATGCGTGACAAAAGGGACACACACATAGGGAAGTTGGGGAAATTGTTTGGCTTCTGCGGGGAACACCACGAGCCACATGCCTAAGAGGAAATTCATGAGAGCACTGTGGAACAGCTCCGACACCAAAACGAGATCTTGCAGAAAAGACAAAAGGAGTTCTGCGATCTCGTTGCCCCTTCGAACGACAGAGAGAGCGAAACAGAGGTCATCTGTACAGGCGGCAAATTCGATGAAGCACTGTACATTGTTCCGACCTCTAAGAAGTCGAGGCACGACAAACGACAACAAAAAGCTATGAAAGGGGGAAATAAAGAACTTCGAACATCCCTGATACCTATATCAGCATCTTCTCTTCCGCTTGGTACTAAAGAACCTTGTTTTTTTCCCTCCTCACATGGTACTCTTAGCCTTCCTGCCCCGATGTGATAGCTCTTCTCCCAGCGCAGCCTTGGCCACAGAGCCTGCTCATTGGGGCGCAGAACAACCTTGTCGCCAAAGCCATTCATACAACCTTCAAAGAGTTCTATCCTGGTCGACCAGAAAGGCTTACGGTCGGTGAGCTACGTCTACGCAAATTAGCGAACACGACCAAGCGAAGAACGCTTCCAACCTTCATGCATCCAACAATATGCAGCTGTCAAACGGGGTGCAATCTGAGATATGTTGAACGCCTGTTAACTATAGGGGCAAAACGGGTCCTTATATCCTTGTCAAGGTTGCTGACCTCGTTGCCACCCCATGTCCCATGAACTGTCGCAGAACTACCGGTACAACAACTCCTGGTATGATCAGTTATCCACATGTCAGACCATCTCCAAACGTAAACCTTGTTCGACAGAAGAAAGTGGAACGGCTGATTCGATCCTTCTTTGGAGTCAAAGCTGAACCAGCCTGGAGGATAATCTTGCGGCGAGGATTGCTGATCTCCAATGAGCAAAAGGCAGGGTAGCCTCCTGTGATCTACCTTCCGGAGTAGGTAATGCGCACCCCAAGCATACGTAGATAGTTGAGTTTGGAGGACGTGCTCCTCTTGTCGGAAACCAAGTCGGCCATTACAGCACGAGAACAGATCTTGTAACAACACTCAGATGACTAGTGGGGATGAGAAGAGCAGAAGCTCGTCTCTACCAGCATGTCTACTCGTACTCTCGGACACTATGTCTCCGCTTATCTCGGCTTTCCGCTTGTTCCTGGTCAGAGTCCGCTCGGCAGTCAGGGCAATACGGCCGCTCTAGACAACCTTAAACCTAGGTGTCACAACACTCGCAACCTCTGTACCCGATGATTGTGGAGATATCCCCAGGCTTTTCAGCTTGTGTGTTCATCATACTCTTCTCTATGGAGACCACCAGCTTTAAAAAGGTGTGAGAGCCAATCATAGACAGAATGTTTGAAGCCGAGGAAGCTAACCGAAGCCACCGGAGCAATCTGGCAATCTCGGAACATTGGGCGGAGGAATCAATCCCGTTTTCCGCAACTGTGGACGAGATATCTGATTGGGCTTTTGATCTTGCATCCCCGCCTTAATCAATTCACTGTTTCTAGATTACCTGAGCGCACGAAATTCCAGCCTAGGCGAAGGGGGCTAACCCTCTTCCCTGTTGGCCAGTCACGTGACTGGTTGCCTTGGCAACGTCACGTGAGGCTGTTTGGCTTGGCAACTTGCGCCCTTCTTTTCGTCTTGCTCTCTTAGATAGATCAACAACAACACATTCCTTCTCTAGACTCCACAGTCTATCAATATAATCCCTCACGAGCTCCAGTCCTCTGAAAAGCAGTCCGAAACAGTTAATCTATCCCAGTGCCCGTACGGCCTTTCGTGGGTTTCCGATAGCATCTCGGAGTCAAGTTTTGATAAAACATTGCTCTCCGCCGAGGGATATTGGACTCGACAAGCATTTGAGTTGTTCCCCCATTTTCATTCCTTACTACTCGAAGCTATTGTCAATATGACTATCAACGCTGTCGCGGACGGTATCGTGGGCAAAGAGAGCCCACCAGTGCAAACATCACCCCTTAAAGTAGTCGTGTCCAGTGAGAAATATGTCGAGAATATTGTAACTAATGACCGTAACCTGGTCTACGACGACAATGAAGAAGAACCTGAGCTTCATGCCCGGACTTATGTTGCTATTCTTGCCATGTTTATCCCGAACTTTATTCAGGTCTTCGCTCTACAAGGACCTCCGGCAGTCGTAAGTTTCAGGGATACATCATCCGCTTTGGCCTCGAAAGCTCACTCAAGGATAGCTTTCTTATATCGGAATCAGCCTCAACGACACTCAGGCTCAGACTGGGGTTCCCAATTCGCTTTCAGTCGTCCAAGCAGTGCTGGGGCCGGTTATATCGCCTACCTCGGATCCCGTCCAAAGTCGCAAGACGTTACTTGTTGATTCTTCCATTACCTCTCTCATCGGGTCGGCCATCGCACCTGGCTTCGGCAATATTTACCGGCTGATTGCTGCTCAAACTCTGATTGGGGTGGGGTTTCTTCTGTTCCTTTGGCATACGCTGTGCCCAGTGAGATTCTACCTAGGAGATGGAGACCCTCTAAGTTGAGAAATATTGCATCGAGTCTCCGGCATGAGCTAATCAAGCTGTTGTAGTGGCACGAGGAATGGTGAACATTGGCCAGTATGGCATCCATAACATCATCTCTCACTATGGGTGCTCTGATAAAAGCTGATACCCAGAACGGCTGGCGAAAATTTTATGTATGCACCTCATTTCAGACCGTGACAGCTAGTACTGACGTGGCTCTCTAGTGGATTCAAGTAGGTCTCTGGGGACCCACTGCCATTAGGCTCTTCGTTGGCTACAGACCACTAAGAGACACACGCGACTCGATCACCTCTCATTCTAGCAAAAGCTACGCCACCTGGATCTTGCTGGGGCTGCACTTCTTACAGCTGGTTTAACACTCTTCCTTTCAGGCCTCGGTCTAGGTGATGGCTTATTCGCCTGGTCTAATGTTCATGTTTTAACGATACTGATTATTGATGTTGTTCTCCTCATCTGCTTTGGGCTGTACGAGTGGAAGGTAAACAAAGCCGGAGTCCTTCATCATGAGCTCGTTCGTGACGGAAAGCAGCAGGTCGAACTTTCGCTCTCTGTGTGGCCTTGATTTTTATCGAGGGTATCCTTTTCTCTTACATGGTCTTCTATCCAGTGATGTAGTTCCCCTCTCTTCCTAAGAATATAATGAAGATGATAAGCTAACTATTCTCAAAAAATAGGAATGGAACGCTAGTCACATCAGATCCATTTAAATTAGTCGTTCGCTCCCAGCCATATTGGGTTGGTGGCATTGTCTCTACACTGTTTTGGGGCTGGGCTTGTGCAAAAGTTCCGAACGATTCGAGAACCATTATTGTGTGGATATGCTCTCCTGACCATCGTCATAATCGGATGGACAATTATTCAGCCAACTCAGGGCGTCAAGCAAATGGCCTTTGCCGCAATATCCGGCGCCGGATTCCGCGCCTCCTCTTACTCTCATCATCACTGGTATTCGGTTGCCTACTCCACGTGCGCTTATCGCCACTGCTATCTATGCTGCGACGCCTAATTCAAGACTCGCGGTCAACATTCCTAGCCACATCGGCAAGGCAGCTCTGAGGGCCGGACTTCCTGCATGTTCTCTGCCGGCATTCATCCAAGCTCTTGCTGGCGGTGACACAACAGCTCTTTCAAAGATCCCGGGGGCTACCCCCGCAATTATCGAACTGGGTATCGTTGGGCTCAAGCGGGCCTATGCAGATTCCATCAGAGTGATCTATATCATTGCTGCACCATTCAGTGCTCTAGCTTGTATTTTGTGCTGGTTCCTGGGATCTAAAGGAGACGATGAACTATCATGTTGATGCGCCTGTTGAGGATCTTCATGCAAAGCATTCCCATCGTGGCCGAGGTCAAATTGCATGAGGATTATGTGTGCCGATGCTTGCATGGAAGCTCGGAATGGACTGTTCGTGAACGGACAAGCTGTTACAACATAACCAGGAAGACATGTCTTGGTCAACAAGAGACATGGTGCCACTATGGCTTCGCTGTGATCATACGAGGATGGTTGTGTTTGCTGATGAGTGTGGGATTACTTAACGATCGCTTGCGAGTACACGGATTCAAAAAGAACTGTCCCAATATTCTCCGCGAAAGGTTTGCTGGCTTCTTCGATGTTATATGTTCACTGTGGTCGTCCCCGCAGGATTTCAGTACTTGCAAATACCGGGAGCCGAATGACAGAGATGTTCAAGTCAGCTACAGAATCGTGTCGAAGTTTCGCCTGCCAGACAACGATTGCAGTGGCAAAGACATTGATTCCTCCGCAGCGGTGCTCCGTGAGAGACTGGTTACTCCGTGCATTTTTCCGGAAACCATGTCCTCTTCAAATTATTTCGGAGTCACGCCACATTGGGGTAGTTATCCCAACCGGAATCCCTGTCACTTGAATCCCGGGGGGGTAGGCCATTGCCTGACATTGCTAGTAAAAGCGGCCTGTGGAACACGAAAGATCGGGAATCGACTAAATTTTTTTGTTCCTCCGACAGCCCGACTGCTAGCTAGCCTTGTACCAAGGTTTGTCTGCTTTTTAACGCGTAGTTACAACCATTTTTCAACAACAATGTATCTGCTCCCAGCTTATTCTCTTACATTACTGACCAAAAAGGATTTAGCGCAATGATGGCTCAGACAGAAGTAATCATTGTCGGTGCAGGCCCGAGCGGCTTGGGTCTCGCACTAGCTCTATCTCGTCGCCGGATCAAAGTACGTTACAAAGGGTCAGGGATTTGAATCTATTACATTGGCTTACCACGCACATAGTGTGTTCTTCTGGAAGCTAGCAAGGACATATGTAAAGATCCCAGAGCAATTGCCCTATCCGGGGACACTGTTCGCATATTTCAATTACTTGGGGTCACGAGTCAAGAATTTCAACATATTGGACAACGTGAGCCGTCTGTTGGTTATGGTGAAGATTGGAAGCTAACAGGACTATATCAAAGCCGTTCGAGATCTCAATTTCCATTATGGGGTTTTCACGTCCGAGCCGTTTCTCACGTTGGACCACAATTTCGATCACATTGATCAGGGTGTCTCTATGGGACTTGTAATTTTTCAACCTAAATTAGGTCTGCAAACATGCTTCAGACGGTGAAGATCCGCTAATTCTTTTCAAAGAGGAAGCCATGCGCAACTTGGTCAACGCATCAGAGTTTGCGACATTGAAAACAGAGTGTGAGGTGATCTCCTGCAATGAATTCGAAGACTCGGTGGCAGCGTCGTATAAGACAAAAGACGGATCGACAGAAAAACTAAAGGGTAAGTTCTTGGTCGGTGCCGATGGCAAGCGAGGAGTAGTTCGCAAACATTTCCTTGAGGGACGGGGAATCAAGCAAGTTGTGGGACAGTAAGTGCACTCGGGGACAGTCAGAGCATCCATCTAACAATAAACGCAGACATGAGTACGAAGCAACATGGGTAGCTGCAAATTTGCTCATCTCAATGCCTACACCGAGCTCACATCCAGATTTCGCAGTTTGGCAGCTCGGTTACAAACCTAAGGAGCTTTGGGATCTCTTTTGGCCACCTGGGTTCCAGTGAGCTACATTTGGATTTCTCCCGTAATGTCAATTAATGCTTGATGTTAGCTTCTGCAACCACCCTACAATGCCAGTGGCGGCGGGAAGGTTTGGGCCAGCAGATGGGAAATATTGGAGGTGAGTTGGCTCTTCGGCGAGAGTTTCTCAACTGCTAAGCAGATGTGAACCAGATTCGAGTATGAGTTACCCGCAGGACGCTATCCAGTGGACCTAGAGGAAGATCTGAAAGCCCAGGTGCTCCCACATTTGAGAATACCTTCAAAACGTTTACGGTCAGCACCATTGTTGATACTATACCTTTCTGTTTCTGATCAAATCCAGGAATGGATCAACACTGAAAGCAGACATCGTGGAATTCCCGTGGGATTGTGTTAAAATCATACGCTGTCAAGCAGTTCTGTGCGTACTCCTGGTCTTCATTTTCTTCAATTTTACCCGTAGGCTAATCGCGGTTTTCAGATTCACGCACAAAGTCGTCAACCGATGGTTCGATAATCGCATGCTTTTGATTGGAGATGCTGCCCATGTCTTTCCTCCTTTCGGAGCACAAGGTATTGCCAATGGCGTTCGCGACGCTTTTGCGCTCTCTTGGCGAATGGGCCTTCTGCTGCAACCGGGACGTTTCCAAAACGGCGACCAGGTCAAGGAGCTTCTGAATGTCTGGTCCCAAGAGCGTCGACGAGGCGTAGATCAGGCCAGCCAAATGACGATGCAAAATGGCCGTCTACTTCGCAACAAGTCGTGGGTGATGGCTGAGCTGACGAGGATTGGGAACAAGCTTCTCAAATATTCTGTCATCAGAGATCCTTTCCTTCGCTGGCTTTTGGACGACTCGGAAGGATTGAGATATGCTAAAAGAGGCAACTTTCTTCTTGACTTCCAGGGAGGCGGTAAGATAGCGCAAATATGGGTCCAACAGGAGGGGCCAACAAATGCAACGCCTAAGATGCTCTCGGACGAACTTTTCTGGAACCATGGATTCGCACTCGCTCTGCTATTTGTTGGCAATCAGCTTGAGGAATTGGAGTTTTCCAAGTGGCAAACAATTCTTCAATCATTAGATTCCCCAATGCTGATTTATCCCGAAATCATGGCGATCTCATTCAACAGGGTTCCCAGCAGCACAGTCTCGCATCCCGGGCTGAAGCAGTATTATGCTTGCATCGACAGTGATGTGCGTGTTGATGGCATGAATCTTATTCCGGGCTATGACCCAACTGCCTTTCTCAAAAGATTTGGACCTCGAACGCGTTATGTACTGGTTCGACCAGATTTTATCATTTTCTCCCAAGCATCCTCACTCGATCAGGTAGATTTTCAGGTGAGAAAAGCGAAGTCGATGCTAGGAACTGATGGACATTGAGCGTCATAAGATGCATGGAACAGCATGGAGGACACCCCATTGCCAGAATCTATCTAAATTGGCAAATATTCTTGGTTTATCACAAAGATTTCTACAGTCAATTGGCGCCATAATTGACCGCTACCAAAGTGTTTCATTCGAAGAAAATTCATTTCACGAGGACCATCTTGTTCGTGAGAACCCTAATGGGAGTAATTTCAATTTCGACAACATCCCCATCCTTAAGCTAGTATGGCGGATTCTAGAAAAATCCTATTAGAGAGAGAGGTATTATACTCCACCACAGAAACATTAACGATTCTACCAGTGCTCATCGTGGCTTATACCGCATCACAGAGTCTACGGAAACGAGAAGCAGCAAACGTTATCAAGACACTCCGCTTCAGGCTGAGGTCCCATACTATTCATATCTGCTTCTTTTGCAGGTTTTATGTAATTTGTGCTGGCACAGATGATTTCGTGGTCTTGGACAGAAGCCGCCGAATCTTAGCCACATTCTTCTTGGAAAAGGGGGTGGCGACGAGGTCAACGGCCTTGACAGGTATATAGGGATTCTCGTTGTCCGCCCAGTGGACAGAAAGATAGAGCATTCCAATGTATCACATCTTTTCATTCTCGTCGTTTCCAAAGCTCGAATTGAGGGGGGTATCTAGGTAGGTTCCCATCCGGCGCTACTAGGCCGTCAACTTCATATCCAGCTATCAATAGCCTTGTAATGTAGGAGATAGTTCCAAAGAACTAGGGTTTTGTGACAAGATAAATAAATACGGGATCCAATATATGGGTATTAGGGACTGAGTTTGACCGTTTCAAGATCTTTCCACTGAAGTCATTACACGTTACTCCGTATTTCCACTATATGACCGGCTTTTACCTCGCGCTGCATGCCACTGGATACGGTCGTGGACGTAGCCTTCCGTTGCAACGGAGTAACATGCGTATCTAGGGAAAGGTGCTCTGCCAAAAATCATGTCGAGACACGATAGTACGAAATGCGAACAACATTACTGAGTTTACGATCCAGCAGCTCTTGTAGAATCACTGTCAATGTGTTCACTGTCCTTTCTAGCGAAACTGAATTGGCCTTTATGAACATGATACGAAATCACAAACCAACTGCAAGCAAGACGCAGTATGTCGCCATCGCGCCGTCACAAAAGACTGCTTTACTTCATGAAAGATTGCAAGTTCTAGAGAGTTACTTGACAATATTTTTGTTCTTGGTGTTGACGTGATCATGTTCGTAGCTAGACTATGATTTTATACCAAACGTGCATACATCTAATTTACCCTACTTTTGCAGCCTCACCGTTGGTAGCTGTGAACTTGACACTTTCCGATGCATCGGACGTAGAATTGGCTCTGTGGAATTTGGTTCCATCTGCTGAGAAGTCCTTGGGTATCTCTGGGCCCCAAACTGCGAAGGCTCCGGCAGCGCTTCTCTGTGTTCCTGTGTGGATATTGACCAGATCTCCATCTGCGTAGTGCTCAATAGTGAATCCACTGGGATCCCTCCAGTAGTCGAAAATTTGAGAGCCAAGAATGTGTCTTCCAACCCCCCACAAAGCGTAGTGACCTTTATTTGCAAGCCATTGGTGTCCAAGCAGCTGGGTATCAAAATCTTCCACTTCGTAAGAGGTGTGATGCATATGATTATGCTCTCCAGGCATGGCGCGCGCCAGGAAAAGAGAATGGTGATCCGAATATCGCTCTCCCAGGTCCAGATGCAGAAAGGTGATCACATCGAGATCTGGGTTCTTTGGGCTGTACTGAACGTCCGAAGGAACGATATTGAATTGAGAACAATACCACTCTACCTCTTCGTCCCAGTTGCCAACATTGTAACCACAATGCCCCAGTTTGTGGACTAGCGCTGGCCCTGACACATATCGTTGGAACTCTCCTTGGTATTAGTTAGTGTCGTGATGATATCTAGATCTGTGTTTGAGAGACTCACCGAATCTCCGCTTGTTAATGCTGCCATTCAATGGCCCTTGATTCTCGACTACTCTTGAAGGGGCCGTGTTGGCGGCTGGCCTATCCTCCTGCCCGAAGATTATGTGGAGGTAAAATCCTGCTGGGGTCTTCAATGTAACCTGCCGGCCACCACCAGGAAATGGGTCAAGACTGTTCAACTGTGCCCCTTCAAGAGCCGCGGCTTTGTCCAAATCAGCCTGAGTCTGAGCAACGAATGCAGGCCCGCCGAATTTCGTTCCTCCTGGGCCAGCTTTGCGAGCAACATAGCAAAACTGATCCCTTCCATAGCCTCGATATAGGATTACTTCCTTGCCGCGCCATGCTTCCACAAGCCCAAAGTCGGCAGCAAATTTCTCAAATGCATTAAGGTCCTCATGTTCAAAATATACAAAAGAAAGCCTCTCCAGCTGAATCTTTGAGGCGTTGTTTTTGATTTCTGAAAGTTTTGTCATACTTAACTCGTGGCAGTTAATCGGCTTGGAGATTGTGTTGTCATTGTCCTGTCATGAAAAATGCTCAGGATGCCCTTGCCCTATGCAGCGGAATGCCTCCATGCAGGTATGTCCGGAGTAATTATGTGAATACGTGAGCAGATCCTCCGGCCCACCATGAGGTTTCTCCGGCCCACTTCGCCTGGAAAAAATTCGACGGGGGGTTGAGGTGCTCCGCGCGGGCCCCTAGTTTCTACCGCATCACCTTGCAGTTTGGAGAAATACGAAGAAGATCTCGAGGGGGACGAAGAGATCCCGTGCCGGGCGCAGGGCGCATATACGACTCCGTCTACTATGGTGAAAAAAGTGCGAGGCTCGAGATGGGGCACTGAAATATATGGAGGGGGCCATCGAAGCAAATTTGCCTTTCAGGCGCGTGAAACGTGTTGCGGCAGCATAGTTGGTGAGATGGCTTTTCTCTAAGTTTTCTAAGGAGCAAGCGCTTCTGAATGGGGTGAATAGCTGACTTGACAGAATCGTCTGAGAGTCGTTGCCATCCTGCTCCTGCTTGGGCCCGAAGACCTCATTTTGGTATCTGCAGTCGATATGAATTTTCCTCGGCTCGGCGTGCCAACTCTTCTTACAATATGCGCTTGCTCGATTGTGTTGTATGCGCTCAATGCTACCAGGCTTGCGTTCAGACGAGGCCTTCAAAAAATTCCTGGCCCGAGACTTGCCCGATTCACCAACTTGTGGCGTGTAAGCCTGGTATGGAGTGGAAATGCGCATGAGAACTACAGAAAACTGCACAAGAAATACGGCCGGATTGTTCGAACGGCTCCAAATGTGGTTGATATCTCGGATCCGTCCGTCATACCAGTCATATATGGCATTGGTAGCAAATATATGAAGGTCGGTTGGGCTCTTGCTGTTTAATGTTCGGATTGCTCAGATGGACGACAGTCAAACTTTTACACCACACTAGCCACGCCATACGAGGGCGAAGTCATGGACAGCATGTTTTCGACTAGGGATCCGGAATATCATAAAGGGCTCAAAAGGCCTGTGGCACAAAAGTTCTCTATGAGCTCAATCCGCACATTAGAACATCTCGTGGACCCATGCAGTCAGATTTTCAGCGACGCAATGACTGATCTCGTGGGGAAGCCTGTTGACCTGGGAACATGGCTGCAGTGGTACGCGTTCGACGCCATTGGAGCAATCACATTCAGTTCAAGGTTTGGGTTCATGGAGGAACGAAGGGATATCGAAAACATGATTGAAGGGATCGACTTTGGCCTCTTCTACGCCGGCATCGTGGGACAGATCCCCTTTCTTCATCGATTCCTTCTGGGCAACATGACTTTGATGAACATCAGAAGTCGACTGGCGCCCCATGCGCCCGACCCAGTGGCGACGGCTACAAGGGTAAGAATTTCCATCACCAATCCTCCTCAGCTTTGTCCTAATGACTGCATTTGCCTCTAGATGGTACTGAAATGTCTCGCGGAATATGATGAACGAGATTCAGAGTCTTCCGACAAGAGGGCAGATTTTTTGGCCTATCTACGCGGACAAGAAAAGAGTGGAGGGAGTCGGATAAGCACCCGCGACATGATGAACCATTTGATGAACAATTTGTAAGCCCTGGATGCATGCCAAACGGAATCAAATTGTACTAATGGACCATACAGGCTAGCCGGAAGTGACACAACAGCCATCTCCCTCAGAGCTGTCTTCTATTACGTGATACGTGATCGTCGGGTTTACGAAAAGCTCCAACAGGAGATCGACGAAGCCGACAAGGCTGGAAAGCTGTCACGGTTCGTTACATTTGCCGAGAGTCTTGAGCTGCCATATCTGTGAGTTATACAACTCCATGTCGCATTGATACTTTGAATGACTAAATACGAGTAACTAGGCAAATATGTCTCAAGGAAGCCATGCGAATGCATCCTGGAGTATCCTATCCTTTGGAACGAATCGTCCCAGAGGGAGGAGTAGAACTCTGCAACCAGTATCTTCCAGCTGGTACCATTGTTGGTGTAAATGCTGCAGTGATTCATCGTGACAAAACCATTTTTGGCACCGATGCCGATCAATTCCGGCCAGAGCGCTGGATTCAGTCTGAGTCTAACTGTGATGTCCAAAACATGGAACGCCATCTCCTTACGGTAAGTTTAAGAAACCCCCACCTCCCTTTTTTCCCCTTTCCCCCTTAAGCTATACAAGAATTTTGACCTGTTAACACACTATGAAATAGTTTGGAAGTGGAGTAAGAACCTGTATTGGTAAGAACATCTCAATCATGGAGATGGGGAAATTCATTCCTCAGATCCTGCGCCAGTTCCACCTCGAATGGGCATCGGATAAGCCGACGTGGGATGTGAAAACCTGGTGGTTTGCTAAACAGTCGGGAATGTTCGTTACCTTTACCACGCGGAATAGGTCCTAAGGGATGTTCGAAGGTGGGTGTATCTGTTGGCCACTCTTATACTGCGAGCATTGGAATTTTTGACAAGACAAAAATTTGAAATCTTTACATTCGATGAAGGTCTTACTATACCTCAGATTCAGATTTCGATTGGGAGACACAGGTAGAGAGAGAGATGTCCATGTACCAGCCCGCTACAACCCAGATTGATAAACTTCTTATACTCGACTTTATTGGTGACAAAATCTTGTCGAAACGGAGACCATCGATAGCCAGATTTATTACTTGAGCTGTCCGGCAATGAATAACTTCGGAGATCATTTCGTCCGCGATCTCCTTGGCCGATGTCGTTCACAACGACAGCCACGTTTGCCATTACGAAAGGATTTGCTTCATCGATCAACTCGTCCGAAACTTCATCCATCCCGCTTGTTCTAAGTCGTGCTCTCGACTGGAATGATACTTTTGCCGTCAGTTCTTTGATCTCATCTTGTCGTTTGTTCTAGGCTCTTGCGAACGCATGAAGAGGTCGTCAGGTGGATTCCAGAAGCGATAGACAGGCTACATAGGCGGCAGAGAGGGTTTGACACGTCACAATACCAATGTCGAACACAAAAAGGCGTAGAAAGACGAATGAAAAGGTCTTTCGTTATAAGGGGTCAACGACATCGTTGAAAGAGCACCAAAAAACGCCAACTATGTGAGGGAAGCAAAGTAGATGGAAAGGTACTTCAAACCCCTAGGGAAATGGAGGGTGTTCAGGGTATCTTTCCATCACGCGTACAACGACCGCACAACTAGGCCCGATGGGTGTTTAGCAATGTTGCTGTGGAACGCAAGTCGCTGTGGGTTGTCGTTCTCCCGAGATATTCCTTATAACAATACTAGCTTCGCATTTAGGAAGGTTCCCTGAGATATAAAAGTAGTTGAGAGGCGTTGGGACAGAGGCGCCTGCCGCCTTGAAGGGGTGAGGGAGTCGGAGGCGGAGTTATGGGAGGCGACTCCTGACAACACTGGATTCGCGATTGTGCTCGCTTCCGTGTATCTCGATGGAAAACCTAGAGACGGAAGAATGACTCAAAGTCGTCTGAAACTTCATCGTCAAATCCATGTTTATGCTCTCTGCGAATGGTTCGTCCCTTCTTGCGTGATGGTTGTTTGGCGTCTCCAGCTGGCCTTTTATCAGAATGTGCACTTCTCGATTCTTGCTGCTGCTCTTTCTGAGCCGTGTTTGTCTGAACAACCAAATCCAACAACAGCATCTGCTCGTTCTTGTTCAGAGTGCAGTACCGTACAAAATATGCCAAGCAAAGTCCCGATGCTGAAGGGGATTCGTCATTTAAGATGCCCTGGATGAAAGGGCTATCCACGTGGATCTCGGGCGGCTCTGGACTTTGATTTTCGCATATGGTGACCGAAGATTTGTGAAAGCTGCAGTTGTTGGAACTCAAAACGTTCTTTGATAAAATAGAGTCGCCGAGCCTCGTGGAATGAGCGAAACGGCTATCATAGTTGTGGGTGTCCCTGTGCCGCGCAGTAAACCATACATCAAAATCGACATATTGCGGCTGGAGAGATTCTTTGAGCCAGCTCTTGGAAGGAGCTTTGCTCCAACTGGGGAATTCGTTCAGGCGAGAGTTTTCATATTGACTCATGGTGGAATTGATGTCAGGTTGTAAGCTTGGCAGGATATGGGTAAAGCTGGATCGAGAAAGGCGAGGGTGATACACTGTGGGTGTTGGCCAGTCACGTGACTAGTTGCCTTGGCAACGTCACGTGAGGCTGTTCGGCTTGGCAACTTGCGCCCTTCCTTCTTTTTGTCTAGATAGAACAACAACACATTCCTTCTCTAGACTCCACAGTCTATCAGTGGGGTCTAGAGAAGAGATGAAAGAACGTGTTGTTTTTCTATCTAACAAGAGAACAAGACTGAATAAGTGCAAATTCTGACATTGCCAAACCAACTTCCTCACGTGATTGGCAAACGTAGGGTAGAGGAATTGAGATTCTGAACCTGCCCACAAGAAGGGAGGCCAGAGTTTTAGTGACGGTCCCCGTAATTCCTCCGGAGTGGGCTGGCCTTGAAGCCCATACGGGGGAGCTCAAAGTGTATTCGGGAAATAATGATCTTATTGGATGTAAATTGGCGTTGTTTCTGCTCCCGGCAAAAGTCGGCAATTCTCGACGCCGTCTGGGGCCCCCCACCGCAGATGCTGGGATCTGGGGAAAAGACTCCTCCCACCACAACTTCCTTTCAATCCCACCGCTAGGCATTTGCCATCTTCTTCAAACTCATCCACAGCGCCCATCGACATTTCTCAGACTTTCGACAAGATAGCAAATCAGGTGCAATCAATACTCTTCCTACATCTCATCCCCGCCATTTCATAGACGGGAGATGCCATGACTTCTTTCGGCCGCGGGCTCGCAAACCCCGATTCACCCGATCCTCCACTCGTTTCACAGCAAGATTTATCCACGATTGAAGTCCAAAACAGCACCACTACATGCCTGACACAATTTCGCGTGTGTGATCATTGTAGGATGTAGGCTTGAGTATAACCATTCCTGCTGTTGATCTGGGACACTAACCTAGTATTCCAGAAAGAAGGTCAAATGTGAGCTTCTTCTCGGTTTCTGTGGATATCTTTCGTAACTTTCTCCAGGCGATATGTTCCGTCCAAGTTGTAGTGCATGTGTCGCGCGGAAAATTCAATGCACGTATAGCAAACGCAAGCGACGACCAGGTCAGCTATTCTCACAGCCTGCGTTTGTTTACTGAAACATGGCCCAGGACCTCCGCGAAAGAGTACCTCCATGAAGCCAAATGATTCAAGCATTTTGCCTCCTACCACACAATCACAGCAACCTAATGAACGGCAAAGACACGAACGAACGTCCCCGTCTCAATGGCCGATCGATATACCAAATCATCTCGATCTTCGCGGAGAGTCATGCTCTCCCAGAGATAGTAACGGAGATGCGCCCTCCTCTTTGTCAGAGGTTCAGATATTCGATTTTAGGCCCTATTCCTCTCCAAAAGCCTTCAATGACGGATTTTCTCTTCGTTTACGACCGGAGACCGAATATTACCTGTGAGCAGCACATTAACGCCTTGAGATCAATAAACTAACTTTCTGCTTACTTAGATTCGATCTCTACTTCGACCATTTCAACACGGCATTCCCTCTCTTTGACCAATCGCAGCCGAGGCAAAAGGTGGATTCACCATCGTTGTCTCCACGACTGAAATTGGCAATGTTCACCATCTCATCTCGATTTGCCAAGCAACCTTTCGCAGACAGGATTCCGTCGCCGACAGAGTTTGCCAGTGCTGCCGAAGCTCTTGGATCTCAGAAATGTTTTAGTACCGACGAAATCAAGAGTTCGTTCCTTCTTTGTGTCCATCATCTCTCAGAATCTCTAAATTGGCACTCATGGACCGAGTGTGGAAAACTAACGCGTATGGCTCACCTTTGGAGCTCCGAATACATCGTACACCAGGCATCAAATACCTCAGGCAAGAAAAAGTCCGACCTCGAAGAGTATCGGAGTATCTGGTGGTCCATTGTGTGTTTAGATACCTGTTGCAACTCCCTTGCGTAAGTATCTTATTCTCATGCTGGAGCAGTTCTCACATTCCCCAACAAGATCAATCCCGCACGGCTTGGCTTGTGGTGTGCAGAATATCCCGCTTCCAGAGTTCCCGGAGACCTCGAGTACAGTGATGCAACAGACTGCGGAGAGCGATGATGACCAATATCTAGACTTTGGGGAGACCAGTTACTGGGAACTAATGACAAAAGTCTTCAAGCGTCCATTCACTCGGAGCCGACACCTTTATTATGCGACTTGTGGGTTAATGGCTGCTGTTACCGACTATCGATTTGGACTTTCACGACGCCGATCAAGAGCATCAAAGGCCCGGTTACGAGAACTGCAGAATGACATAGCGTCTGCCAAAATGGCTCTTCCGACCATGTACTTCAATCCGACAAGGTGCTACCATTTCCAGGAAACGGAACGAGAACACCACAATCGCCTAGATGTGCTGCTACTCGTGGGCTGGTGAGGTTCCTACCGAAATTGTGTGTCTAGAAAGTTGACAAAATCACAGTGCTGATCTCCTCCTTTCTATCGCCGCGGCCCAATCCTTGGAGCTCGATGAAAATGGCCCTAAAGAATCAGCTCGGGAAGAACGCTGGCAATCGATTCTGGCAAAAGCATACGATATTGTACCAATAATTCAAAGCTGGAGCCCTCAGTATTTCGAGCAGATGGACCCGATGTGCGCCTATATCGTGTTTTTGAGCTCTTCAGTTCTGACTCTGGAGATTGGGCTCACGCAGTCCTCAAAAGCCTCTGATCCGGTCATTGTCAGTGACATTAAACTCTTGTTGCTGTTTCTTCGCCAGATTGGCCAGTATTGGCCAGTAGGTGAGTTTATGAGCCTGCAAATCCTTTGACCAGAGTACTAACTACCTTCGTTGGATAGGATGTCGCCTCGAAAGTTCGTATTATTGTTCCGAGCCCCTCGCGATTCATTTTTAGTAACTCATATCCAGGTACAGTGTCGGAATTGTATAGGAACTCATGCAGCGGCATCACGTATCAAGAAGCCTTGAAATTTCTTTGGAACTTCACCGCTTTACAAGGTCGAATGGATGCGACGAAGGTTCCACCAGCTCATCAAGGAAACAATATCGATCAATCCGCTGGCAACGATCGGCCAGGACAGATCGAACTTCCGGATCAGCAAATTGATATGGACGGAATGGACTGGCTCGATGATCCCCTTGTCATTTCCTTCGGAAAGGACACGAATGATACCGAAGTTTCAACATTCGAAGCTCCGTATTGCGAAAGAAGTTTCCAGAGTCTGGAGCATTTGATGGGTATTTAACATCTGAGGCTGTCTCAAGTGGGATTTAGTACAGTCCTTCATGCGTGGATTTCTCTTCTCCCCGCGGCCACAATAACCCCGATCGGACAATCATGGACGACACATCAGCTACTTGAGCAGGCTGTGTCTCAGGAGAAACACAGAGCCTAGCGCCACCTGGATCTTGTACCCTCATTTCCTTAGAAGTCCGTCGGCCTACCGCTCCAGACGTCTCATTTCCCTCTGGAAGGCCGACGAATTTCTAGGCACCGCCAAGCCCGCTGGAACCCCTTCTCAGGGAAAGAAGGCGCTTTTCCCTGATTATGAACCTACGCTATAATTGGCTGTTCAGAAAGGGGCCAAGCCCGTTCAAGCTCAGTGCCCCTAGCAGAGCGCTGAGTGCATTTCAGTGCTGTGATTTTACGGAGGACTTGTCCTATTTCGAAGGGGTCCAAGGACCGTCCAGACTATATACTTTCGAAGCGTGTACGAAGCGTACAACGCTTCCGAAGGTCCTTACAAGCCTTGGCGTCGCCACATATCACATAATCGGATCCAGTCCATGTACCACCTCAGGGAGTGGGGGGCGATGATCCCATCGGATCCAGTAAAAGTGTGCCCACTCTCGTGCTGAGGCCGAAATGTGCACTTTAAGCCTAAGTACTGATATTGCTGGCAGGGCCGCTGGCTGTTACCTGCAGGAGTGGTAGGCAATGATTCAGGTCTCAGTTGGGATGTACCTACATTTCACCTTCCTAACACTGCAGGCTGTACATGAATTGCATACGCGAACATGGTTTTTCCTCTGTTGGACGACGAGAGGTCTCCATAGGCGACGACGTTGCAGATGGTTGCTCTGTGCAACGATGTAGCATTCGTTGTGTCTATAAAAGGAGTCTCAGGACCTCGACAAGTAGATAGAAAACAGAGCGCCCCTTCATCTCAAGTTGCACAAAAAGTTTGACATCCTCCGTCGTTAACGGCAATTGTTTCGGAGGATCGATCGCGTCAAACGTATTTGAATGGATACACCTCGGACCGAGAATGGACTTGTTGTCCGACTAACTCCATGGAAGAGGTCATCAGGCAGAGGAGAGACACATTGGAAATGAAGAGATATAATATGGGTAGATGTCAAACTGGGTGCAACTCGAGATGTCTTGAATGCTCTGTTTTCTATCTACTTGTCGAGGTATTGAGGCTTCTTTTATAGACGTGCGAATACTACGTCGTTACTCAGTGCAACCATCAGTAACGTCGTCTATGGAAACCTCTCACCAGTGTTTCAGCTGTGGAGCCTATACACAATAGCCCTTTTGTTCAACAGTAGGAATCCAAAGTTCTGGGGCCAGAGGAAGAAAAGAGCACGGATGAGATACAGCGAATAAATGCGCACCGTTTGGTAGAGCTTCTGAGAGCGCAATAGTGCGCATCCAAGAGACAGTTGGTGCACGGTGAGCCACGTAGAGTCACGTCGCACCTCACCTTTCGTTCGTGGCACCGTTCGCAAACTGCGCTAGATCTCTTATAGCCAACACGTGAAGCGTACGTAGAATGCATTTCTGCTCCTTTGACCCCGGCAGTGAACTTGCTCTTTTGGAAATCGTAACGGACGAAGATACAGACCGCAGTGCACGGTGCCGGAAGAGCAGAAAAAGGGTAACAAAAGAAGCTGGCCGAAAATCTGCCTCCCAGGTTCTTCTTGCTGCGGGCGGTCTTTGTAACACCCATCACGCCACGAATTCCCAGCCACTGCGAAGGTGGCAGGAAGGGGGCTGGGCGTTGGAAAGGAGGCAGGAAGATGAACGGATCGAAGGTATAAGAAGAGCCTTCGAACCCTTAGATAGACAGACAGGTTTCAGTACATTATCATTCCACACCCTACCTTGTGCACTCGCAACGATTTATGATCCTTCTCTCCACACCCTCGTAACAGATCGATACCCTTCGTTGATATCGTTGTTACAGTTGCCGTCTTTCATCCCCAAAGTATGTGAGCAATTCGTCCATGCCTGGTAACCTGTCTACTGGTGCTTTGGTCTCGACGTCTGTTGTCTTCGAATATGACTCGCAAAGAGTCTTCAGGGTCCTGATCTGCCGATTGTAGAAACCGCGTGGTTTGCCAAAGTCGGCGAGTCCAATCGAGGCCGGATCTATTCGATGAAGCCGTGCCAGCGTCTGAACAGCTTCTTTCCACCTTCTCATAGTCAGAATGAGTCACTTGAGATTGTCTATCATCTTGAATTGCTTGCAAGGCGGGGCATCAACGAGAACAGCGGAAAATGAATTGTCTCCATGAACAAACATACATTGCATTTCTTTCATCGGCTGATACTCTAGGTATCTAAGCATCCTGGAAGATGCGTCCGTCTAAAAACTCCATAATGTAGAACGGTGTTCCAATCACATTGCTGTCTCCACAAAGGCAGTAAATTTTGGGTGCTGGGATATCGGTGCCGTTCAGGGCACGAATAACTCGATACTCGCGCTCAACTTGATGTGCCGCCTTTGTGAGTAGCTTCCCCGGTGGCTTCTTGCAAAGTACAAAATATTGTCCTTTGCCATCGGTAAGTTTGGATGTTGGGTTGGACTGTCCGAATCCGAACTGCAGGTTGGTATGAGAGTCAGAGATGTCCCTTGTCCGGACCGGAAACAGGCATTCATTGAAATCCTACCTGCTGGATCTCTACCGGGACCTGAATCTCGGGAACATGTTGTTTGAGATAACTGTTCCAAGGGCTTTTTATCGATCGGCTGTCGCATTGTATGGACATATTGGTCCTCTTAGCGGAAGAATAACTTCCGAATTTCTACCGCTCGCTAGATGTGCCTCGGATGTGGGTGCTCTATCCATTCACAGCCGGTGTTGCAGACTGCTTTGTTGATGCTTCTACGAAATGGCAGTAACTAGACTAAATATAAACTGACGCATATACGAACATTATGATTCATTGCATTCCCAGAGCAACAGCCACCTCCCTTACTATGTACTTCTTGTTCTTGAACATTCAAGTTCTAAGGCTGAGGCATGTTCAAGTCAAAATCAGCAGCAGTTGTTGCCCTCATCAAATAGAGATACCTATACCCTATACCCATGCCAATTTAGACACTCTCGTCGCATTCCTTGGTGGCTCCGACATTCTCGTTGACGACGGGTGTGATGGCCTTTCCTATGTCGTGCTCGTGAGTTATGATGTTGTGTGTGGTGTGATCGATTTCAATATCGTGTAGATAGATGGCAACCTCGTCGGCGTCACCAAAGATTGCAGCAATTTCTTCAAGAGGCACGCCCTTGGTATCGGGAAAGAAGAACAGCATGATCAATCCACCAATGGTTCCAGGGATAATGAATACGAGGTAGAACTTCCAACCAATATTTCTTTGAAGAGTAAGCAAACCAGATTTTAAAAATTTGACTATACGTGGCACTTACTTGAAGGCAGTTGGTGCTGCTTGGAGCCACATAGTATTTGTGAGAGAAATCATGGCGACTCCCAGACAGACACCTTTGGCTCTGATATGGCTAGGGAACAGCTCATTAAGGTAACTAAATTGTGTGCCTTGCGGATGTTAGTCAATCCGAGCCATTTAATGGAGTTGCAGAGTCCACCGTCAAGACAGAACCCGTAGAAGATCTGGTAGATGAAAAGCATCGCCACAGCCGCAAGGAGAGCTGAATGATTGTCGGAAGGCACGAATTCTGCAACCAGTGCCGCCTCGATGATGAGAGTGGCCATACATCCTAACACGCCGAATGCCATATACCGATTTCTTGGGAATAGATCGACTGTTGCCATGGCCATAATGTTAATTCCCAGGGTGAGAGTGAGCCATGCCGCTGGATAGAGAAGTTGTTTGACGGGGCTGAATCCAAGATTCGCATATAAAGTCGGCCCATAATCTGATCCAATGTCAGTCTAGCTACCAAAAGAATTTAGGGGCTTGTGCTTTACTGTTGATGACCAACACTCCAGAGCATTGAATAATGAATGTCGTTCCCATTGCAAGTAAGCATCGTTTTCTATAGGACGGCTTCTTGATCATGTGCATCCACGTGTTACCCAGAGTCTTATCAATGGCAATTTGTTTTTGGATCTGATAATATTCGGCATTGGCGAACTCATTGTCCGGGTCGCTTGGATCAGAGTGCAACTTGAAGAGAATCTGCTTCGCTTCCTCGATGCGGCCCTTCATGATCAACCAGCGAGGCTATGGATTTCCGCATTGTCAGTTTCGCATATGGGAATTTGAGAAGATAACGTACCGATTCTGGGACCCAATAGATGCCACAGAGGAGGAAGAGAGGCCAAGCGCATTGAAGAGCGAGAGGGGGTCTCCACGTAGCCGAACCTCCGTCCCAGAAATAGAATCCAAAGCCAACCCATCCTTGAATGGTATAACCGAGGATAAGAAAAACGGCATGAAGGTCGACCAGTGCTCCTCTCAAATCGACGGGCACAACTTCAGACATCCAAATCTGCCAGATGAAAGTAAGGAACTGCTACCAGTAAAATTGAATAGTCGTACCGGAACAGCAGCGAGGATCATGAACGCCGCGGCTCCCGCGAAGAAGCGAAAGAGCAAGAACTCGCCGATATTAGTGCCGCCCGCTAAGAAGGCTCCCGAAACAAGGGCAATGATCGCCGGCTATATCGAATTGTCAGCTTGAACAATGGGCGAGCATCAGCTCCACTTGCCACCGCGATTGCCCATTTCCGACCCCAGCGGTCGGCGACGTAGGGAAGCATCAGAGTACCCAGAGTGCCACCGGTCTGGAACAGGCCATTCATAGTACTTAGCAAGTCGGTCCCATTGCTTCTAGTAGCCAGGGCGAAATATTCGATGAAGGATGGTTGACCTGTCTTGGTTGACTTCGTTAGCCTTGGTGAGTTGAATCAAAAGGGTGTTGCGCACCCAGAGTTGTGCCAATAATTGAGGCTGTGTAGCCATAGGTCATCGACCCAAAGCCGATAAAACACAACAACATCACATTGTATGCATTGATTTTTTGCTTCTTGAGACCCTCGCGGTGTAGCATTTTAACAGCTTCTGGTATTGTGTGCTTGTGCGTGAACGCTGGAAATTTGAGAGGTATAACTCGCCTGTGGCTGGGACCGGTGCTCTTAAAAGGATTTTCATGCCGAGATTACCGGAGGTGTAGCACCCCGGCCGGCCTGGAGTAGGTCCCCGGTCGACCGCTCGATGTGGGGAAATTCAGGGATCTCCGTGGAGGGAGAAGTGTCCGACTCGCCCTCATGCGAGTCAGCAGGACTACACACCAATTGAACTGAGCAAACCATAGGTTGCGATCAGTGTCAGAATGCCCTGACACTCTTTCCGAAGACAGCGCAATGCATGAGTCGACAAAAAGGTCGCTGACCAGCAGAAATTAACAATTCTACAGCATTGAAGGATTCCGAACTCGCATTTCTATCATGTCCGACCTCAACCTTCCATCGTGGAAAGATCTGCCCCCCGTAGAGGGCATGCCCCATGGTTGTGCCTGGGGTTTATTCGACAAGGACGGTGTTCGAGACGAAATTGGCACATTAAATCTCCTTACTCCCGCAACGGTCGTCAGGGCCCGGGAAGAGATCCGGACTGGGAAAAGTGTCGTTCTGAAGTACGGAATGCAGCTTCAACCTAAGTTCTGATGAACAATCTGCTGACCCGTGTAGTTGGCCCATTGACCATGTTCATGAACCAGGATTTGGCCGGATCAAGCCTGTGGTAAACATCACTGATTGGCGAACTAAAGGCTCTCCCTGGTATTCGTACGATGATGAGATTAGTATCAATACTCAGTCTGGAAGCCAGTGGGATGGTCTAAGTATACAATCCAGCAAGAAGCCTGCCGATATTTGAGCTGATGTCCGTTCGCTAGGACACTGGGGTCATAGCGGCACAGGGCTGTACTATAATCGCATACACCACGACGAGCTTTTGCGAACAGACCGCATTGGGATTGATCGTAAGTGATGCGTGTACGCATTTATTCTAACCTGGTGTTTAACCTTGCTCTGAAGACTGGAGCAAACGCGGAGGTATCGTCGGCAGAGGCGTCCTCCTCGATTATGTTGCCTATGCAGCTCGACACAACATCAAATACCATGCTATGACCCGGCACCGAATTACCTTGGACGTCCTGAAGGATATTGCCAAAGAACAGAACGTGACCTTCCATCCCGGAGACATTTTACTCGTCAGGTCGGGTTGGATACGCTGGTACAACGAGCACAGCCCGGAAGAGCGGGTGGCCAAAGTCAAGAATGGATCGGAATATGTGGGTGTTGAGGGATCAGAGGAAGTAGTGCAATGGCTCTGGAATTCTCATTTTGCAGCTGTCGGTGGCGATGCCATTGGGTTTGAAGCGTGGCCACCACAATTGCCGTGGTGTAAGTCAACCTCTGAGCCATGATTCTTCGTTAAGTTGCCTCCCCTGACACAACTTCACCACTTAGGTCTGCACGATTTTATCCTTGCACTCTGGGGCATGCCTCTTGGCGAATTATAGGACCTAGAAACGTTAGCGGCTGAGTGTGAGAATCACAGAAGATGGAGCTTTTTCATCACTAGTTCTCCCCTTAATACTCCAGGAGGAATTGCCAGTCCTCCTAACGCGATAGCTATATTTTAGCAATAGTGTGAAGACGGTCATTCCTAAGACGCATAACACTCGTTCTAACTAAATCTACAGTGACCATCGCTGAAGAGGTTCTGTTTGTGTGTTGGAGGAGGTACTTTCGAAGAAAGGTTAAGAGAATAATGACCTCGCTTGGCTTAGGGAATTCAAGACCATTCATTGAGTAAACACCGTAGTTGTAAGAGTAATTTTAGTTAACAGCCGGCCAAAATTGGGCAAGTCAGGAACTAAATGGCATCGAAAGAACACCTGATTACACAACATTCGCGGGGGAGAACCTTGAGAATGACAATGGCAATAAGGAACATTTCCACGGATACTAGCTAAAATTGCTCATAATACCACAAGGATGCATAGAGTAAGCAGCTCGTCAGCATGGCACGAGTCAGAGTGTTTTTGGAAGCCTACGGGGCTAGTACTGTAAAACTTGAAACTGAGGATCTCGGAGAACATCTAGCCCCCCGGGCCGGAGACCATTACCCGTCACGTTTCACCCAGATTTTGTGGCGTCTACACTCTTTGTGAATTGATGACTTCCTCCCTGTAGATTCTAAGCACCTGCCATTATGTCGACAGTCACCACACCCAATAGACGGCTGAAGCTGCTCACTGGGCAGGTTGCTCAACCTCCAATCATCGATGAGGGGACATATAAAGGAATGCCCCGGGTTGCTCGAAGGGCTGGAGATTCCCGCCTGAGATACACAATATCTCTCCAAATTATCCTATGTATGGCCACTAGTCAAAGATGGCCTGATAAGGCGTCATGCTAGGCGAGTAAGAGGCAAAGTTGCCATCATCACCGGGTGCAATTCAGTACTGGGAATGGGCCGAGCAATTTCCCACCAGTACGCCAGAAATGGTGCTCGAGCGGTCTACATCTGTGACTACGCGGATGACTACCTGCAGCTCCATGTGGAGGAGTTAAATGAACTCTATCCAGAGGTGGATATTCATGCCCGAAAGTTTGACGCAGGAGACGAAGACGGGGGTCAAGGCTGTTGTGGCCCATGCTTTGGAGACTTATGGGCGCCTAGACGTATTCTTTGCAAATGCAGCAAATTCGGGGACGTGGAAGGAAGTTTGGAACACAGAAGTCAAGGAGTTTGAGCAGACGATCAGGACGAACCTGACCAGGTAGGTTTACATCCCTCCTTCCGTCTTGTGCCTGAGGACGGAAAGCCCAGATCTTGAAGCCTGTTGCCTCTGATCAAACATCTAATAAAATGATGATCACAGTGTCTTCATAGCCATCAAACATGCTGGTCCGGCAATGCAGGTCACCAGCAAAGACAAACCCTACTCCAGTGGCTCTATCATCGCGACTTCGTCTACCGCAGGTCTTCGTTCGAATGGAGGCAGCACTGATTACAGCGCTGCGAAAGCTGCAGTAGTGAGCCTCGTGCAAACTGCTTGTTATCAGTATGCTGGCCGCAACATCAGATGCAATGCCATTGCACCAGGAATGACACACTCTGGCATGACAGAACCGGTGTTTTATAGTCCGGCGCGAGAGAGAGGTACGCTCCATAAAGTTGGACAGCTATGTCTTCTTCGTCGTGGCGCAGTGGCAGATGAGATTGCAAGAGTTGCATTATTCCTGGGCAGTGATGAAGCCAGCCATGTCAATGGCCAAGTCTGGGCAGTGGACGGTGGCCTGAGCTCTGGTTTGCCTTATAAACTGGGTAGTATGGCATGAATGATTATTGCATGATGTTTATGGTTTGACATTGGACTCGACAATAACGTATCTCTAGAATTAGCTGGGTCTGAAATATCATCACGCTGTATGTCTTCTCGCTTTGATCGACCCAGAATCTCAAATCACAGCTTCGATCGGGAATTTACCATTGCCAATGCATCCCTCTTGGCCCATTCCTTCATGACTTTCCGTTCAATTTTACCACTGGCCAGGCGAGGCACCTCAGGTACAAACGCGACGCCTCCAACCAGACGCTTATGTTTCGTTACTCGAGCGTTGAGCCACTCTCGAATCTCCTGCTCGCTAATTCTCCCTTGGGACTCCTCCTTCGGCAGCACGTACGCTCTAGGCCATTCGTTGTCTTCCAAAGTAATGCCGACAACACCAGCATCGGCAATATCAGGGTGCTCTAAAAGAGACGCCTCCACTTCTGCGGGCGACACTTGTAGTCCCTTCACCTTGATCAATTCCTAAGACGGCCGAGTCAGCTTTGAGTTCCAAAGGGTCAAGGGCATCGTGGATAGTACCTTCTTCCTATCAACTATATACATCCATCCCTCGTGGTTCATCACTGCCACATCTCCGGTCTTTAACCATCCATTGACAGGATCAAATGAGTCGAGTGTCGCCTGTTTATTTCTCCAGTATCCGAGACAGATCTGTGGGCCGCGAACGTAGAGTTCTCCACGCTCCCCGATACCTGCCTCCTTGCCTTCCTCTGTAATCATCTTCACCTCAGTGTTGGGCATGACCACTCCAACGGAACCAGTCCGATGCTTCTCATAGTATGGGACTCCAGTCGCAGCACACGTCGTCTCGGTCATACCCCAGCCCTGAGTGATTCGGACGTTGAACTTATTGGATACGCTAGCTTCAAGGTCTTTCGAAAGGGGTGCAGCTCCACAAAGAATCTCCTTGACACTACTTAGATCGTAGTTGTCGGTCTCGGGCCTCTTATTCAACATAATTAAAATAGGGGGCACTGTTTGAAGTCGGGTAATCTTATGGTCCTGAATGATTTGAAGGTATTTGACGAACTCAAATTTGCCGATGATGAGTATAGGGATGTGGTTGATGGTTGCCATGAGGATAGCATAACATTGTCCATAGGCATGATAAAGGGGCAGAAAGCCCGCCCATTTCTCTGAAGGGTCGAAGTCGTAGAGAGATTTGATCTGCTTGACATTCGAGATTGCATTAAAATGAGATACACAGACGCCTTTTGGCAACCCAGTAGTTCTAAGTCTTTGTCAACTTCAAATGCAAGCATGTTAGGGTCAAGCGAAATACCCGGATGAGAAGTTGATGGCCGCGATCGTAGTCTGTGCTTCTTCTGGACTGAGGCTTCTCCACCGCCACGACTCACCTTGCTCTGGTGTCCCAAGAATGATGCGCCAGTCCGGAAGACCCTCCAAGGAACCTGTCTCACGGCTTGAGAAAATGTATAATTGCAGACCGGGAACAGCAGATCTGGCAGCGGCGGCTTTCGCAGTCGAGGCCAAACTCGGATGCACAAGCAGAATCTTTGGCTGGAGAGCTGTGATCTGATATTCCAGTTCTTGATGTTAATTATCAGTCCGAGCTTCATTTCCTTGAGCGATACGTTGCCATGCGTGTACCCACCAGTTTCAGTAAATCCTGGGTTGGCTCCAGAGAAAACAGCACCAGCACCCACAATCCCAAGGTATGACACTGGAACCATAATATGGTTAGGTGTGAAGAGTAAGCATCTGTCGCCTAATTGAACTCCTAGCTGGTGAAGACCAAAACCAAATCGCTTTGCCAGAGTCAATGCACTCTTCGGGGAATGCCAGTGAGATGTATCTGTAGCATCTAACCAAAGTGGTTTGTCGGACGGGGTTTCATTGGCGGGAAAGAGGAAGTCCAGAATGCTACATCTCTGCAGGTACAAAGACTCGAGCTTGGAAACGAAAGGCATCTTAGACGCAATGAATGGCGGAAGGAAGGAATAGAGTCTAACACGGCGTCAGCACAGTCGCGGCTGAAGTTGTGTGTAAAGGTCAAGATCAACACATACATTTGGCGGGACCTCGTTTGGTGTTGGAGCATTGCTTGATTCAGCCAAAAGTTTTTTTTTGAGGGGGGGTGGAGTTATGATTGGCTGTACATTAAGAGACAAATCAGAAATGTCGACGTCGCATGCATCGACGTCGCGTCCACCGAGGTGTCTGCCTTTGCTGAGGTGATCTCCGTGACTGACTAAGTTACTTCAGACACCCATTCGAAGTCTCAAAGCCAATGATTTTGCTGCTCTATGGGCTTGGTACATTGTTCAGAAGAAGACTCATGGGCAATTTTTCTCTTTTGTTGGTTTGACTGCTATTACAGAACAACAGAAAAAGCGCCATGAATACCATCCCGGATCACCCATCTCTAGCCCGGATTCCCCCAGGGTACAGGACAAAACTGAGCTCCAAAGCAGTTGATATTATTGCGAGAGTACATGACTGGGTCGAAAATGAATGCATTCCGGCAGACCACATTGTCAAGGCTCAGCTGGAAAAGAACCGTTGGGCTATGCCGCCCTATATTAAGGATTTGAGGGAAAAAGCAAAAGCAGCAGGGTTGTTCAACCTCTTCCTACCTAATCACTTCAAAGAGAGTCCCGGCCTTACGATCCTCGAATACTCATGTTGCTGTGAACTTCTCGGGCGAGTTTACTGGGCTCCAATGGTAAGTGAGAGAGAGCGACTAGCTTACCCTAGCACTTACTGAAACAGAGCGTAGACCCTCAACTGCCACGCTCCAGAGACTGGTAACATTGAGCTTTTGGCCAAATACTGCACTGAAGAGCAGAAGAAGAAGTGGATGCAGCCACTTCTTGATGGAGAGTGGTCTTCAGCCTACTCAATGACAGAGCCTGATGTTGCTGCTTCCGACGCGACAAATATTGGATGTCAGATAAAACGCGAGGGCAATGAATTTGTGATCAACGGCAGGAAGATGTATGGCAATTGGATAGCGAATGAGGACGTCAAGTTCTATATCGTCATGGGTTGTTCTAATCCGGACAATCCTGACCCTTGGAAGCGACACTCGATGGTGATTGTGCCCAGGGATACGCCAGGATTGAAGAAGGTTCGGTATATGACAATCATGGGGTACGACTGTGCCCCTGAGGGGCATGGGGAGTATGTGTATGAGGACGTGAGGATCCCTGTGGAGAACGTCATCTTGGGTGAAGGCAGAGCCTTTGAAATCGCTCAGGGTCGACTGGGTCCAGGAAGAATACACCACTGGTATGTTGGCCTAATGTACGCTTCCTTCAAACTGATGTTGTTGCAGCATGCGACTGCTTGGGCAGGCTGAGCGTGCATATGAACATGCACTCATCAGAGCGACGGATGTGAGAAAGAAACCTCGGGGCAAATTGATCGGTGAATTTGACAGCAATATCGAACGGCTTGCCGACATGCGGATGGAGATCGACACACTCCGGCTGGTTGTTTTGAATGCTGCAGAGACCATGGACCTAATAGGTAACGTTGCCGGAAGATATGCCATTGCTCAGGCGAAGATCATGGTACCTCTGGGGGTGACGAAGATCATTGATGAATGCATGCAAATGTTTGCTGGCCAGGGTCTTACGCAGCACACATTCCTTCCAGAAGCGGTAATACCCCTTTTTATCCGACATTACACTCAGATTTTTCCAGCTCGCCCTAACTGTTGTTCGCAGTGGACATATGCTAGATTCGTTCGAATAGCAGACGGGCCAGACGCTGCCCACAGGCATCAAGTCGGTCGAGATCAATTGAAGACGGCAGCACAAGTCAGACTGAAGCATCTCGAATACAGGAAGCGATATCGTCAATTGGCGAAGGAATGGGGAGTGCCGGCTACAGAACGATTTGAATATGTCGAGCGTATGGAGAAGTTATAGGCTGTTTCAAAGGTTCGTGGCCTTTCGACTTTTGTTTGTAGGTAGCATTGCGGTAGTCAACCAAAAGCAGTGGCTACATGAGGCTATAAGCTCCAAACCTCGAAGACTTTTGGATGATCGGGGTTTCCCTGAGAGAGAATGCGAGGCCGGAGCTCACGGAAATTCCTCGCCAACCGCATCGACCAGCCGATCACTCGGAATAGTCGACCTCGAAGCCTACCATAACAGTGGCTGCGGGGGAATATTGATCTCTGCTTGATCTCGGAGGAGGCCATCCAGACGAATCCGAGGGCCGAGGACCAACTGGCCAAGGCTTGGACTACCCCGCATCTACTGGGTAGATGGTCCTGGCGCTGAACTTAGAATAAGCCACAGGAGAGGTTCTTATTTCCTTTGCATTTTATCACTAAATTAAACAAGTACATCACATGATCACTGGGCCTACCTGGGAATAGCCTGGTGGTGAAGACTCTCTTCTACTCCCCTCCGCCTGCACTTGTACTACTCTTCTTTGCTCGCTTCTGAGACAGCCAACCGACAACATTTGCTATTCTAGCAATCAGTTCAGAGCCATTATACCATTTTCTTTCCCTTCCTGACTAGGTACAAACTTCTGAAAATCGGTCATCAGTGGTAGAAGCCATGTCAACTGAAGCTCTCGCCGTACAGCCGCAAGCGTCAAACCGCAGGTCTCGACAAATTAGTGACAAACGACGCGACAAGAAACGCGTGGCCGATCGACTATGTCAACGCCAGGCACGAGCCCGCACGAAGACCAAGATCGCCGAGCTAGAGTCTCTGCTGGCACGCCTGACAAACCAGTCAGGTAACGAAGTCTACGGGCAGTTGAGGGAGCAACTCGAGAAGTCTCGCACCGAGTGCCAGTCCCTAAAGCGAAAACTCACAACAATCGCAACACTCGCTCGAATCAACATGGATGAAGACCTAGATGCACGGCATGACGCACCCGATAATGGTAGGCTGCAACGGCCAGGTGTTGTTTGGGGATCTAATAATCACTTGCAGGCCATTCTGATTTCTCCCCCGAGCAAGACAAGTCTCCCACGGACGATCTAGAAACAAACGATCCATCTGTGCGCCACCCGGAAGGTACTTCGTGTAATCTTCATAGACCACTTGACCTTGATTTCCCAAACGACGATAACCCCAGCTTCAATTTTTTGGATGGCATTCTAGACTTCGAAAACCTCGATCAACCAGGATTAGCGGCATCATCCCTTCGGTCCGAAGTGATGGGAGGCACCAATAACTTTGCAGCGACAGCCACTTCAATCGAACTCTCCTTTCCAGAAAGCCGGTCGTCGTGCACGTGCGTCCATCACAGCCCAGCTCTGGATCAGGCCAATATGTGGTCGTCCATGAGCCAGACGTTAATGGATTGGAAAACCCATCACTGGGCTCAACTGAAACCTGGTGAAAACCATGACGATATTGCAGTACGGGCCGTTACAGAAGGCTGGGACGCTCCGTCTCTTGGGAACTTGAGTATTTCATGGCGAATCCTGCTGCAAGTTGATCAGAAGGTTTGGGCCAACTGCCGGCCGGTGGACCGCCTGGCCGTTCTCAGCATCATGAACATGCTCCTGCAAGTACGGAGGGGTTCAGCGTCATAATCAAGACGTGTCTAACGTGGCGATACAGTGCCATCTCAACCCTTCGGAGGAAAATCTATCAGGGCTCCCTGCTTGGTACCGACCAAGGTACTAATCCTAATCTCTACTCCTCTCGCTCGTTTTCTTGTCACAACAGCGCTGATCACCGCATAGACCGTCACAAATGGCTCAAAAACATGCCTATGCCATCGACTTCTTTGTTTGGTATGTGACAATCGAGCGACACCATACAGCATTGGCTGATCTCATTTCTAGGCCTGGCATCCGTGAGCGATTCATCTACCATCAACATAAATATTGTTCCGATAGGTTTTGGTCCCTCCTAGCACAACATTTCCGTTTCGTCTGGCCATATGATCTCCGCGACTGTTATGCACATAACCGATCGACTGGCAGGTATCAACTCTCAGAGCTGTTCCGCCGTCATCTCGGCGACCTCTCGTCCTTTACTTTTTGTAAAGATATGTTCAATAACTTCCCAGAATTTGAATGCGACATTCCAAAGTATATGACTATTCCACAGAGCTTGCATCCCTATCCGGGTTTCAATCAGCTCAGCAATGAAATAGCCAGAAAAGAGCACGATAAGACGCCTGGAACTCAGGGACCGATTGACGTTGCTCCAACGCCTTCGAGCCGCTTGCAAGGCCAATGGCGGTATCTACCACAAGAATCACAAGACGGCATCACGAAAAACGACGGCCAAATGTCATGGCCCCTGCCACTCCACGTCGATTCATTTTTCTCGTAGGATGTGGGAAAATGGAACGTGGATTTGTGCAGCGAAGGGTCAAGATTGATGGGACCATGTGACTAGCCAGCTAATCTGCACCTGGTCAGTGGGATGCCACGAGAGCCATAGCTGAGGCACAGAGCGGTATTTAATCTCGTTCTAACTGGACGCGAACATTTTCAGGTTAATATTCTCAGAGGGACGCTTGAAGTTCTTGAAACGATGTTCTCACCTCTGGCATGCTCCCCGCACCTGGTCCGATCAATACATTATCACGTTAGAGACGACCAAAAATTTAGCCGTTGTCACTGTTGAGATCTGAAATAAAAGTTCACCAACGCTGGGAAACAATACAAGTTCACGGCTATCAAACACGAAGTACGAAGGTCGACAGATTGATGGTCGACTGTGTAGCATCCAACGTTCTGTGAGACCACACTTTCTTGCCCCCATTTAGATGGGCTTTGCCAAAGCTGGCTTGAGTACCTATTTCACCAACGTCGAGAATACGGAAAAACAAGAGCGTATGTTGCGCTCCGGGTTTGGCAACCATACAAAATTGTGCGGACCACCGGATTTGGCTAATTGAAGCCGTTGAACAGTTGAACGGTAGTATTGAAGAAATGGGCTGTATCACCATTAACAGGCAACAATGATGACGTACGCTCGTTAGATAGGTATATAGATAGGCTCTATTCTGCACTCATTAGGGGAGCCAGAGCACTCTTTCAATCTGTCAAACTTCTTGTACAACTTGAGTTGAAGGAGTGCTCTGTTCTTTCCTCCAACTAGATCCTATATCACACGTTTGTATAGGGAACGATCGTTGCCATCTTTCGGCATGTTCGTACTCAGCTCACAGACGAAATCCTTGTCTGGCTGAATACTCATTGCCACGCTGAAAGTGTTGCCACATATTGTCTCACAGTTCAACAGAAAAACAAGGTACATTATAGCCTGTCCGGGTGGTCTGTGAGTAGCGATAATTCCTCACCGCTCAGAATATCTATTCGATTTCGATGATATACCTGCTATTCGGTGGTGATGTCAGGACCAACAAAGAAAGCATTGGCCACGGCTATCTTATATGGCAATTGATATCCTGTCAATTCCTGCCATGAGTGACGAACCAGAGCGAGTTTTTTGGGGAGCGCGCCGTACGGTCTCGTGGGAAAGGGCGCAGCTAGGGGCGGAAACCATCGAGAAGGTCGAGTGTTTAAAGTACTGGGAACAAAGCGGTATTACAGATGAGCACCTCGAGATAGTTAATTAAATCTCTTATATACCTGCAAGGGCTGGGAGTTGTTGTCAAACGGATCTATAGTAATTACCGATAATCGATCGTCGATAACCAATTATCGATCGAGTCGTTATCGGCTTATCGAAAACCGCGCTGTCTGTGAGGGTTTAGGGTCGAGGATTTAATCAATGTATTCCAGCCAACATCTAGATCTAGGTAGAAACATTATCCTAGCGGAGCGTAAGCGTAGTTAGTATTAGTTAGCTGCAAAAGTCAAGCTGATTGGTTGAAGCCAAATCCGGCCTGTTGATTGGTCAAAGACGATGGAAACATCATGTGGTAAGGCTTGACGGTGTCACGTGAGGACGCTGACGCCGCCATCGGATCCAGTCCGTGGACCATGTGCCCGGGGAGGGGAGCACCCTACTCGATAGATGTCGATATCGACGTGATACGGTTCTCTCAGCGATGTGCTTCACGAATCGTGCTGCGATGGGTCCCTAAATACACAGACACTCTGGGTAGCGAATTGGCACACAAGCACGCGCAGAAAGCGACAGAACTAGATCGAGACATCCCCCCAGCAACTATGGTAAAGTCGGCCGCTCTACGAGAAGGGGACACACTCCTAAACGTTGAGAGAACCCGGTTCGAAACCAGCCACGAGGGTCAATATACGAGGCAGTTGGATCGCGCCTTACCAGGCACGCACACACGACGAATCTATAACGGTCTAAAACGGGATGAAGCTCAAATCGTGGCACAGCTACGCACGGGGAAAAGTCGTCTCAATAGGACCCTTTACAGCATTGGGACGGTAGACACGAAGTTATGTGAATGGTGCCAACGACCGGAAACAGTGCGACACTTTCTTGTGGAGTGCTCACGATGGACAGGCAACCACGAGATGGTGCGATGTGTCCTATCTCCTCGGAGGTTGGTTCAACGAAAGGTTAGACGGCCCAAGAGACCAGTGGAAGGCGAATATGAAGGTTATCCGTGCAGTGATTGAATTTGCGAAAGCCACCGGACGACTGCAAACGAACTCATGAGAGAGATGGCTGCCCCAAAGGAGAGAGCTGCACCGTTGAACGACCAGTAACACTCAGGAAAGCGCTCTTGACGACCGGGTTGAAAGGGGCAACAGTCTTGAAAAGGCGAGGGATCTAGTTAACAGCCGGGCCCAAGATGAACCGGTGGAGAACGGAGGTAGCGCGTAGCAATTACCTAGTCCCCTATGGGCTTAGCCCGTACAGGGTGTATGAATATCGTATCGTATCGTATCGTATCGACGTGATACACGCCTCGGATCCAGTCTGTGGACCACCCAAAGAAGCTCTATTGATCACACTCTGTGAGGGTTCGAGGTCAAGGATACAATAATGTATTCTAGCTAACATCGAGTTCTAGGTACAAGACGTAGCACGAAGAGAGTCAAGATGGGATGCTACGCAGGAAGTGCTTGAAGAACCCCCGATTATGTAATCCTTGGCATGTAGTCCCGTGACACACTCGACATAGTTCATGGATTAGATCCGAAGAGACACCACCTCCATCGGATCCAATCCATGGACTATGTGGCCGAGCAGGGCTGGGGACACTGTATTGTTGTGCCGAGAGAAGATTGATTGAATGAATCTGTCTGAGCGAGGTGCAAGCTACAAAAAGGGGCGCCGAAGGGTGTGGTGCACGTGACTAGGCTAAGCCCAATGTGGACTGCCAACATGTATGGTGTCGGCCTCGACATCTAGATGGTGCTTAGATCGGATCTTATAATATACCACCGCCATCGGATCCAATCCGTAGTCCAAATGGCCTATAAACGCTAATGGTCCTGTCGAACAGGGGGCTATAGGCTCCACCATTGAAACGCTAGTGAGAGATTACCATGAACAACGCTGATGGTTGTTACTCTGCGCGACGACGAGGTGTTCGTATGTCTATAAAGAAACCCTCAGCAACTCAACAAGTAGAGAGAGAACAGAGCGCTCCTTCACCTCAATTTGCACAAAGTTTGACAGGTCTCTACACAAACGGGGTCGACGACAAGGTTTTGCGACTGCAAGACTATTTATTGTAACAACAGTACTAATAGAGGGGTGTGAGGAGAGGGATCATAAATCGTTGCGAGCGTACAAGGTAGGGTGTGGAATGGTAATGTACTGAAACCTGTCTGTCTATCTAAGGGTTCGAAGGCTCTTCTTATACCTTCGATCCGTTCATCTTCCTGCCTCCTTTCCAACGCCCAGCCCCCTTCCTGCCACCTTTGCAGTGGCTGAGAATTCGTGGCGTGATGGGTGTTACAACTATCCCCCCTTCTAAGGCTTGCGTCCGCGCGAGCCTTTAGAATCGTTGTCAAAGCGTCCTAAGTTCTTGTCGGAGCGTATCCTAACTTCGTCGCTTTTGTTTTCGAGACTTCTCGAAATCCTGGACTAACTCTGGTGCATTTATATCGTTCTCCGGCACCCATTGGTTATATTCCGAGGGCCACCCTGTCCATTTGATGAGATAGTGGAGTTTCCCTTTCATCATCCGTTTGTCTCGAACTTCTTCGACCTCGTATACGTCCGGGTCGTCCTCGAGTTCGGGTATAGGTAATACCTCCTGTCGATCTCTAGAATGGCATTCTTCGAGTAGTTGGATCGGGAATACATCGTGAAGTTTCGAATACTGTTTAGGTAGTGCCAGTCGATATGCTTGCGACCCTATTACCTCCGTAATTCGAAAGGGTCCAACGAATCGAGGCTGGAGTTTCTTGTCTCGAAGCTTTAGATTTCGTGTCGATAGCTTCACTAGACTACCTCTTTTAAAGGCCTTTGGGGTGTGCCTTTGGTTGTAGTATTCGATCTGCCGTTGTCGTGCCACGTTCAATTGGTCTCGTAGACCTTGCCTTAGCTCATGAAGCTTTCGAATGCGGTCCTTTGCCGCGGGTATCTCTCCTTCCGAAGCATCGTCCGCGATGTCCACGTGGAATTCGGGGTCGTAGCCATAAAGAGCCTTAAATGGTGATATTCGCAGCGTATGATTCATGCTGTTATTATACGCAAATGCCGCTGTGGGTAGTAGTCCTGCCCAATTTATCCGTTCGAGGCTCGTGAATGCTCGAAGATATCCTTCGACTATTCGATTGAGGACCTCTGTTTGCCCATCGGTCTGTGGGTGGAAAGCAGTAGACATTCTTCGTTTGATGAAAGAGTAGTGGCATATTTCAGCCCAGAACTTACTGGTGATCTTCGAATCTCTGTCCGATACGATACCACTAGGGCATCCGTATCGAAGTTCTACCTCTCGATGAAGTAATTCAGCCATCTCTGCAGCGTCGATAGTGTCTCGAACAGGTAGAAATATTGCCATCTTGGTGTATCGATCCACCACTGTTAGAATAGCATTATATTCTTCCGTCCCCACTCTTACTACTGGTAGATGGGTGATGAAGTCCATCGATATCTCTTTCCATGGCCTACTAGGCTGTGGTAAAGGATCTAGTTGCCCGTATGGCTTGTGTCTTGGGGCGGTATTTCCTTGACAAACAGGACACGTCTGGACGTATTCTTCGACGTCCTGTCTCATGCCCTCCCACTTGAACTTCCTCTGAAGGAGTTCGAGGGTCTTTTGGACACCCCAGTGTCCTGCAGACTTCTCATCGTGGTGTAACCGAAGAATCTCGTGCACTAGACTCCGTTGGTTAGGGACCAGTATTCGGCCCTTGTACAGCAACATTCCATCGCTCGTACGGCCATATTGCGGTCTCGTAGAGTCACCTTCTCTGAGGTCCTTGTCTACTCGTTTACAGAAGGCATCTTCCTTCTGGACAGCTGCTACCAACTGCCGCAGGCCTTCCGAAGGCTTCTGCTGTGGTGCTTCGTTTTGGACTGCCTGTCGAGCCCTTTTACGTGTGACCGTCTGTGTCATCACGCATCGAATGAGGTGATCAGCCTTAACCTCGTCTTCTCGAGGTATCGCGGATGGCTCCTCTGAGCCTGGAGACCCCCTTTTCCGCTGTTCGGACAACACTTGCCGTCCCGACTCACTGTCGTATCCATAGGTCTTTCCAGGTGCCTGTCCTTTCGGTTCTTCAAATCCACAGGGCTTTCTGAGTGTCTGTCGTCTGGCACTTCGATGGTTTTGCATATAGCTCGGCTGTTCGAAGCCTCTCGCATACGAGTCGAAGGTGCTCTGTATGCTCTTCCTCTGTCTTCGAAAAGATCAGAATGTCATCAAGATAGACGATGCAGAAATCATCGACCAGCGCCCTTAGGACTTGGTTGATGTACGCTTGAAAGGCCGCCAGGGCGTTCGTTAACCCGAACGGCATTGCCAAATACTCATAGTGGCCATATCGAGTACGGAACGCTGTCTTCCACTCGTCTCCTGGCTGGATTCGAATACGATAGTATGCATCCCTTAGATCAATCTTGCTGAATACCGTCGCGCCATTTACGCGGTCCAGTATTTCACCCATAAGTGGCAAGGGGTATCGATTCTTGACTGTGATCTTGTTTAGGCCTCGATAGTCAACACAGAGAGTCTTAATCCCCCATCCTTCTTTGGCACGAACAGAATCGGTGACGCAGCTGGACTTTTCGAAGGTCTAATGAAGCCTTTCTCCAGATTCTCTTGAAGGTATCGTCGAAGGACTTCGAGCTCTGCTTGAGATAATGGGTATAGAGGACTATACGGCGGTTCCTGTCCTTCCTGGGTTTCGATGGCTAAATCGATGCCTTCTCGATTCGGCTCCAATTTCTTTGCATTCTGGGGAGAGAAGATATCGACGTATTCCTTTAGGGTATTCGGTACGCCATCCTTACTCTCCGCACTATCACTGGTTTCACGGAGTAGGGAGTTACACTCCACGAGTGCATATACCTTCGGTCCTTTCGTCAGTCTTTTTCTAAACGCCTTAGCTGATTCGACCTTCACGACACGTCGAATATCGTCGTGGTGCGTAGGCAGACGAAACTGCCATTTATTCCCACCATCTCTCTTCGTTCGTAGGGATATATCGATCCCGATTTCCCCTAGCGTACATTCGCCTAGAAGTAACGGGGAGTCCTCTAGCCCTCTGTCGACGGCTAGGAAAGGTTTTCGATACGAACGAGTAACTCCTCGATGGTCAGTCATTGTCACGAGATGCCAAGACGCTCCTTCTTAATTCTGAACTGATGAAAGAAGGCTGACGCATCAACAACTGTTATGACTGCCTTCCCTCGGAGACATTCCACAACATGAGTCTGTAATGGCATAGGGTATGAATCTGGGACGGTAAGTTTGTTGAGAGCTCGCAAATCCACAACCATTCGTCCTTTCGTTTTTCCATCCACTTTTCTCCACACGACAAACAATGAGCACCCAAAAGGAGTGGGTTCCGTGACCCATTCCATCCGGCCTTCTCTATGTAGCTGATCCATAGTTTGATCCGCGAACTCACGGTCCTTAAGTCCTAGTGGGTAGGGTTTGGAGGCAAATTTCTGCTTTTCCCATCCTTCCACAAGCGGGACCGGCATATAGTCTTTCTCTGGTATCGTAATTGGACCTCGATCGATCCAACAATCGCTGTATTTCTCAACACATCGAAGTAAAGCTTGAGCAAACGCGGGATCTTCATTGCAGATGTGGACACCATTGGAAGCAGTGATTTCAGGAATATTCTCGGGTCTTCCGATACCCAAGTTACGAGCGGGTTGCGGTGCTCTCGGCGTTTGGAATTCGGCGCCTTTTTCATCCATTACCACATCACCTTTAGTTTTTGGTGACGTCGCCGATCTATTTCGGGTTTTATATTCTGCTGTCCTTGCCTCCAGGTTCTCCAGTTCAGCCAGATCTTTAGTGACAACAGCACTAAGATCAGCTTCTGTAGACACATTGACGTGGTCAAGATCAAAAGGATCAACAAGATGTGGCCGCAGAAAATAACTATGATCTTCGAACTCTCTGACGTGCCCCAACCGGAACTTACTGGGAATGACCTTCGGGTGGTCTGAGTTATTGGCCACGGTGACGAAATGGACTTCGTCGACAATTGCTGGTTGTGCACCCTCGAAGGCAGGCTCAAACATGAAGCTTCTTGAAGGTGGGAGCTTGACGACGCGGGTTGGAACAGAGCCGACTGAGTGTGGTGCCACCACAGTTCGTTGTGATGAAATGACTTTTCGAGAGACTCTCGGTCCTCTGCGGTGGATGGTAACAGGTACAATTAAAGGAAAACCATCCTGCTGAATAGAATGGAATTCCATTTGGAGTTCTTTGAAGTTGACCGTAGTCATATGTGGGAACAAAAAGGCATTTCCCAAAAGCAATTTGGGCGAAAGATTATCCTTGATCCATGCTTGAACTCGCACTTTGCCCACAGCGTCTCGGCCATTAATCTTTCCGGGGATAAGAAGATCAAATTCTGCAAGTTCTGTAAGGTGCACGACCCCTCCTACTCCTTCAACGGTGGTGGAGGCGCTACGATCGATTTTAAGCCCTGGGATACGAGACACCCACTCACGGTCCACGACTGGACGAGAGCATCCAGAATCGGCACAAACTGGTTCTGGGGTCGCACCATCCTCTCGTTGCACATTGAATTTCATGAAGGTGTAGCCGGTGAGATGGCCTTCATTCTTGAGCCCAATTGGCTTTGCTTTCACGATCTCGCCTTCCAGAACCTTCAAGCAAGGCTCGCGAGGAGTATCGACTTTTTTTCGCTCTTCTTCTCTTGAACATATGTTGGAGTAGATGTGCTTGAAGAGTTGAGTCCTTGATGAGAACCCTGTCTTGCATTTCCGACATGTCAATTCCTTTGTATCGTAGATTGACAGAGCTGTATCGGGTTGGTCATCATTTTGCTCTGGTTCGTACTCAGACGCATCTGCGGGATCCTCTCGTTCAGCGAAAGTGAACTCTTCGGCAAAAACATACCCCTGGTCATTCAATTCCTGATCATATTCCTCACCCGCGGAGAGCGGGACGTCAAGGTAATCCTCATCGGAAAGGTTACCATAATCCGTCTGGCGTCTGAAACGTCTGTATTTGCCGGGACCGTAGTAGTTCTCTTTGTTGCCGAGAACGTTTCGTCCTTTGCCCTTGTCCTGATCTCGTTCTTTTGCCCACCCGGCAGCGATCTGGAGTCGAGGCTTTCCGCTGATGAAGCCTCGCGGCTGGTGTCTGTCAGCATATGAATTCTGTTGAGCAGCAGGGGCAACATTAGGAAAAGGTCGACTTGGGTAGCGATTAGAGCTGCTTCCCTGGTATGGTCGACGGTTGTAGTTCAAGAGCTCAAGCAGCGGACGTAAAGCAGAAAATCCATCGGGAACACGACGCTGATTAGAAAATTGTTCACCTTTAGCGGGTCCGGCTCGAGTCGTTGGCAGCTTCCCCGACTACTGGTATCGCACAGGATACGATTGCTTACTAAATTTTTCTTCCCAAGCGTCTTGCTTATCTCGCAATGTGTCAATGAATTGCCTGACCGTAGTGGTGGATGTTGGTCGGTCAATCAACACTCGAAGCTCCGGGTCAAGATTGTTGTAAGCTTCTGAGAGCAGTACCTCGCAGACAGGTCTGGAGGTTCTTTCGGACAATTTCAGCTCTTCCATTACTGGCATGATCCTTAATCATTTCGGTGAAAAGGAAGACACTTCGCCAATATGTAGCTTGGCCAACCTGGACACATTCCCCTTCACCGAGGGATTCATCAAGATCTGGGTCAAAGAATCCAATGTCCTGGGGTCTCCATCGTGTGTCAGAGACGTGGTCACCTGCATCAGTCACCGCGCTTTCAGGGCTCCTAGATGCTTCTTGTGTTGCCTCTTGCCCACGGGCCTCCAGTGCGTCGGCGATGAGCCGCTGTATCTGCTGGAGAGCAGCCTCAGAAAGCTCATTCGCCATATCGCTCGATGATGATTGTGTTGTCTCTGATGGCTCTCCCAACTCTTCAAGTGCTTCTGAGTCCGTCACCCTCGTAACAGGAAAGTGACTCCCTGATGGAATCTCTAATGATGTTGTATACTTCTTGAATCTTTCTATTGCTCTTCTGAATGAGAATTGACTAACTGTCCAGTCGACCGGAAAGTACGTCTGGCCTCCGGCCTGTGACTGAGCTCTGGTGGCCGTTCGCGGGGTTGTAGGAGGAGGAGTGGGATGCTTGGTAATAACCTTGGAGACTCGATCTCTCACTTCTTGATCGACCAAGTTAGGGTTAACTGCAGCTGACGGGGTCGCGGACAGATACGCGTTGATCTGATGAGCGAGCTTGACGGTGGCTTCTGAGAACAGATCGTCCCGTCTGCTCATGTAGGCGGTTGGATTTCCTGTCAAATGGACAAGATGGATGGAGGAATGGCAGCCCCTCGATCAGATGGATCAAGAAGCCTTTGACGGAAGCGTTGCTACCATTTGTTGGTAGTGGTATTCATTTCTCTCATGATTAATTGTCTAGCTAAGTTCTATTCCTATTTTAAGAGGGGTAGATGTAGCAGCAAGGCAAGAAGGGAAGGAGCGTCTTGGCATCTCGTGACAGTCATCCACCAAGTAGCCCAGTAAGCTCCCTTTGCTTAGTGTCGAACGTTCCCGGCTGACTACCATAGTTTTGGGTACTCCTTGATATAAGGCTTTGGGTCCCGTTGTTTTACAAATTCGACACCTACCGTGTCGATTTCTGCGCACGTATCTAGTGCGATCTCAACGTCCTCGGGGTCGCGATCTCGAACGTTCAGTTTGCCCATTGTGCGTAGGTAATCTCCTGTACGCATTCGAGGCTCTTCTTCAGGGCTAAAAGGGAGCCTTACTCGTTTTCCGAATCTGACGAGTCTGTTAAGTCCCAAGCCTTCTTGGCTAGTCGTTCTTGACCTTCTTTCGACCCTCGGTCGCTTTGACGACGTGAACGCCTGGCTTCTTTTTTTGCTCGACGTCTCCCTTATCGTCCTTTCGAGGATAATGGCTATCCTCCCCCGATGATAGCTAGCAATATGCTCGATGCTTCCACAGATGAAGCAGATTCTCTCTCCTTTGTCATTCTGTCCGGAGGCGAATTCCTTCGGGCCCTTCGACCTCCATGATTTATTCTCGGCCTTCTTCTCGGTCTTATTTTTCGTATTCGAAGAGTGATTTGTGTTTTTCGATGAACTAGATTGCGTCGTCGAGGTCGAACTATTAGCCTTCGACGATATCTTGTTCTCATTCCCGAGCTTCTCTTTTCTCGGGTCCTTTTCATCATGCTTAATTTCTTCCCACATACGCGTGGCGAGGGATAACATTGCCTGTCGAGTTTGTGGGAGGGGGTTGATTCCACTAAGTCGAATAGCTCGACGAAGGCTGGGCCTTAGTCGGCTAAAGAATTCCATGGCCCTCGTACGTTCGCCCTTGGGCTCCATCTCGTGTTCGAGACTTGTCAAGTAGACATCGAATGCCCATAGTGTCTGATCGAATCTCTGTCTAGCTTTGAACCATTCGATCTGCGTCGTGACCTCGTCGTTGCCTTGATCCCGAATCGTATCATTAAGCCAAGTAATAAAGGCTTCCCAATCGTACTCATCATCAGGGTTCGTACGTACGCGATTATTCCATAGTGTCTTCGAGTCTTCATCGAGGTGACTTAGTGCTTTAATGACTTTGGTGCAGTCGTTGTCGTACTTGTACGGAGACGCGTCGAAAGCTCGCTGGATCTCGATTCTCCAGTCACTCCAGGCCTTGAGTGTAGCGCCTATTTTCAGCTCTTTGATGTTGTTGTACTTGAGGTCATGATCAGCTCGTCGCTTTCGTGGCCTGTCATCTTCGTCGGAGTCCTCGTGAGCTCTCTTGCCTGTACGAGCCTTCACGAGTTCTTGAATCCTGTCAGTAAGGATTCGAAGCTGTTCGGTGGATAGTGGTTGGTTGTCCACTAGGTCTTGCATTTGTCGAAGTCCCATCGGTTGGTGGACGTCAACTTCGTCACGGGTTCCATCTTCTTCGAATTCGGTAAGCCCTCGAGTAGGGCTCACGTCGGCTTCGCCACTCTGCTGGCTGTTCTGACCATTCTCGGTTCTCGAACGAACCGTTGCTCTTGTCGACACTGGCATTATGATCGGTCTCCGAAGGTTAGAGGTTTCAGAGTTGTAACAACGAAGGGTAAGGATCTGTTACGAGAGGCGTAGGGAGAGGGATCACAAATCGTTGCAAGTACACAAGGCCGGGTGTGGAATAGTAATGTACTGAAACCTGTCTCTCTATCTAAGAGTTCGAAGGCTCTTCTTATACCCTTCGATCCTTCTATCACAGCACCCAGCCTTCTTCTTACTGCCACTTTACGAAGGCTGGGGATTCAATTCGATGGCTGGGACCTTCTGTTTACGACGTGGTATGCCGGGATGTTACATTGACGCATTCGCCAGAGCAATTCAGGAGGAATGGAAGGCAATTCCTCAAGAAACAATTGACAATCTGATCAAGGGTATGGACACACGGGCGAATGACGTATTGGCTACAAAAGGGTGGTATACACGCCACTAATCATATCAAGGAATGCCAAGGAACGGAAGGGCAAGCGTGATTCAAATGGAAATTGATGGAATTGACAGTCCTATATGATATCGACTCGATCGCTTGAGGAGTCAAGCGATGATGGGGTGAGATGAGCAGGTTATAAGCCTGCGTCTCGCCCGGTATCTAGTGTCTTGGCAGGGGCCGCCCTGACAAATCAGGCCTCAAATCGAGCACAACTCTCTGTATTTAATCAGCTATAGAACAAACCTAGTATGACTTTGATCGGCAAAGTACGTACCTCTCAGTAATAATTTGTACAAAGAGTGATCCATTGGTGGGGCAGTCAGCATCGGCACGATACCGGAGACTTTTGAACTGGTGCTGTAAAAGTGGTTGTGGAGCAAGTAAGGTGGCGGATTCCTCTGCAGATCGCACCATACTCCGTTTTAGGCGGCCAAGGCGGCTTGGCTTGCCCGCTTCGGGTATGATCGCTGGCTGGGCGCGCCCGCAGCTTTTGACGTCGCTTCATCCCATCGTCTCTCTTCTAACTGATTAAGTATACACAAGTAATCTCAAAAAGACACGGTTTTTGAGCCATAACTTCAATGCTAGAGGCTTAGGATAGTCCGACAGCATCGAGGTTCGCGACAAGGCAAACCGAAAGATAACAGCTGACTTCCACACCTCAAAATTGCATATCCGCAAACATCATCAACCCAGTGCCTTCTTTGCACCCAATATACTCTGCTTCTACATCGGAAGATTTCAGTACACACATCTCAACATAGAGAGACGCATTTTTGTCGTTATATCCCTCTCCACCAGGAGCAATTAATCCCGTTGTCTCTTTTCTCAACTTGACGTGGTTGTGGAAAGCGCGCCCAGATAGCTCAAAATGAGCCATGTCGAGCCAGTAGATGAGCTGATTCGTTTCAATTATACGGTCAGCTTCCAGCTCTTCAATATTCACAGTCGGATCTATACCGATGACCTGATTTGTCAAGCGACTTTTGTCAAGGGCAGAACTTGAGTTTTTTCTGGCGATGTAGGCTTCATATGCCACAACACCATTTTTGTTCCTTTCCTTGATGAGGTGTTGCTTGAATGATTCAAATAGAGGCTGCACGCGGTCCATCCAGGAGCCAATCACACCGTCAGCACGCTTCAATTTTCTCTGGCCCTCATGGAGAAAGAACAAGTTGTCAGGCACTCTGGACACCTTTAGTCGCCCTAGTCGAATTGCACTGCTTGGAGGAATTTCCAGGTCAACGATCTTCTTGCCCTCGCCTGCTCTCGATTTTGCGTGTTGCGTAACATATTTCGAAGTAAAAGTATCCCCAAGAACGGTGTGCTTGTCCGTTACCTCGGACATTCTTTTCCTGAAGACTCCCCAGTAGCCGATGTCCAGAGTGGGTTTTGTGCCGACAACAGCGTTTAGGCCCCATGGCGTGTCTACGCTCATAGAACCAGTGAAGCGAGACTTGGGCACTGTCAAAACTTCCCGCCAGACGCCTGCATCATCCGGTAAACTGTTCCAAAGATTCTGAAACTCCTTGGATTCATTCCATATCTGATATTCCCGGCAGTCCCCCCAGTAAGCCAGAAATGTCGTCGTACAATTGCGCCCCATGCGATCCACCTGGCCTTGTTGCTCATTTTGAAGGTACTCAACCCTATCTGCAGACTTATGTAAGAGCCCCCATAAAGAGTTGATAACACTTTTCTTGAAATCTGTGACGCCGTCATGTTGAACTCCGAAAATTCCCAAAGTAATCACGACATCATTCTCATCGAAATTCGGTATATAGGCCATGATTGAGATTCTTTGGTTAGAAGTGGGAGAGCAAAGAGAGCAGTCCTACTCTAAATATACTCATTATTTGCCAATATGTATTGTGGCCAGCAGGTACGTCACCTATCACTAAATCGAATGGTTGGAGCTCGAGGCCTCACAAACCGAGTTTCAGAAGTTGGGCCACCATCAGCAAGTAAGCTTATATACCCCTTGTCACAAATTATACCACGAGCGCGGAAAAATATTCCGAACAAAGGTTCCCTTGGCTTGCAGGGGGCATTCAATCGAGATGGGATTTGTTTAAAAAGACTTAGACTCGTTAACTTACCCGGCGGCATCCGGCCCCGAGGTTATATGTAACGGAAAATGAGGTAGAGTCAGTGCTTCTTATCACCAATTATGGCACTAGAGTGTGGAAAACTTCCCGCACAAATTCGTTTCGTTCGCGAGGACTGTCAAACACATGCACCACGGTAAGCAGGTCCTCGAACGGGAACCAAGAACCATGAGTATTTCCTACGTGGCCAACAGTCAGGCCAACGGACGTCTCAGTCAGGCAGGCAAACAAGCCGTCGACAGTCAAACAGTCAGGCTAAAGGCCTTTAACTAAGGCCAGACATCAGGCAAGAGTAGATATGCTTAGTAAGTGAGAGTAGCCAATCAGACATCTACAGCACCAGTTCAAAAGTCTCCGGTATCGTGTCGATGTTAACTGCCCCACCAATGGGTCACTCTTTATACAAATTGTTACTGAGAGGTACGTACTTTGTCGATCAAAGCCATACTAGGCTTGTTCTATAGCTAATTGGATGCTCTTTCAAATGCAGAGAGTTGTGCCTCGATTTGAGGTGACGTGTATGCCGCCCTACACGGGGATTCGTGTCCGCGCCGCGTTGCCCCCCGGGATCCCCGTCGTCTATTGGTCCCCCATTCCGCTTCCCCGCGCCACCCCCGCACCACGCTCACCTAATCATCGGTAAGTGGAGCATCATGCGATTCCGACCAATGAGAGATCACTGAGAGTAGGCCCGTAAACTGGAAGAAAAAAAAGGGTTTTTCAAAAAAGGTTCTGTAACGATCGTGCAACTCGAGTCTATAAATAAACTATTCTATACAATAAGTTGAACTCCTACGTCGATAATCATCGTCGTCGTCATCATCGTGATATCGAATGGATTATCCACTCGATTTTAGTGTTGAGAGAATGGATGCAGGAGTGCATACGCATTGGGCTATTGTTGGACAATAGTATTGAACAAATGCTATCCAATCATTTACAACAGACTAGGACATTTTGCAACACTCGCTCAATAGGCTGTATCACCATTGACAGGCAGCAATGGTAACGTACGCTCGTTAGATAGATATATAGATGGGCTCTATCCTACATTCGTGAGGAGAGCCAGAGCACTCTTTCAATCTGTGATTCTGGCCAAGACGCCAAGGACGGCGCCTATAAAACGGCCACGAATGTTCATAGATTAGGCTAGTCTTCAACACACTTTTTCACAAATCCACGAAGTTCAACAATACTTAATCCGAGAACGATAAACCGAAAAAATTGTTAATCCGACGGCGATGGTTCGGAAAATATGTAATCCGTCTGGGGTTGAGCGGTTCACGGACTGGATCCGATGCGTGGACCATGTCGATATCGAGTAGAGTGCTCCCCTCGGCCACATGGCCCACAGACTGGATCCGATGGCGACGCGGTAGGGATGTCCACGTGACTTTGCCATGTCATGTACCCACGTGATCAGCTAGCTCGGCGGTCTTGGCGTTGCCGCACAACGCCAAGCCGTAACCGGGCGATGCCAAAATTTAAAAAAAAAAAAATCGAGTTTACATTTCATAATGTCAAAAACTGCTTCAAAATTGACACCAAATCGTGGTTGACCTATCAAGGACGTAACCGAGTGGTAAAACACTCGGCTTGCAGTCGAACCGATAGAATTGAGGGGCCTTACTAGTGTTCGATCATAGGTGAGGTAAGAGGGTTGTCCGGCCTAGCTTTCTAGGTGCCCTAGATGGGTAAACGTAATGCTCCAGCCAGTGATTGTTGATGATGTCGTCTTGTTCATACGTTGGGGAGGGTCACTGATTCAAACTCTTCTACAGTTGAACTCGTCTGGCTGAAGCTGTCACTGGCTGCGGCGCCCCATCTATAAGTTCGTTAGAGATGGACTATAGGAGGGGGCCTTTTATTTTTTTAATATTTACGTATATATAAGCCGTCTACCTTATACAATCTCTATTACGATAGCGTTTAGTTATAGTGAAGTTAAAGACTGATGTTGCCGGGTGGTCCTGATGCTCCGCATTACCCCTGTTAGGTTTGGCAATCCGGAGATTGCAATCGCTAATCCCGATGGAATCCGGCCAATCGATTGCAATCCGATTACGTTGGCACCGGAATCCCGATGGGATCGGCGATTGGATTCGATTATTGAGAACACTGGGGACGGAGGGGGAGATTGAGGTAGAATATGGGGTCGAACTCACAGTAGAGACGAGCGTGACGACTGACAAGCACGCATATCCTATCCAGGTGCGTTTAAGACACTTATCCGAAGCGGAAGCAACGTCTATACGAACAGCGGCCTGTTTTGACGGGCCTTCAGTACAGCACGAGCTTTCAAAAATGCATTTGTCCATATATGATTGGAAGAAGATAGTGTCAAACTGGGTGCAACTCGAGATGTCTTGAACACTCTGTTCTCTATCTACTTGTCGAGGTATTGAGGCTTCTTTTATAGACATGCGGACACTACGTCGTTACGCAGAGCAACCATCAGTAACGTCGTCGTCTATGGAAACCTCTCACCAGTGTTTCAGCTGTGGAGCCTATACACAATAGCTCTTTGTTCAACAGATAGCCAGTGTCGGCGATGAGGTAAAAAATAAAGCGGGTATCACTGAGATTGTCAAGGCAAAGTAGGCGGTGTAACATTCAGCCACCGACAAGGACTATACACGAAAAAGGGGTTCACTGTCATGCAGGAGATGGGGGCTTACCCCTATGCAGAAGATAGGAGTGGAACGTGGGGGGTCAACGGCCACATTGTGTATATAAACTTAAGTAGACACCAGTTGAAAGAAAGCAAGGTGTCAAACTTGTGGTACAACTTGAGATGAAGGAGCGCTCTGTTTTCTATCTGCTTGTCGAGGTCCTGAGACTCCTTTTATAGACACACGAATACTACATCGTTGCATAGAGCAACCGTCCGTAACGTCGTCGCCTATGGAGACCTCTCGTCATCCAACACAAGGCTTCAGTCCTTTGCCATTCCTCACCCTATTCTTGTGTACACGTGATTTCCTCCTACTATACCTTCTGCACGTTACACATAACAGGGACGTAACGACAGCAGAGACAGCAACAGACATTTTTGGGCACAACTGTTATTAGTCTACCTTCATATATCTTGACGCTCTTACCTACCTGCCTTTGAAGTGATCCTTAAGCTCGCGCTCCCACTTTGTGGCCTGTTGTGTGGTGTGTAAGTCGAGACAGGTGCTGGTTTGGCAGCCCCCATATCACCCCTCCAAAATATACGTAAACAAAAAAATATTAAGAAAATAAAAGGCCCCCTCCTATAGTCCATCTCTAACGAACTTATAGATGGGGCGCCGCAGCCAGTGACAGCTTCAGCCAGACGAGTTCAACTGCAGAAGAGTTTGAATCAGTGACCCTCCCAACTCGACATGATCCATGGATGAAATCCCTCGTCGCCCATCGGATCCAGTCTATGGACCACTCGACCTTTAACGGATTAACCATTTTCCGGAATCACGTGCTCCCCCAGGGCCCATATGGCGGGGGAGCACCCTACTTGATAGACATCGATATCGAGATGATCCACGCATAGGATCCAGTCTGTGGACTATCTAGAGAAGCTCTACTAGTCGCACTCGAGATGATTCGTAACCGAGCGTTAACGGACGAGCCTCGATGTCGACGTGGTCCATGGATTGGATCCGACGGATCGTGGTATTTCATCGGATCCAATCTGTGAACCACCTAGACAGGCTCTCCTAATCACACTCGGTATGCTTCGTAACTAAGCGTGAACGGACAAGCCTCGACGTCGATATGATCCATGGATTAGATCCGATGGATCGTGATATTTCATCGGATCCAATTCGTGGACCACCTAGACAAGCCCTACTGATCATACGCGACATGGCTCGTAACCGAGCGTTAACGGACGAAAACCAATATCACGATGATCCACGGATTGGATCCGATGACTGTAATCTTTCATCGGATCCCGATCCATGAACCATATGGTCAGGGGGCACCCTACTCGATAAATACCGATCTCTTCGATATCGATATGATCCATGTATCGGATCTGTCAAGGCGGAGACGTATTGAGGGTGAAGATTTGTCAATGATATTACTATCCAATGCACTATGAAGTACCAGACGAGAGGCAAAGAACATGAAAGCAGTGCGAGGCTATCCTGGATACTTATAACCTTGTGGAGTAGTCGCGCCACAAGGCTCCCACGCAGGCACACCATGTTTACAGATACGTCGTGTCGACAGGGAAGAGTTGGTATCAGGGTGGCGCATTTTATCATCGACAGCACTTAATATGATCAGCAGAACCATGGGATCGTCCTCGACGTTAAGTGTATATTACGGTGAACTGGTGGCTATTTGGGAAGCATGCCAGTTAGTGGACGCATTATGGCTGGGTCACGACATTTACTCCAAAAAGGCAGTGGCCATCTTCAGCAACAGTCAGTCCGCGCTTCGTGTGCTAGCGAAACCGCGACAACAGAGTGGACAAGCGGTCGTGCGAGACGTCTTACTGCGACTTCAGCGGTTCTCCCAGCGTTGGGTATCGCGGATCGTATTTCGGCGGGTGTAACAACGATACCAACGAAGGGTAAGGATTCGTTACGAGGGGTATAGGGAGAGGGATCACAAATCGCTGCGAGTACACAAGGTAGGGTATGGAATGGCAATGTACTGAAACCTGTCTGTCTATCTACGGATTCGAAGGCTC